CTATGGCTGTCGAAAATTTGGAGCTTTCCCCTATTGGGCGTTGCGAGAGTTCCCCGACCATCTTTTCTAGCTGACCCAAACCTACGAATTTCCTAAATGATCTCTGCTAGCTTGCCCTCAATATGTCTCCCCTAGCCACTCCCGCTAGCTTACCGGTTTCGCTCCCATAAAGCTTTTTCTCGGAACAATATGGCTCAGACAAAACTATTAACCCCCTGAGGGCCCAGATGCCAGATCAAACCCGGCCATCAAAAAAGGCCAAATCTTTGCTAGGGGCCCACTTCCGGGGATGGCCATTTGAGATGTTGTGCTGTTGTCAGATTGTCCCCCTGGGGATCAGCCGGGCCTTCCCTGGGCCTTCTTGCGGCCTTTAGTGGGTCCGGGCAAAGGGCCCAACCTACAATCTACATCTCTATCCACCCGGCAATCGGCAATTTACTACTCAAGTCTTGTTGGCATGCCATTCCGAGGATTCCGGGGCGATACACTTGCCATTTTTGCCTGCCTCAACCGGAGCTTAAGCTATTAAGCCTAAGCTAAGCTATAAACTAGCCTAAGCTAACAAGGAGACGTTTTTGAGTGTCGTCGGGACTTTGGCACGGGACCAAGTCTATCTTGTGCAGAATTTTACGCTGATTACGAATACGGTAACCGTTTTTGCGGAATAGCCATTTCTCGAAAGTTATGAACGATTTAAACCTCAAAACAGCCCAAAATCGGCTGCTTTCGATAGTCATAAAAGGCTTCGGAATAGGTTTTGGACGAAACTTGATAGTGCATCTTGTTCAGAAAAAAATTCTCTATAAAATAAGCTACTTATCCCAAAAATGCTGAAATTTTGAAAATTTTTGTAAAATTATGGGCTTTCCTAGCTTTGTCAAATTTTTCCAATTTTTCAATGATTTTGGAAAAGATGGTACATTTTATAGAGAATTTTTTTCTGAACAAGATGTATTAACAAGCTTTGTCTAAAACGTATTCCGAAACCTTTTATGACTATCGAAAGTAGCCGATTTTGGGCTGTTTTGAGGTTTAAATCGTTCATAACTTTCGAGAAATGGCTATTCCGCAAAAACGGTTACCATATTCGGGATCAGCGTCAAATTCTGCACAAGATAGACTTGGTCCCGTGCCAAAGTCCCGACGACACTCAAAAACGTCTCCTTGTAAGCTATAAGCTAAGCCTAAGCTAAGCCTAAGTCTAAGCCTAAGCTTTAACTAAAACACCCAAGAAAATTCCCATTTTTTTCTTGCCCTTGACACCCTGCCAAACGCACCCGAAAAAGGCCATAAGCCCGGGGGTGAGATATTTTTCAACCCCTGGCCGGGCCCCATTTCGGGACCCGGGCCCAGGGTTGAAGAACGACCGGGCCCTTTTGGCCCTTTCCTTGGGCACTCTGCCCCACCCAACACTACATCGAATATTGCAACATTCGCCCAGGGTCAGCGTGGACCCGATTTTTGGTCCTAAAAATGCTTTTTTCTTCTTTGTATTTTGTAGTCTGTAGCCATCAACCTTATCGATTTTTAGGAATATTTGGATTAATAAATTAACACACACATTTTGTGCATCATAAGACGCGTAAAGCGGACTTTAAGGTAATTTTAATTTCTTAGAAAGAAAGCTCTGAAAGATGTGAATTTTTGTAGTTTGTAGTTTTTCTATCTAACTCTCGTTTATTGATTTTTACATTTCCACCGAGTTAAAATATTTATTTTGCCGTTATTTGAATTTTTCCGGGACCAAATAAGTATTTTTAGGCGTTTTTACATATGGTGCCCGTGAAAAGAATCAATTTCCACTGAATTTCGCCGATTTTTATGCCAGAAAAATAATTTCTTGGCTTTACTGCAATTTGCATATAGCATATTCCTTTTCGTAATCCAAAAGCTTTTCTCAAGGCCACAAATTTTGGGCATATGCTTCGGGAAAAATCCTGAGAACCCGTTTTTCGAAGGGGGCCCAGCCAGCCACAGGGGGGCCAAGGCAGAAGCCGTTCCCTAATTCGTCTTCCCTAATTAACCGGAGCCGCGAGGGGGCGAGAGAGAGAGAGAGAGAGACAGAGAGAGATGAGAGAGAGACGGAGAATGAGGTAAACGAAGGCCTCGGCCGGTTGGGGGAGGGGCAGAAATTGAGCCGGCGTGGTCTTGCTTCTCCAAAACGGCCTTAGTTTGCAGCCGTTTCCGGTTCTAGCTGAACTTTTTGAGCTTAGGCTTGGTTTAGGCCTGACTTAGGCTTAGCTTGGGCTTAGGCTTAAGCTTGGCTTAGGCTTGGCTTAGGTCTCACCTAGGCGGCTTAGGGGTTTTGACTTGGGCTTGGCTTAGGCGTAGTTAGATCTAAGCTCAAGCTCACTCTCATTCTCCCTTCTTTTTCCATTGTTTTTTTTCTATTCCGTTCCTAACCTCAACCCATTTCCGGGGGTCGGCCCCCGCCCAACACCCCCGAAAAAATGCTTGGCGCCCACGCGGCCGCCGCCGGAGACTCGGGCGACGACGGGACACCGCCGAGACTACGAAAAATGCACTTTCGACTGCATCACCTATTGAGGATACGGTAGGTGGGGTCAAGGGATAGCTTGCCAGGCGTTGGAGCTCGTGGATTTTGCAAAATTATAGTTATCGACGAATTAAAAAGGGTTTTCTGGATAAGCGAATTTTTGATAATTTCTCTACAAAGGTAATATTTTATGCCTATCTTAAAATCCTATTTTGTCCATGTAGAGTTTTGTGTGTATTTGTCTATGCAAAAATGCGATCTGAGCCGCCGTTTTTGAGATACAATTTGGAATTTCTATTCGAGGGATTGGCAAGGAATAGATCGAAAGCGAGAGATAGAGAGAGAGCGAGAGCGAGAGAGAGAGAGATAGAGAGAGAGAGAGAGCGAAAGAGAAAGAACGAGAGACAGCAAAAGAAAATACATTAAACTGGTTGGAGGGTGTGGAATTATCGTTGTTTTCGTCGGGCGCTTCCTGGGAACCGCACGGCTCCATGGTCCCCCCTTGGGGCCCATTGAATATGTTCCGCCACCTGCCCCCCAAATTCAAAGCAGCGTTCTCTTTTTATACCGCGCCCTTTTCCGCTGTTTTTCTTGCTAAAAATGCTATTTTTAAGCTCTAAAAGCAGCATTAAAGTCCAATTTTTGAGATCTCTGACCTTTCGGGCGACCCAGACCGACGTTTTTTCATTTCCGCTTTGAATTCCGTGCGTATTGGGGCGTACTTAAAGGTGGGGGAGTTCGAATTGAAGCCCTTTCGCTGGTTTTAAAGGTATCAAAGTTCTAAGGCATTTTTTCGGTTTGAAAACACCAAAAATCCGTGATTTTCCAGCTCCGAGCTCCGATTTCCAGGGCCGGAAGTTGGAATCTGACTCTGGAATTTGGATTTCTCAAAGGACATTTTTCGCTTTGTCCTTAGCGTCTAGAGTAGCGTCACGTAGCCCCAGGTTCTGCCTCTTCTTCTTCTTCTGCTTCCAAAAGCCCATTTAATCCCCCCATGACTGATTAAAGCCGACGTGGCCCATTCTGGCGGCAATTTGATGGATTGCCCACCCAATACCCCCCTTGCCGAAAACCAGTAAGATATTAATGCGGGCTTCTTCTTGTCAGCCGCCACCCTCCAATTTTTGCCCCCCCCCCGTGTTTTCTAAAGGACGCCCCGGGTGCTTGGGCGTCATTTGTCTGGGTTACGGTAGATGGGTCGCTTTTTACCATATGTTCCTGCTCTTCCGGGTGCTTTTTAGCGGAAATTATCTTCAAGCAACCGTTTCTGTTTTTAACGGGCGCCTAAAGGGTATTGAACCAGTTACGGTAGTTGGGGCGCTTTTTAGCAGTTTTTGCCTAGTTTTCGGGGTCTTTTATGAGCTGAAAAGCTTTTAAATGGAACGTTTTCTGTTGGCTAAATGGCGCGCCGGGTGGCCAAGCTAAATTTGTCTCGATTACGGTAGAAAGAGTGCGTGTTAGCTGGTTTTTTAAGGGTTTTCAAGTCTAACTCTGCCAAATCCTCAAAAATCCAAGTTTCATAAAGCGACCGCTTATAAATTTACTTAACTTTTTTTGATTACGGTACCTGGTGTATTTTTTAATTTTTAGCGAGTGCCTACATGAAAATCCTTCAAAATATCGGCTTAGGACGAAAAATATTTTTTTAATTGTTTTTAGGGTTTTTTATGTTCGATCTGAAATGTGTTTTTCTATTATTTAATTTATTAGACTTAAACATAAAAAGAAAAGGCAAAAGTTGGTTTTGGGCCATTTTAACGATTGCAATCGTGAATAAATGGCTCAAGCAATTTTTTTAGTTTGAATTTTTCGCATTATAAACACACAAAAAAACAATATTTTTCCAATATTCCGACCCTCCTACGAGGTTCCAATAATTCCATAAACCCAGTTTCCGGGGCCATATGGCCGCCCTGGGTTGTTCAACCCAAGGGGGGGGGGGGGGGGGGCAAGGAGGCGGTAAAGCCGACCCCGGTTGGGTTGTTCATGAGCCGATGACAGCTGTTGTGCTCACTGACTGTCAAAAGGGGCAGAAGAGACCCCAGAACCCTTAGGGCCCATGGGACCCATGGGCTCTGTTCGACATACACACCCCCAAATCACCACCTTTACCCGCCAGTCCATTCGAAATCCTCTTTTGTGTCGCTCTCTCTCTCTCTCTCACTGTATGTCTATCTCTCTATCCCGCTCTCTCACTCTCTCACTCTCTGGCCGCCATCCACCCTCGCAATTCAATTTTAGGACCCACGGGGCCGTCGCGTTTCCGGCTGGTTACTAATTCCGGGGTGCCGCGGATTTCGGGGTCATGGCTTTTTTGGAAATGATATTTGACAACTGGCTTGTTAGTAGGATCCTCTCTCTCTCGCTCGCTCTCTCTCTGTCTCTGTGTCTCTCTCTCTCTCAATCTCTCGCGCCGACTACTTCATACATCCTCTGATCAGCGTTCTGCGTATTTTCTCGTACTTTCCTAACCACCCGTACATAGCAATGCCCCGTACATGAAATGAACTCGTCGGACTCGTCGAGCATATGCATCCACGACAGACCCCTGCCCAAGCCCAGGGCCGCAAAGAAAAGCAAGAGCTTGTGGGTTTTTTGAGCTCGTGCTCGTCAGCTCGAGCAGCATCTCCGCAAAAAGCTCGGATTTCAGGGCGCACAATCACCAGCAAAATATGGGTCTTAAAAAATGTAAAAAAGGGTGAAAGTTAAAAATAAAATATTTGGCTCGAATTATTTCTATTTTTACTAATTTAGGCCGAAAAATGACGGAGCCAACGGCGGGCTGCTGAGAAATTCGGCGAGTCGTGGCGGGAGCCCGATGAGGTGGGATTAATTTTTGTTTCATTCGGATTTTATTCATTTAGACCGGTCACTCCGGAAAGCCTCCACCAAGACCACGAACACCCATTTTTCGACGATCTTATTACGATTAATGTCAGCGGACTTCGGTTTCAGACCCATGAGCGAACGCTGGCGAGGTAAGTTGGCTTCGTTTTTAATCTGAAGTCTCTGAAGCTATTTGAATGGGTTCTTTTTCATTAGCGGGGGCATTTTCATAGTGTTTGCCGAAAATAATAGCTATATTCCAATCATTATTACAAATTATTACAATTATTAAAGTTATTACAAATTTAACAATACGGCAAAATCTCTAAAAACTCAAAATTTGTATTTAAAGTCGCTGATTTTTGTCGAAAACGATAATTTTGTGCGTTTTTCGATTAAAAATTTGCTCATTTACATTTAGGAATAGCAAAAAAAGTTTTTAAACACGTTTGCAATTTTTTATTAAACGCTTTGGCACAGGGAGACCCTGTCCCCCACCCCGTTAATGTATAAGCCCTCTAATTTTATATTTGGTCTTCGATTACTATTATTATTTTAGATACGAAGATACCTTACTTGGAAATAAAGAAAAACGATCGAGATATTGGAACCCTCACAACAGCGAATTCTTCTTCGATCGATCGCGATCCGCGTAAGTTAACTTTATAAATTTATACATCTTTGATATTAAATGGGTTATATAAATTTTGTAGTAGCTTTTTGTATAAATCTTGTTTTTAAGCATTAAACTTTAGTTTCGAGTCGATCCTCTACGTCTACCAATCGAATGGCCGAGTCAAGCGCCCCGAGTCGGTCCCCATCGACATGTTCCTCAGGGAAATGCGCTTTTTCCAGGTTTTATTGGATTAATTTTAACATAATTTTACCTTTTTTGAGATGGGCGATCACTTTGTGGAGGAATTTTGGAAAAGCGAGGGCTATGAAAAGCCAAAAGAACATGAGATGCCCGAGAACCCGACGCAGGTCAGCTTAAACAATCTTTCCTATTAATTATAGTTTGATTTCCATGATCGGATCTGGCCTATTTTGTGCAGAATTTCACGCTGATTCCGAAGGTGTTTTTGGCATTTTGCTAATAGCCATATTCTAAAAGTTACATATGATTTTCGCTTGATGGAAACTAATTTTTCGAGTTTTCTACCCCAGAAAATCCATGTAACTTTTGAAATAAAGATATTCACAAATTTTGAAGCGATATTCGGAATCCGGGCAAAATTCTAAGCATCATGCCCGGCTTTTTAACGATGTTTTCAAAGTTTTTTCCGGAACAACGTTACTTTTTTAGCTGATTTTCCCTCAAAATGCGCTATAATTTTTCAAATAAACCTTTTTAAATTCTGAAGGCATATGCGGAATCAGCGCAAAATTTTGAAATAGATCCGATTTTTAGTTATTTTATACAAAAAGTTTAGCGCCGAATCTGGGAACTAATGGAATATCCGGATTCCTCGCTCGGGGCCCGCATCGTCGCCTTCATCAGCATTGCCGTCATCATCGTGTAAGGCCATTTTTAAGCTTGTAATGAAATACTGAAATATTAGTAGTATCTTACGCCGTTTTAAATATTAAAATTCTAGAAAATAAGTATTAAAATTTTGGGAAATTTGGATTTTTTTATGAAAAGTGTATGAAAAACCATCAAAATTTGCAGTTTTTTAAGAATTTCATAGCTTTTTGGTAATCAGGACCACTCCCCCCGCTATCGCACCAGCACCGAATGATTTCTAGGAGCATCGTGAGCTTCTGCTGGGAAACGGTCCCCTCCTCCCATGAAAATGCGACGCTCGCCGACTCGATGCTCACCCCGACGCCCATGCTCAAGGACGACAGCTCGCGCAACTACTTCTTCTGGCTCGAATTTATTTGTATTATTTGGTTCACGATAGGTATGTTTTTAAGGGTTTTAAATGCATTATCGGGGGGGGGACTAATTTTTTCTTTAGATTCCATTCTTTCGAACCTAAAAAATGAAGGATTTCTAAACTTCTTATGCGCACAAGTTTTATAAATTACTAATGTATACAAAAATATCGATGTTTCGATCGAAAAAAATACCGTTTCCGAGAAAAATGTCGAATTTTTAATTTTGGAAAAAGTTTTAGGAGTTTTCCACCTTAAAAATAACTAAAATTTTACTAAAATACTATGAAAGTACGTATTATTGAGTTTCTAGGAATTTCTGACCTTGCAGAACACCCCCCCCCCGTTAGTGCAAAAGAACCTTGTAAACCATTTTCCATTTCCAGAGCTTTTCCTTCGATTCATCTCGTGCCCCAACAAGTACATCTTCCTCACCGCCTTCCTCAACATTATCGATTTCGTCGCGATCGCGCCGTTTTTTGTCAATTTCTTCTGGTGAGTCAATTTACAAAATTTAAGTTTATCTCTTATTTTTTTAATTAATTAGTTTTCCTATTTTTACCCCGACCTTTTCAGGGCCGACGCGAGCAAGTCGAACTCGTCGATGTCGTTCGCCGTCCTCCGGGTTCTGAGGCTTGTTCGCGTCTTCAGAATATTTAAGCTTAGCCGGTAATTTTGGCTTCACGTCTGCTAAGCCGTTCTAGACACTCGGTCGGCCTTCAAATCCTCGGCAAAACCTTCCGCGCGTCGATCCAGGAATTTTGCCTGCTCATCTTTTTCATGGTCATCGCCTTGGTAAGCGTCATAAGCCAAGTCTAAGCTTCAGTCTAAGCTTCAGTCTAAGCTAAGCACAAGCTAAGCCTAAGCTGAACCTAAACTAACCCAAGCTAATCCTAAGCTAATCCTAAGCTAAGCCTAAGATAAGCCTAAGCTAAGCCTAAGCTGAACCTAAGCCAAGCCAAGCCCAAATTCACGATTCTTCGTTTCAGGTGCTCTTCTCCTCCGGGATGTACTTTGCCGAGCAGGGCGAACCGAACACCAAGTTCACCTCGATCCCGGCGAGCTTCTGGTTTGTGCTGGTGGGTATTTGGCTTCGTTTATAAGCTTAAAAACGAAGACGTTTTGAACATCTTCAAGTTTTCAGGTGACTATGACGACAGTCGGGTGAGTTTCTAGGTGTCGCATGGTGTAATTTGTATCGTCGTGTTGTTTAGAAAAATTGTAGTCTGTATTTGAGTATTTCAAGGCTAAATTTATGCGAAATAGGCTCGAAAACTTGATTAACAAAAAACAACATTTTCTTGTCGTCCTTAAAGGTTTGTAAAGTTATATTTGATTGGATAATTAAGTTATAATCATCAAAACGTATAAAGTTATTGTAGAAACGTAATTTAAACTTTTTAAACTTTAGATATGGCGACCTGGTCCCGAGCGGAATGTATGGGAAAATTGTCGGGTCGATGTGCGCGCTGATTGGCGTGCTGACGCTCGCTCTACCTGTCCCGATTATCGTAGGTTTTTCCCGTCTTTTAGCTGCCATTTATTAAATGGCGCTGTTTTACACTATTTTTTGTTTTTAGTTTTTTAAGCGATTCAAAAATGTCAAAAAAATCGAAATTATCGATTTTTCGACAAAAATGCCGATTTTTACCAAAATTTTGAAATTCTAAGGTATTTTCGTGATTTGGTCTGGATATACCATCGATTTTTGGTTCTTTTGCGTTATCGGGGGCCGGGGGGGAATTAACAAATTTTCACCAAAAAATACAAAATATCGATTTTTCGTTGAAAAATGCCGATTTCGTATTTTGTCTTCCCCCCCCCGATAATGCCAAAGTACGCTGAACTTTGAGGAGAATAATTCGTATTTTGTCTCCCCCTGATAATGCCAAAGCGCCTGGGGCAGGAGAAGTATTTTCTTTTAACCCCGCCCCCCAATAATGCCAAAGCACCGCCCCTTCCTACACTATTTTAATTTTTTCTAGGTGGCCAACTTCAAGCACTTCTACCGCCAAGAGAACCGGCTGGCCACGATGAAGACGGCCGGGAAAGACGTGGAAGAAGCCGATTTCTCGGGTGGCGAAGACGATTTATGACTGGTAGACTCCGGTCTCCGTCCCTCGATTGTCAGTGAGGTAAAGCGGAGATTCGGGGTGGGTATATCTGGGAATGAGTGTGTGACGAGTGTGATCTTTTCCGCTCTAATCCTACCGCCCCGGCTAGGCTCATCACTAATGTGCTTCTACGGCGCTCGTTTTTGAAGATGAAGACGAGCACGAGGTCGATCTCCGGATTTCAAACTTTAAAGGGATCGTCAAGGATTAACATAAGCATTTACGGATAGCAAAATATTTCGAAATTGGTCGAAAATCACAATTTTTACAAAAGTGCTTTTTGAAATTTTCGAAAATCGGCTTTTTCGAAACCCGTATTTTCGAAAGCTCTTTTTTTGATAACCGTACCTTGTCGAAAATCGCCTTTTCCAAATCCATTTTTTCGAAAATCACTGTCGAAAATCATGCTATCGAGAGTCACTTTTCGAAAAACCGTATGTCGAAAAATTGGCATTGCTTATTTTTTCATAAACGCCAATTTTTCGAAAGCTGACCGTCGAAAAAGGTGATTTTCGAAACTTCTCTTTTCGAATAATTGCCAAAAATTCTCCTGCAAAAAAAATGATTTTCGAACGCGCAAAAACGCTGGAAAATCCAAAATTACAAAAATCCATAGAAATCCCGTATTCGGAACTTTAAAGGGACGAGCAAGGCATTTCCATAAAGTTTCGATCTCGATTTATCGAAATTCGGCGGCGCCCGCGACACGCAACGGATACGCCACGCCTGTGTCTTGTAAAACGGCCGTAATGGGGGCTAAATCCTTTTTGGCGTGGGAAAATTCAAGTTTATGTTTTTAAAATCCCTATAATTTGTTTTTCAGCGATTTTTGCTATTTAGAAAATTTAAGTTCAGCTTTCCGCGGCAATAACTTATAAAAATCAGCATCCCTCTTATTTTGCAGGTCGTCAGCCTGTTCCACACGATTCGTCGCGACAGTTCCGAGGAGTTCTTCGAGGATCTCGACGATCATCTCTCTCATCTTAACAAACGATGTCGAAGTTTGTAAAAATTCTTATTTTTTAAATCGTCAGCTCATCTCGTCAAAACCCATTACTTTCAGCATATTAAGCTTTGATTTTTATATACATTATTCCATCCATTAAATTCTAACTTTATACTTTAAGATATATTTAATCCGGTACTTTTCTTTTAGCGGGGGGGACGTCAATGTCCAAAAAAAGTAAAAGTGTTCAGCTTCTTGTATTTTCGAGGAAGCTGAGCTTAGCTCGAGCTCAGGCTTAGGCTTGGCTTAGGCTCGGCTTAGGCTTGGCTTAGGCTAGGCTTAGGCTTGGCTTAAGCTCAGGCCCAGGCCTAGGCTTAGGCTTGGCTTAGGCTTAGGCTACGCTGCAAAAAAAAAACAAGATAAAATACACTGATTCTTATTCAAAAATATAGACGGAAATATGAAAATTAGCCCCCCCCGCTAAGCGGAAAGTACCTTCAATCCACTACTATATACCACTTTCATCACCTTATTATATATTTTTTTTATTGAACCACAAAATGCTACCCGACCCTCAATCTCGAAAAACGGTTTTGCACCCCTGATCTCATCGATTTCCCCCCCCCCTTTAATACACTTGTCCCAGAATATCTAGAAAAGCCCTAGTCCGATATCCCCCCTGTGATAATCTGACATTCCGGTTTTTGTCTGGCGAATAGCCTGTATTTTTTCGTTTCCTATCGTAATCGAATAAACCCTATTCACGCAAAACAAAAGAAACAGCAAAAACAACTTACGGCAACTAAATGATAAAAAAATATATAGGCCAACAATAAATAAATAATCTAATAAATGTAATTAATGAGTTATAATTTCATAAAAAAATTTATAATAATAGCCGCTGCTCAATTTGGTTCACAATAATCACCTGCGAGCGAAAGACACGCAAAAAGCCCGGCCAGAAACCTCGTAAAGTGTAGCCGCATCGGGTAAAGGTGTATCGCGTAGCTCAGCGCAGCGAATCCTTGACAACGCGGCGTTACACCGTACGCTGCTACCGGGTGCGCGCTAGGCACTTTGTCGAAAATTCAAGCGCTGAAATTTTTTCAATTTGCGAAATTTTGAGATGAATAACCGAAGTGAAAAAGGCAAAATCGATTTCGACAAAACCAATTTCGAGAAATGGAAATTTCGGCATGCAAACCGAATTTTCTACCGATATGAAAAGGCTGCGACATGCAACGCCCGCCACGCGCGTCACAGGCCCTCTTCGCTTACGCAATGAAAAGTATGGTTGTGCAGTACTTTACGCACAGGCGCAACGTCCTTAGTCCCGTTTTCCGCCCTTAAATTTCCAATTTTTCCAGTAACCGATCGGAATCCGGTCACCCCGCCCCGAATCGCAAACCACACGTACCCGGGCGATCAGCGGTGGCCGGAAAACAGCAAAAAAAGGAGATGCTGGCCCTGCAGTGGAAGGGCCATGCGTGCTTGATAAGGGTTTACAATCGGAGGGTTTGAGATATCCGCTTGGATCTAGGGAGGGGAGGACACGTGCCGATCCCTTCGGAATCCTGCACGCCCGCTTTTCCGGGAGATAAGCCATAGGTACACCGTCCCTGCAACGCGCGATGGCCCCGCTCCGAGCAGGTAGGGGGGTTACGGTAGTCATGTTGGTGTTTGAGGTGTAAATTTCATAGATTTTTGGCTTTTAAAGGGCCTGGCAAGTCAGGAATATGGATTTCAGGAAGGAATTCTTGTTTTCCAAACCCGCGATACGCAACGCCTCGGCTCCGTTGCGTGTCGCGGATCCTTTTGAAGGGTCGGGCCAGACGTGACTATGGATTTTTGCGTAGTTACTTTGTTGTTTGGGGCGTAAATTGCCTCATTTTCGTGGTTTAAAGGGACTGAGAAGCTTGGAATATGGATTTTCCAGCCCTTGGACTGGCTATGGATTTCGCTAGATGCCGCGACACGCAATGCTTTGATTTGAGCGCGACCGCTACACGCAACGCGCGAGTCCGTGCCTTACCTGCCCCTTTAAAATGCTCATTTTCAGTTGTCAGCCTCTTCCTCCTGCTGCGACTCGTCGAAAATGTGCCCTCACTCGGCGACCCGAACTACAGCTGCGACCCGAAATTGATGGCACCGTTCGTGGAATAGAAAACCATCGATTATCCAATCTTACAGTAGCGCCACAGTACCAAAAAACGTCAACCAAGTGCGCCCGGCAGACATCAAGGTCATTGGAGTGTTGGGCGATTCGCTGACGGTAGGGGCTACAGTATTTTGGATATTTTGAGATTGGGAATTCGTGAATCAGTTGTGTCATTTCTGGTGCTCATAGGCAGCCAACGGAGCTGGTGCTCCACGCAGTGACCCTCTCGCCATCGTCCTCCAATACCGAGGCCTGTCTTTCCACGGGGGCGGCCAGCTGGAGCTCGAGCAGCAGATCACCATCCCGAGTATGTAGATTTTAAGTTCTCAAAAAATTTTGTATTTCTTTGAATTTTTGAGCGATAATCGTCATTTTCAGACATCCTCAAGAAGTACAACCCGAAATTGTTTGGTCATTCGGTTGGGACGGGATCGGAGAACGTATGGGAGGTTGGCTTTTAGTATAATTTTGTTGTAAAAATAACTTAAAGCAATTAAATATATTTTTAATGTTCTAAAATTAGACGGCCCGCCTCAACGCCGGAATCCCCGGCGCGAAAAGTCTTCCCGGTGGCAACAACCTCACCGGCCAAGCCATGGATCTCGTCCAGAAGATCAAATATCATTCCGATACGGTAATTTTCACGCCTTCTTTTTGTTGTTTACTAATGTACCATTAATACTACATTTTTTGGGTTTAGATCGACATCAAAAATGACTGGAAGCTGATCAGCATCTTCATCGGCGGCAACGATGTTTGTGGATGGTGCACGCATCCGGTAGGGCTTTATTGACGTTTTCAAGGGCTTTTTAAGCGTTAAAATACACGAAATACGACTACTTTCCAATCCAAAAGACCCCCTAACTCTCTGCGCAAGCTGAAAATTCTCATTTCACGCGAAAATACTTGAAAAACTAGCTTTTTCCATCTTTTCATAGGATCAGTGCGCCTTAAAATTACAAATTTCGACTACGTTACACTCCACTAGACGCCTCAGCTGATTTCACGCTGAAAATTCCCCTGAAAATTCTCATTTCACGTCTAAATACCTCAAATATCAGTTAAAAGCTGGAAATGAGATATGTCACTTTCCTTTGGCTTTATCAAGGGCGTGTTGCCGTGTCGTCGCGGGATTACTGTTAGCCTCTAGTGTCCAAAAACTAGAGCTCAACTCGTTTTTAGTACAACGATGGCGACACGTCGCCGCAAAGCTACGCCGAGGGCATCCGTAATGCCGTTAAGGTGCTCAAGGACAATTTGCCACGGTAAAATTGTCGCTAAAAAGTTTAAAATATCTTGTAAAGCTCCTAGAAACCGTTTTTTTAAGGACAATCGTCCAGCTGATGGGCTTCATGCATATGGATTTGTTGCGTCAGATTGACAATGGCCAATTCTTCTGCCAGGCATTGCACGTGTTAGTTTTCGCTTGCTTTTTTTGTTATTTAAGGATCTTTCCCATTATCGGGGGAGGAGATATCGGATAAGCCCAGAAATCAATCGTTTTGGTGAAATTTAACGATATTTAAAGTGGTACACTATCAAAAAACTTATAAAATTTGCAGATTTTGGTCGAAAACCGACCATTTTGTCGAAAAATCTATATATTTTCATCCTTTACTCAAAATTTGTGAAGTTTTTATGCTTAGGATAGGCAAAAAAGAGTTTTTAAACATCTACTCTAATTATATGAGAAAGTCTGCGTTATAGGGAAAAATTTAGCTTTATTTCAGCTTCGAATGCCATTGTGAAGCTGATCAAGTCAGCGACGACGACCTCCGGAATGTATCGATTTCTTACCAGGTTTGAGCTCCGGATTTTGCTTTTAAAACGACCTTGAAGATCGAAGCCCAGAAAATCGAAGACTCGCAAATGTTCGACGGCGACGACTTCACCTTCGTGATTCAGCCATGGTTCGAGGAGGTCGACAAGATTCCGCATGTTGTATGTTTCAAAACGCCACAACGACGATAATTTTTGGATCTGTCGCATTATCGAGGGGGGGCTCTTCGTATAAATCGAGAAATGTCGTGTAATGTAATAGAAATTTTGTTTTAGTGTTTTTAACAAAATATAACTATATTTCAACTAAGAAATTATCGCAAAATTCTTGAAAAAAATCGAAATTTTGTTAAAAAGGGCCATTTTGGGCGAAACTCCATATTTTGTATACTTTTTAATAAAAATTTGTAAAATTGGAGCCTAAGAAATGGTTGGTATCCCCCCCCCCCCCCCCGATAATGCAAAAGAACCAAACTTTATAAAGTTGCATTAAATTTAGAAAAACGAATCGATTCTCGACTTTTTCGCGCCGGACTGCTTCCACTTCTCGCAGCTCGGCCATTCTATCGTAGGATTTTTATGTAGAAAAAGTGATTAAAACCTCCCAGGTGGCCCACAACCTGTGGAACAACATGCTCGAGCCGGTCGGCCAGAAAACGCGCTACATGCCGCTGGATTTGTACGAGCCGCACCTATCTTGCCCGGATCCGGTTTGGCTTATCTGCTCTTGCAGATGATCTCGTTTTTCAGAAATGTCCCTTCTACCGTACCCACAAAAACAGCCAGAACTGCCAGATGACGCCGTCGGCATTGGATTGAGACGGTGTTGTACATAGGATGTAAATAAATATAAACAGGGTTCTAAACGCAAAAAATGCAATGCAACACGAGGATTTCTTGAAAGTAAAAGATAAAATTGGTATTTTTCTGCTAGCGGGGGATTTTTCTTTTTTATAATTTTTCTGTGATTTAGCATCATTACTTCTTGCATTTTTGCTATGCCTGATTGTAGAAACTTTACAAATTTCGATCGAAATTTACAAATGAATATTGCATTATTAGGCATTTTTGGAATCCGGCAAAATTAGGTTCCACAATAAACCCGAAAATCCATTTTTTGGACGAAAAATTGCATTTTTTTTCTTAGAATCTGGCGTATGTTCCAGTTTGGTCGTTTTCGGCGACTTTCGGCACCAAAATGCACTTTTTTCGGTCATAGAAATCGGCACCAAGCAAGGCATAATCAGCAACTCGCGTGCGAGTTCGTATTTGCAGCCCATTGCCAGTAGTTTTCTACCCGGAAACATTCCGGATCCGGCTCGGCATGACCGACAAAACAATAAGTGACGTTTTGTGCACCCGGTTTCAGAAAAATGTTCATTTGAACGGTGAGAATTGGAGATTGTGTGGGTTCGGGATTAGCTTATCGAAACTGGGAAAGGGGCACCGGCAGGAAGCAATTCACGCCTGCCCTCATTGATCCCGGGCATTCGGAATTCCGGACCGACCTTTCCTGGATTGACAGCCAGCATGCGGGGTAAGTTTTTGGGGTTTGTATCCATTTTACTAATATACACCGGGTTTTCCTATTGCCGAACGTAAAACCTTACAAACAAAATTTGTAAAAAATACAAAAATATTAATTCTTGCGCCAAGAAGGGCCAATGTTCGACAAAAATTGCAGAAGTTTAATCAGGGTTCTAAGTTTTCTAAAGGTTTCTAACTTTAAAGCCACTCTGAAACTCACAAAGCCACGAAACTACAATACGAGGCAGATCTGGACCGACAGGAATAAAATCGGTTTCCCCGATAAACGCTTATTTAATAATATTTAAAATACTCTTGATTTATAGTTAAAACTAGAGTATTCTGGAGATCTGTCTTTTAGGCTACTTTCTGCTCTCATTACTGGTGTTTGGGTATGCCAGCGCGGAGTTGAAAACCCTTGGGGTCCCAGGATGGACGTGCGACCCGAGCGTGATGACGCCGTAAGGAACTTTATCTTACTTTTTTGTGCTTTTATATTTAATCTATACTTTTTATACTGTTTTTGCTTTTTACTATCAAATCCACTTTTTTCAGGAGCGCCACCGTCCCCTCCAACGTCAACCAGGTGCGCATCGCTGACATCAAGGTCGTGGCCGCGCTCGGTGATTCGTTAACGGTAATTTTTATAGATTGTTTAAAAAAGCTGGTTTATACATTAAAGTATTTTGTAAAGTATTTAAAGCTTTAAAAGTATCAATTCCAGGCGGCAAATGGCGCCGGCGCCCCGCCAAGCGACCCCCTCGCCATCATCCTGCAATACCGAGGTCTCGCCTTCCAGGGTGGCGGCCAGACAAATCTCTCGGATCAGATCACCATTCCGAGTAACATGATTTCTTTTCCTTTTTTTGTAGCGTTTTAGACATCCTCAAGGCGTTTAACCCGTCGGTCTTCGGCTACGCCACCGGAACTGGGTCGGAGAACGTTTGGGAAGTGAGTGTTTTGCTTAAAATTTAGAAAAAAACTTTTCGGAATGGTTTTCCTGTAAAAACCTTGTTTTTTAAGTCGAAAATCCTTAGAAGCCCTATAAAAATTGGTAAAATTTCAATTCTGTTTCTGTTTTTGGAGGAAATTTTAATTTTTGGAAATTTTTATCCGAATTTGCAAAAGTTACGTTTTTACATTGTAAAGACAGTTTAGAAGCACTGCTTTATGAATATTAGAAAAGACACCATTTATGTAACTTTCGGCTTTTTTGGTCTTGAAGAAATGTTTTGAGTTCATAGAATTATTAAAATTTACGAAACTTTTTGATTTTTGATCAAAAAGTAGGAAATAAATAAAAAAATCGACCTTTAGATCGCCCATCTCAATGGGGGTGTCCCTGGCGCGGAAAGCAGCGACCTCGTCGGCCAGGCCCAGCTTTTGGTCTCCAAAATGAACAACCACCCAGATGTAAGGCAAATACTTTAAAAAATAGACCGTAATTTAGGTCAACGTGAAAAACGACTGGAAGCTGATCAACATCTTCATCGGTGCCAATGACTTGTGCGCGTACTGTGACGATCCGAACCATTCCGTTAATGTAAGCCCATTTTTATCGAAGAACTATTAATACATCTGTTTAGAGCGCCCACTCGCCTGAAATGTTCCGCGACAACATCAAGAAGGCCGTCCAGATTCTGAAGGACCATTTGCCAAGGTATCCAAACTTGGTTCTTTTGCATTATCGGGGGGGGCGTGAATATTTTAATGGATTTTTATAGAATTTAGCTATATTTAAAGGCTAAATGCACTTTAGGACGTTGAAAAACGGGTAATCTTCCGGGGAAAAAAAGCTATTTTTGTATTTGTAACGAAAATTTTAGATTTTTGTACCGCAGCAATATTAAAACTTGCTCGATTTCTAAAATGGAGCATCTGCTCGGAATTAAGCACAAGATACAACTCCTTAGGTCCATCATCTCCCTAACTGGCATGTTCAACATGGGCATGATGCGCGTCGTGGAGCAGGGCGAAGTCTTCTGCCAGGCCCTTCATCCGTGAGTTTTAAAATTCAAGAAACCCAATCTTTTCAGGTTTGAATGCCCCTGCGAGCCCGACAAGAATTTCACCAACGCGGAGATGGACGTCGTCTGCAAAAACTATCAGGTTCTTTGTTTTATCGCTCTCGAGATGCGGTCTTCTTCAGCAAACCGAGCAACAACTCCAAGACACCGGCATGTTCGAGGCCGACGACTTCACCCTGGTCATCCAGCCCTTCTTCCGTGATATCCATAAGCCACCGATGAAGGTACACGCAAATAACCATTTTAAAAAATCATTCAAATTCAAATTTTTAGGACGGGAAGGTTGATATCACCTTCTTCGCCCCCGACTGCTTCCACTTTTCCAAGTTTGGGCACGCGGTGGTGGCGAAGAACCTGTGGAACACCATCATGCAACCCGTCGGGCAGAAGCAGACCCAAGTCGACTTGTCGGACGTGACCCCGAATCTCACCTGCCCGCCGACGGTAAGTATTCCATTTTTTAGTTTTCGTCTTGAGTAAATTAGATTCATTTTTAGACGTCAAACCCCCCATAATACAGATCACCAAAATCAGCATACTTTTCAGAGCTGTCCCTTCTTCCCGACCGTCAAAAACAGCCAGAATTGCGCCAAGTTGTGGACGCCAAGCATCGTCGATCGTGCTTAGCTCAATAAATCATTGCCTGCATTTCAAATTGATAAAATTTACTTATCTACAAAGTTAATTGACTTTTTAATACCTAAAAACTATACTTTTCTATAACAAACGGCGCTGCTATGCGACTACGCGCCCATCCAAATCGCGATAAGAGTCGGCAGTTGTGGTGCAAGTGGATAGGCCTGGAATAAAATTCTCATCTTTTTCGCTCAAATGTCAGCAATTTTCGGCTTTTTATTTTCAGAAACGATTGTTTTGGTCTAACACTATTACTTATAGTATCTTTGGAGCTATTGATGTTTGGGGGGGGGCATCTTTTTTTGGGGGCTTTTTCTGGCCTAAGCTTGTCTCAAAGCCTAAGCTGACCAAGCCAAGCCCAGCCTAAGCCAAACCTAAGCCGAGCCTAGGCTTAAGCCCAAGTCTAAGCTAATCCTAAGCTAGCTCTAGGCTAAGTCTAAGCTAAGGCTAGGCGAAACCTAATGTAAGCCTACACTAAGCCTAAGCTAAGCCAAAACCAAGCCTAGGCCTAAGCTAAGCTTAAGCCTAAGCTAAGCCTAGGCATAAGCTAAGTCTAAGCCAAGCGTACGCAAAGTTAAAGCTAAGCCTAAGCTTAGACCCAGGACACCAAAAAAAAAATGCCCCCCCCAAACATTAATAGCTCCGTATCTTTCCTCATGTTTACCAGGGTTGAAAAGCCGCTTCGCGACTTTTCAACTCTGGCCCCGTGTGATCCCATGATATTCTTCACGTTGCATAATTCTCACGATTTTCGATCACAAAAATGAGAAACGCTACTTCTCTTCCCTTATATAGGCTACCGCCACTTCCGGCGTATGCTAATTGTTTCCTAACAAAGAGGCTGGCCGATTTTTCAACAAAAACTTAATTTTAACGTCGAAAACATATAATTTTTCAAAATTTTATTAGCGTGCAGTCATCCCCAGACCATTACGCACCTAATGACGTATCAAACATGCCCTTAAATACTCCCCTTATTAAGATACTACTGGAACAACCTGACGGAAGTGGATGCAAAGTGGCACACACACACACACACACACAGACACTATTTTTTTTATATATATTTTTATATATAGTAGGATATCTTTTTTTGGTTTCTTTACTCCCGCCGAAACTTTCTCTTTTTATTCAATATCTTCTAAACATTTTTATTTCCAGAAATGTCTCGCGGCTCATCATCCGGCTTCGATCGCCACATCACCATCTTCTCACCGGAGGGGCGTGTCTACCAGGTGGAGTACGCGTTCAAGGCCATCAACAGCACCAACTTGTCGGCGGTGGCCGTGAAGGTTTTTTACTCTTTGAAGCTTTTAACGATAATTGAAGGGAAAAGATACGGCTTGCATCGCCGTTCAAAAGCGCGTCCCGGATAAGCTGATCGTGCCCGAGTCCGTCTCATCGGTCTACCAAATCTCGCCGACGGTCAGCTGCTGCATGTTGGGCATTATTCCGGATTGCAAGTTCCAAGTGGGTTTTGCTTAATTTCCCTTTTTTAATACCTTTTCTAGGTTCGTCGTGTCCAAATGGAGGCCGCCCAGTGGAAGTACAAGAACGGCTACAACATGCCGCTCGAGCAGCTGGCACGCCGTATTGCCGATCTCAACCAATTCTACACCCAAAACGCCGAGGTACCTCTTTCATTTCTGAAAACACTCTATTTTTAGATGCGCTCCTTGGGCTGCGCTATGTTGATGATCTCGTTTGACGACGAGGATGGACCGCAGGTTGGTTTTAGGATTTTATATATTTTTTTAACCGAATTTTTCCAGGTCTATCGTGTCGACCCAGCCGGTTACTACCGAAACATGAAGGGCGCCGGGCTGGGCGTGAAGGGCAATGCCATCAAACTGGCGCTCGAGAAGAGGTTTTTTTACCGAATGAATGCTAAACCTTTTTCAGGATGAAAAAGCAATCCGACTATGACCATAATGGAGCCATTCAATGTGCGCTCGAGACGCTACAGGTATGTCAGGTCAACATAGTTATTTTATCTTTGTGTTTTTAGGAAAGCCTTGGCAATGATGTGCGTGCCAGCGATATCGAAGTGATCTACGTCACAAAGGTTTGTAGATCGTAAAAGTTTTTATAGTTTATCGAACTTTAGGAAAAGCCCGGCTTCAACCAACTCAACGCGCACGAGATCGAAGCTCATTTGGTGGCGATCGCCAACCGCGATTAAGCAATAAGCAATGATCTTCTTTCGCTGTGATCGTATACCTTTAATTTATACCGGTCGAATAAACCCTGTGCATAGAATGTTTCAAACGCTGTTTGTCATATTGGGTCAGAAGCTTTACCCAGAGTTTTTTGTTGCTTATATCGGACTGGCATCGGAATTAGTGTTTTTGTTCATTAAATTCTATTATTTTTAGGGTAAAACATGTCCATCCTCGCGGAACCGCGTAGGAAGCAGCGGATTTCGGTTAGTATAACAACACCATTCAAAAAAACGTTCATCTTAGGTTGACCCCCAGAATCTGCAATGGGCAAATGACGACTCAAAATTCGGCAAGAAGCTGATGCAGCAGATGGGGTATGCTAGCATTTTCGACGCACATAATTTCTGAATTAGTTGGAAAGACGGTGAAGGGTTGGGCGTTGGCGGGCGAGGCAGTGCCCAAAATCTGAAGGTCAAGGCCAATCTTACTGGGAAAGGTAATTCTTTGTTTAATTCTTGATTTTCTTTTTAGGACTCGGAGCGACAGGTTCCTACGATGAAACATGGATTGCGCACCACGACGATTTTGCTGATCTGCTCACCGCACTGAATGCTGAGAAAACGGTCAAGGACGTCAATGTAATATCAATTTTTTTTGAAGGCGGTCGTATTTTAGGAAGAAGAAGCTGAGGATCGTGTGAAGAAGGTCAGCCTGGAGTTGACGTGTCGGTCCTTGAAACGCAGAATTAAGTTAGTTTTTTTTAATTTTAAGATGCAAATTTTTGTTCAGCTATCAAAGATTCACAAAGGCCAAGGACCTCAACAACTATGATGACAACGATAGGAAGGCTGTGCTTGGGGTGGGATTGAAGACGAAGAATAAGAAGAGCAGGGAAGAAAAAGCCAAAGCCAAGAAGGCCGAGGACGATTCAGATGATGCTGAGAAGGAGGAACCCACAAATCACACAGTTTGTTATAAAGGTTTTGCTTATTTGAGAGTTTAGGTAAGCACGCTTTCCGTTGGCGATTACTTCAAAGAGAAGATGGCGGCCAAATTAGCAGCGCTCAATAATGCATCCGCAGATGTTGCTCCTAATAGTGAAAATGAGGTATGTATGATAGCTAGACTTTGATTGTTCTTTTTAGCCGGAAGAGGTTGCTGAACCGGTAGAGCAGCCAAAGAAGAAAAAGAGCAAGAAAGATCGCAAGGAGCCCAGGGAGGAACAGGTTGGGATTAATCTTCCAATTTATTAAATTTTTCAGGTTGAATCGATAAATACTGAAGAGCCCGCTGAAGAAGAAACCTCTAGAAAGAAGAAAAAGAAGAGTAAGATGCAAGAGGCTGAAGAGTGCGAAGCAGAGTTGATTGAAACAGAGGTATTTTGAGATTTTGCCTTTTTAATATTGGTTAATTTTTAGGAACCGCCAAAGAAAAAGAAGAAGAAGGAGAGGGTCGAGGAAGCCGAGGATGCCTTTGAGCAAGAAGACAGCGGGAGCTCGGAGAAGAGAAAGAAGGACAAGAAGAAGCGCCGAGAATAGCTTTACCCCCAGAATTTACAAATTTCGATTTTCATATGCTCGTTGCTCGTTCCCCCGCCCTCCACCTCGTTTACGCCAATGATTGTTGGGTTGGAAATGATTCGTTCTGTTTTGTTGGAATAAATTCAAAAGTTTTGCCTTCTGAACAGCAACAAACACTTGCCATGTGCACACGTCAGATATTTTATTATCCCTGGCGGCAGGTGGTAGGCTATATAACTATGCAGGCTTATCACAGCGCACAGACCAAAAATGGGCCGTAAAAGTTTCGGCTTCTCCGGTTCAAGGGCTGGTTCTTATTTGGCTGTGCAGTTTGATCAGCTGAATGCGGGGTAGGTTTTTCAAAATCGTTAATTTTAGAACTAGAACTTTTATTGGGTTTACTCTTTTTGTTAAAGTTTTGAATTTAGCTAAAATTAACTTTTAATTTAACTTTTATTATGTTAAAATTATTTATTTACTAGGTTCACTATGCTGGTGCAATTATTTTTCAAATCTATAAAGCTCGAAACACATTTTTAAGCCCTATCCCTGGTGCTCCTCGTCGTCCATGGCGCTCTGGCCGACGTGAAAACCCTAGGTGCACCAGCCTACAGTTGCGATGCGAACGTCATGGCTCCGTAAGTAGATTTTTACGGATTTTGTACTACTATAATTTTCTCAGGAGCGCCACCGTGCCCACCAACGTCAACCAGGTCCGCTTCGCCGACATCAAGGTCATCGCCGCCATGGGCGACTCGCTGACGGTGTGTCATAAGAAGTTCTATAAAAAGCGTTATAGGCTGCTAACGGAGCCGGGGCAATTCCTGGGGACCCTGTGCAAGTAATCCTGCAATACCGAGGCCTGTGCTTCCACGGTGGCGGCCAGACGAATCTTTCGGATCAGATCACGATTCCTAGTAGGTCAAAATCTTATTTTAAAATTCGTACTTTTCCTCATACTTTACTTTACAATTTGTTACGATATTTACTCTGTATCTGTTAGCAATTTTGCCATTTTTTCTGTATAAATTTTTATTCATTTTTAATTTCAGACATTCTGCGAAAATTCAACCCAAATTTGCAAGGATATGCCGTTGGGACCGGTTCGGAAAATGTGTGGGAGGTCTGTTTATAGGTTTATTTTATAGGATTGTACCTACAGATCCTTCTAGAATTTGATAGCTGGTCTACAATATCTGGAAAGCAGGTTATATGGTTATGATACGCTTTAGAAAGCCAAGCTGAACACTGGAATCCCTGGCGCCCAAAGCGGTGGTCTGCTCACACAAGCCGAGACGCTGATCAACAAGATGAAGGCCCATTCTGAGGTTGGCAATGAGTATTAGTTTCTATGGTTGGTTAGGCAATTTTAGGCGTAAATCAGACTTTAAAAAAACACACCCATTTCAGATCAACTTCAAAAACGACTGGAAACTCGTGAACCTCTTCATCGGTGGCAACGACCTGTGCGCCTACTGTGATGATGTTTACCACAACGCATCGGTTTGCCGGTTTGATGGTTCAAAAAGGCTTTTTAGAGCCCCCACTCGGCCGAAGACTTCCGCGACAACATCAAGGCAGCCGTGAAAATGCTGAAGGACAATATGCCGCGGTAGCTCACATAAGAATTCTGGGTTACGTAAAAAATCCTAGAACCATCGTCTCCGTCACCGGCATGTTCAACATGGGAATGCTGCGCGTCGTCGACAACAACCAGTTCTTCTGCGATGCCCTCCACGTGTAAGTGTGTCAGAATTTCTGCACTAGGCTGTTAGCGGGGGGCTGTTAGTTTACTAGTTTTGAATACTAAAAAATATGAAAATATTTTAGAAAATTTAAAAATTTTGGCCGTCTGAAAATTTTTGGTTTTTTAACTTTCTATGCTTAAAAACGGCGTAAAAACAGCATCAATGGCGTGTGTTTTGAGATTGAGATCATTCCCCCCCCCCCCGTTGATAGGCCAGCCCCTAAATTTTCCAAAAACCCTTTTCTAGCTTCGAGTGCCCCTGCGAAAAAGACAAGGGCTTCACCAACGAGGACATGGACGCCGTTTGTCAGTTGTACATGGTAGGGGCTAAAAACTAGGTGTAATAAAATAACCTTTAGAAACGTGAGCAAGAGCTCCAGGACACCGGGATCTTCGAGGCCGACGATTTCACGCTGGTCATCCAGCCGTTCTTTGAAGATGTGCATCAACCGCCGATGAAGGTGGGATCGAAGCCATCAAGCAGACAGTTAAAAACACAAACAAAATTAAAATAACCACTAAATTCTAAGCCTAACGCTAAAAACTTCAGGACGGCAAGGTCGATCTGTCCTTCTTCGCCCCCGACTGCTTCCACTTTTCAAAGTTTGGCCATGCTGTGGTGAGCATTTAGTTTAGTTTTCAACATCTACTTTTTACACGGCAAAAGCAAGCCCTATAGGTCGCGAAAAACCTCTGGAACACCATCCTGCAGCCGGTCGGCAAGAAGGCGCGCAACGCCAACCTGTCGGACGTGACGCCGACGCTGTCTTGCCCCACCGCGGTTGGTCTGATGGGCGAAATTCATTAAAAAATGGATGCTTTTAGAGCTGTCCCTTCTTCCCGACCGTGAAAAACAGCCAGAATTGCGCCAAGCTGTGGACGCCGAGCATTTTGGATGTGTAAATTTAGGATTCGGGATAATAAAATTCTTTCGCTTTCGATCGATAAAAAAAAACGCAATTTTAGCGGATCGCTGATCCCGATGACCCCTGCCCCCCAAATTCACGATTGCCATAAATTTTCTGACTCCTTCCTGACGGCGCATTCCCCATTCCGTGCGGCCCGGCTCACCCCAGCCGGCCGACCAAAATGACAAATGGTGATCGGCGCGTTGACCCGCGTCCGCATCCATCATTCCCTGTTCCCTTTCCATTCAGATCACAAAAATAGCTGTCAGGCAAACAGGAGAACCCCACCGAATCTTTGGGTCAGAACTGTGGCGCCATTGGTGGCTATATTTGGCAGACATGTGGCCGGAAATAACCCCCGCACGTGGCTCGGGTTTCGCGGAAAAGCCGAAAGTTACAGGCACCAAGGCCAGCGTCGTGGGGAAGGTTTCAAAGGTCTGAATAGACCGTCAGGAGCTGATCATCCAGAAAAAAACAAGCCATTTCCACGACAGGGAGGACTAGAAAGGTGTAAAAAAGGGTTGCTATTTTTCAGGGTTCTGGGGACCAACTTTTTCCTAAAGCCGAGAACCGCCAAAAAAGATCAGCAGAACTATTTTAATCGACTTTTTAGCAACATTCCAAATAAAGCAACTTTAACAACTCAAAAATTCGCTCTTAAATTAGTCGAAAAACCCGATTGTTTTGCGTTTTTAATCAAAGTTTGGGTTCTGTCGCATTATCGGAGGAACCTAATTTTGTTTCCCGTCAACTCAAAAATGCCTATTAACATCATGGTAGGGGTTTAACAGGTTTTTAGTAGCATTTAAATGATTTGGAAGGAAAAAACTAGCTAAAAACTGAAAAATTTGACATTTTGGTCGAAAATCGGTATTTTTGCAGTTTAAAAAATCTTCTAGTTTATTACGTTTAGGAATAGTAAAAACAGTCTAGAAGACGCTACTCTAGTTCTAAAAATTTTGAAAACTAGGAATTATGATCTCTAGAACGCTATAAATGGTAAAAACTGAACGAAATTTTCTAAATTTCGAGAAGCTCCTAGATTTTCTGCACGATCCGTTGTTTATAATTTCAATCCGATCACTCCCCCAAACCAAACCGCAGCTTGTCGATATCGCCGCGTGAGAATCGGGCGAAAACTGGCTACAAGCATCCGCGCGCCCAGGCCCATCCGTCTTGGGCCGATCCCCCCGTTGTCTCGCCACCCAGCCAGCCTTCTTGGTGGATCATCGCCATCATCAGCGGGAGATGGGTACAGTCGCACTTCCGGCCATATCCCCGCTTACAAAACATTTGCACCCCGCCGCAGCCCACGTGGATGACGGAGTGTAATGTGGAGAAATGCGCACTGGGGGCATTGTCTCAAAAACATGCGGCTACAATATAGACGTTTCGGGCAAATTCGGGCAATTAGGGCTGTTTTTTCGAGTTGGGTACGTTATAAAGTTAATAAGAATGAAATCTACTTTTTAAGAAAGCCTAAGTTCACCTTACCGAGCAAAATGAAGGGCACAAAATCAAGGACAAATCATGGAAGGATTTCTAGTAAGATTATAGAAATCATATAAGTTTTATAGAAGATTTTAAAAAATTATAAAAGTTACAAAGTTTATTATAATATACTTTTTTATTAAGCCTAAATCCGGCTCTTCTAGCAAATAAAATAAAGCATAGACAACTCTATAAAATGCTGAATTTTGTGGCTCTAAAATTCAGGCGATCGTGACGGAAATTCCTGCTTTATTAAAATTTCTCAGTCTAGTAAGAGAAGCACCAAAAAAAAACTTAAAAACAAGAGCCACTAAAACAACAATTTTCAGGAAAGTCTGCCCCCAATTTTGCACCGGTCGAAATCCGGTAATTGGATTACAACCGCTCAGCCGAGTGCGCTGCGCTTCGCCGATCCCGACTTGCAAGAGGGAAATGTCGGGCTGGGCTGAAAACATATTTCGAAAGTACGACACGGATCTATGACTTTCTGGGAGAGCAAAAAATGAATTAATTCAGCGATCTTACGTCGCAAAATTGGTACTGAGCTATTAACGGGGGGGGGTGGGCTTTAACGAGGAAAGCCATCTCTTGCCGATAACTGCCTAGCAATTCTTTAGCGTTTATAATGTATTTTCAACGGACGTTTAGTAGTTTTTGGTTGATAAAAAGTTATAAAAACATTTTTAGAAATTTTTTGGCTACATTTTGGCGAAAAACAACCTTTTCGAAAATGCCCATAATTTTTTATAGACTGTCTATACATTAAAACGGCTTAAAAATCTCTACAAATAGTGTGCATCTCATTATTCAGACACTTCGAGCCGATAGCGCAAAGTTAGGTCACACCGCGCTGAAATCCCCCCCCCCCCCCTAACAACACAGTACCCTAAAATCTATGGCATTCCAAAACCAAAACAGACGACGTCAACTAGATCGTAGTTTGCTTGAAATTTCTAAACTTTTGATCCCCGCGTTACCCTATTGTCAACCTCGCACCCAATCGAACCCTAGCAACAGCCAGCTACTTCTCGGGACAGCCACACAAACCTTATCAAATCCCGCACATGACCCGGGCCCGCAAAACTGTTCAAACCCAATGTCTGAGACATGCCATTCAACGGGTTACAGCCGAGGATGAGAATGTTTGTGCCCGTCTGTCTGTCTTGCTGTCTGTCTCTCTGTCTGCCAGTGTGTATGTGTGACAGGGTTGAGAGATGAACGACTGCATGCCGCATCGCCGGGCCCCGCCTCCCAGTCAGAGCTCGACACATACAAAAGGCTTCCGCACGTCCAAATCTCGAACAGTACACGCTTATCCCAATTACGAGATGCGACTGATCGCCCTGACTGCTATTCTCATTGTTGCGGCTGCTATGGCCACCCCGCTGTCGGAAGTGTTCAAACATCTTCAGATGAAGCAGAACGAGATTAGACAAAAGCAGCTGCTCGATTTTATCGCTAAGGTGGGCTTAATGTTTTTATGAAGAGTTTTATTGTTTCTTAAGACTAAGGCTTCAAAAGCTGAATTGACCATTACAAAACTTTTATTGAGGTTCTGGTTCATTATCGGGGGAGAAACTTTATTTAAACAAACTAGCCATGAGCATTTTTATGGGGCTTTTCTTTCTTTCTGCTTACTAAAAAGTTACAGAAAATTTTACAAAAAACGAAATATCTTGAAATCCTGACCAAAAACAATCTTATAATTCTTTTACGAACTATAGATCTAAAAATGCGTAAAATGACATTAAAATGGTTTCTATTTTATTATAGGACGCCTAGAAAAAATGTCCGCCCGCTAAAAACGTTCAAAATCCAAAATTCACTACTAAAACCTACAATATTCATTTTAGAACGTCCCCGAAGGCCTCGACCAGCCAAACCCGAAAATCGCCGAGTACGAAACCTTCAAATCGGACAAAATGTCCAACTTTGTGAACGATGGCCTCGGCCACCTGCAGTTCCGCCAATTCCGACGACTTCGACTGGGCGATGTAAGTTAATTTCCACACACAAATCGGGCCGGGGGAAATATTTGAACCAAGCCCTCGCCTTTATCAAATTGTCCCCCATGATCTGTCTGCGTCATCCATCAGCCATCATCCTTGCGCGCGCGGGTTCGCCGATTTTTCGGCTGAGAACTGCATCTTGGGGGATTTTTTTTGTTAATGAAAAAAACTGAAATCCGGAACGCATTGTTAGCAACTTCTCAGCCCTTACTTTAACTTGTCCTGGCTTGATTACGAAGTTCTGATTCATTAGCGGGGGAGGGGCAGGGGCGTGGATTCACTTTTCCTAAAAAATACAAATAATCTCGCCATATTTTTTTTGATTGATTTATGAAAAATGGTCAAAGTAAACGAAACTTTCCTCAAAACTTTTTCGTAGCCATAAAATAGCGTTTTCTAGCGTCTAGGCTGAACGGAAGCTGCCCCCAGCCCCCCGCTAATAGACCAGAACCGTCGGGAAAACGGCTAAATCACAAGGCAAAAGTCACAAATCCCAACCCCCACCACGCGATTCACAAAACAGCATGAAACCCCCGAATTTACAGGTGCTCTCCCGACACCAGGCCGGAATCTAAGATGTTGACAACTAGCCGGACGACTCGCTGACGAAATTGTGCAACTACAACGAAACATTACCCCCCCCCCCATGCGGGCACACACCACAGATCTCCCCCAATTTTCTGTACATATTCTTATTCTTACTACATCGGTATCTTGAATTGTATCTCATACGGAACGACGGCAATAAATTTCATGTTGCTGACGCGGCTCTTTATCACCAAAATCACCGCATAAAAGAAGTAAATTGAATCCATAAAACCGGAAAGGGGGAACAGAAACAAAACAACCGTCACAAAGGACACGTCACCACCACGGCCGGCTTGGGATATCCTAGCGCAAATCAACAAGCAAAAACAATTCTTAAAAAAAAAATTCTAGAACACGGAGTAACAACTCAGTCGGACCGTTTCTCGGCCAATGTTTCGCCGAGCGCGTCGAGGATCTCCTTCTTGTACGTGTCGAAGTCGCCGTCAACTTCAACGACATCCTGGGGAGGTTTTGAAATAATATAGATTTCCATACCTGGTTTTCGACAACCCACAAAACGCAATCGGTTTTTCGGATCAATCGTTCGTCGTGAGTAACCATAAGGACACCTGAAGATTTTCAAAATGAGAAAAAGGCACCTATATTTCGAGAAGAAATTTATTTAGGAACGTCAGAAAAACGCGCACGGGTTTGATATTGTTGGTCGAGAAAGGCAATTCGTATTTCTTATCAATATTTGCAGTTTTGTACGTTTAGGAATAGTAAAAAGCATTATAAAAAGCCGATCCTCAGCAAAACAGCTGCACCCCCCCCGCTCTTGAAAAAGAACCAATGAGTACACACCTCCTTTAAAATCTTCAATGGCACATGCGAGGGCATCAATCGACTCGATATCAAGGTTATTCGTCGGCTCGTCCTAGAAATATGGCTTAATCGTAAAAGCGAAAGTTTTCTACCAGGATCAGCACATCAGGGCATCCAAGCGACAATTCCGCCAGAGCTACCCTGCTCTTCTGTCCTCCAGACAAGTCACCAATCTTGACGGTGTGCGCATGGGAGGCGAGTCCGACCGTACCCAGCTGCTTTCGCGACTCCTAAATCAGCAAAGTGCGTTGAGCATCCAGCAACCTGCTTACTTGATAATCAATGTTGAATTTCGTCACAAGGTATTCCACAGCACTTTGTTCGTTATTCAGGGCTTCGTTTGAGTGCTGATCGAACCATCCGATCTTCAACTGACGGTTTTTGATAAGCTCGCCCTCATTCTGAAAAGTGTAAAATTTATTTGCCTGACGAATAAACCGAAAGCAGCTCCTATCATTTCTACCGGATCATCATAAAAAAGAGCGCCAGATCCGATTCGAGCTCACCGGTTCGATGCGACCCGTCAAAAGCTTCAGCAACGTCGACTTTCCAACACCATTGGGGCCGACTATCGCAATACGGGACGACATGTCGATACCAAAATCCAATTCCTTGAACAGCTGGTCCTTGCCATAGCCAAAAGTGACATCTGAATAAGAATTGGCAACCATTCGAAAGAGCCCCACCTTTCAATCCGAGAATTGGCGGCTGAATCGCGAACGGTTCGGGGAAGGAGAACTTGACGTTGTAGGCCTTCTTCTTTTGAAGCAACTCGGCGGGTGCGTTATCATCTAAGAGCAAGATATCGCGGGATCTGAGCACGAACCTTCATCACCAAGCCCCGCGGCAGTTTTCTTTCCCTTGACTTGTTTGTTGACCTTGTTCTGGCGTTGCTGCTTCACTTGTTCTTCGGCTTGTTTCGCGCTCTTTCCGCCCTTTTTCAAGGCTTTCTAAAAACACTCTTCTAAAGACGAAAGATTCAGACAAACCAGTTGTTTTTCTTGATTCTCGAATTCCTTGCTGAATTCGCGGGTCTTCTGCTCATACATCTTCTTGAAAGAAGCTAAAAAAATATGTGGGTATTTTTCCAAAGGTTCCTACTGTAATTTCCTTTGTAGTAATCGAGCTTCTGGTCGTTGAGATGGATGATGTCGGAGCAGACAGAATCCAGGAAGCCTTGGTCGTGAGAAACGATGAGCAAAGTCTTCTTCCAGGATTGCAGATAGCTGAAAAAATACTGAATCCAGAACGTGAAGTCCATCAACTTGTCAAGCCAAATCACGGCGTTCAGGTCCAAATGGTTTGTCGGTTCGTCGAGCATGAGTAATGTTGGTTCGAGGAAGAGGGCTCTGGCGAGTGAGATACGCATCCGCCAACCTCCGGAGAAATCTTGGGTCGCCTAGAAAACGATTTTAACAAAATTTAAACTTGCTCTACCTTCTCTTGCATCTCCTTGCTAAATCCGAGACCAGCCAGAATACGGCGAGCGCGCGGCTCGGCAGCGTCGGCCTTGATATCACGTAAGTCCTCAGCAACCTGGAATTATACATTTTCATAAGCGTCATTTCTTCGCGTTCGAACTAAAAAATAAAATCCAAATTCCGGCACCTACCTGTTTCAAGCGAGTGCTGGCACCGATATCACCATCTTCCAATTTCTTTGTTAACGCCTCCTGCTCATTCAACAGCTCGGTTCTCTTCTTGTCCGACAGCAAAACGGCATTGATGGCAGAGGTGCTATCGACGGCGATTTCTAAATTATGATTCCAAAAATCAAAAAGAACAGCTCCACCTTGCTCGCAATAGAGTAGATCGATATGTTCCGGGATAGCCAGTTTTCGGCCAGCAATATGTTTTAACAACGTCGTCTTGCCCATACTAAAAGCAATGTTGCAACGTAGTTCGATGCGTACCCGTTGGGTCCAACGAGTCCGTAACGCCGGCCAAACACAATAGTGAGGTTGGCTTTGTGAAAGAGGGTTTTGCCCTGTGCAGCAATGTCGAAATTTTCGACCTAAAAAATGGTAACGGTCTTCTAATACAGGCATGACCACGAACCTTAATATCTTGAGAGGTCTCCAATAAAGCCATCTGCTGCGTTGTTTTCGCCTGTTGCGAGACGGAGAATTGGCCGCCAAGCTCGGCACCAGCCCCGATACCGCCTCCGACAAATTCTGGAAAGGCTACTCAAAAAATAATTGGTGTAGTACCTTCTTTAGGGGCGTTGCTCACCCCCTCAACCTTTCCACCCATGGCGAGGATTTCCTTCTCATATTTAGCTTGCTTTTTCGCTTTCTTTGCATCGCGTTTGTTGACCTTTTCTGTAAAAGTACAATATAAAAATTGACTAATCTAGTTTTTCGATCGATTCGTAGATTGAAACCAAACCTGAAAGTTTTAAATCTTCCACCGAGTCGGCGACTTCCGCGTCAGACATTTTTAGTGTTACACTAAAGCAGGCTTGTTTCGTAAGCTATTTTCTGAAAACCAGTTTAAAATAAAGCAACAAAAAACAACGATACAATATATCGAAGCCACAACCATCGCTCCTCAATTCACCAGGTTCAATTAAAGGGTTTATCGAAATCGGAGCAATTCCTTCACAAACAAACACTGCAGGAATACATGACTAATGGTCAGATGGATAAAAGGACACCGTAATTGCCAGCGAAATCACATATAAATTAAATGGAAAAGTGTAGACGAGAGGGAGAGATTATAAAAGAACCGGTTGCTTGCTGAGTATCAAGTCTTGGTGAGGATCTCCTTGGCGTTCTCGTTGACGACGGCCTCCATGCCGGCCACATCCTTACACCAGCCGCCAATGCGATCGGCCATCGAGATGATCTGAATCGAGGTAAGTACAGGAGCAATCATTTTAAAACTTTTTAAAAACGTTTTAAAAGCTCTCTCAAACGGCCCTACGGAAAAAAACATTATCTTTTTAATAAATTTCGTGTAAAGTGTTTAAATGACGTCCGGGAATCGTTTAATAAAACCGTTTAAAAACACTTTTACCTGGTTAGCATTGAGAACTCGCGGCTGCACCCAGCTCACGTGGACCGTTTGGTTCACCTAAAAAATTCGATTGAAACAAGGTATCGATTCCAACCTGGTCAATGGATCCGCGAATCAGCCCCTTCGACAACGCCTTCATCACGATGTGCTCTACGCTCTTGGTGTCGATCTGGGCTTTGCCAGCAATCTCGGCGAACGCAATGGTGCGCTCCTTCGACGGCCTTGCCAACGCGATCTGAACAAGCCCATTTTTGAAAAAAAGACATGTCATACCTCCATAATTGACAAAAGCCGAATCTTTTCAACGAGGAAATTCCTCTGCTTCTTCATGTCCGGCCAGCCACCCCAGTCCTTTTCGAGGGCGTAGAACTAAAAAAACTGCATTCAGGAACCAGAATTATGAAATTTACCTGGTTCAAATCTCCTGAATTGAATGCGAAGAGCACATCGAGCAGCCATTTCTCGGGCGAGCCCTCAAGCGCCTTCAGGATCGGATGAGCGAGCTGAAAAAATATTCTTGATCGAGTAATATTCTACATACCAATTCACCAAAATTGTAGACGCTTTCTCCGAGAAGAGCGGCGAAGCCAAGGAGAACGGCTTGGTAGTGGCGGTCCTGAAATCCAAAATCAACCCCGCGAGGAGAAATAAACCTGGAATGTCAATTTAGTAGGCTCTTCAACACCAAGGTAGCGCAGCGCCTCACGGTAGTATCCGGCAAAGTCACCAATCTCCTTGAGGTACACAGCATGCGCCTGAACAACGTATGATTGTTTCTCCTAAAACCGGTAATACCCTGTAGAACGGCGCGTGGACGGTGGTGACTCCGACAAGATCATCGACTTGCTTCTGAGTGGCCTCGAGCATCTTACGAGCCTTCTGTATGTCCAAGCAGCATTCACTTTGGTCCTTGTTCAAGAGGTGGAAATCAATTTGCGCGGTTCGGAGTCGAATCAAGGCCTAAAAAAAAGAGGGATTAACAAAAGAACTTCAACATACCTGCTTTTCCTTCGACACGGCAGTTTCGAGACTCTCAAGGAATTTGAAAGCAGCCGGTCTTTCTGAAAATAAATTTTTAGAAAACGAGATAGGAACGCACCTTTGGCGAAAATACTGCGGGAGATGGGGATGCAGATCTCGACAAGCTGCAGCGCGTTGATGCGATGCTGGAACTCCTGGACGAAATTGTCGTAGAATTCCTTGAGGTCGACGCTCTTGCAGAAGTCTTCATTGGCCAGCAGCACGATAACCTCCTGCGTCAGCTGGTGCCAAAGCCTAGATTAAAAGGAAAATAGATTGAGATCCGATAGGGAAAAATCACCTCTTGCTGTAGAGCTTCTCCAGGCCTTGCCATTTGTCGGCGAGATTCGCGGGGGCGTTTTGCGTCTGTTGCCGCAAGTAGGCTACAACCTTTTCGGACATCTGAAAAAGGGTGTGAATGTTGCAGGGGGTCAGAATCGAAGGAAAACAGCTTGAAATAAAAACGGTAAAGGATATTGATGGTCTCTAGAGGAACTTTTGAACTAGAAAAAGGCTTTAGAGAACCTTCACAAACAGAGAGACAGCAGCTTTTTGAAAAGAGGAAATCCCTGCAAAATCCCCACCCGTCAAATCCTTTTTTTTTTAAATGACACTTGCAAAATTTAAATTTTTATAACTAAATCGAGGATGTCCGTTCCAGTGGATGTACCAATCGAGGGTGTACCAGGGTGTCCCGTCCAAATTCCCAAGCCACGATGGTGCAAAATTGGGCAATAGCTGTGGGGAATATATCATCACTTGGAAAAGGGGTGGACGATGTCCGCCAATCGACGGGTTGTCTGCCCGGGAGGGGACGCGCCCGAAACGCGTTAGGCCATCTCTTCCCGATCCAAAAAGAAAGAAAGTATTCAATTGGTTTGAAAGATTTATTTTCATGATCACCGCGTATTTTTGGTACTAAAAACGGATAATTCGTAAGTGCCGCTTTGCAAAAAATCTTTTCGAATGCCTGGCATACACAACTTTACCTAATGACGCTTTAGTATTGAGGTGGAACCTCAGCTCAATACAATTTTTAGAAATTCTAGCTTCTAGCTTCTAGATGTCAAAACCAATCTTCTCAAAGTCGCAAATCATTTTCAAATATCTACTATACAGCGTCATCCAATTACGTTCTAGGAGCTATTGGTGTTGGGGGGGGGGGGGGCATCTTTTTTTTGGCTCCCAGTCCTAGGCCTAGGCTTAGCTTTAACTTTGCGTACGCTTGGCTTATACTTACCTTGGGCCTAGGCTTGGCTTAGGCTTAGGCTTAACTTAGGCTTGGTTTTGGCTTAGCTTAGGCTTAGTCTAGGCTTACTCTCGGCCTAGCTTATGCTTGGCCCAGCCCTAGCTTAGGCTTGTTCTAGACTTAGCTTAGGATTGGGCTTAAGCCTAGGCTTGGCTTAGGTTACGCTTAGGCTGGGCTTGGCTTGGTTAGCTTAGACTTGGAGACAAGCTTAGACCGGCAAAACCTCCAAAAAAAGATGCCCCCCAACATCAATAGCCCACGCTCTAGCATGGAAGTCGAACCTCCGCGCGAAGACATCGAAAAGAAGAAAAGGCGTTCGCTGCGTGGTCGCAGATCTAGCATTATGATGACAGCGGTTGAAGATCAAGCTACCCTGGAAGTCACGATCACCGGAAAAGCAATGGATACGACCGACGAGTGGTTCCTGAAGACCAAGAAAACCGCCGAATATATTAAGGTAAATGCAAAGGGAAAAATTTCCCGGATATAGCGATGCCACTGACAACTGAACCTTTAGAATTACGCCAAAGAAGTGGACCATGAAAATGAAAATTGGGAGGGCCATCTATTTCACGTGGAGAATCAGCTACAGAATGATAAAAGGTAGAAAATATGGTTATTCCAAAATCGTTTTAAACTGGAAAAAGCATGAGTATAAATGTTTTTAGAATGATTCAAGAGCAAACGCCGCTCGGGGAAGATGGGTGTGATGACAACCGCTCAGAACGGGCGGCTCGTAACGAACTCTTAAAAATCTTGACGCTAATGAGGAGCCGCGACGATTCGGGAGTGCTGGTAAGCAATAAATCTCAACTCGACTAGACTCTATTAGACCCAAAGAGCCCGACGATTAGAAGTGGAAGCTGCTAAATTGAAGGAGGAGACTGAGCAGCAACGGGAGAAGATCAATGCGTAGGTTTAACCTAATTATTCCCAAAATTTAGACAATATAGGCTGCAAGAACTGCTGGCCAAGCAGTCGAGCTCTTCGATTGAGTCCGAGATTGACTATTGGAAGAAGTTGTCGGTCTGGGCGAAGAGGAAGGAAAAGGAACTTCACGAACTTTCTGAGATGCTCTTTGTCGAATGAATTATTTGTATAAAAGACTGTCTTCAGCAACGCTCGTTTTCTTTGTTTCGATCAGTGGCTTATACGGCATATTATCTATCTTATAGGGAGGGTCACATCACAGTACTTGGTGCTTCGCATTATCAGATGAGGGAAATTTTACATTTTTTCTTAGACTTCAAAACTACTAATTTTATTAAAAGAAAAATATCGACTTTCCACCAGCTTTCAGCTTTTAAAAGTCGTAAATATTTCGCGCCTTGAAAGGCCCCAAATTTCCCGGGACCTTCTTTGGTGGACATGCATAGGTAAACTCTTTGCGCATGGGGGATTGCCGCCTTTCGGGAGTGTTATTTGCACAAAATCAAGGCAGTCACCACCAGACTCCCTCCAGAATAGAGCCCCTTTCCCAGCACAGCAACTCGAGCAGTGTGTACAACACTGAAATCCTCGATTTCCGCCTCCTTATCGCGCAAAAGTTTCGGTACTGCACTGTTAGCGGGGGGGGGGTATTTCAGCTGGGGGTTACTAAGCCTACCCCTAAATAAATTTTTGGCGCTTTAGAGATTTTTTATAGCGTTTTCAACGACCAAAAAATAGGCAAATTTTCTTGAAATTTTGAAAATCCTAACGGCTTGACCAAAAAAAACCGACACTTTCGAGTCTTTCAGGATTTTTCTGAGCTTCTGTACTGAAGAAGAACGTAAAAATTTGTGAAAATGCGTTTTTTACATCATTTTGAACCTAAATGGCGAAGGCAAGGTACCCCCGCTAACCGACCAGTACCAGATCCTCGATTTCCGCCCCATTATCGCGCGAAAGTTTCTGCCTTGCCGATCTTCGCCCGCCAACCCGCTGCAGATAAGGATTCTAGAAGACCTTTCCTTCTTGTTTCAAAACCTGACCCTTCTTTGTTGTTTCCGTATCAATTCCTGGCCTGCAATGGCTACAAACCTTCCCGCAATGATGACAATCAAAAGCCACTTCTAGAATGCCAAAAATATGAGGAAACGGGCCAATTTCCGCCCTCTCCTCAGATTTGCTAGATATTTTGCACAGGTCAAGGTCATTTGGTCCTCAAAGGCCGCTATTTTCAATTCTTACCTTCGCCGGCAGGGCGCTTGTTTTGAATAGCGACATTTCACAGCTGGAACTTCTGCCTTCCCATTACCGAAAAAAAAACTTTCCATTGCCCATTCTTATAATGTTCTCAAGTTATTGGAATCGATACTGGTTTGGCTCGGGTAATATTTCTTATAAGGTTCAAGTCTCATTAGCGTTGGAAGAAGTACAGATGGCGAGCCCGGGCGAGGTGCAGAGGACGAGGAAGTATGGGTCGAGAACGAAGGCATTAGATGTAAGCAATCCTACCTGGCTTTCAAAAATTTTTAGACGATTCCGGACGTCGACCTAACTGGAAAGACAATGCTCGTTACGGGGACTTCTTCAGGAATCGGTGAAAAAAATCCGGTTTTTTAATAAAAAAAGGATTCAGGAATCGAGACTGCCAGGGCGCTTGCTTTACGGGGAGCTCATGTCGTCATGGCAAACAGGAATATTGTCGAAAGCGAGCAGCTAAAGGAGAAAATTATCAAAGAAAAGGTATTACATAACTCGTGAAGTTACTCAATTATTTAGCCCGATGCGAAAGTCGACATCATCCTATGCGATCTGTCTTCCCTGCAAAGCGTGAAAGCGGCCGCCGATGAGTTCAAAAAGAAACAATGGTAGATAAACAAAAAAATCCGAAAATTTATTTCAGGCCGCTGCATGTCCTCGTGCTGAATGCCGGTGTTTTCCAACCAATCCAAAAAACTACACTCGATGGCTACGAATCATCGTTTGGAGTCAACCATCTGGGACATTTCTACTTAATCCGGTAAGTAGGAACAAGGCGGAGAACATTGACTTTTAGAGAGCTGCTCCCCGTGCTGCGTCAAAGCAGCCCGTCAAAGATTGTCATTGTGTCATCACATTCCCATAACCATACCGGGGTTTGTAAAAATACTAAACACGACCCGGTTTACAGCTCAATCCCACCGATTCTGCCGACGCAAAGGTGGGCAAACTCGTGCAATTTGCGGACACCAGCGAATTTGGATACAGGTACATAGCCTCAAATCGCTAAAACCTTAGCCTAGGTTGTATGCTTATTCGAAGCTCTGTAATGTCTTGACCGCCATGTATCTACACCGGAAAGAACACGAAAATGACATCAGTTTGTTCGTCTTGCACCCCGGCACAATGATTGGGACAAGTCAGGCTAAATTTCACCCCTAGAAGCCAGTTTCAGATATTTCGCGCGGTTATGGATTTTGGGGCAAAGCCTTCAACTACGTTTCGAAGCCTTTCACGAAAGACCTGTCGCAAGGGGCCGCCACAACAGTGTATTGTGCAGCCTCTCCAGAAATCGCAAATGTAGGTCCAGGGCAAAAATAATAGCAAGAGAGTAACAGGTATCCGGAAAATACTGGGAAAGCTGTTGGGACGATGAGAAAAACTTACAGAAGAATCTGGCTCACGATGAACAACTACAGGTATACAAAAATCCCCTACAATACGCCCCTTTCAGGATGCGCTTTGGGCAAAATCAGAAGAGCTGATCTCCAAATTTGAAGGCTTGCATTGACATTTTGGTGCAGTCGATAACCCAACGACCTCGAGAAAAAGTTACAAATAAATTTATCTTTCACTTCAAAATGTCTAGCAGGGTAAAAGGCGTAGAAATGAACAAACACAGTCGTCATAAAGTAATTGAATCCTACTATAAGACTAAACAAATGACAGTTCACTTGTTCGGCTCGATGGGGGATCGGCCTTTGACCCATAGTTGAGGCTGCATCTAGGCGAGGCCGGCGCGGGCGAGGGCATCGCTGACGACGTTCTGGCGTTCACGCTGCTTCTCGATCTCCAGAGCCTTGGCCTGAAAAAAAGAAGTTACAAGTTGAAGGATAAAAAATTGGCAAAATAAACGAGCCAAAAACAAACCTTCTTCTGTCCCCTCCACTTCAAAGCAAAGTAGGCAGCAGCATACGTCGCCAAAGCAGCCCTGAACATTAAATATTAAAGGCGAACAAAACGACCGAAACCTGCAGATGTTCTGGCGCCCGAAGTGCTCATGAGGGTTGAGGTAGGCGTGCTTGAGCTGAATGAGCGGCTTAAAAGCTTGACGAACGGCCTGCATCCTGCAACAATAAGAAAATGAGGCGAATTAGCGGCAAACTTCGAAGTATAACATCGCCGCAACGAGAATTCAGACTTGGCATTCAAAAACAGGAAAAGTTTATTTGAAAACGCGAATTGACCATCAAAAAAAGAACCAAGAAAGTCCACGGGCAACCATAAATACTCTTCGACACCGTATCACAAAATCGAGTTCGTCGTCAAGATCCAAAAAACAAACGGCGCGTAATGTGGACAAGAGTTGTAAAGTGTAATGGCGCGGAATATATCGAGAAAAGATCATGTGAGCTCCGGAAAAAATCAGAGGAATTACGAGAATTTCAAAGTTATGCATACCAATAACGGACTATGAAATGAATTGCCGACCCATATTGGCGGGCACGGACACGTGCAGCTGCATCGCAGGAACGTAGAGAAATAATTAGATGCGCAGGCGAAGAGGGGGGGGGGGAAGATATAGCATTGCCCATAGATATTATACTGTTACTGAGCAATGCCGTAGAGTAAGAGTAATATCCTAATAGCCTCTAATTACATTGGCAAGGCAAGTGGCGGGAGTTTGTGACGAGGGGGTGTCTGCCAAGTAGGTGAGCCAAGAAGAAAAATTGGCGAGGTCCTCGCGGTTTAGTTGAAGCGTGGTGATGAGTTGGGAGAGTGTGCTGACCCATCCAGCTCCATCCCAAGAACAGTCGGCCTGAATGAGAATTGTTTTGAGTCATAGCCAGAAAAATCTACCGTTGACCGAAGAAATTGGAAAATCCCGTCCTGGGTGACCACTTTGCGACGGGCGCACCACAAGAATAACGTGACGAGAAGATCGCGGGTGAACTAAAAGAAAAGAGTCAACATAAATTTACAAAAAAACGCACCGAATTCTTCTCATTAATCCCCTTCAACACGCTCGCGGTGTCGATTCCAGCGATTAGGCTGATCAACTCGTCGCGAGACGTCTGTTCATTCAGATATCGGCTGATCCCCGGGCAGAGGTCAGCGGATAGCTAAAGTTGTCGATCAGCATGAAGTGAGTTAAACGAGTTATACCTCAGCCCACAATTTCTTCGAAAATGTCGAAGACGCGTTGAACAAGGTGACTACAGGCACGATGCGGCAGATCTGGTCGGCTCTGTAGCTTTGGCATGGCAGTTCGAAGACGTACTTCTTCCACAACGAACGGCCCTTGCTCAGCTATAACGAGTTTGACGTAAATCGATGACTAAAATCAAACCTGCAACGTTTTCGTCAAGTGTTCCGCAGTGAACAACTCCTTATAGATGAGGTTGTAAAAGTGCAGCACGCTGTTCTCAAGCACCACTCTGTAAGCAATAAGGCTTCAAATTGAGCAAACAGGACTACCTCTCGTTGGTCGGAACTTCGGTAAGCTGTCGTTTCTTCTCCTGACATTCGATTAGCATAGCCGCCGCGCTTTCGAGACGCAACAGCATGGTGCGCAGCTTCTTCTGCGTTACCGCAGCCTGTGCCGCCTTTGCACCATCTTCTTCAGTTTCGTCTTTTCGAACGTCGATAAGCTGCAAAAAAATATCTACTTGCTAACTTTCAAAAAAATACCATTCTTGGATTGTAGACCGTCGACGATACGGGTTTTCCGAGCGAGCCCGCGAAAAAGGGCAGTTTTTCTTTCTTGTCTTTGTCACGATCTTCGCGACGCTCGTCACGATCTAAAAATAGAAATTAATAGCGCTGTGCATGACTCACCCCGCATATTCGGAGTACCATTAGCCGATTGGCGCTCTGTTTCGCGCTTTTCCCTGTAGCGCCTTCCACGTTCTTCTCGCTCAGAAACGGCTTCTTCCTTTTTCTGTCCAGGTTTCCAGCCGGCGGCCAGTTGTTTGTCACGCCAATTCTAAAATCGGACAGCATTATGGATACTCGTAGCGGAAAAAAAAAACACATGAAAACAGAGAGTGCATATATAAACATTGCCTACCGCATAATAGAAATCGTCATCGTACGGGTTGCCGCTGCCCTGGCATTGAATGAGTTGAATCTTGACGAGCCATTCTCGCTCCTTGCACGACATGAAGCCAGCAAAGGGCTCGAACGCAAAATCCTCGATCGTTTTGCCGGAGGGCATTCCAGGCACCTAGATTTTCATGAAAGAGACATAAAATGATCGTACCACATGACGGTTGGGCGTGCCAGCGCGTCTTAGGAAATCGGGATGCGGTTGCATATGCGGAGGTGGGTGTGGTGGGAAACCCATCGGTGGCCCTCCCATTCGCGCCATCATTCTCCACTAAACGTTTTCGTTGAGGAAAATTTCCAAAAAGTGTACCTCGTGCAACTGTCTGAAGTACTGGACGATGATCGGAGGAACGGGAGGCACACCGTGCGGAAGCATTGGTCGTTTCCCGGACATCACCTCCAGCCAGGCCGGCATGAAATGGGCGAGATGAGGGGGGCATTGCGGCAACGGGGGAAGCGGAGGTACCATTCCTGAAACTAGAACTCAAAAAAATACACTCAAGGTTCTTCGGTAATAACGGACCTTTACAATGTGACATAACTCATTCGATAGAAATTAAAATGCCGACCAAGTCCCATTTTTGAAAACCGCTGATCAATCCAGTTTTGAAAAAAAATTCAGAGAGCCGATTTCTGCACATCTTAGCCCCACTACAAAATATGAATTTTGGAGACTTTCCCCTTCCAAACGCCATTGTTCAGGATTTCCGTATCTATCCAATCAGCTACCTGACATCAAAAAATTCCAATTAATGTCTAAGAACGCCAGTTCTTCAGTGACGAAGCTTAAAACGAAACCTACCAGGTCCGAACGGATGTCCCATGGGTGGCCCACGCATGTGGGGTGGCATTGGCGGCGGGTGTTGCATGGGATGTTGACCAGCTAGATGCGGTGGGAGGAAACGGCGCGGATCTTGCTGGATGTACTGCTTTTGGTGCGGGGGCGGCTGCGGAGGTTGTTGCGGGTGCTGATCATTCACTCGGGTCTCTGGTTGGGCGCGTTGAGGTGGTTGGGCCTTTGGCAACGAGTTGAGCATGGCGACCATATCGTAGGCTGCCGGCTGGGCTGCCGTTTTCGATTTCTGGCTTTCGTTGAGGAATTGCCGCTCGAGTTCATCGGCGCTCATTGCTCCTTTGGGCACTAAAAAGAATGCATTTAACATTTTGATTTTGGCAAAATCAAATTTCAAAATCTACTCATTTCATAAGTTGTGAAATGTCATAACTATTTGAAAACAAGCGAAAAATCTAAAAACCGTCACCCACAATTAGGCAATCCGGAGGCTCGAGGCACTGTTACAGCTGGTTGTTCCAATCGAGGGTCTGGTACGCGTGAGGAAGGTTGCGCTTGCGCTCTGGCCTCCTCTATCGTAACGGGCATGCTGGGTTGATACATGCTGTGCAGCGCTTTGCTTGTATTGGATCTCCTAAATCAAATTTGAGATAAACAGGTGCAATAGGAAAAAACTAATATTTCTAGTCAACTTTTTACTTACGTTGCATAGACGTTAGGGCTCGGCGCCGAATTCCACGCCGAGCTCGCGCCCCAACGGCCAAGATCATCAGCTCCAATTGAAGATAGAAAATTGCCGGCGGACGAGTTCGCTATGCTCGTGCTGTCGAGAGAAGCCTTCAGCACGTCGTAGTCATCCTAGAGCAAAAATTCGGAAATTCGTAGAAAGCTTTTACCGCTCGCTGAGAAGTCGTGGTGCCGGGACCCCATAGGTTATAACTAGGCGGCAACGAGCCCTCCCAGATTCGGCTGAGATCAGGCTGAAATTGAGGGGGGTTATAAAGAAAAATCGTCGCTTACAAAAGTCTGGTTATTTCTGGTGGCCGAAGTATCGAAACCATCGAAATCGAAGGGCATAGGAAGTTGAGAAGCTTCAGGGGCTGCTCCACTGGAGCATCCAGGCCGATCCCATTCATCCAGCCGCAAAGAAGCCGTCTAAGGAAAGGAATTATACGCTGTTTTGTGAAATACAAGTATAAATACGTTTATACTCACCTGCGTCGCATATTCGGAAAGCTCGGAATTCAGGGGACCGATATCCCCGCCGAACGTCTCCTCGTTGACGGCATCGATCTCGTCCCGAATTTCGTGCTCATCATCTTCCGGTAAAGTGCCAAATTGAAAGTCCTCGTCACCCGCGTCGCCGAAATCCATGATCAACAAATGTTCATAGGTCTGAAACAAGGGATTTGAAAGCGGTTGATAGAAAAAGAGAGGAGTAAATGGAGCCTCAAAAGAAAAGGGACTGCACGACTATTGATCAATCCACATCGATTAATGCAACTACAGAGCTGATACAAATGATGGGGCAGGAATGTATCTAGTTCAGTGTTTTTCGAAGTCTTGTCCCCTAGGAAATTATGGCCGCCCGTCGAATTCACAGTATGCAGGGCCGGGCGGGAGTGTCAGGGCGGGACCAAGCCCCATTCAAACCGCCGGCCCGTTCATCTGCTCTCCGTCTCTGCCCAAAACTCATCCCTTTCGAAACGAGAAAATTGCTCTTACTTTGATTATGCTATCAAAGAACGTGCCATCTGCCACCCCTTGTAGCCTGTAAAGGGCAGAGCCATTGGCCAAACGGTTTTATTCGAATGATAGCCCGTTTCAAGCTAAACATCCTGTTTTTTTTTCGTTTATAATCAATAACTTCGAAAAAGTTTAAAAGCTTGGAAAAACTAACATTATCAAAGGCAAAAAAAATGCCAAAAAATCCAAAATCCACCCGAGTACTTCCTAAAACTATGAAAATTATTGTAAGGAGTATGTTTGTGTAATTGTTTACTAACATAGCGTAAGCAGTTTTTCTTTCCTTTTTTTCTCTTCCGATTCATTATTAGCTCTTTTTATTCCCCTTTTTCTTATATTTCATAATCCTTTCTATGTTGTTTTTCTTCTTCTTTTTCGTCGTCTTTTATCGATTTCAACAAATTATCTGACGCAATTCTAGGACTGCGGTAATATGACCATGGACGAATCGACGCCGCAGTATGGCATGACTCGGCCCATTTCGATCAGCCTGCCCGAGGAGAAGGACCATCGTTTCACGAAGGAGCTGGATGATTGCCTGCGGAGCCTCAACTATTTCGAGTCGCCCGAGGAGCTCGATCAACGCATCCAAGTGCTGGGCCAGGTCAATTCTCTTGTCAAGAAATGGGTCGTACGCGTCTCTGAGGCCAAAATGCCGATCGACGAATGTACACGGGTCGGTGGAAAGCTTTTTACATTTGGATCTTACCGGCTAGGGGTCCATACCAAAGGCGCCGATATCGATTCGCTATGCGTTGTACCCCGTCATATACAACGTAGCGACTTCTTCACAACCTTTTACGAGATGCTCAAAGAATGCCCGGAGGTCTCGGATTTGCACGGTGTCGAAGAGGCGTTTGTGCCTGTGATCAAGCTCAAGTGGAAGGAGATTGAGCTCGATATCCTTTTCGCACGGCTGGCACTGAAGGAAGTGCCCGACGATCAGCAGCTGAATGACGATATTCTATTGAAAAACCTGGATGAGAGGTGCGTACGATCTCTGAACGGATGCCGCGTGGCAGATGAGATTCTGCGTCTGGTGCCCAGCCAAGAAACCTTTTCGCTGACGTTGCGCGCGATCAAGCTTTGGGCGAAGAATCATGGAATCTACTCGAATATTGTCGGCTTTCTTGGAGGAGTCTCTTGGGCCATTCTGGTTGCCCGTGTATGCCAACTTTATCCGCACGCCTTGCCCGGAAAACTTGTCAGCCGTTTCTTCATGCTTTACAGTACATGGAAGTGGCCGCTGCCGGTGATGCTGAAGGATCTTGATACGTCTCCTCGACCGGATATCCCTACGCTCATCGATTTGGTCTGGGATCCGCGAACCCGTGCCTCGGATCGTTATCATTTGATGCCCATCATTACGCCTGCCTTTCCGGAGCAGAATTCCACTTTCAACGTCACGAACTCGACGCGACAGGTGATGATGAATGAATTCGAAGAGGCCAGGGAAATCTCGCAACGAATTCTCCACGGCCTGTGCACTTGGAAAGATTTCTTCGAGGAGGTCAATTTCTTCTCGCGCTACAGGCATTTCTTGGTGTTGGTCTGCGTGGCGGCGACCAAGGAGGATCACCTGATTTGGGTCGGCTTTGTGGAGGCCAAGCTGCGGCATCTTGTCGCGAACGTGGAACGAAACAAGGCGGTGAAGATGACGCACGTTAACCCAAATCAGTTCCGACCCATCAAGCCGCTTCAATTCCGAATTCCCGAAGTCGACGACCCCGTTTGCTCGATGTGGTTTATCGGTCTGGATTTCGATCGGGATCTGGCAAAGAACGTCGACTTCACCAACGAAATCCGGACTTTCAACGAACTCGTCGATCGCCAAAAGAGTTTCCGCCGGTCCGTTGGCCGGGGTCAAGAGGGCAGCGATGAAGGGCAGTACAATGCCTCGATGAAGACGCTTGTGACCCACGTGCAAAGGAGGTCGCTGGGTCAATGGCTTGAGGAAAAGGACTACACGCGAGGAAGAAATGCCAACGATCCGCGTTTCAAGCGGCAAAACAGCTCAAACGCGCAGAGCATCGTCGCCACGGGCAGTAAGAGGAGGGCGTCGACAATGGCTGAAGATACGAAGCCAGCGTCGTCGGATGATGCGTCTCCTTCCACCTCTCAATCCGCATCCTCGCAGCCTATGCACAGTCCCTCGGTCTCTGTGGGGACCAAGTCGGATCAGACGCCAGGAGTGCCCGAGAAAGAAGTCGATGAAAATGGCGAGCCGATGCCAAAAAAGATTTGCCACTCGCTGAGCACGCCGAACCTTTCGCCAGCAGCAATGTCCGACCGGCAGCCGGCACTTCAATTACCTGTGGAAAATCCGGATTATTCTAATACGGAACACGGCACCACGATCTCGAATGGCAGCGAGGAAAATGGAAAGGACCCGAATTTCTCTTGGGTTTGCGAGAAGGCTGCTGCTTCCAGACAAGAATCACCGAATCCCATCCATGCCTAAGCTCTTTTCCATCTTGCGCTAATCTGAGAGATCTTTTCGCCACATCTTTCCACGTTTAAATTTATAATAATCGGCTGTAAAGCCAAAAATTTGTGAGAAAACTGCTTGAATTCCACCATCCTCAGGTTCGCGCATGCTAGTTATCCAATTGTTGATCTGTTGTTATTCCCCATTACTTGTAGATACCTTCCCCCAATATGATCTTCTCGTGTATTTCAACGTCTTGTAAAGTCGAAATTGCCGGCGTTTCCCTGTAAGCGCATTGAAGGGTTGCCTTTTGTTTTTGAAACCTTATCATTTCCCTCCCTTTCGGTTGTCTTTTTGGAGTTCTATTTTTGCTTGCTTTCTCGTAGTTTCATCAGTGTTGTTTACCTCAATGTGTTCAAAAATAAACAAAAAACCAAAAAAAAATTCAGGTAGTCGACTGCGATGGGGTTGTTCAAGAACCAGACGAAGAATAAGAAGAAGACCGGCGTGGCGCGGACACCGAAGAAGCTGAAGCGGCTAGCGAGGGAGAAGCCGACGGTTGCTGAATTGCCTGCAGAGAAGATACTCGAGGTTGGTTTTTTAAATTAACTATGAATTATCTGATCGGAATTATTCATCATTTTCAGATCACAAGCGCGATGGAAGTGGATAGCCCTTCAACGAGTCAGCCGAAGAAGCCAAAGAAGGCGCCAGTCCGGAAGGAGGGCAAAATTACGCGTACACAGTTATTGGAATCTGGCGCTTCCGTTCAGCCTCCTGAGAAATCACGGTAAAATTGCGCCCTAAATCTGAAATTGCGTTTCTTAGATCCGCATCGAAGCGAAAGAAGGAGGGAAAGAAGGCTGATATAAAGTTCCAGCGGCCAATGACAAAGAAGAAGGCGAGAAAGGTACTGGAGGCCGTCGATATCCAAATGTATTTTCTTTCTAGATGCTCCGCAATCAGGAAAGAGAAGATCGGAAGAGCGAGAGGGAGGCTGCAAAGATGGATAGTTGATTGACTGCTTGATTTTTGTTTTTGTTTTGTTGCTGATTGTTGATTTTGGAGTTGTTCGTTAATAAACCATGGTTTACTGGTTTGTGGTGATCACACGCGGGACATTCGGGTCAGCACACCAATTATACCTCGCATTGGCTAGATCTGAAGTTGAAAATACAGGCGTGCTAGTTGATAGTTTTTCTTCATTTGCGACCATAAGTGGGAGGAGAAAGCAGATAATTGAAACTTTTAGTAAGATGAGCTCCGACGAAGATGATTTCATGTCGGATAAGTTTTTGCAAACGGAAGTTGAGCCGCAATGTAAGGCTTTGTTACCCAAACTTTATTTCCCCTTCCTCGCTCTGTCCAAATCACACCACGAGAAACGGATGATGCGCATCGAGAAGAACCGGTTTGACGCAGAAGACGAGCAGCGCAAGGTCAAGAAGCCAAAAATCGAGGTCGAAGTGGAGAGGAGGTAAGCTGGTTTTCCAATTTTGACCCGTGCTTCAGAAACGAAGCCCTGCAAAAGCCGATCGAGGAGGATTCGGTCGGTTTCAAGCTGATGGCGAAGATGGGCTTCAAGTCGGGCATGAGTCTTGGCAAGAAGAAGGATGGTACTGTTTTGATTCACCGATTTTGACTGAAAATTTCAGAAAATGACCTGGGCTCTGGAATCAAGGAGCCGGTGCCTTTGGAGGTGAAAATTGGACGGAAGGGGTTGGGCCACGAAACGGCTGAGGTTGAGAAGAGCCGAAAGCGGATTGACGCTATTATGGAGCGGATGGCCGCGCGTTCGAAAATGACGGTAATTATTGGCGAATTTATATACTTTTTGGCTATATTTTTTAGGATGAGCTTTCTGACGATTTCCGGGAGCGTCGCCGTATCGAATCAATCTGCCGGCTTCTGATGCGCGCGATTATCAAGGCTCGAAAGACGTGCGCTCAACTGGATATTGCGTGAGCCAAAAAATCGTTTTCAATTGGTTTTTATTTAGGAAAGGACGGGATACTCCTATTGTCGAATGGTTTTGGCCTTCCTACAAATCGGGAGACGATGCTCCGGAAGATAAGCCTACCTTTTCTAAAGACCAAGCGATTCGAAGCAAATATACTGGGTAGAACGATTGTTTTTTAGAATTGAAAAATCGAGAATTTTTAGGTTCTTCTACGCAAATGGCGTCCCGTCGCCTATTCATGACGGAAAATCCTCAGAAAACACTCCCGGGGAGCTGCTGACCAGGTCTTCAAGGAGTTCTCTCAAAGATAGTTTTTCAGGATCAAAAGTCTTGTCGAATATCTGAAGGAGGAGTACGTATTTTGCGCCATCTGTCAGAAGGGTTTTATGGAGGTGGAGGAGATGAATGTGGTGTGCCCGGGGCGCGAGGAGCACGAGGTAAGGTAGAGCATGATTTTTATACCTATCCTAGGCAACCATCACCAAGACGTTCCGTGTCTGCGGCATAAACGCGCTCGCCGAGGTGTACGATAGAATCAGGGCGGAATGTGAGAAGCGGGACCTCCGGTATTGTTTTCTAGGGATTTTTATTTATGAGAAATTTAGACGTGGACTGGACGAACCTACCGTACCTTGGCACTGGAAGGCGCGCTTTAATGCGGAGGCTATGCTTCAATTGCGGCGTGCCGAATTTGAGGCCGAGACCGAACGGTATGCGTCTTGTGCGGTGTGGGGGGGGGCTGTAATTTTTCGTTTAGACGTAAGACACCATGCAATTGCTCTCGCAAAATAGCGTTTATTTCTATTCTTTTCACCCCGTTTAACTTAGTAAAATAAAAAATAAACCTTTATTAAAAATACATACATAGAGTCGTTCAAAATTGCATATCTGATGGTTTTTCCGCTTGGAATATTTAAATTTTGCTAAAAACGCTAAAAATTCGGCCCCCCGCTAACGGAAAAGAACCGATTTGTGTAATTTTTCCAATCCCCCCTTTAGGTTCGTTTATACAAATGGAAAAGCGGCGCCTCCGGAGATTCGCTTCAACGAGCTGCCGCTCAGCGATCTCAAGGAAAAGTTGGCCGAGCTGTTGGGGTACTTGCGCGAGGAGCACTTCTACTGCTTAGGATGCGGAACCCAGGTCAGTTCACCTGAAATTGACAATATTTTCCTTCTAGTCTGACACCTTTGAAGAAATGGAATTGGCCTGTGCTGGCGATCACGAGCTCGACGACTACGCAGATCATTAAAGTTACATTAATTTTCGAAATATGATTTGGTATATGGTTTCTGTTGTGTTTAATTATTTATCCCGGTGGTAGGAGGTGATAAACATGTGCAAATTATCGAAAAATTTATCGGCAAGGTCGTGAGATCATTTATCCGTATTTTTGGAGTAGATATTTTGAGATCGGAATTCGGGGAGAGCTATGTGTAGACTTCCAAGGTTCGTCTACGGCCAATTGGGTGGGGTTGATGGAGTCGCTTTGTGGGTGCTGGGGCACTTCGTTTGCGCATCGCATCCAGATCTGAATTTTTGTTTTTTATAGCTTTGCGTCTTTCAATCTTCAGGGGGGATGGGGATTTTTCCGATAAGCAAAGTAAAGGCACGTTTTTTGAGAATTTATTTAAATTTAACTATTTTTGCAGTGGAAAATCTATCTAAAGCTTCGATTTTTTAAAAATTGAACTTTTGCTCGAATATCTATTTTTTTTGTAAAGTTTTCTTAACCCACCACCAACTCGCGAATACGGTGGCACCTCCTTTACGCCGGTGAGGCTCCTCTGCGTGCTCAACGGGTACGGCACCTTGCCATTGCGCGGGTTGAAGAAGGCACGCAGGGCCTTCTTGAACCCGGGCATTCCGTAGGCGTAGATCAACGGGTTTAGGGCGCAGCTCACGTGGGAGAGGACCACCGTCGAGAGCGTGGGCAGAGGGCCCGAGGCCATTGTCGGGAAGAGGAAGTCCCAGGTGTTGATCAGGTATAGGGGGTACCTACAGGGTGGGCCAAAAAAAAACAACAGGTTTGGGCGCGATTATCTCGAGAACCTTAACGAATCCATGGTGGGTTGATGGCTGAAAACCATTTTCTCGGCCTGGAAAAGAAATAAAACACAACTTGATTTTTTCGATTTTTGGCGACGTATCAATACAAATGACACCCGAAAACTGTGCGTTCGGGGAAGTTTAATTTGTAGTTTTCTCAGCCGCCTGTGGCGGGGGGGTTTCTAATTTTTGCTGTGTAAATTCTTGTAGGCATTAGATATATACATGCAAAATTTAAGATCTTTCTAAGGTCTGTTCGAAAAGTTATAGCGGACTGAAATTTAGTATGGAGAAATTTCGTAAATTTCGTGTATTGAAAAAACCTATGGCGGAAATCTCCAAGTAAGTTGTTATGGATTGCCTACAGACTCTATACTATCACATAAACATATTAAAGAATTTTTTGAGATCGGTGATTTCTCGAGTTTTTCAACGACCCCCCTGGTCATGGATTTTTTCGAGGCCACGAAACCGAACTTTCAAAAAATATTTCTAAGATTGTAAATATAACCTAGGTGTTTTCTTTGCTTGGTTGTGTAGGACTGGGGTCCATCTATCACGTAGACAATTTCTAGCTACCGTACACCTTTGGAAGGGTGCTTTTTAGCGCCTCCAAAACGGTTGGTTCGTGCTATTTCGCAGACCTTCGTGCCAGACTATAAAATTCATTTGCGCAGCTAGAATTATTGTCATAATTTTATTTAATGTTACTTAATGGGCGCGTTCTAAAATTATATTTACAAATTTATTGGGCCATCCGATCTTTCAAAAAAAATTCATGAAAAGTCGAAATATACCCGAATTCGAGGCGACGTAAAAAAATTCTCGAGGCTTTAGTAGCCTCGACTTTTTTGGCATAAACTCAGCTTGAATAGTCAACTAGGACCCATGCTCATACAAAACCTTTTCATGGCAAACGAATTTAGAAGAGCATCCCAAATTCGGCTTTTCAAAAACGTTAATTTCGGGTTTTAAATCAAAATTAACCATTAACTTCAGCCAGATCATTCCGGTATTCTGCTCTTATACACAGTTCGATGCGTGCTTTAAGTATATCCACGAAAATCCGATGACTTTTTCTTTTTCAAAAATTCGATTTTCGGCCCGGGGCTCGGGTCCAAAATCGGGCCCCGAGGAGAGTTTTCCACTTTCCCTCATAACTTTGTCATTTACCACAGAAAGTAAGTCGTTTTTTGCCTGCGTTCTCATAATCACCCAGAGAACATTCTAGAATAGAAAAATTGGCATTTTATGGCATTTAGTCTTGGCATGCTAAAACGCGCTCCAGGCGGGTTACGGTAGAAAACAGAAAATCGCCGTTTTCTCGCTCTTTTCACCATAGAAACGTTTCGATCTTTTGGGAAAACAAATAATAGTAGTTTTTGGTCCCATGCATCAAAATATTTCAATATTTCCGTGGCTAAATGCAAAAATCAGTTTTTTGCATATTTTGGGAAGGTGTATGGCCAGAACTTCGTGATATTTAGCCCATAGGTGACCCTTACTAGTGTTTACCAATGAAAAATTTTTAAGCAAAATCGCAGCTTACGATAACAAGAAAAACGCGAAAAACCAAAACTACAGTATCCCTCTGGGGCACGTTTTAGCAAGCAATATTAAAATACCATAGAATCAGGTAAAATTTGGTGTTGGGCTAAAGATTATCATTTGGAAACACCATTTGCAAAAGGTCAGCCATGGGCAGCGAATTTGAAGCGAGTTGCGAATTAAAAGGCAAAAAGCTGCAAAATAGTGAAATTTGTTTTGCTTGTAAAAAATGAAATTGACCTCGATAAATTCTAAGATTTTGCCATTACATTTCTACAAATATCAGCTATTTTTAGGCCAAAAATCAGAATTTTCCCACCACCCGTTCAAGAACGCACAATTTTCGGTCGTAACCAGCGTCAATAGTACAGTTGCGTACTTAAAAATCGAAAAAATCAAGTTGTGTTTTATTTCTTTTCCAGGCCGAGAAAATGGTTTTCAGCCATCAACCCACCATGAATTCCTTAAGGTTCTCGAGATAATCGCGCCCAAACCTGTTGTTTTTTTTTTGGCCCACCCTGTAGAAAGAAATTGAATTGGTTCCGCTTTTCTACTTCTCTATTATTTTTTTCCGCTTTTCGAACTTACCAACAAACCCCGTAGGTGAACACCAAGATCAACAAGGTCCGTATCAACTTCCGCCGGTTCGCCATCCGACGCTCTTTCTCCAGGCGATTGAGCATGAACGTCACCTGCTCGTGCTCATTGCAGCAGATTAATTTTCTGTACCTGCTTCTCCTCCTCGCGTATCGTGCTGTAGATACGGATGTAGCAGAAAGCAATTATGGCCGACGGGACCAGGATCGTGCCGAAGAATATGATGTACACTAGGTATCGGTAGTCCATAACGACCGTGAAATGGCACTCGCCCTCGAACTCCGGTTCCCTAAATTGGAGAGTTTTTGAAAAGTAATTTTTTCGATACCTAGATAAGCCAAATACTTCGAAGATGGGTATGATTGCCACAGCGGTGCCTAGGAACCAGGCGGAAGTGATGAGAATGCAGGCTCTAAAATCATATAAGAATCTTTCTAAAGCTTCGCAGATTTTTTGGTACTTGAGTATTAGCGGGAGGGGGGGGGGGTTAAAGATGTAAAAACGGTTTAGAAACGCTTCCTATATGCTGTTAGCACAATTGGATCCTCAGAAAAATTAGTTCTGCCCCCGCAAGTGCTCCAGTACCTGAATTTTTAGGCGCTTTCCCACCTCGCTTTCCTGGTGTTGAACAGCCGATCGCGGCGGCAGATCGTGGCGTGCTTGTCGATGGCGATGGCAAGCATATGGAGGGTGGAGATTGTGCACAGGACGCAGAGCAACAGGTGCACGAGCAGGCATGGGATGTACGTGTTCGGGCTTCGCGTGTGCACCGACCATACCGTCACGGGGATTCCTACACGTCTTTCCATTTCCACGATCAACATTTTTAATATTTTTTGGCCCTACGTTAAGATTAAACAAGCTTACCAATAAGCCCCGACAAGAAGTCGGTGAACGCCAACGAGACAATGTAGCTGTTCGTGACGGTGCGGACGGATCTAAAAGAGATGGCGTCAAAATTTGAATTCTTTTTGCCTAATTTGCTTATTAACCCCTCCCCTATACGAATAATCGTGTTTTTTCGGGATTGAATCAGCGGGAATCCACTCTTTTGACGTGTTGTTTTGCTGCTAGACGCACGGGGGAGTGGGGCTAGGGTTGATTACCCGTCTATAGCATGGGAAGAAGCGGGGCTGCAGCCGTCCGTTTGCACCGGCGGATTTCATTTCCGGGATTGAATAAAATTTTGGGGACTGATCTATCCGATGTTGGATCTTATACAATATCGGGGGGGGGCTTTTCCTTACTTTAGGTTTATTTCGGCTTTTTCATTGTTTTTTTTTGTTCCTTGTTTAACAATCGTTTTCCGAACGCCAATTTTTCTTTCGTGTCCCATTTTTCTACTACAAATAGCGCACGTGTAGCTACACCGTTTTTTTCGGTTTCTAGCGGAAAACCTTTTAATTTTTGATAAGTAATACAAAAATATACTTTCAACAAAAATTCCAAATTTGTAACCATTTGTAAAATTTTTTTAAATAGTTTTCCTACTTGAAATGCAGCTAAATTATTAGGTTGTTCCGAAAGTTCTTGCGGTTTTTTGTTTCGGAAGGTTTTTCTAGCTAGGCTTCGATACCAGAGCTGATTCCGGGATATCATTTTGAAGGATTTTGGATGCTCTTTCTGTTTAATAGACTAATCTTTTTTAGAAACAATTTGTTAATTTTTTATAAGGGTCTGAAGCTAGGGTCAAAATCGGCCGATTTTCTTGTTTTGCTTGAAGCTCACAGGGGAAGTGGCGGACAGTTCTTTTAATATTTGCGAATGATAGAACTCATCGAGTACTACAAAAATCATGCCAAGAAATTTCTTAAAAAAATATCCAAATTAAGGTGTAAAGTCGCAAAATTTGTTTGGTTAATGAACGGCTTGGATTACCCAATTCCAGTTTTAAGCCAAATAAACCCGCCAATTGCTCCTATCATATTTCTAGCGCCTGGATAGGGATTTTGTAATTATTTTAAACTGTTACCTAACAAACTGAACACACAAAGAAATAATTAACTACGTTTCTTCAAAATTGTGGTACCAATGCTCAAAAAATTTTGTAACTTTACATCTCAATTTGGATATTTTTTTTAATAAATTTTTTGGCATGGTTTTTGTAGTACTCGATGAGTCCTATCATTCGCAAATATTAAAAGAACTGCCCGCCACTTCCCCTGTGAGCTTCAAGCAAAACAAGAAAATCGGCCGATTTTGACCCTAGCTTCAGACCCTTATAAAAAATTAACAAATTGTTTCTAAAAAAGATTAGTCTATTGAACAGAAAGAGCATCCAAAATCCTTCAAAATGATATCCCGGAATCAGCTCTGGCATCGAAGCCTAGCTAGAAAAACCTTCCGAAACAAAAAACCGCAAGAACTTTCGGAACAACCTAATAGTTAGAAAGGCTCTTAAGATGCTTGCTAAGATATTACTAGGCGTTTCTGGAAGCACAGGAAAATCTGCACGCCTGCCCCCCCCTGCTAATGCATAAGATCCCCAAACTTTTAGCAGCTCTATTTTCAGGTCTACTTTATTAATTCTTGAAAGACGATCCCGGAATTTCACAATTTCGTAGGACCCAGAATTTCGCTGGCACCTCCGCTGACGGGACCGGAACGTTAAGCCGGAAATCCGGAATCTCCACAGGTTGAGATTTTCGCGGCGACTAGCGCGTTGAAGTTTGCTGCCCCCAGGGGTACTGGATTATTAGCGGGGGAAGGGGCTATTTTAGAAAATTGAAAATCCAAACTCTTGGCCGAAAATCAGATCGACATTTTTAAGCATTTTAAAGTGTTACATTTTGTTGCCCCCCCCCCGCTAACAGATCAGTGCCCCTGGTTACATACGACACTGACTGGGTTGGGTTCAGCGGTTTTTGGGATTGGGCCCCCGGGAATGGGATTGGAAATGGTTGAAGGAGGCTGGGGAGGGGAGGTGGATGCTATGAGACGCACCTTATTTCGGGTGACTAGCAGGCCCGGGGTCCCGCAACGGGAAATGGAAACGCGCCACTAGGCGGTTCGCGATTACGCGGCGGTCTTTGGGTTTTTTTGTTTGCAAGGAAATGGATAAAAATAGTCAAAAGCTAAGTCAGGAGTTCGTATTTAAAAATTAAAGAATTCTATCATAGACCGGCCACAGTTAGGCCTCAAAATCGAAAAAGAGAAAAAATTCTAGCATCTAAACAGTGTATTTTTATACGGTTTTCACTAGCTTTTGAAAGCTAGAAAATGACGAAAAATCTCTAAGAATCTTTGAAAATAAACAGAAATTTCGAATTTATATTTTTGCGCGTTTTCTAGATGTAAAATGCCGGTACAGGATTATGAAGGAAAGCCCCCTAGGCCCGCGAAAAGTCCAGAACCGCAAAATCTAGGGAGATTATCTATCGAATTTGTATAGCTTTAAAAGTAAAACTCTCAATGATCAAAAATCTCTACTTTTTTGGAGTCACTTCCATTTTCGTGGCCGGCTTTCCGGAGACAAATGTTTTGGGGTCGGCGGGACACAAGAAGTCAACCCCCGGGGGTGTCCCATTTCCTAGAGAGGCACCTGGTGCAGAGATGTGTCCCCTCCGGAATTTCCCGTAGAGAATTGATTCCGCAACCGCCGGCTAGACCCCGTAAATAGCCGACGAGTACGGGGGGATACTTGAGACGGTCGAGCAAGAGGGTATTGCTAGGTTGCCGAAGCCGAGCCTCGCTAATTAACAGAAGCGTGAAAAAGAGCAAAAAAATTCCTAGAAGGAAGCGAAAAGGTTAAAAGGCGATTAAATTGGAATGTTGAACTATAAATACGGTTTTGAGAGCTAAAGTTCACCCCCCGGATAATGCAAAAGCACCAAAAGCACTAAAGCCCGAAATATTCCGTTATTTTTTAGCTTTTTCTAAAGGCTTTTAAAAAGCCCTAAATAAATAAAATATTCTTTAAATGTTAATCTTTGTATGCACCTAAATTCCAGACCAAAATTTGGATCATTTCAGCGTAACTTGAGCCAAATTAAACAATTTTCAAGTAGTGGCTGCGCATGACAATGCGAGAATTTTGAAAAGACCATTCAGAAACTAGAAAGCGTCAAAAACACGCGGAAACAGATGACGCTTACCGGTTCCGGACGTACACCCAGAGGACGACGAAATTCGCGAGTGTGATGTGGACAGCCAACAAGATCTCGGCTGTCGAATAGAGGAGGAGAAAAGGCGGCATGCCTAAAATTAGGTTTATATCGAGAAATAGACAATAAAATATAGAATTCAGCTTAAAATCAATAAAGATCTAAATTTTTTTCTGCCTGTTCCTAAGAGTAAAAACGTTACAAATATTTATTAGAAAATCCAGAAGTCGATCAAGATGTCAAAAATCTAATTTCAAAATTTTTCAGATAGTTTTCCCACTTGAAATATTGTTTGAATTTTGGTAAAACACTAACTATTAGGCTGTTTCGATAGGAAATACGACGAAAAAAATAATTTTAATGGAGCAATATATATTGGAAATTAAGTTTACAAATGTATCAGAGAAAAGTTTAAAATCTAGCTGTATAACCTGAAAAATCCGAAAAACAGTACATAAAACCACAAGAAGAATTTAGCGCTGTTTAGAAAATGGGCGCTTTCGCACGGCAGGCCAGCTGGGGACCCGAAAATTAGCTTGTTTTCCTGTAACCGCCGCACCTTTTATAATTAGTTAGTGCGTTCGAGAACCGTCGAACGTTTTTTAGCCCCCCGATGAAGTGCCAATTATGGTGGTGGCACAAAGAAAATAAGAAATGATGGGAATTGCCGGGTGTAGAAGTGATCATTTTCGGAGGTTTAGATAAAGGTTAAAGAGGCGGAAATTTCGCGGTTTTCCGGTCTAAAAACAAGCATAACGCGAAAAGTATGTGGGAGTGTAGTGGAAAACAATTTTTTTGAGTGGGCTGTTTTTTTGATGATTTTTAGGTCCGGGTTCATTGCTGGTGACCAATTTTAGCGTGGATTTTCGTACGAAATTAATAGAAAATAAATGAAAAATAAGACGAAGACCGAAATTCGGTTCTTTGGCATTATCGGGGGGGGGAGATTTTTCTATGAAACCGGAAACCCTTAGTAATGTAATGCTAAGTATTTTTATAGTGTTTTTGGGAAAATTTAACTATATTTCAAGTGGAAAGACTATCCAAAAAAAATAAGAAAAATTTTGAAAATTCAAATTTTTGGTCGAAAAATCCATTTCTTCTATTATTTTTTCATCGAAGTTTGTCAAGTTTGTAAGCATAAAAATAGTAAAAAAAAATAACTTAGAGTCACTTTCTCTACTGAACTAGAAAAATTGGGGTCTAAACAAAATGGTGGTATCCTAAATAAGAAAAATGAGTTCCATGACCCGGCTGACGATGCCCATTTTTTAGGCTTCAATGGCTGATAGAAATTGAAAGAGGTAGCCGGGCGAGAGGACTTAATTTTGGGCGGAAATTGAGGTGGTGGTCCATTCCTTGGGGCCATGGGGCGGGGCCCTAACTGGGTCCTCATGGGGGCAGGGCAGCAGAAGAAGCATCGCATGGGGTCAGCCCCTGGTGAATTCACGTATGGATGGAAATGGCAGGGGGTGGAAGCGGAATTTAGCGGGGTCAAATGAAAGGAAAATGGGATCTGGACCATTCAGGCTTTGGTCAAGATAAAGTTGCGCCGGGTTTTTTGGGGAAAAATGACTCATTTCGGCGCTGGCCGCCGGAAGTCGAAAAATTAGAGCGGACGGTACTTTTCTATTATGGGTGGATATCGGGCAATAAAATCAGCGCTATTACATATAAACATTACCATTTTGTTGTAAAAACACACGACAGTGCCGAATTTTAACCAAAATTTGCGATTTAAAAATTTTATAGAGTTTTTAGATTGTCTTTCCACTTGAAATAGTTTTATTTTTCCAAAAAAACGATTAACAAAACTTACTATAACTAGGTAACAACTTTAGAAATTTTCATCAGAACAAACAAAAAAAATACAGTTTTCGCCGCAAAAATTGCCGATTTTCGCGCAAAATTTCCGATTTTCAAGGTTTTATGCTTTTCGATTATCTTTCGACTTTCAATATAGTTAAATTTTACTAAAAACACGTTTAAAACGCTTCCTATTGATATACAGACTTATAGGAAAAACTAAAACACGGCGCAGACAGACTGTTTAAAACTTTTTACTACAGTTTTTAACCCATTTTCGGACGAAAACATACAACCAGAAAATCGACCTCAAGAAGTCTAACCCTAATTCCCAAAAACATCAGGTCCAAAAGCCTAAAAGATGTCTGAAAAGGGCATCCGGGGGGGTCGACCAGACGGGCCGGGGAGCCCCCTCGAAAGGTAGGTAAACGTTTGACCGCTAGGGCCCCCCGACAGCCTCTCTAATGAAGTTAATTCGGGGACAAACAAGGTCACCGGCGCCGCTCAGCGCTGCGCCACATTCCCTTTTTTGTTGGTCACTCTAAACCTGCGCAGGGTTTTTGGACATGGGACAAGGGACTCATTCTTGGAGCTCGTTCTCAGAGATACAAAAATCAGAAATTAATAGCGCTACAAAACTGAAGGATAGGATAGAGAATACAAAAAAAACTCGAAAAGAACAAAGAAGAAGAAGCGAGAAAAATAAAGAAATATATTTTTATTAGAGAGAAAACGCAACTCCATCTGTGCTGGTGTGTTAGCGGGGGGCTTTATTCAGCCTAACCTCTATTTGGAATCAAAAAAGGCTATTTTTATAGGGGGAAACGCCAAAATCTCGACAAACGAAATGCCGACAACTACAAGAACAACAGGCCAAAATACCGACAGGCAAAATAACGACAAGTTGCATTCATTTTGTAGCGTTTTTTAGTAGTTTTCCATCACTCAAAAGACAAACATTTTTAAAAGGCAAAAAAAGATATTTTCACGCTTTAATGCAATTTTGACAAAATATAAGCGTTCTAACGTTTGTAAGCATGAGCAAAATATGGGACTAAAGGATTAAAGTTACGCCCAAACCCCCCCGCTAAGAAACCAGCGCCAGAAATGCATGGACAGACAGAGCTGCAAACCTAAAGTACAAGGCAGATACTACCAAATTAGCCAAAAAAAAAGAAAGCTAAAAGCGCAAGGAGGAAGAAAAAAAAGATGAAAACGAAAAATAAATAAAACCCGGTGTGTTTTGTGGTCGCATCCATACGCCCGATATTGCACTTGCTCCGCACCCGCGCCGTGCTCTTCGAGGGGGGAAAATGAGAAAAAATGGGTGAGGTTTCAGCTATGAGGGTCAGAAGCAAGAGGTTTGGAGACATAATTGCAAGGTATATTCGAAATGAGATTTAGATTTTCGGGCTTTTTTTTTGATGACCTAGGCATTAAGCCTTCGGCGCTAAATGGATTTTGCGGGCTCGCGAAAGGTGGTAGCCCACGTACTGACGTAAAAAGAAGTAAACGGAAGCGGAAGTTTTAACGCTTTTTGCTACGTGCTAATTGCGATACGAAAAAAGTTTTTGATGAAGATCAGAAGTTAGGTTCTTTGGCATTGACGGGGGAGGGTTAATTTTTCCCTGAAAGTCCAGAAATACCTAGCAAAGAAATAGTGAGTATTTTAATAGCTTTTTTAGTCAATTTAGCTGGATATGTAAATTTAAGTCAAAAACTCTTTAAAAAAACTTCGAAGTTTCGAAATTTTTGTCAAAAATCGCCCATTTTGAGTCGAAAAACTAGATTTTTATATTTTTTGGGTGAAAATTTGTAAAGTTTATGCGTTTAGGTATAGTAAAAGTAAGTAAATAACTGAATAAAGGCGGTTAATTCCCCTACTTTTAATCCCCCCGCAAACAGACTAGAACCCAAGCGACGTTCCCTTCAAAAACCCAGAAAAATCTTCTGCCTGTGTATATGAGAAGTGTCCATGTCGGTGTCGGGGGTTGTTGGATGGCCGAGTAGAGGGCGGAGGGCCACCGCTTCTCCTCGAAATTCAATGTAAACAAGGGGCCCAATGGGGCCCTGGGAACTTGGCCCCGGCAATACCAACCCGAACCAGTCGCTGTCGAGGAGTGGGACCCCGGGATTTATTTTCAGATCGCTAAATTTGGGGAACAGGGAAAGTTGTCAGGTTTCCGGAGAGTTGGGGTTTTTTTTGGGTGTTTCTTCATGTTAAACTAAGGCAATATCCAAAAATACAATTGTCAAAATCGTGCATAGGAGTGCTACGTTGCGATTTTCGTTAGTTTTAGGGCAGGGGAGGTGGTAAGCTGTAATTGTCCATTTTAGGAGGTTTTTAAAGGGGCTGTTTTGCAAGAGAACCACAAAAATCTAGCGATAGAAGGGTGCAGAGGAGCGCTGCGTTTTCAAAAACGACTACGAGGCGACACCCTGGACGCTTTCACCCCTGCTCCTGTTACCTTTTGAAGATCCAATTTTCCTCTCTAAAAAAAGGAAAAAGGCTTTTGAAATGTAGCATTTTGCCATAGAAATTTTATAAATTGAATTTAATTCATGAATCAGATGAGAAAATCGAGTACGAGGCGCTACGCTGCACATTTAGAGTCGATGCACGGGTTACTTGCTTGCCTTGGATTTGATTCTCGACTTTGGCGCGTTATCCATCCCTTAAAAAGTATATTTTTAGCTTATTTTACAAAATTTACTGAAGAACATTGCATTTTGAATGGTTTTAAAAGACAAAGAAAACGTTAAGCACCTCAAAACGGGCTCGAATCATCCTCGGAACGTTCCGCCCCCGTTCCACCATCCCCCCTCCTCAAATGGTCACGCCACCAAACGGATATCCGCCCCAGTGGGCTGATGGCCACTACTTTATTCCACAAATCGCACACAGACTACACGAGATTAATTCAGTCAAATAAATATCGCGCATAAAATTCGGGGCGGATTATACATTCTGCCGGTGCACCTTCAGCGCCTGCATGATGGCCGCGAGATCGAGGTGGAATCTGGAAATTAACGTACTGTGCTGCTAGCGCGGGGACTATATAGTTTTTTTTCAGCGTTTATATTGGACTTTTATCATGTTTTTAGTGTTTTTGATTACTTAGACGTCATAAAAACGATATACAAATTTGCTAAAATACCTAGCTTACAAAAATCTATCATGGTTTATTAGCTTTTTTAGTTTTTATAGGGGTTTTTCGAAGTTTTTGACTGCTAAAGTCGTAAAAACATTTTTACAAAGTCCAAAAACGTGAAATTTTTGACGATTTTCATCCATTTTTGACAAAAATCCCAGAATTTTAACCATTCCTTCAAGAACAAACTGAAAACCCGCACAAAAAGCTAGAAAACGGTGTGTATCTCGTTATTGTAGCCCCAGGGGCGATAGAAAAACTTGCCACCCCCCGCTAGCAGTCTAGTACCTTTCAAAAGCCGGTGAAACGTCCTCGGCCTTCTTTATGACGTTGACGGACTGCGTCAACGGGTCGTAGATCACACCGAAGGAGCGTTTCATCGAGGAGGCGTATTCGCTAAAATTCCGGGTTCGAAAGCGCGCTAATGCATACCGTAGTTTTACGAGGGCATCTTGTAGGCTGGTGGCTACAAAATAGAGGGGTTGATAGTCGCTGTCTTCATATGTCTGCATGGCGGTCACGCGGGGCTCGAAATCTTGGTGATCGGGCACGTCGGAGCAGGCGTGCTGTAGATGTACATTTTTTAAATTTACGCTTTATTAATGGTAGGCCGAAGGTATCTTTATGAATGGTACGCCATATAGCGTTAAATCACCTACCATAAGCTCGCCATACGCCGATAGAAGCCCGGCGCCGATCGCTTTCAGCTTCCCGTCCTCCCGGCAGAGCCCGAATTCGATGATGAACCAGTAGACCTGAATTTTTATAAGTTTTAAAAACGACTATTTTATTTAGCAAAGCGTAAAGAGGAGCCTACCGTAGCTAACTTCTCAATCTGATCGTCGGTTGCGCCAAGCGACATCAGCCCGATATCCTGGCTCATCTGTGCGATCAGCGGGTCGGCAAACATTGGCACATGACCAAGGAGTTCTAAAAAAGTATACTGTTTTTACCGAATATATTTTCAAAATTTACAATTTATATATTGTTATTGCACTCGGAACTTTACAAATTTATATTAGAAAACCAGGGTTGAAAAGCCGCTTCGCGACTTTCCAACCCTGGCCCCGTCTGAGACCAATGAAATTGTAAACTTTGCATAATTCCGCCTCAATCAACTGCCAAAAATGGAAAATTCGGTAAGAGTTTACTTTACCCCCCCCACAGCCGAAGGGTCTCAAAGTTGTCGGTATTTCCGCTTATTTTGTCGGGATTTTTGCAACGCCATTCGATAGAGCGTCGAAAAATATACTAAGAGTTTTAATTTGAGCCTACAATAATGTAAAATAAAAAAGTTATAGCCAAAACCTTCCGGCTGGGGGGGTAAAGTAAACCGTAGCCGAAAATTTTCCCGGTATCCCTTTATATAGGCTGCTTCTACTACCGGTGGATGCTAATGGCTTCCTAACAAAGAGGGTGTCCGAAAATTTCACAAAAACCTAATTTTAATATCGAAAATAGCTTTTTTTGATGATTCCAATAAGTGTGCAGTCATCGCAAGGCCATTACGCACCTAATGAAGCATCATACCCTTAAACCTCGCTCCTATTGAGTTATCCTCCGGACATACAGACGGAAGTTGCATGCAAATCGACACACACACACAGACACTATTTTTTTTATATATAGTAGGATAACAAATATAGATTTTTTGCCCAACAATGCAAGATTTGCGACCAAGATTTGCATTTTCAAAAAAACCTCAAGGTTTCTTAAGAGATTTTTCCACTTGAAATATCCTACCTTATATAATTTGGTCGCGTATCTTTGTCTGTGTGTGTGTGTCCGGCCGTCACTTTCGAGGCCCGATTTGAGGGCCTTCCCTTGCATAAAATGCCTCAATTCTCCGTCACCCGGGGGAATCGACCCTCCTCTTTCCGATGGCGCTTTCAGAATCCCGATAAAATACAAGTTAACAAAGTTAAAGCCGGTTTTATTGATTTTTGGGGGTCCGGGAGGGCTAATTTACATAATGTGAAAAAATACAAATTTCCTCATTCTTGCCAGTTGCACTCGCGAGTTTGGTCGTCTCTTTGGATCTGCCTCTCGATGCCTTTCCTTCCCCTGCCCCGGGCAGTCCTCTTGAGGCATAAAACGGGTGTTTGGCGCGTGCTACCAAGCATTGCATGGTGTAGTGGTTAGCGTTTCGCCGTGCTAATCTAACCATCGGAGGTTCGATCCTCGGACATTTTAGTTGTTTTGCTTTTTGCTCGGAAAGCGCGTTTCGGAGTGGATTTCCGTGTAAGGACGTTATTATGAAGTTAGTCACTCAAGCCGCAGCCTATAGAATGAAGCTACCCGCTCAAGCATGCGCTGCAGGCCAAGGAATCAAGCTAACTGCTCAAGCTAGCGCCGCAGGCTTTATAACGAAGCCAGCCGCTCAAGCATGCGCTGCAGGCCAAGGAATCAAGCTAACTGCTCAAGCTAGCGCCGCAGGCTTTATAACGAAGCCAGCCGCTCAAGCTAGCGCCGCAGGCTTTATAACGAAGCCAGCCACTCAAGCTAGCGCCGCAGGCTTCAGAACGAAGCCAGCCGCTCAAGCTAGCGCCGCAGGCTTTAGAACGAAGCCAGCCGCTCAAGCTAGCGCCGCAAGCTTCAGAACGAAGCCAGCCGCTCAAGCTAGCGCCGCAGGCTTTAGAACGAAGCCAGCCGCTCAAGCTAGCGCCGCAGGCTTTAGAACGAAGCCAGCCGCTCAAGCTAGCGCCGCAGGCTTTAGAACGAAGCCAGCGGCTCAAGGTAGCGCCGCAGGCTTCAGAACGAAGCCAGCCGCTCAAGCTAGCGCCGCAGGCTTTAGAACGAAGCCAGCCGCTCAAGCTAGCGCCGCAGGCTTCAGAACGAGGCCAGCCGCTCAAGCTAGCGCCGCAGGCTTCAGAACGAAGCCAGCCGCTCGAGCTAGCGCCGCAGGCTTTAGAACGAAGCCAGCCGCTCAAGCTAGCGCCGCAGGCTTCAGAACGAAGCCAGCCGCTCAAGCTAGCGCCGCAGGCTGAGAACGAAGCCAGCCGCTCAAGCTAGCGCCGCAAGCTTCAGAACGAAGCCAGCCGCTCAAGCTAGCGCCGCAGGCTTTAGAACGAAGCCAGCTGCTCAAGCTAGCGCCGCAGGCTTTAGAACGAAGCCAGCCGCTCAAGCTAGCGCCGCAGGCTTTAGAACGAAGCCAGCGGCTCAAGGTAGCGCCGCAGGCTTCAGAACGAAGCCAGCCGCTCAAGCTAGCGCCGCAGGCTTTAGAACGAAGCCAGCCGCTCAAGCTAGCGCCGCAGGCTTCAGAACGAAGCCAGCCGCTCAAGCTAGCGCCGCAGGCTTCAGAACGAAGCCAGCCGCTCGAGCTAGCGCCGCAGGCTTTAGAACGAAGCCAGCCGCTCAAGCTAGCGCCGCAGGCTTTCAGAACGAAGCCAGCCGCTCAAGCTAGCGCCGCAGGCTTCAGAACGAAGCCAGCCGCTCGAGCTAGCGCCGCAGGCTTTAGAACGAAGCCAGCCGCTCAAGCTAGCGCCGCAGGCTTTAGAACGAAGCCAGCCGCTCAAGCTGTCGCCAAAGGCCAAAAAAGGAGGCTAATCCCTCAAGCTTGGGCCGCAGGATGAGGTAGCGACCTAGCCGATCAAACATGCGCCGCAGGCCTAATAACGAGACTAACAGTTCAATCTTGCGCCGCATGCCAATACAAAGAGCTTTGCATGGGAGATGGGTTTTTCTTTCTTCAGGATAACTGTCTGTGGAAGGGTGCTCGATTCATAAGGCCTAGACGGGGTCCAGCGGGGGAGAGTCGCGAAGCGGCTCCTCCCCCGCTGGTCGTTAAATTATACCAAAAACACTATTAAATATCGTATTATTACGTTCTTATGGTTCTACGTGAGTTTGCCGCATTTTTCTATGAGCTTCCGGGATTTTCCCTACCATGGACAAGATCCGGTTCGGGGCTATGATGTGGCGAGCCGCTATGCCGGAGGTAGGTCGTTGTCTACAAATGTAATAAATGAAATAACCCTGTATAACAGGTACAAAGTAGCTTAACGTACCTGAACACAACAAGTACAGAATGATACTACTTACCTGGAAAACGCGAAAAGCCAGGCTGGCCAAGAAGTCGCGCGCAGAGAGCAGTCCGCTGCACGGCCGCAGCATGAAACCGGTTTTCTCTAAAGTACACCTTCCGTGTCTTACTGTGTTTTCGAGGGGAGGGGGGCTTTATTAGCAGCAGAATCTCGATAATAGAGAATATGGAATATTTTTATCGTGTTTTTAGTACTTTTTGACTTCTAGAACCATGTGAAAAAGCTTTAAACAGAAATATTTTCATTTTTGAGAATTTATAAAGTTTTTCTATTAAAAAAATACATTCTATTGAACTAATTATTGATTGGTATTTAATGGGCGCTATAGAACAGATAGAAAAAAATCACTCGCGACCCCCCCCCGCTAACAAACCAGCACCTGGGCCGCTAATCTCGCGTGGAGAAGCGGATTTTTTCTACCGAAACCCACTTCTTAGGTACCGATTGACATCGGCAATCTGCGGAATGGTACTCGGGGACAGGACACCCTCCTCCTCCAGCATCTTCAAGTTCTGACGGTAAGCCTGGCAGGTGTGGCTCTCATGTAAGGTGCGCAGCTTCTCGTAGACCGCCTGCCAGGTGGCGTGTTCTTCTTCTGAATCGAAAAACTTTTGAAAAAGCGCCAAGATCCAACTCGTATAGTCGACGCGCGGGATCGGGTCGCCGTGGCGGAAGTTGATGGCCTGGTCGTTGAGGAACTGGCGACGGGCGATGTACTTTTCATCGCCATGGCCCTAAAGAAGCATTTACAACACTTAATTTGCAACCAAAAATAGAAAACAAGCTCTAAATAAGTAGAAAAAGCTCATTTTCCGCGATAAAAAATCTATAAAAACTACCGAGCAAAAGAAAAATGTTTTTCTGAGAGTTCCACTCAACAACTTATAACGTTTCGTAGGTAAGTCAGTTTTCGTAGTCAATTTAACCCAAAAAATTAAATTCAACGCTCGAAAACCATTAAATAAAGAGAACACAGGTAGATAAGTCCATAAAAGCAAAATTTCAACGCAGAAAGGGTCTCAAAGGCATCAGGCTGAATAAGAAAACGTTTTCCCAAAATTTCAAAGTCCGAAACGTTTCAGAGCAGTTTTTTGTACTCAATTTAACGCCAAAATCTTTGAAAAAAAAACTTTAAATCATTACCGGATGCCTTGGGTCAGTGGTGGGCTCGTACTTGGTGACGCACGTCGAGCAGTGGTCCAGCTCGGAGATGTGGCGAGGGAACCAGGGCACTAAAAATACGCTATAAACTCCAGATTTAACAGCTTACCCTCCTCCTTCTTGTCCGACTTGTAGAGTGAGATGTTCTTCAGCTCGGCGTGCTGCGTGGTCAGCTCGGACGCGGCAGCGAGGAGCTGCTCCTTTGTGGCCGCGCATTCGACGAGGATATCCCAATCTAAAAGTTTAACTATACTTTAGAAGCTCTAATAAATTGTGGTTTATACTCTTGCGCACCTCCTGGCACCGGTTTCCCTCGACGCTGATGCGGGCGCGTCTCCAGGTGCTCAATGGAGAGCCCGTTTTTCGTGAACGCGTCCAGGATGGTGCGCATGAAGCACGGGATTTCGCCTAAAAGCAAGTGAAAATTAATAAAATCGTAATTAGAAAGAAAGCGCAGATGCGCAACTTGCCCGAGCTGGTCAGCAGCGCCGCAAAATGGATGCGGCTTTTCCCATCGGCCGCCCAGATCAGCTCGACGCCCTCGTCGTTGAGGCGTTGTAAAATCTAGAAAATAGCAAATAGAGTAAAATCGGCCTCCGTGAGCGTGTAGTTTGTAGTCAAACTTTTTCGAAGGTCTGGACTGTTAGCTTACCTAGCCCGTGGCATCGCAATAAAGGATTATTCGCCAGTTAGGTAGCTTTTTACCCCGTTTTTAAACATAGAAAATTCTACAAAATTCTCAAAATTGGCGAAAATAATTAAATTTTAGTCGAAAATGGATAAATACTTCAAAAATTCCGAAATTCCGCAACTTTGTCATGAGTTTTGGGCATCAAAACTACTAAAAACGTTCTAAAACCCCATAAAAGGCTAAAATTGCCCCCCCTGCTAACAACCCAGTACCCCTTCGAATTCGCGCAAAATCTAACACAACACCTGATCGTAAGTAAGTGAGCGCATCTCCCCACTTCGATGCTGAAGTATCTACAGGCCTTCGAGTGATTACGCTTTTTGAAATGCCCTACACCCGTCTTTTATATCAACCCGGGGCTCATTTTCTCGCGCTCCGAGCAAGAGGTGATGATTTTTCTGCGCGGCGGGCCCGCCCGGAAGAGATAAAACGGGTTATCACCGCATGGTCTCGCCGTGTTTTTTTCTCCAGAAATTCTTGTCGGCTATGCGGTAGACATTTTGCTATGCAGTGCGAAAAGTTTGGCTGGGGGGGGACCGGGTTCAATGGGTTTTGATAGGCGACAAAAAACGCGATAGATGAAGGATGGCACGTCCTTTTGGGCCGGGGAATGGGGTACACATAGGATAACGGGGGGAATAACGGGGGGCACTCAAACTTTTTATATGATAAAAGTATTTTTAAATATGCTTTTTTCGGGCTGTAAAAAAACTCATAGTATATTTTTCGGTCCTCTATCGAATGGCATTTTCAAAATATCGAAAATATTCAAAACGCCGAAAATTCCCCCCCCCCCTGTTATCCTATGTGCTGCCCATAGTTTTCGAAAATAGTTTTTAGGCTATAAAACTTTTATAATACATTTTTTCGCGTTGTAAAAAAATCTCTTAGTATATTTTTTGATGTTCTATCGATTCGCGTTTTCAAAATATCGAAAATCTCAAGAATTTGGCTTCCCCCCCCCCGTTATCCTATGTTCTGCCCATGGATTTTGATCAATTCTTGTTTATTCGATAAAAAATTTGATTTACATTATTTTGGGCTGAAATTAATTTTCCTAGGGCAGTTTTCGACGCTTTATCGAATGACGTTTTCAAAATACCGAAAATTTCGAAAATTTCGAAAATTTGACTTTCCCTCCCCCCGTTATCCTATGTGCTGCCCATAGATTTTCCTCAATTTTTGTTTATTCAATAAAAAATTTCCATTACATTATTTTGGGCTCAAATTAATTCTCTTAGTATATTTTTCGCCCCTCTATCGAATGACGGGAATGGCGTGGAAATCTGGAAACTGGGAGATTCCACCGTACCTGCGCACCCCGGGGGATGCCCCCTTCAAGTTGTTGGCGTCTTTTGATGGTATTTCCCCGCTTCATGCCTTCAATGGCGTAGCGCTCGATGCTGGCCTGGTGGACCAGTGAGTAACGGCGCGACATTTTCGGCGGAATCGCGCGAGGTGGGCGCTCGTCTAAAATCGACTTTACTTTTTGGCAAAACCAGGCTTTTACTGTATTAGAACCCTAAGCTTTTCGTTTTTTTCTGAAACGGTTCTTTAGCATTATCACGGGGGGTCAGACTAAAATATAACTATATTTCAACAAAAAAAGAACCTTTTAGATGGCAAAACTAGCAAAAGTTTTCAAAATGTCGAAATTTTCGTCAAAAACAGGCGATTTTTGTTCGGAAAATCGATGCTTTGTGTATTTTTTTACTAAAAACTTGTCAAGTTTGTCCATTTCCTTTTGCTAGAACCCTAAAACTTGCCCCTCTCCTCATCTTCGGTGATGGTCAGGATCGTGTTTCCGCGTTGAAGCATTGCGCTGCTAAAATAAGGAATGAATTTTCGAAAACCCTAAAACGGCTATTTTATCCGTTTCTAGCTAGATAATGCTCCTTTCAACGAGCGATGCTTGTTGCGAATTTTTTACTTTTCTAAATCTCGAAAGTATCGTTTTGTTGAAAAGCAAATTCTGTAACTTCTTAGGAATAAGAAATTATACTATTTATACTTTAATTTATTTAGCGTCTTCTCGCTACATGACGCTCCTTTCAACGAGCTTTTGGTTATTTGACACTGGATTCTAAAGCTTGAAAGTCTTTTTTTAGTTCGAAAAAAGATACATTTATACAACCTCTTAGGATACGTTTAATAAAAATAATGAAAAGTATCCCTAGCAGGTCGCGTGTGTCTAAAGAACTGGGGTGTACACGCAGATTTGTGGCCGATTTGGGCATCGGGCGCTACCGGCGCTGCGTCCCAATTGCTTCCTGCATTGCGGGACCCACCGCGAAAAAGTGGCGAGGCCCACTTTTCATGTCTGTCGCTGCTCAACCCGGAATGTAATCGCCCCCTAAAATGTCCAATATCTAAAAGGAGGTAGAATATATACGAAAAGGTCGGGTGATGAAGCTTGCGTTTATTGAAGGGCGCAAAATAGCAAAAATTAAGTCTTTTTAGAGGTCTCTAAAAGTCAGGAGCCTCACTTCAGGTTTCTCGGAACGTTTTCTCATAAATTTTAGTTAAATCCGGGTATAAAACAGCGTGAAACGTCGAGAATGAACTTTGTTTCTCTTGAGAGTTTCCTTGGGAGACTTGAGCGTTCTTGAGTGTTTCCAAGGAGTGGGACGAACTTCTTCCCCCCCTAGCATCCAATTTGTTTCGAATCTAAATAGAACAACTGCTTTTACATTTTTTACGACAAATCTTTACAAATTTGTATTAACAAATACTAAAAAAAATAGATTTTTCGAAGAGTGGCGATGTCGAACCAAACTAATTTTTTTAAAAACATTTTTCTAATGTTTTTAGATTTTGTTTTCTAAATTTAAACTTATGGAACTAGACTCCATTATGTAGTTCGCCACGAGCTTTTGTAATAATGTTTTCCAATTTTGGTATTAAACGCCGTAAAACCATTTAATTTCTCTTTTTCGGTGCTAACCCTGATCTTTGTCATTCCCGGGTACAGTAGCACCTTTTCGTCATTAAACACAGCAATGGGAGAACACCGATCTATCCATCTTTTCAAGCATCCCCCTGTCATTTCCGGGTTCCACTCGCGCAGTTTGTGCCCTGGTAGCCTAGCCTAGCCGGCTGACCTCCCCTCGAAGAGTCCAAGGGCAAATAGAACAGACGCGCGGCTTTGAAAGTTATCAAAAAACAAACAAGACGCCAGATTTACGGGTTGCCGCCGGTTGGCAAGCGGCCAACCCCCGTATCAGCCCCGAAATGACCCTGGCGGTCACGAAAAACACCCCGACAGCCGCCCGGCACTTAACATTCACTTTTGACATACGAAGTTGCCCACGTTCTTATCTTTTTTTTTCAGCGCGCGCCGGCCTGCGGAATGGTGGTGTACGAGCCGGCGTCGTTGTTCGTAAAGCAGCCCAGATGGGACTATCGACTTCGCGGCGTGTTCTTCGCCATTTGGCTGCTGTTTTCCGCGCTGGTCGTGTTTTTGTTGGGTAAGTCTATTTTTGGTTCTTTTGCAAAGTCGGGTAAACAGACTTTCTCCTTACGATCCAAATTTGTCCAATACAATTAGGGGCGGCGTTTCTGCATTGTTTTACGATTCCTAAGCATAAAAAGTTCAAGACGTTTTTTGTTTGTTCGGTAAATTGGCCAATTTTATACCAAATGCTTTCTAAAGAGTTTCTTCGCAATTCGTACTAATCAAACGGCAAACCGTATACTTTTTTAATAGCACAAAAAACACGATTTTTCGAGCAAAAGTGGCAAATTCCCGATCAAATATCGATTTTAAACAATTTTCGAGGTTTTCTGAATAGCTTTCCCACATGCACTATAGTTAATTTTTGCTAAAAACAATAGAAATATCTGTTAGGATTTTAGTAGGCGTAAAACTTATTTTTATCTAAATTTCCCCTTCTGCAGGCTCGCCGATCATCCCCCTCATCTTCTTCGCCCCGCGGCTGCATCGTCGTGTGGCCGATGGAATTGTTGGGCTGTGGCTGCAATTGCCTTGTGTGCTGCTTCGACATCTTTATGGATTTCAAGCACACGTCGTTGGCCATCGGATTCGTCATGATCGACCGGCGCTCATCATTATGAACCATCGGACAAGGTTGGTACTTTGTTTTTTTATACTTGTCTTTACATCGTTTTGTTTGTTATGACCTGGTTACCCGGTCGATTGTTATCTTCCGCTGTGTTTTTCGACACAATTGTTATTTATTCTTATTCTCTGCAGCCAGGCGATAATTTTGGTGTATTTTACAGTCCTGTAGCGGAAAGACGAGGCTAGGTACAAAGGTCGATACGAGTGCCGGTTGATTCCAATTTTTTATCTCGGCCCCTCTTCGGGCTACACGGCCATAAATCATACTAAAATGGTCGCCTTGGTCTAATTAGCCAGATTAGAGTACATTTGAGTCGAAATAGACAAGGAAAGATGAAAAAAATTTGAAGTGGGAGGTTAGAATCTTGCCATGGGCGTAAAGAGCGTTTATAGCCCCGTGCTTAGCCGCTATATCCTAATTTTTAGCCTTGATTGGATGTACTTCTGGCCGGCTCTCTCCCAAATGGACCCTCGACTCCTCTGCACCGAGAAGATCACGATGAAAAGTGTGCTCCGTTGGGTGCCGGGCGCCGGCTGGGCCATGCAGGTCGCCTCCTACATCTTTTTGCGCCGCCAGTTCGCCCAAGACGAGGCGACGATGGCCCGGCATTTACGCTATTATAGCAGTATCGGGAATCCTTACCAGGTGTGTGATTATAAATTCCTGACGTAATTCGTTAAACTTTGATCTCCCGATGTGGAATTCGGGAGGAAGTGCTAATTTTCGCAAAGCGGGTGTGTAGGGTCTCAATAATGAACTATATGGTTTTTTATGCCGTTTTGAGCCACAGAAACTCTATGAATAAGTTATTAAATTTTTTCGATATTTTTCTGTTTACTCGAAAATGCATGAAAATCGTCAGTGTTTCAACTCCTGGAAAATGTTCTGGCTTTTTAGTAATCAATACACGATAAAAATACACTGTAAAATGCTAAGAACTTTGCCATGTAGTTGGAAGCTAACTCCCCAACCCGCTAACAGCCCAGTACCGAATCCCATTCAGGTGTTAATCTTCCCGGAGGGAACCGATAAGTGCCCAAAAGCAACGGCTCGCAGCAGCTTGTACGCCCAAAAGAATGGCCTCGCTGACTTCAAGGTACTATCCTACACAATGCCCTCTTTACCGTACCCAATTTCAGTACCTCCTGCAACCGCGCGTCACCGGCTTTGTGCACATGATACAAGAGATGCGCCGCTGTGGATATATCGAGTTGGAATCGGGTACTTCGGGACGGGCAGGCTAGCGAAGATCGCCTGGAAACTTATGTACCCTTTACAGCTTCGTGTACGACGTGACGATTGGATTCGGCGATCGGCTGGTGCAAAATGAGCTAGATCTGCTGCGGCACGGCGAGCTAGCCAAGCACGTTCATTTTCGTGTGGAGGAGGTGGCGATCGATCGATTGCCGGCTGACGACGAGGGGTTGAAGGAGTGGCTGATGGGGAGATGGGCAGAGAAGGAGAAAATTTTGAAGAGGTAATTAAAGATAGGGTGTAATAATTATATTATTTTAGTTTCTACGACCGCACCGACAATTCGAAGACGTTCGAGATGCCCGCCGGGGGTCAGGATTGGCCGCTGCAAACGCGCGATGCCATTTTTCAGAACATCCTTGCCGGATGTCTGTCTGTCGGTATGTTTTTTGGTCTGTACGGCTTTCAACCTCTGTCTTTAGTCATCAACGTGTGGGCCCTCGGGTTGTGGCAGTGGCCGGCGCAGCGGCTCTATGTGCTGGTCGTCTGCACACTTTTTGCCTGGATTGGCTATCGGTGAGAAATTTTTTCGGCCTTCTTAAAGCAAGGGTTTTTCACAGTAATGTCACAACAAGTGTTTTAATGATGTTTTTGAAGAATTTAGCTCTATTTCAACTAAGAACGTTTCTAAGCCTTATAAAATGTTAAAAAATTCATTTTTGAGTTGAAAGGTTTTGGCCTGGGTTTTGTTCGAAAAATCGAGCTTATTTTTTGTATTTTAAATGCAATTTTGCAACGTTCAAGTGCTTGTGAGCATAGAAGCGGTTTAGAAGCACACTATCGAGCACAGAAACGTCAAATTTTTTTATTTCATTCCACTTTTCCAGCTACGACGGCTGGGAGCGCATCACTGCCGACAGCTTCAATCCGCCGCCCTAGCCCCCATTCACTGCTGATCTCTTAACCACCCATTTTTTGTTTTGTCATTTCACAACGCGGTACATTTCTGTGTGTTCGAGTTCGTGCGAGATAAACGGATCTTCGGGGGAAGGCTTTTCCTTTTACAAAAAAAAGTAATAGTTTTTGGATGATGGGATTATTTGATGCACTCGCGCTCCTCCTTGTCGAAGACGCCCTCCAGGTTCAGGACGCCTGAATTTGAATAAAAATTAGATTTAAGTTCTTTCGGACTAAAAAGAATTTTCTTTCAAAAATAGCTAAATTCCTTTCAAACTCTTGAAACCTGTGCAAAAGTAGTGAAAAACCAAAAACCCCTACCCATGTCGACCCATTTGTCGGCGGTGACGTTGCCGTTGTGGATGTACTTCTTCGGGATCTTGAACTTGAGCTTCCGGTGGCAGGGCTTCTCGTCTTTGCACTTGTGCCAGATGTAGAACTCCGGGTCGATGGGCGTCAGCTCGTGCGTCGTGCCACTCAACCTGAAGCAGTACAGCTTAGCCTCTTCGCCTAATCCATCCCTACGTGAAGCTCCCATCCGCATCGACAATCTTCTCGTCAAGCGTATCATCCGGATCGGGGCCTAGGGTTTGTTTTTACTTCATTTGTCATGTTTGGTTTAGATGGTAATCTGTAGATGTCCAACAAACTCGCCGGTGTCAAGGTCGACGATGCGCACCTTGGCGTCGGTGGACGGGAGATGGCCGCAGACGAGCTTGCCCTTCACGGCGACGCCTTGCTTCAGAAGGCCCTCGACGATGGAGGGCACCACGGCCACGGTCAACGCCACTAATATCAATGTGCGCATCTGGAAATGAGCTTTTCCGACGTCTTCTACAGGTGAAAGGGCAATTTTAAGGCCAAATCGGTTTGGGTTCGTTCGCGGGTGGATAAACAGAAGATACTTTGATGTTGTTTTAAGTCGCTTTAATTGTTAAAACGTCAAAAACATTCCAAGAGACCCAGCAACGCAAAATTTTTGAGTATTTTCATAAATTTGACCAAAAAAATAATTTGTCGGGGATTTTTAATAAGTTTTTCAGAAAGTTTATGTCGAAAACTGGCGTACAATGCTAGAAAAATGATGTCTATACCATCATAGCGCATGCCGGAATATAAGCCCAAGTTGGTCCCCGGCTAACGCCCCCCCCCCGCTAACGAACCAGCACCCAGAAATCTAGAAAGCTCGGATGTCTGTAATCTTTCTGATATCGGAAATGAGCTTAGGAAATAGCCGGAAAACTTCAGCAGGGCTTCAACCGTCGCACTGCCGAATCCAACGCCCAATGGCCCGCACCTCGGCATTGTTTTGGTTTACGCAACGCACGATTTTTCGTCTACAGTTTATATTGGTGGGCCGGTGGCTCACAGACAGCCGCGGCCCCCTGTCACTAATAAACAAAAGACAGCCCCGGTTGGCGCAACAAGCCGCCTGGGTGACGCTTGGGGGAAAATCGGCTCGTGGAATTAATTTGAGCCTGGGGAATATGGGGAAAAGGTGTGAAATCCTGGTTCTTTCACATTATCTGGGCGGAACCTTAATTTTCTTGCCGGTGAGTCCAGAAATGCCTTGAAACATAATATTATATGTTTTAATACTCTTTTTAGTCAAATTTAACTATTTAAAGTGGAAAACTTCGAACAACTTCAAAAATATGACGTTTTGGCCGGAAATAGGCCATTTTTCGTCAAAAAAAGAATTTTTTTAATTTTCAAGTTTTTATGTTTAGGAAAAGCAAAACAACACAGTTTAGGGACATTCCCTCTATTTCTATTAGAGAAAGCGGATCCTATTAAAAAAATCAGCCCCCGCCCCCCGATAATGCAAAAGCACCCAGCTATCAAGTTTATTTCAAGTTGATTCGGCGCGCCGGGTATATTTTATTTTTAGGGACAAGCCGTTCACACGCTGTATACACGGGTTCTTCGCGGCAAAAGACATGCAAAAAACCTTCGCCGTGGTTCCCATTATTTGCTTACCCGACAAATAGCCCCCTTTTCGTCCAGGGTCATTTGCCGAACAGGGGCCTTTCGTGTCTTTTCACGGCGCTGAATTGATATTCTAGGACAAGATATTGCGTTTTTAGTATATTAAAGTTCAGTAAGGTGTAAAATGCCAAAATAAGTTTGAACTCCGAAATTTAAAATTGATACTGCTATTTTTGTAAAAGTTTAAAAAGTTTAAAATTCGGAATATACCTTTCTGCGCTTCGAAAAAAGGTTGCGCTTATTTTATTATTGTTTCAGGGTAACCCATCGTTCCGCGAGGGCAAAATGTGGCTTCTCGGACTCGGTAAACCATGATTAAACCGAAGCTTCAACGTTTTCTTTAGTTCTGGCTGTCACAACGGCACAAGGCATCTACGGCCCGATCGCAATCTACAACAATTCCGGCCCGCATCCTACTGTATTTTTCTTTTACTTTCCAAGCAAAACCTTATTTTCTAGAAAATCATCTTCGACACTGATGGCGTGGCCGACGACATGAGGGCTTTGACCTTGGCGCTGCGAACGTCAACCGTACAGGTGCGTAGCTTTATCGTCTTTTACATAGTTTTTGTCCAGGTGATCGCCATCACGGCTAGCCATGGAACTATGCAGGGAGACCAGGTCATCGCCAACATCAACCGAGTGCTCAGGGCGAATAATATCACGGTAATTCCATAGTGTACTACTATAGAACGACTTCATACACGATGCGGAATTCTGGGTGCTTTTGCATTATCGGGGGGGCATAATTTTTTTGTGTGCGTCGATATTTTATAGTCGTTTTGATAAAGGATAACTCTATTTCAAGTGAAAAGCTCCCTAAAAACTATAAAATCGAAATTGTGGTCAAAATTGCTCATATTTGGCCGAAAAACCTTTATTTTTTGTATTTATTCCTAAAAATTTGTAAAGTTTTTGGGTTTATGAAAGGTAAAAACACTATAGAAACGCTTCCACTATTTCTATTAGCAAAAATTGCGGGCTAATGAAAAAGCCCCCCCCCCCCCCGATAATGCGGAAGAACGCGAAATTTGGATTTTAAAAAGCAGCGTATTGAAAATCCGTAAAATGAACATTTACGTCATAATTACTACAAACGTTTTTAGAATGTTCCCATCTATAAAGGCGCGCGTGGCCCGCTCCTCGTCGACAACTCGGCCAAGGACCCGTATTTCAACGGGCTAGATGGACTTGGCGATCGACCGGATGCTGAGCCGGCGGTGAGCTCTTCTTTTTCTTCTCAGCTTCGTTTTCAGGCTCGGGCCAACGACTCGCAAATCTACGAAAAGAATATCACCGCAGCAGAGGCTTTTGTAACATTAACAAAAGCTCATCAGGATGTGACAATTGTTGCCACGGGTATTTTTTAACTTTATCACTGGACAATCGTTCTATTCGGCTTAAGGATCTCTCACGAACATTGCCCTGGCGCTGAAGCTGGATCCCGACTTTGCGCTGAGGCCCCAGAAGCTCGTCATTATGGGCGGAAATTATCTCGGTTAGCTTTACTTTTTATTTTGGGTTTTTTTCACGTTCTCCGGCTTTTTGAGAGGTAAATTTTTATAGTCTTTTAAGTAAAATTCAAAGGTATTGAAGTGGAAAACGCTTAACATCGAAATTTTGATTTTTTTTTTGGTCGAAAATTATCCGTTTTGTCGGAATCGATATTTTTTATTTTCTCTGAAATGGCGCTTAGAAATGTTTAAAAAGTGTTTAAAAACTACTCTATGTTGGCAAAACGAGATCCGAACGAAAAAGCCCCCCCTCGATAATGCCAAAGCATCTTATTTTAACTTTAGGTATCGGCAACTCCTACTCTGGCCAATCGACCGAATGGAATTTTGCCCTGGATCCGGAAGCGGCATCTATCGTCCTGGCCGAAATGCGCATCCCAGTTACAGTAATCCCCTGGGAAGCGTATTATATCGAGGGGCAAAAGGTGCGTGAACCTTTTATTCGGATGAACCTTTTCTTAGGCTTCTTTTGAGCAAAAAACTTCGACTTTGCACGTAATCGGCAGTTTTTAGTACGCGAAATCTGTCAACTACACAACCCATCTCACCCTTGGCACCCCGTTGGCGAATTTTTTCACGGCCATCACCGAGAAGGGCCGAAAATCGCTGGCTGAAACCGGGAGGTAGTTAATCGCGGCTCTTTCGCATTATCGGGGGGGGGGGGTTTCCGAGAAGTCGAGAAAGATCTAATAATCAATAGCTTAGTGATTTTAGTACAATTTCACTATTACAAGGGTAAAAATAGCCAAAACTTACAAAAATCATCTGAAAATGTAAAATTTTGGTCGAAATTGCTACTTCTGGTAAAAAAAATCAGTATTTTTGCATTTTTAATACATAATTGTTAAGATTTTACGTTTAGGCTTGTTAAAAATTAGTTTAGAAAAGCTTGGAAAACGTCACCCCCGATAATACTAAAGTACCATCAACGAAACCGCTAGCAAAAAGAGCAGAAAAAGTTTAGTGAAATGGCCTACGTCGACGAGATCGCAATGGCTGTTGCGATCAATGAAACCGCGATGGTGACGGATTGCAAAAATTTGCGCGTCCATGTGGAGCTGGCCGGAAAGTATACCAGGAAAGTTTTTTTAGAAAAATTCCATTCCGATCCGTTTCTAGAGGCCAAGTCGTTCCTGATTGGGTGACGAGAAATTTCGTGGAGGATACCGATCAGGTTAGGCTCCTTTTTCGATATTTCTTTTTTTATTTAGGCCACAACTCTGAGCTACATCCGCTTTGTCACAGCCTACAACGCCACGCTGCTAAACGAGTGGATGATTAAGGCTTTTTCTTAAAATGTATTTAAGTTGAAGACGGCAGCTCCAAGAATGAGTCTATGATAAAAACACTTTAAAAAAAATTAAAATGCACAACCACCTCTTTCACCACAGCTAAATTTTACCTTTCCGCCTATACCTAGCTGATAATAAAATAGATGATCACTAAATAATTTTTTAGTGATTTTAGAAGTTTTTCATTGCTATGAAATTATAATTATTAAAATGTTAAAAATGGTTAAAAACTTAAATTTGGACCTTTTTGGGAAATTTTTCGTAAATTTTGACCATAAAGTCATCAAAATGACAGATTTTTATGTGCTTTGTACCTAAAAACGTGTTGAATTCTAGAAAAATTGTGTATATTTTGACCTCTGCGATGACAATTGCATTTATTTGTTCTCCTTGCCTCGACATTTTCCCCCACATTGATTTTCTGCCAAACATGGCAACACTTTTACGGGCCACTCTTTTATGGCCCCGGCTCGCGAGATGGGAGTTAATTTCAAGGTTCTCCGAAATCGAAATCTTATCCTGGGACAGTTCCTTTATTTAGGGAATCACAAATCCGATGTTTAAACAGTCGGATGACCTCCCAGAAAAGAGGGCCCCTTATCTAATCACACCCTCAAGTCGACCCCCCACCCCTTGCCGTGACAATTTATCGTCCTGTTCACGCCCGTGTATTCACACCTCGCCAAATTTTTCGTGTTTTTCGAAAGGGTTTCGAAAATACCGCATAGCTTTAGCTTCATAACATGTTGTCTAAATTTTTTAAACATTTTTTTGCTGAAAGTTTAAAAATGATCTTTTTAAATGGAGCTTATCGTTTAGCGGGGGGGGGGCAAAATTGCTACGTTCCCGCTTATACATGTCTGGTTGTAAAAACTAAGTATTTTATAGCATTCTTAGAGGTTTCTGATGTTTGATGCTAAAAAAATTCCAGAAAATTTTTGAAATGCTAAATTTGTCTTTTTTCGTCATTCCTCATTTATTTAAGACTTGCTTATCGAATCAAATAATCTAGTTACGACCCCTGTAAAAATGATTTGTTTGAAAACTGGAACAAAACTGGAACTACTGCGGAAAAATTGGCGCGCTCCTTCTAAACTGGAAACACCTTTCAAACCTATTTTTAGTGACATTCCGCGATGGTGAAGCTCGTCATCGACACGGACGGCGTGTCGGACGATATTCGCGCGATAAGCATGGCCCTCAGCCATCCGGACACTGAGGTGCTTGCCTTCACCGCCGTGCAAGGATGCGTACCCGTCGAACAAGCCGCCCTCAACGTCATTCGGGCACAACGGGCATGCGGTGTCGAGGTAGACGCTTGTCCCGAAACGTTGAACAAATTTTTCCAGAAGTTGATCCCCGTCTACCAAGGCGCGAAGGAGCCGCTCATCGAACGCGACGTTGAAGCGGACGAGACATTTTTCTTTGGGCGCGACGGCCTTGGCGATACTGGGTTCACGCACGATCCAAAGGTATTTGTTGGCTTAAAACTTAAGTTACCTTTTTAGATTCGCGATGACGACGCCAAGCTGCTTGAAAAGGAGCATGCCGCGCTCGGGCTGATCAAGGTGTTTCGTGAACACGATGACGCGGTTCTCGTGGCGATTGGTAGGGCTTGAAGTTAGAGCAAAATTAAAATTTTTTTCAGGTCCATTGACCAACGTCGCGCTGGCCATCAAGATGGACCCGGATTTCAAGCGTCGCCCGAAGCGACTGGTGATCATGGGTGGAAACTATTTAGGTAAATCTTAAATACCAATTTTCTTAAATATTCGGCCCTTCATTGTAGGCTACGTTGCAGTACGCCTTACTTTTCAGGTATCGGAAATGTTCACTCTAAAAGCTCAGCCGAATGGAACTTCCACGGCGACCCCGAAGCTGCACACATTGTGCTGTCGGAAATGGAGGTTTTTGAGAGGTTTTAAAATCGTATACCTAGTAATTTAGACCCCTATCACTCTTGTGCCCTGGGAGTGCTTCTACGTGGAAGGGCCGAAACTCGAGAAGCTCGTCGACTTCTCCGCCCATCTCAAGTACGATACGCCACTCGGGCGTTTCCTCACCGCGACCACCGAGCGAGGCCGTATTGCTATGGAGCGAAACGGACGGTTGGTTTTTTTTTTAAGCAATTTGGCTCAGCGATCCCTTTGACGTATTTTGCAGCCAATACACATTCTGTGACGAGATCGCTGTCGGGGCGGCCATCGACGAGGAGAAGGTAATCAAGAAGCGGAAGAAGCTGAGGGGATCAGTCGAACTGTCGGGACGATACTCGAGGTATGTCCGCATGTATGTATATCTCGTTTCCGGAATTTCATTTTTCCGAAAGGTCACATTTTTCGAACAAAAAACTTCAAAAAGTCAGCTACCAACTACAAAAAGAGACGGTACGGGATAAGTAATAGCAATGCAAATTTTTCGAAACCGTATTTTCAAAAATGGCTTTTCGAAAGTGATTCAGGGGACAAATCGTCCTCGATTGGACCGGCGAGTTGTGGGATACCGATCGCGAGAAGCAGACGAGCCACGCGGTAAGTCTAGCCTTTACCAAGTAGTGATGCGACTGACTACAGAAACTCGACCTCTCGCGCCGCCCGATGACCTTCGTAACTGAGTACGACGTGCACACCATTGACGCATGGCTGCACGCTGCGTGCAAAAACTCGACAAAACTTGCCGAATTCTAACTCATCCGTAGCTCCAAAATAAAGTAATGTATTTCGCGTAACAATTAAAAATGCGTTGACCAGAGGTTATCGTATTTGGCCATCCGCGATTACCTGTACAAATTGACAAAGACAAAGCCGTGCAAATGGAGATCAAAGTTGGAAGGCAAAATAGGTTATTCGATGGACAGTGCTGTTTCCACGGAGGTGTCGGCGTCGGCGTCTCTTGATTGGTCCAGTGTGGCTTGCGCGGCAACGGCCGCCTAAATGTACGTATTATAAAGCGTAAAGGTTAGGAGTACTGCCAGAGTTTGAAAATCTCAAAAAAAAAATACCTGTTGCGCCAGATGCGGTTTCTTGCCGTAGCCATCCCAGAAGAAAGCACCGCAGCCACCACATACGTAAAAGAACAGAATCTCCTCGAGGCTGAACACGGTCGACCCGTACTGGAAAATAAAATAAAATTAGACAGCATAAATCAAAATACCATGTCAATCTGAATCTCGGCGGTGCCAAGGAGGGCTCGGCAATCAACGATGCGCCTTCTGAAGAAAATTTTTTTTAATCCGAATATCCATACCCTAGATCGATGACGCCATCTTGAACCTTCGCGTACACATCGGATGGGCTGTCGCCGTAGTGCATTTCGGCCCCGAAGCCACCATACTTCTCCGCCGCCAAGCCCAAGCCCAATAGCTCTTTCTGAGGTCAACATTTCAGAGGACGAGAAGCAAACGATACCCATTTGGCGAAGTCGAACGTGTCGAGCCCGAAGACATCGGCGGTATGTTTACTGAACATGCAGTGCATGATCGGGCGGGGGACCAGCACCATGCCAACCTTGTTGCAGTGCTAAAAAAAGGTTTCCTTGCGATAAGAATGTAATTGTAACAGTCTCGAATTATCATAATTTCTAAATTATGTAATCGGGGTTTTGAAAATCTGAGATTCCAGCAAAGTTTATCCAAGAACGAGAAAAAAAAGGTTGTCTTACCACGCATCGCGTGAAGATATCTCGCATCTGGGGCATCACCTTCATATCCCTAAAAGAATTTGAATTAAATCGCAATTGAAAATCACCAACCTGAACAGTTCAATTGCCAAATTTTCTAGTTTATCCCTGGCTAGCAAGTCTCGGACACGTCCGGCAAGCTTTGGCTCGGTGCACAACTAAATTCACTGTATTTCTATGAGAGATGAACGGTACCTGTCTAAAACCACGGCCTGCGCTTAGGACGATACGGTCCATGTTCTTGTCATCAACGGCCATTTGGTGCAGCTGAAGCAGAGCTTCTCAAATTAAAGAAGATCATACCGTCGTTTTACATGAGGCCATCAGCACGTCGACACCCATGCGGCGAAGGTATTTTCCGAGGTGATTCAGCATGATGTCGACAATGATCTAAAGAATAGAGCATTTCAGATTTGGATAAATACCTTCAGCGACTTTACAGGTTTCCACTCTTCCTCATTGTAACAGTGCGGCTCAAGCGCTTTGATAAGCATCGCCATCTCCTCGTGGTCGTCGATCAGTTTCTTCTCCTTGATCCGTTTCTTCTGCTTGTACGGATTGCACTGATACAGGACGTTGGGCAGGGCTATATTTCGCGCGCTGAAAAAAGCAGATTACGATAACGAAAGGTTTTAGCTACTTTTACGTTTAGACCAAAGTTTGTATATTTTTAGCGCTCTCCTGATTGGTGTGTTCAAAACTTCGATTCTAACTTCAAAGTCAAATACCGACTTGCAGCGCTTCTCCAGTTCGTCGTAAATCTCCAGCAAGGAATAGGCGTCCTGAGCAGCGTAGATCACCTGTTTCGGTCGGAGGGGCCTCTTCGCCCAATCGGAAACCTATATTGGAATTGTAGCGGGTCAAGGAAGTCAACCTGTTCAGTCTTGTCCAATGTTTTGTTCAGCACGCTGTTGTAGAGCTTTGCCAGAGAGAAATTTCGGTCAGTTTTCTGAACGGAACTATTCAGGGGTGACAAAAAGGCCTCACTTTCTCTCCATCCTCCGTTGTGTACGTGTCGAAAGGGATTCTTTGATTAGGGTCGATCATTTCCACGATCTTATTGTCGACGTCCAAGAGCTGAAATAGCAAAAATTAGAAGAAAGCTATTAATCAAAGGGTAACAGAAAATGAAAAAACCAACATTGTTGACCAGTTGCTTAAGGCAAACGACATTTTGCATGCGTTCCTTCAGCCCTTCGAGTTGATGGGGGAACGTGTTGATGATGTGGTTGATATCTTGCGAAATGTCGAAACCTGAAATTTCCATTTTCAAGAAGTGGCAGAAAATTCGTACCAAATTTATAAGCTTCGCCGCAAAAGAGAGCTTCAAAAAAGGTGGTGAGCTCCTTATGGTCGACCAGGGATGGAAGGACATGAATGTCGACCAGGTAGACAGCTGATTCGCACGCAATTTGGATGAGGGATATTCTAAAAAAGGTGAGCGTTAAACAAATTATTGTAATATTTTCAATACGAACGCCAGCGACAATAAAAAGGTCCTACTTGTCTTTTCCGAACTCTTGCTTCCACTCCGCGTCGATGGCAATGACCTGAGAAAGACGATCTACAAAATTACTTGAAAGGAACCGATTGTTGGCTGAAGATCTCGGGCATCTGGCGAAAAAGGGACAGTGAAAGACCATCGACCAGCTTCAACGGGTAGCCGGCGAACAACTCTTCGGGGAGTTTCTGGGACGCTTGCTCGGCCAACATTTCTTTAAACTTGGCAACCTTAAAAGGAGAGATGAAGCGGGGGAAATAGCATGCCTCAGCCGCGGCTCGCTCCAGGACAGAAGGGTCGGCCTCAACCTTGTATTCCATGTCTTTAGGCAGCCTCGTCATGCCAAGCAACACGTACCACCAGAATGCTTCCGCCTATTTATAGAGAATCATAATTATAAACCTGAATAAAACCTCTTCACGCATGTTCAGCAGTATGACGAGAAGATCGAACTTATAGTGGCTGCGACCGCTCGCGATAATACCCTATCAATTGATGTTCGAATCCTACATAGAATTACCGTAATTTGATCATAGTATTGGAGCCGATTCGCAAAAGTTCTCGGTTGGTCTTTCAGGCTATAAAAACGTATGTATGAACCGGAAAATGGAAGCTCACAATTTGTTGAGATTATATCTCATTTGGCCCTTGTCAGACTCGGCCTTGCAAATCGGAGCCGCACTCTCATCCAAATGGAATCGAACCACCATTTTACGAATATAACTCTTCAGCGGTTTAACTAAACAATGTCATAAAGACCGAGATATACATACATTGTAGCGGCTTCTCGTTGTTGTTCCCAAGCCCTTCGGCCACCATTTTTGCCCAATACTCTTCGCGCTAAAATAGGTGCTGATTGCCTGGCCTGGAAAAGGTGAAACTAACCTCGCGATCAGACTTGCCCAATAGCTTGTCCAAATAGGAGACAAAATGCAGCTGGCGTAATTTGGTGTGGTCCAGGAATGATTCGACTTTCTTTTGGTTTCCAGTTAGCCAGAGTGGCACGAGGAAGGAATGAATGTCAAATCTGAGAAAAAATAGATTCCCGAAGAAAATAAATGAACCAACGTGTCATACCAGCCAAAGAAACATGCAAGGTCGAGGGCTTCTAATCGCTTGGACTTCTCGGCTAACGTCTACAAAAGAAGAATTAACGCCCACTCACAAAAAACTACTTCAATCTTCTTCTGAGCTTCGGGTTCCATAGCTTTGCAAATTTTCGGTGTTCCATCAACTTCTTGCCCCACGTCAAAGAGGGCGATCAGGGGCATTAGGAAAAACAGAGGCCCGTTAAACGCCACATCGATAGCTTTTGCCTGAAAGGAAAAATTAGACACATCACAGATTCAAAACTACCTTTACATCGTAGGTCAAGCAGGTTTCAGAAATTTGCTTAGCATTCGGATGGTTTGACAACCATAGTTGGAATGCGTCCAAGACCGCAGCTAAAATAGCAGCAATTTAAAACCCCGAAAAGGTGTCCGAAAAACACTTCCACTGCTCTAGTGAAGGCGCTAAAACTCACAGGCAATCCGGGTTTCTTTCACATATTTGTAGTCGGTGGAATAACTAAAATTGATTGCTAAATTGGCTCTCAATTAAAAATTACCGATAAAGGTCCAGCACTCTATCATACGGGTTCGCCGCCGACTCAAGGTGACTAATTACATATGCAGTCAAATTTTCTTTCCTTTCCTCGGGCGAGACGTCTTCGCCCCAGATAGCCTAGAATAACATGTTTTTAGGAAATAAGGGATCAATCACCCTCGATTTGTCCCGAGCTTCGCGGTGTTCTTGTGGGATCGAAGGATCATTGAGACGGTACCATTGAGTGCGCTCCTCCTTGCTGGCGAACGCCTGAAAAGAGCAAGATAACGCGGCAATCCTTGTTTCGTCCTTGATCATTTTTGGGAATTTTTTAGAAGCTGACTGACCCGTCTAACTCCATCAGGACAATCGGAGACAACCTCTCCCAGTCTTCCTTCTTCCTTGGCACGTAAGACGCGGAACGGACCAGTCTGTGGTCTTGACGTGGATGCCGGCGGCACTTCTTTGCTTGTTACTGCCTTTTCTGCCTTGACTGCAGGGGAAGGCTTGGGGGCGTCATTAGCCAGATTCCAGTGCATGTACCACATCTGGCGGTCATGCTTGCTCTTAAACGCCTGAAAAAAACCGGCTTTGGGGAGAATAAAAAACAGTGCCGCTTATTAAGGCACTCAATAGCAAGAACTCATTGGTCAAAACTGTAAAATGTCTACTGCTTAGCGGCGAAAAACCCACTCGACGATACCCATCTGGACAATCGGAAAAGACCTCGTTTAATTCCGGCGCCTCGTCGTGTCGCAAAATGCGACCGGGGTCCCATTCCTCAGCCGGCGCCCCTAACATCTCTCAGCACAGGAAAGCTAAAAAGCATAACTCATGCTACATTTACTTCTGTAAACAAAGTAAACGTGAGGCGTAACATGTATTTACCAACAAGCAAATAAGCTATAAACATTTTATTAACATAATTTGCACACCGGGTCGTATCAGATCACAAAGTAAATTCAAAGAAAGCCTCAACCACCACGTGGTGCGGAAAACCGCGTTATAAGGGCCTGCAAAGTCTGCGCCTCATCAAAATCATCAATGGCAGGCAGACGTTTCCGGAAAGCCGCAACAAGTTCGGACCTCGTTCTTTCGTCCAATCTTCCTGAATCGATCGGCAGCAGGAAATCTTGGATGTAGGCGAGCTCGCCCTCGATCTGATCTAAATCCACACGGTTAAAAATATCGAATTTTCCTACGCACCTTGCTGGTTTTTGGAGATAAGCGAAACATAATTCCTCGAAATCAGGCCGTCAAGCGCTCGTGCTCGAGATTCTAAAGCAAATATTACGAATTAGCCAAACACAAACCATAATCGACCATCGTAAAAGCGATAGCTGTTAGAATTCGCCCGGCTTTCGCAGCTACTTTAATAGCATCGCTCGTCTCGACTAATCTCGTCAACATACTGGGCCCTTTGTTAGAGACGAATGCGCTAAAAATCACCATCTAACTTTTCTTGAAAACGCATACTCGAAGGCGACGACATTCGACCGAACGGCGCAAGATATCGTACGAAGTAGTTTAGACTGGAGTTGCTGCAATATAATTTATCAATTTTGCAAAATAAAACGTGCCTCATTGTTGCAATTTGTAAGCAGTTCGAGGAGACGGCCTTGGAGCCCACTCGTAGCTATTGCTTCCTGGGCTTGTGGATTATTTTCGCTCAATGTCGCTAGGACGTCAGCATAAATTGACGGCACTTCTGGTCGTGCGGTATAATTCTAAAGCGAAATAGTTGAACAACCAAGTGACTAACCAAAAACCTTTCAGCAAGCTCGAGCCCGTGTTCACGCAAGAAGTATGTGGTCAAATCCGCGTATTGAACCAGGTCTTCCAATTTTGTTGATAGTTCTCAAAATTATTGCGGTAGACCGTTATCTAAACTACCAACCCTCAAGTTTCTCGTGGTCTTCTTCGCTTAGTTCCGCTTTCACAGCTAGAACTTTGAGACCGTTCATCGTCCGTTCTAATGATCGCCCGAGATCGGTCTCGTCCACCAGTTCGATCATCACTTTCTCCAGCCATTCCCGATCCTAAAACAATGAGTGGAAAACGTTTTTGGCTTTCAAAGGAATGAAAAAGCTGTTTTATTCATTAAAAAACAAAATGTTGAATACCTTTTCTGACATCGTCCGGAGCGAATCGGATGTGCTCTGTTCCTCTGACGCCAGGCCCGTGGCACTGACAAGGAGCTTCTTCCAATAATGGTCAGGTACTACCGACATCTTGAGAAAGCCTATAGAGCAATACAATCAACGTAAAGCTATATAAACCCTGTTTTGAAAGGTTTCTTATATGAAAGAAGAAGATTTCTTGAACAGACTAGAAAGTACTAGAACTCAAACTCCCGCATGGGATACGGTTGGGAGGGTGCTCTGCAGGAGGTCGCACACAAAGGCGAATTACAAGCAGAAATCCACTCATTTCCCCAGGTTTCACGGCCATCCACACAAAGATATAAATATGTAGCTAACATTTCGAAAATGAATTGTGTGTTAGCGGAGGCAAAGACGAACGAACGAACGAAGTTTTATTGGTTATACCTAAAAAGGTAATGACAAAAATAATTACACGGCACTCGTAAATTATCAGAGCCAAGCAAGCAGGAATAATTAGTCATTTCAGTCTATTCTATTCCTCGTTCTCAGGCAGTCCGAAGTGTTCTCGAATTTGCTTAGAGTTTTTGCCACGAATCTGAGCAGCGACCGCCTCACAAAGCAGATCAAGCAGGGGCTTGACATCCAGATAGTTTGCAGCCTGTAAATAGATATGAATATAAAAAACTTAGTTACCAATAGAAGCTCGTAAATTTTGTCTTTGTTATCGGAGACGAAGGTGGTCTCCCATGGCAACGTCTTGCCCTGGCGTGGACCCGCTTCGATGTGCTGCTCGGTATAGCCGATCACCTTAAAGAGTCAGTCAAGAAAATATGAAAGAACTTACGATCTTCAAAATCTCGCCCGTCACGCCCATGACCGGAATTGGCGCGTCGTAGTCAGCGGATAGGTCCTACAATAAACCGTCAAGAAAAGGCCAAGCACAAGTACCTGGAGCAGTGTGCTGACCGGAGCGAAAGTTTCCGCCACCTCGCGCTTCACTTTAAATGACATCTGATCGGAGCTGGTCAACGAAAGCATAGCAACGCCGCTCTCTAAAGAAAATACTTAGAGTTTCAAGGAATCTTACCAGCCATTTTCTTTGGTTAGACGCGTTCGTAGACGGTGAAATGAACTGTGAGGCTGCCTGAAAAGGATCATTTAGTAAGTGGTAAATGCCGGGCGTTCAAATTTCTCATAAACGTCGAGGGTTTTGCAAAATTAGAGCGTTGCAAATGTCGCGTGCGTATGAATGCATAAGGTATGAGAGGTATGGGATAACAGACAGAATTCGTAATGCCTTTTTTAGAAAAGCTGGAAAGCTCGGACGAAAAAGTAAAGAAACGCCAGTACGAAAAAATCTTCAGCAAAAAATTCAACATTTTCAGAAAATTTTTCACGGTTTTCGATACACACCAAATGCCGAAAACCGGAGAAAGGATGGTAGCGGAACCTACAGTAACCAAGGTTGCGCATTCCACGACTACACTTTCCGTCATTTTGATGATAGAGTACTATTTTTGTTTAATAAATTTTGAAATGTGTTGTTCTGTTTATTTTTTGCCTGTCATTTTTATGATCGAGGCCCTGGTGCTTGTAACAATATTTATTGTTCAAACGATCAATACTGAGGCGGTAGAGGCTGCATGGTCGTGGACACCTGCTTCTCGCCGCTGAAGAAACCGACTGGAAAGTATTCCAGTAATTTTCTTTATGCTCTCTGGAAGCTCACCGACGCTGCTTAGGCCTCCCTTAACCTTATCGATGAAACCCGGCTCTTCCGGGGTGCCCTGGATGGCTGCTGGAAAACGTTTGCCTTTTAGCTACTAGTTCCGGACCTTCATGACGGTGTAAAAGTAAAGACCCAGAAAAAGTAAAGCTTTACCGATAGTTCAACGCAAATACAATATGGTGCAGTTTAAAAGCTAGGCTAAATCAGGGGGAATGGACATGTAATGCGAGAAATTGTGCTGAGAGGATCGGTGACCCAGAAAAATCGTAAATGGGGGAAAGATGCGGCTGTTTGAAGCCGAAAAATCAAAATGGCTAGATCGGGAATTGCAATGTAACGTCAAAAATGTTAGGAAAATGGGGGAATGTGCTTTTGGTTACAAGTAATGTTGGAAATGCTGGTTAGGGGGAGGTTTAGACGATTCGGGCGGCGAATAGTGAAAGGGTTGTGGCGACGATGAAGGTGGCGGCGTCCTTACTCTTCGCCTGGGCGGCGGCTTCGTCAATTTTGTCTTGGGCGGATTCCTTGGCGTCGTCGAGGGTTTGCCCGGCCTGAAGCGAAGACGATTTAGGTTTTTTGTGCTCTTTTGTTTGGTGCCAATTTTTGGTTCTGGTTCATTGGCGGAAGGTAATAGTAGTAGTAATATAAAATTAATCGTTCTTTTAGTGTTTTTATTAGTTTCCAATTATGAAACAATTAAAAAACAGTTTTTAAAGTAAAATTTTTGACATTTTTGAACTTTTCGTACAGCCTTTCACAATTTTTTATAGCTTTTTATAAGCTTTCCATGGCTAAAAAGGTCGTAAAATGCTGTGAAAATGGTTTCTATTTTCTTCTAGGGGGTCTAGAGGAACATAAAAAGTTATCCGCTCAGTTGCTAATATTTTTAACTTACCGCGTTCACACCCTCCTTCACCTTGTCGTTGGCTGATTGTGCGGCGTTCCTGAGGGTGTCTCCTAGGGTAATTATCGTAGTTTTAAACGTTTATTAACAAACCGGCGTCGGAGAGTCCCTGCTTGGCCTTGTCGGCAATGTCTCCAGCCGCCGCCTTGGCATCGTCGATGGTATCCTAGGAGTTTTGAATCAAGTTGAGGCCAAATTTCGTACCGTGAAGACGAGGGCGACGCAGGCTCCAATCACCAGCAGCTTGAACATGTTGTCTGTGGGTTCTGAATCTGAGGTTTAAGTCGGCGCGACGATTGCTCGTAAGATATAGAACAATCCAATGCCGTTTTCGACAAATTAGAGGTATAGGAAAAGTATTAATTTTGTTTTAATAAAGTTTCGAAGCTTCTAAGAAAGCTTCGCCTTGAAAATGACTTTGAAATGAAGGAATTACATTAAAAAGTATAAATTTCACTCAGGTTTTTGCCCGCAAAACCAGCGTATCCTAAGGCTCTATAATTACAAGCCTCCAGATTTCCGGGGGGTCAAGCCGATGCGCCAGCGGCAAATCGGAAATGCAGTGGATTAGCCGGAGAACCGAGCCGAGGAGGGCGGGCCATTTCTTGACGGGGGAGGGGTCCCGAGAAAAATTATCGGATGAGACTGCCTCCGTGGGTGGGGGGGGGGGCATTGTCAGCTTTTGTCGGTATAACAATACGGATTACCGGCGATATTGGTTCTCGAGAACTACAAAAGAATCGGCGGATGGTGGGGGGGAAATCGGGTAAACATGAAAATCTGGAACGCGGGGAAAGAAATTGTGTGGGGGTTTTAAAGGGATAGGCAAGTTAGGGCTCGTTTCTTTGGATTTTTTGGAAACCTTACGGTTTTGCCACCCCCGCGATACGTAACGCGCTCCGCTTCACGCATGCCGACCGGGTGATTAGTGTAATGCATTACGCCATGGAAATGCTGGCGCGTTGCGTGCCACGGATTTGGAAAATCGATCAAGAAACCACATGATTTTCCCATTTGGCCGCGCCGCGACACGCAGCGCGCACAGCTGGCAATCCATTTCACGATGGAAAAGCCGGCACGCACGTTGCGTACCGCGCTTCGCGGAAAAATTAATGAAGCGGATCGGAAACCGCGAAATTGACTAGGGATGCTGCCGCGACCGCAACACGCAACGCGCGCATCTAATCCATTACGCGAGGGAAAGGCTGAGTGTGCGTCGCGTCTCGCGGGCCGGAAGCTATAAGTTCAAACTTTAGTGCCCACTACACTGGACCACCCGAAAAGTTCTCCCTAGGCCCTAGGGGAATTTGTTAATGAGTTCAGGGCGGGGCGGATACGAGAAGCCGAGGGGTCAGGGACAAGGGGGTGAAGCACTCAAGACAATGCTTCTCCCCCCTTGCAGAGCCAGTAGGGGCTGTCTGTCCATTGGATTAATGGTACCAAAAGGGGAAATGGAGGAGGCGGAGGAGGGTATCCCAGAGGGCCCTCCTCCTTTCCTACCCTTCGACCCTCCTAGCCATTCCTCCCGGTGACAGCTGCCCGCCATGCAAATGGGCAGTACCACCGGGTAGATGGAATCCAAGAAAGGTCGGCCACGAATTTTGTAGTGGATTCGGGTCACGGGTACACCTGGTCGTTTTTAAATGGAATGGGAAGCGCGTGAATCTACCTTTTTTATCGACTAGGTCTCGACGCGTTAAATGGGTTGAGAAGTTTGGAATCGACCCTCGACCTACTAGATCTAGGCAGTTTTAGTGGGTTCGGACGTGCAACTATCGACCCCTCCTATCGACTAGATGTAGACGGATTAACGGGGCTGGAAAGCGTAGAAATCGGCCCCTATATCGGCTAGGTCTAGACAGTTTTTATATAATGCGTAGCGGGGAATTTACCCCTACTATCGGCTAGGTCTAGACAGTTTTAATGGATTGAAGGGCGCAGAAAGGCGCGCATATATCGACTAGGTCTAGAGCATTTTGTCAGCTTGTCAAGCGCATGAATGCAACCCTAGGGCCGCTAGGTCTAGACAGTTAACCGGAGTTACGCCTTTTAAATGTATACATTTTAGACGACACATATTCTGTAACCGTGTTTTGGCGTGTAGCGTAGCTATCGAGACCTAGTAGATGCGAGGGGGTCGATTTTGTTGCGCTTCCACATCCCTTTAGGTCCTGCAGTGCTAGAAACGACCTTCGCAGCGACCAGGTATCGACAATGAAGCCATTTGACATACTTGTTGATACCTAGTAAACTGAAGGCATAGATTCCAACCTTCCCAGTCCCTTTAAAGGGTCTATAAAGCCGAGAGTTAGTCCCTAAATCCCCGTCCTCAATTTCCTAGGGGTCAATCACCCCCCTTCAAGCCCCCGGGGCCCCAAATTTGCATTCAAAATTCGGGACCCCCTGTTCAAAGGAGTGTCCCGGAACCATAGAGGGGATGACGCATGGGGTTGTGTCACCCAGCTGGTGCTCCACAGAAAGGAGACGGACAGACAGACAGATTGATTAATGAATGATGCGTGACATGGGCGATGGATGCTACGCCCGGCTAGGCTTACAGATTGCATCTACGCATTAATGAGAAGAGACTGAATTTTCATAGGGTTTTCAGGGCCGAGACCCGCAACGTCGCGTTTCCATTACGTAATCGATTACCGTAGCTTGGCGCGGATTGGGATCTTATCGACGAGCGCGCGTTGCGTGTTGCGGCGCACATTTTAGAGGGCTTGGCAAGACACGGTTATGGGTTACGGTGAGTCCAATTGGCCAAAGCTTTGGCGTGTCGAGGGCGCGGAAAAACGACGGAATCGGGAAAAAGCCAAAAACCCGAAATTCAAAATCCCGACAGCCAAAATCTGTTTAAATAAAAGTGGAATTCAAACCAGAGTCAAGAATATGTCGGGATTTTGGTTCTCAGGACGTTGTCCTTTCGGATTTTTAATGTTGGGATTTTGGCATCGGGGGTTGGCAGTCGTCTGGTCGAAAAACACCTGATCGAAAATCGCCTGATCGAAAATCGCCTGATCGAAAAATCGCCTGATCGAAAATCGCCTGGTCGAAAATCGTCTGATCGAAAAGTCGCCTGATCGAAAAGTCGCCTGATCGAAAATCGTCTGATCGAAAATCGTCTGATCGAAAATCGCCTGATCGAAAATCGCCTGATCGAAAAATAGCCTGATCGAAAAATAGCCTGATCGAAAATCGCATAATCGAAAATTATCGGGGCTGAAGCACCACACCAGGTGAAATAAAATTATTCTTGCCCCAGCACCTGGAAGTAATTTGTCATACCATGCTTCGGGGTTAGGCTTAGACTTAGGCTAAGGCTTAGGCACGAACAACGCACTCAACCAACACTTTGGCTGCAAGCACCCGACCATGTGGAAATTGAAACGCGACCGGACGAGAAAACATGCTACAACTTTGATAAGGATTTGCTACGGCGAGATCTTGACTGCCATTGCAAAGACATTGACCTAATTCGTGCCTATTGTAATTTTCGGTTTAAATCATGCCGTTCACTCATATTATGTGAATAAAGGATTTGAGTTAGGCATGCTGTAAATCAGAATAATTTCGATCAGAAGCAATTCGGTGGGGTTCTTTTCGATCAGGCAATTTTCGATTAGGCGATTTTTCGATCAGGGGACTTTTCGATCAGGCAATTTTCGATCAGGCGATTTTCGATCAGGCGACTTTTCGATCAGACGATTTTCGATCAGGCGATTTTTCGATCAGGCGACTTTTCGATCAGGCGATTTTCGATCAGGAGATTTTCGATCAGGCGATTTTTCGATCAGGCGATTTTCGATCAGAAGATTTTCGATCAGGCGATTTTTCGATCAGGTGACTGGGAATCGGCATCGGGACCTTGGTTCTGGGATTCTTACTATTAGTTTCGGGATTTCGGCTGTCGGGATTTTCGCATCGGGATTTTTTGTGCCGGGATTTACGCTGAGAAGCAGCCCTGAAATCCACGTCCAGGAATTGCCCGCCCCCTTAATGGTGTGCTCCCGAAGTTTTTAGCGGAAAACTTTTAAGGTAAAAGTTGCTAGTCTGTTCTTTAAGGGAAGTGAGGAGGGGATATTGGGCCAAAGTGACCCTTGGAGGGGTTGAGGGACAGCATTTTCCGGGGGGGGGGGATCGACGGACAGGACGGGGGGAAATTGAGTTAGCCATCCTGAAAAGGGGCCAAAGAAGGGGGGGAGGGGAGGAGGAGGAGGACCAGGGGGAAGCGGTGTTCGCTGGGCCCCGGAACCATGTTTTTCAGCCCTTCCGCTACCACATACTACTCGCAGGGGACGGGGTGAAAGAGCGAAGAGCTTCGCTGGATTATGATAATGCTATTCGGTTACGAAATGGAATTGGCGGTTTTTAAAGGGGCTAGGAAGCAAGTAGAGCGTTAAAACGCTTTGAAAACGATAAAAATTATCGACCTATCAAGAAAAAGTGTAGATTTCATTTGACATTTTTCAGGCACTAGATTCGTGTGGATTTTGCCGTAATCACGGCGCGCAGCGCGCACGCACGTCCGCCGTGTGCGTTGCGTATCGCGTGTGCGTACAACTTACACAAATCCACAGCAAAATCCAGATACACGTCTTGCCGTTTCCGTTAATGCAGCCTATGAGAACAAAATAGTTTGACAGCTCAAAAACGTATTTTAAATTATAGATCATGAAAGCGCAATTTAAAGACACTGATAAAACTACAAAAGTTACGGTTAAAAGAAAAAATTTCAAAAACAACGCTCTATCATCTCCGAAATTCAACTACGCCCGGCTGCTATGTGCTGCATTACATTATGCGCGCTTTACAAATTCTCATTGTTCCACTTCCGGCTCGCGAAAGGCAAGCATACGCATTAATAGACTATCTAGAATCTCCGGGGCTCAAGATTTTATCCACAACATGACACCCAAAAAACTGGACCAATTGCACAAGATCCGCCAGACAACAAACCCAAGAAGAAAAAGAAGAAGGAAAAGAACATGGCCGTCTATATGCATTGAGAGGCGCATCCCTATTTTGGCTGTTTACCCGCCAGCACCACCAACACCCGTCCCTTCCCCCATCCATCCTTCCTATTCTTCCACAGAACACCCGGAAATGCGATAATTCGTCTTCGCCGTCTCCCCCCGGGGCCTGGATAGAATTTTTTAAAGGTTAAAGTTTTAAAAGTATGCCGAAATTTGCACCTTTGATAGAAACGGGCAAGAATTTATCTTGAATTTTTGGGATTTGTCAAACGCTAGGCGTAACGCGAGCGCACGTATTTCCATTGCATAATCGAAAATGGCCTTCAAACGGCGCGTTGCGTGTCGCGGGTGCGACAAAATCTAGATGGAACCATGACTTTCGCGCCCCTCTATGGATTTCGCAGTCCGCGAACCGCAACGCCGGTCTTTCCATTGCATAATGAACTAATCGCCTTTAATAGCCTAAATGTCGCGTGTCGCGTCGAATGAAGCGCGTCGCGTGTCGCGGGGGTAGCACTGCGAGTGCCCGTTTTTCTGCGTAATAGATTACGGCCATTTTTCCCGACGCGTTGTGCGTCGCGTCTAAATCCCCAGCTGATTCAGGGCCAACGAATTCCATTCCCAACCTTGCCAACCCCTTTAAACGTCCTAGACAAAAACACCGGCCTTCAGCAAGTGTGAGAACAAAATCCCCCTTGAAAACAAGGTAGGCTTGTTTTTTCCGGTGATACCAGGTATTTCCCAAGCTGCCCCTACCCTGACCCAAAATAATCCGGATAATCTGCACACGCTGTCTGGTGCTGGTATTACAGTATCCAAAGCTCTCACGATGACAAAAATGGAAAGGGATTACAAGTTTGGTCATGGTTGCACCTTAAAAGACTCACGAGCAGGAGAAGTCGATGGAAAAGAGCTGTGCGGCGTTGGGCCCCCGGGGGAAGGGCCAGACGCGAACGGCTGCGTGGCCCATTTGGGCCCTGTGAGCCGACGATTAGAGGTGGAGGGGAGGGGAGGGGCTGGATGAGGAGCAAGAGGAAGCGAGGAAGGGAATGGCCATTCCTGCCTTATACGCACATTTGAGGGGCCGGTGTGGGGGATGCGAGAATTACTTTTTGGGGCTAGATTCACCTGGGGAAAGGTGCAAAACGCAAAAATAGTAAAAATCGAAATATCAGGACGATGACTAAAGAAAAAACGTCAAAATCGCCGTCAAAATTAAATTAAAAAGGGCGAACAAAGTGCAAAAAAATTATCGGCTCTTTAGTATTTCCCAGGGGGGACTTCTAAGACCTGATTTTTACCGATATGACTAGAAAGGTAACATAAAGTATTTTTGATAAAAGAGATATATTTAAAGTTTCGTTCCTGTTTCGTTTCAGTAAATTTCGAAAAAATTTCTAAATTCCGCCATTTTGGCCGAAAATCGACATTTTTAGTAGTTTTTAATAAACATTTGCAAAAGCATACAAAACGCAGAAAAAAAGCTCCAGCATGTTTTATCCTCCATTTTCCACGGCCCTCTCGAAGTGCATCAGCTGCATCAAGTAGAACCACGACGTGAGAACGGCCCGCCAACGAAATCACGACCTCCCAGATTTCTCTCAGGTTTCGCCGAGAAATTCAAAGTAGGGCCCGGGCTGGGGCTCGGATTTCTGAGCGGCGAGACGAAAAAAAACTAGAATATATGCGGTGGGGAAGGGGAGGCGTTCGAGGGGAGTGCTGTCCAATTTAGCCCCCCCGGCTTTTTTGGCAAGTTGCGTCTGGGATGAAAGGAGGGAATGGAGCACGAGTCGCGTGCCTTCGTCTGTGGCAAAATTAATTTCTTTAACATTCGCCGGGATGGGGGGTTAGGGCGCTTTTGCAGCCGGGTCGGTATTATTGCCTCCGGGTTTTCGAGGGTAGACGAAAGATCCGGAAAAGCTTAAATTAATGGATAGAACCAAACCTCTCAGTGGATAATGGGAACACCAAACGATTCTTTAGTATTTCCAGGAGGCAGGGGTTCAAGTTTTTTCTTACAAAAGACATTTTCGAAAGGTTTTTTTCATTTCGTCGAAAATCATTGTCGAAATCTTATTTTGCCGAAAATACTGTTTGTCTAAATTTCAAAGCCTCTTCGCCTGAATTATTGATCCCAGACACTTCGCAAATTCAAAGTTCAGCGGTTTGAAATTTCGACAAAAAGAGATTTCGGCAAAATTATAGCAAATCGATCTAGCAAGCAAGTTGTCTACACCATTTTTTAAAAAATTGCAAAAATCGATTCCATTTCTACCACAATTTCAAAGTTTTAGGTATTTTTCGTAGCTCGCTAAATAGCTTTCCAGGTTGAAAACCAGTACAAATGTAAAAATCGAAAATTGGAAGATTTTTATGGTGAAAAAAGTTCTTCCCTGTATATTTTCAGGGCCGATTCCGACGGAACCCCTCCGAAAAGCCAAAGCCGAAAATAAAATTTTTCAAGCCAGTGTACAAACAAAACATGAATCGAATGAAACTTATGCGACAATATCTGCAATTCTGGGTGATCAACAAAATGGGAGAGCGGCGAGCGACCGCTCCCAAAAAGTTGCCGCCTCATCAAAAACTCGGCCTAAAATGGGTGAGGGCCAATTAAAAGTGGATGATCCCGGACCGCGGATCATGAACCACGCTCAAAAAATGGCCGAAAATTACAGGCAGAATACTGTAGTTACCGCAGCAGGGTTTTCATTAAATATAGAGGTGAGTAAGCCGGTGGATGGCAAAATTTTCATTTTAAAACAAAAGCTGACGATGATGATTCAGTAATACGCTTAAAGCCTGCGAAAATGGGACCCGTGATGCAAAAGTGCGTGAAAGTGCAGTCGCGTAATCCATAGTAAAGAGGCTTTATTCAACGTCATATGTTTGGAACCCCAGAGTCACGTAAAAACATTTACAAGCCCCCGAAAAAGACCCAGAAATCACAGAAAGCCAAAGAAATATACCCGTAGCAAATTTTGTATCACAATAAGGGTAGTTTATTAAGGGATAGGATCCTCAAGTTGATAAATTTTTCAAATTATAATTTGTAAATTTAGAGTTTTATACCCGTTAACTGGCAAAACATCCGCCTATTCGTGTTTCGTCCATTACCTAGACTTTTTGACAATTCGGATAGCAATCTTTCAGCTCCGATTCGGTCAGCCAGGGTGTCAGGCGGAAGTCCTGAAAAACACCAAAATCTTCTCACTTTTATGTTTCACCAACAACAAATCAATTTTTGCACCAACCTTCGGTACCTCGTTGTTAAAACGCGCCTCGATTGCTAGGAAATCTTTCAGCGCTTCTTCGTCGCTAATTCGGGAGTTTGGCCGGTGATGCCAGCCATCCATTCTCCCAGGCCCGCATTTTGACAGTTCCGGCACTTCCTAAAATGGGGTTTAGCAGCTCGGAAATCTGGTAATGTACCGTAAACGGTGATTGCCAGCCCTGTTCACCGATTGTCATCTGTTTCCAGCCGTGAAAGAGGAAATCGCGGTCGGTGAACCTAGAGGACAATTTTTGGTGCTTTTGCAAGATCGGAGGGGCCAAATTTTGCTATTACTCTACTCTTCCTAACTTCCAAGGGGAAAAACTATTTTCAAAGCTTAGAAAAATCATTGAAAATTTGACAATTTGGTCGAAAATTTATCTTTTTGCCTTTTTCAATCAAAAGTTGTTAAGTTGTACGCTAAGGAATAGTAAAAATAGGGTAGAAAAGAGACAGCCTTTTATTTTTACCAGGTGGCTTACCTTTGATTTGTTAGAAAGGCGTCTCGTGCGAAACCTTGGCCTTTCGGTTGTATTTTAAATTTGCCCGGCCAGAAGCGGTTGGCTCCTAAAGAATTGATTGTGTTTAAACTTGATAAGCTCTCACCAAACATGGTCTTGGCGCAGAAGACGAGGGACCCGATGTACGACCAGTAGTCTTTCGAGTGTGCCCGCCAGATCCTGTCGCACATCTGCACTGCTTGCGGGGCTGTTTCGTTGTAGAGGTGCTCGAGGATTACCATCTGAAATCAGAAAATTACTTCAGATAATGGCACTCACATGAAGGATGCAATTGTCGTTGGTGCCAAATGGCAAATTCGGGCGACGGAATTCCCAGTTTGCCCAATCCTGGATGACGCGACGGGCGAACGGCGTGTTCCTCACCTGAAATGGGTTTTTGTACTTCAAATATCAATAAAATTATTAAAAACAATGTAAAACACTGTATAGGCCAACCGGGAGCGCCAGGAAAAAAGCCTACCAGCCAATTCCCGGCCATCACCTCCAGGTTGAAGAAACGCTCGTAGAATATGAAATCGACGCGCGGGTCGATGAATTCTTCGATGCAATGCGCTGGGTTAACCACACCTGAATTCGAATAATCTTGAAATTTTTCGTGCAGTTTTGGCCCAAAAAGTCAAGTTCATTGAAATTTTTGTTTCAGGATTTTTTTCTATCCAAAATCAGCGCAAAATGACCATAAAAATACTCCAGATTTTATATACCTTTAGCCAATTCCTAGAACATCACTGTTTTTAGCACCAAATACCTGTATCAGCGTCCATCACAAGCATCCAGTCCGTCTCATTCAGGTATTGTAGCAGCGCACAATGTCTGTGATACATAATCTGTAACATTGCTCTTGCTCACTTTTTTAGATACCTACGTCGTGGTGATGACTGCACTTGCTGGTCACTCGCGGATCGTTGTAGATGTCAACGAGCAGCAGCTCGTAGTCTGCCCCCTTTAGGTAGCATTTCAGGGTCTGATGGGCCACATGGTAGTGTCTAAACTTTCGTAAAACTGAGTAAAAATTGCTTTTCGGGCTTACTCCTTGAACGATTCCTCTCGTGCGCCGATAAACACCTTCACGCGGCCATAGGGATGGTGGCATTTGGTCATATTTGTTCTAAAAGGTCTCCAACTGCTGATTTTTTGGCCACAAACCTTGGTGGAACTGGTATAAATTCACCAGGTTCTTCCCTATACCCTCGTTCTGCCTAAAATTATAAAAAATAAAGCTGAAGGTTAAAAAATAAAAACCCGTAATAACCCTTACCGTTTCCGGCAAAGGAGTGCGCTTGTCCAGGATAGCATTTTGTATCTCCCGTCGTGAGACGATGATAATTAGATGAACGCACAGAAAGCCGATTAGCAAAATGCCGAAGAGCTGCGGGACACGGCGAAGTATCGTTGGGCAACCTCGCATCATCTCACATCCTAGAAATAGTATTAGCTCCTAAATGATGCCACATTTTTCAACCAAAACAGTAGCCAATCTGCGCTTAAAATTATACTCTAAAAAAGTAAATAGCTTGAGCAGATACGCCGGTCTTTCCGCTACAAAAAAAGCCTATAAGCCAAACCGGAACGAAAAGGGACAAGCTAGGATTGGTCACAGATTTGATTGTTGACCCAAATATTATCAGCCCTAAGTCCGAGCCATGAAATGGGCCGTTTGGGGGGAATCGAGGGCGACTTCGACCATATCGGTCCCCAGAGACTAAGCCTGAACTAAAGACCTTTCCGAGAACGTGGCGCAACACGGAAAATCATCTCTAGAATACCAGCCCGACTGGAATATCAAAAGACGGCCACCTCCTTTCTGGAGATGAAGTTGCAATCGAAAGACAATCTTATTTCGGCAGCATTTGTTGGGTGGGATTCTCCCAGCCCAATCTAAAAAATGAGCTATGCATACCATCGCCTCCCCCATTGCGTAGTAGCAACATTCAATTTGACAACGTGGCTTTGTTTACTGGAAATCGATTTTCAATGGAAAATAGGTTCTTGTTCCCTATCGGGGGGGGGGAGGGATTATTCTATAGAATCGGCGAATACGGGTACACGGATGTACTCGTATTCGCCGATGATAAACCAACCTACCTTAACAACATTAGCGCAGTTTTTAACTACACTGGTGGACATAATTATAGCCTCAGTGAAAATTTTTCGAAAATCTCGATTTCTGGCGGTGTTCTTCGAAAGCGTTCTATAAGGGAAAGTAGCGGTATTCTATCAAGATTTCATACCACAAACCCTTTTTGTGATTTTCTGGACAAAAATTTTTTTAGGAATATTTTCCCAAAAAAGGCACTTTGAAAAAGGGACATAATTATAGCCTCACTTGGGTAACCTTTAAATAAAAAATGAAATACTCGCACAAATCAATAAGAAACAATTCCAATAATCTTCGGCTACACCATTTCATGTATTTTTAAGGGGGGGAGATGCCTCTCCAAGCCAGAATACAGGCGGGCGTCTTGAGTTGAACAATTCAAAGTTATTGACATGGTTCCCTTAATTCAAGATCAAGCATCATTTCCTTCCTGCTCGTGAAGAACTGATCTTCCAAACGGGCACAGCAACACTTTGACATTTTTTTCGGCCAAATCCGTTTTTTTCTGCGCAATACAAGGCGAAACCTTTCCGGATGGCTACGCGAGAGCCTCTAACCATTGGAAAAGATGATCTGGAGAATTTTGGCGGGCCCGAAGCCTACCGTATCTGCCTCAAAACCGTCATCTTCTGTACGGGCGAACTCAACACGATTTTCGCAGTGGCGTTCGTCCGCTTTGGCGCGACTCGTTGCGCTGCGGAATTCAGCACATTTCCAATCGAAATCAGGATCAGAATCTGATTTAAGAATAAGAGGAAGCCTTAATTCTTCGAGCCATATGGGCCCCAGAGTGGGTCCGACCCCTTAAAAGTGGGTGTTTTTAGCGTGGCCGGGTAATTTTATTGACTGTAACGTGATTGGCCATGTCCAAAGCTCCCCGGCATTCAAAATCTAAGCAGAAGAAAAGATTATCGCGTCGTAACAGAGGATTGTCTCCACCTCGCATCTGGTCAAGCAAAAAGTCGATCGCCCGCCTGTATTCTGGCTTGGAGAGGCATCTCCCCCCTTAAAAATACATGAAATGGTGTAGCCGAAGATTATTGGAATTGTTTCTTATTGATTTGTGCGAGTATTTCATTTTTTATTTAAAGGTTACCCAAGTGAGGCTATAATTATGTCCCTTTTTCAAAGTGCCTTTTTTGGGAAAATATTCCTAAAAAAATTTTTGTCCAGAAAATCACAAAAAGGGTTTGTGGTATGAAATCTTGATAGAATACCGCTACCTTATAGAACGCTTTCGAAGAACACCGCCAGAAATCGAGATTTTCGAAAAATTTTCACTGAGGCTATAATTATGTCCACCAGTGTAATGATTACAAAAAAATGAAATCTGCGAAAATTTTTGATTTTCGATCAAATATCGGCGAAAATAGCAAAAAATTTGAAAAAATGTCGAGGTTTTAGGAATGTTCATGCTTTTTAGTAATAGAAAACTGTTAAAAAGGCTATAAAAATACACGATACACCGCTAAATATTGTCCCGGTAGGTATATGTTGGGTAGATAGGACCTCCCCCCAGATAAGAGACAAGTAGCACGATCTTTCAGCGGGCAAGAAACTAGAATTCAGAGCTGGGTTTGCAAGCCAAAACATACCCGATGTTCCCACAAACCCATTACGGGAAAGCATCGGTGGGGAGCCGAGGACGACGGGACGAAATAATTGGAAACTGTATTGCAGCAGTCGAAATTGCTTTTGCTGCAATGGGCGGACCCCCAGGGGCGGAGCTCGAGAAGTGAATGTCCCTGCTTCTTTGGCTGCGTTCCTTACAGGAAGCCGTGAAATAGCACACCCCGACAAACACAAAAGCTACTGGCTGGGCCACAGGGAAAAAAGCCGCGTTTCGGCGGGTAGGTGTTTGTAACGTAAGTTAAACTTTGCAACAGCTGCTGCTTTTCCGATTGCTACTAACTAGGAGAGAATTGGGTCGCGCTCACGGGCTAAATCGGTACAAATATAGGAGCGAGGAAGCCGAATACTTCCGTATTAATAAAATCTACAGACGTTTACCACTCGGTTTATGCGAGCCCAAAGTTCACAAAAACGACGAAAAACGGCGAAATCTAAAAATTCGATTACTTTGAGCTTGTACATGTCTAGTTTTAAAGCAGGAACGTGTCCGGAATTCTCGGTTCTAAACTCGACTAAATTTTAGCACGGTCAAAACGAGTTATGAGTGCAGACAACTTTAACATTCCCGAATAGACGCGCTATTGCTGAAAAATTTCCAAGAGCCCAAAACCGGCAGTTTTTCACCGAGTCCGAATGCCCGGTATTAGACACATCGACGACACGGTCAGCCTACGGCTAAATAAAGTAGTGCACACGATCGTCCTAGCAAGGATTATAGATGGTCTCCCGCTGTACCCCCACATCGCCCCTTTTCCGCCACACGGGGCCAATTATCGTATTCGCGAGCGCGATCCCTTGCTCCCCCATTGAAGCTGACCGGAACTGAACCCTTGAGCACTGTTGAAACGCCGAGCCAAACCCCCACTCCGAAAGGACCAAAGAAAATCTTCGAAACCTAGAAATGCGTTCGGATTTCCTGGGCTTGACACTAAATGTCATGGCAGCCCCCTTCACATCCGATTTATCCAATGCCGCGGTAACGTTTTTTGAAATTTTGAAAGTCTATTGAAATATCGAAAAATACTGACAAAACTAACGGTTTCTTCAGTATTTTTCAAAGTTTCAATAGGATGACAACGTTTCATTTCCAAGAACCGAAGTCTCGTTTGCGAACAACCCAAAATAATGCCCAGCGGCGCAGTCCAGGAAGTCGTATGTTTTCTGCTTTTATGCGTCCTGATTCATTCACTGCAAATATTCACGGCCAGCAAGAAAGCAAACTGTTATTCAGTCAAGTCAACGCAAAAAGAAATTGGGAATGGCAGGGTTTGCCCTGCCTTGGATGCACATTTGAGAAGACCCGTTAATGGCGACTAGAGACACACGACAATATTAGTTCATTTCCTCTTCTTCTCCCTTCTTCACTCCATTATCCTCCGGTTTGGCGTCGACCAGCGATTTGTGCTTGTGCTTCTCGTTGAATTCTGCGATAAATTGACTCGTGTTCTTGCCGCCGGCGTTGAAGTTGTAGGTACTGGGGACGGCAACCTAAAAGTCAATTTAAAGGAGAAACTGTAGTCCAAACCCCGAGCTCAGGCGTCAACATAAACGGCTTCAACCAACCGACCAAGGGAGTCTGACCAGCGACGTAAAATCCCTAAAACGATGGCTTTGAAAAGGCCAGATTGCTTTATGATCGATAAAAATAATGCCGGCAAGCATCACTGACTGACCTCTGAATAATAAAATAATAGGCCGTCGAGATCGAAGTCGAACTTTTGTTGCATGAACTCTTCCATCTTTTCTTTTATGCATGGGCATGTTGGGGCGTCCCGGAACGTAAACTTGCACTTGGCGGAACTAAATTTTGTTTAGCTCAATTGAGTTTAAACAGGCCGTAGCGTAAGAATGTCCCTGCCGACAAAACAAACAACAACACACCTTTTGCGCAGGCCCGGATTTTCTTCCAAACGCGAAGTCAAAAAGAAATGGCGGAATAGAAAGTCGTTATCCGAACACAGCTAAAAAAAGTGATCAGTGGGGGAAAACCTCGGAAAACTACCATGCCGTTCCAGGAAAGCACGTCGAGGCACCACAAAACATTTTTCGGGTGCGGTTCCATGATGCAGTCGAGAATGGTGCATTGGCCGTGATTACCTCAAAGGAGCATCCGATGGCATTGAATATTCGCATACTTTTGCCGCCGCCAGGGAGCCCGGACACAAACTGTGTGAGCAATTCGCCGGTTTTCTTGTAGACGCTCGTTATCTTATTGCGGGCCACAACAAGGCAACGACGGCCGACCGGGCTGGCCATCATCGTCTAAAAATCTATCAAAAAAGGTACACCAAACCTACCCAGTCGCTGGATAGTTCCTCGGGTATGTCGACGAGCCATTCGCTTGTCATCAGCTGACCCCTGTATCGGACTCTAAATAATCTTTTTTTTTGCCAACACGAATAAGGTACGTTTGTGCTCGTTTTTTCCATTCAACGGGAGACTGGGTGTCCATCGACTTATCTTCTTCGTCCACTTCTTCATCCTCATCAAAAGGCTCGTTATCGACAATTTTGCGAATCTAGAAAGATGTACTTTCAGCGCGGTTTCTATCCGCACCCTATTATGTAGATCCTCTCGACCACATCGTTGTCGCTCCAAAGCCGCAGCTCGACGACTGGCTTGGGCGTCTGCGAGCTAAAAAAATAATTGGAACGCTTAGACTTGCAAACCTTTGATGTATTTTTGTACTTGGCAGAAAAGTGAGGATGCATGCCCATTCCGTCCGGATCAACTTGCATCGACCCTTCCAGGGCGCTTGTTAGTAGATCCATGCTATCTTCCGCTTCGCCCATTTGCTAAAATTCAAGGTAAAAAATGTCTGAATACGTAGAAAATGGAGACATTTTTTCCTCGGTTAAATCGAAGTTCGTAAAACGGCGAATTGTTTCGCATATCTTTATTAAAAGCTGAGAAATATAATAAAACACAACAATGATCTTTCAACATTTCAACAAAACAATTTCAACGATCACAAACTCAACAATAATCCTAACAACGGTTGCTCAAAGTTCAAAGTGGATCTTTTTCGTGGGAGCGGCGGGTTCTGTTGATTTCGTTCCATAAGTGCTCTTGCGCTTCATTTTCGAGGCGACGGTCTGCTTGCCAAAGTGCGGGGACTTCTTTTCCTTCTGGGACTTCTAAAAAGAGTAAAATAAGCTGATCAAAAGATAGCTTCTTACCTTCAAGCCTGTGCGAGTTGGTTTGCCAATTGATGGTGATTCTTTTTCAGGGGACGGGTTGGGCTGATCTTCTATCTCGATTGCGGTTTTTTCGAGTTGCTTGCTCTCCATATCTGCCTCATCTGAGGAATCTGACGAGTCGATGATGATCAACTAAAAATCAATTATTTTGAGGCGAATTTCGGCGTTGATCCGTGGGGGTAGAGGTGGTACCTAGGGGGAAACCAAATTTTTCCCATGTTCCAATAGACAAAATCCCGACAATATTTGTTTACCTTGGATGGTGAAAAGAACAGCTGCCCGTTTTCATCCCGGATAAACGCATCCGCTTCCTCGGGTGTCAAAACCCTGTCTTTTGACGAGTGGATGGTTGCGAGGCTGACTGGCGTTTTGTCTTCCGTGACGACTTCCCACTCGTCCTCTTTGAAGAGCGGAACCTCCTTTTCGGGCGTTTGAACGGGAGCCTGGAAGTGGAATTGGGAGAATGGGGGGCTGGCAACTCACTTCAGGCGTTTGCAGCAATTCGCTTGGTTGGATTTCGTCAGGAGGTTTGGCTGGGAAAACGATATCGATGCCTTGCAAGAAGTCGGGCTCGTCTCCGTAAAACAAGACTTCATTGTTGCCGGTCGTGATTTTTGAGACCTGCCAATTTGATGAGCAAAGTATCAAGAAAAAAACGTTATATCCGTCAGCTTATCCGAATATTATCCGAATCAAATAGTCTCGAAATCCTCACCATTCCTTGCCCGAGAATACCGATCGTTTCCACGATTTCCGCCTGATTTACAGTCATTTGAGAGAAGTTGTCCTCATCAAGCTTGTAGCCACCAGCGCGGGCGATCTGAAAATGTCGTTTGTGCGAAAAATAGAAAAGTCGTACCCTGGTGGACATTGGCGTCACATCACCGCGCCACTTGATGCCGATGCGCTTCCCATTGTAACGGTCGTAAAGGAAAAAGGCCACCTAGGGAAAAACTACGAACGACACATATTGCGTACCGAGCCGAAGTGATTGTTCAATCTTTCAACGAATAGTTCAAGCGGGTTGAAATCGACGACGGGAAGATTGCCTTGCAACTAAAACAGGTCGATGAAATTGACGGCAAGTGGCCATTTAATTTTGTTGAAAAGGCGATCCGCGACATTGGAATTGTCAATCTGTGATTTTTTCGAAATTATAATAGCGGGGGTCATTATTTTTCAGCCAATAAAGAGGTTAGATCAGGACATTTCGAAAGGTGAGTCTCGACAACACGAATTTCGACATCTGGAAGAAAGTCGGTGTCGTTCTCGGTGCCTCTCCAAAATCAGAACTGTAACATACCTCTCGAATACCTGCTGCATCGCGAGCCTTCCAGCCTGCTTTCTGGAACTCCCGATGGAGATGAATCCAGGCATCAAAAGAGGCCGGGCTTTGGTGGAATAGCTCCTGAGAGAGACCGGATGCTAAAATTTAGCTGACTGACCTCGGTCACAAAATCATTCTCGGCCCGCAGCGCTCCGTTGATGGCAGTCAAGGCAATCGCTGCAACATTCATCAGGCGATGTGTGAATAAGGCAGACGGAGTCTCGGCTGTCCAGCTGGAAAAAAAGTAGGCTTCCATGCAATTTTCGAAAAATATGCCCGAAGATCATTTTTGAAAAGTTTTCGAAAGTCCATTTTTTACGAAAAAAATTTTTCGAAAAATGGGCCACTGACGCACGGAATAACAATAAACGTTCGAAAAAATGCAAGTTTTGTAAAAATGTAGCATCCAGAAAAACCTAACGCACACGGGAATCGCAAACTTACAGCGCCCCAGAGGGATCCTCTTGAGTACAAATGACCATCGGTGGCAGTATAATGCGCTGTGCGACAAATGTCTTCATGGCTTGCATTCGCTCTTCCTCTGTAAGCGCAATGATTAGTTTGGCACTGACATTCCAAGGAGTACCTGGCCACTGTCCATCCAAATCCACGATCAGCGGCTTCTTTAGCCAATCATGCTCGACGATCACTTGGAGCGCACGGCGAAATCCGGCGAAGGCCGAACTAAAGAAATTATTTAGATTATGGTACAAAAAATACCTTGGCGCCGGTTTCCCGGAATGTTTATCAAAAGCCGCAGCAACCAATAGCTCCTCGGTTATTTCGTGCAACCGACCACTCAGCATTTGCCGTCCTAAAATCGAGGGTTTCGAAGCATGTAAGCCCGCACCTAGCCATCGCTTGAACAACTGGCAGGCGGAGGAAAAATGTTGGTGCTTGAGAGCGAGCACGCCGAGTTGCGCTTTGATTGCCGGCTCGATGCGATACGCGGTAGTGAGCCTCTTTAGACGTTTATTTTGCGCTGACGTGTCGATCCCAGCCATGTGTTGCGATTCGATCTGAAAAAAAAATAACCATTGGGGAGGGGCGAAAGGAGTAGTGACGGTTTTATTGAAGCTTAAAAGGTCTAAAAACAAACCTGATTTCTTAGCATGGCCAAGATTTTTTCGTTGACGATAATGACGCGGAAGACTGTCGACTTCTAAAAAGCTGGTCAAAGAAGAAAAAAAAACAACGTACCAGCCGGATATACAGAGCTCCAGGAGTTGGATGGCAGTCGAGTTTGTGTTGGGCTCTAGAAGTTCGGGATATAGATTTTCAGATTATTTGTCAAATTTCAGAAAAAAAATCACAAAACCCACTTCAATTGCTCAGCGATCAAGATGTAGAACGATATGATTAGCTGGCGGATGAGTTCCACGTCATTGCCCCATTTATGCGAATATTCGAGCCGGATGAACACTGCAAAACGTTAAATAAAAGATGTGAGGAATACCTTCAACGGTTTTCGTCAGATTGGGAACGATGTTAGAAGAAGGTAGCAATGCCTTCAAATCTTCGTGTACAATGCCCTTGCAGGCCGCAACAAGAGCAGCAAACTCATTGGGCTATAAAAAATATATATATGCCAAACGGTCAGCGATACTTCTGTTCCTCGAAGGTAAGGGGAAGTGCCGGTAATCGTCGTCACTTTCAATGGCAAGTCGCTGAGTCCACGCAGATATCCGCTCAGTTCGGCAAAGTTCTAAAAAAGTCGATTGGAAACCTTCCCTTCCACATGAAAACAAGCCACCGAAATGAGAATTTTTATAAATAAAAAATCTTACCGCCTTCAGCTTTTCGCCACCCTTGCGATTCGGCAACAATGAGCTTTCAAGACGCGAGATGTTCGTCAGGTTCTCAGGTTCAACTCCAAAGTGTCTAAAACTCGGTCAACTTTACCGCCAAATGCACTGACTGTCTCAGGACGAAGCTAAACACTTTGAACGAGACGTCATCGCCCGCCTCCTCTGCCCACATGATAGTTTCTTTGATAGAATTGTCTCCAAAGCGGCGCAGTTCCGTCTTGCTGTCCCAAAAGCTGAAAAAAGGATCATTTGAAAAGTTTCTATACAATGCTTTTACTTTCGGAAGACTTGGGCCTGAGGCTCGTTTGCAATTGGGCCAATCGTCAGTGGATTTGACCATTCGCTAGTTGCACTGAAGCCAACGACCAACACCGTTTTTTGCTTTCTGGCTTTCTTCTCGGCAGGCTCAACCTAAACCGATGAAGTAGAGAAACAAAAAGACTCTGTACCAGGTCGTTTTCGATGCTCCTGTGCAATTTGCAAGCTGAAAACCGCTCGCCCATAGCGATTCCCAGTTTATCCATCAGCTTGCAAGCGAAGCTGTTGATGTCAGCAGCCTAAACACAGTAAGTAACGTATACTATGCATACCAAAGACTCCGCATCATGTGCGCGAAAAAAACTGCGTGGTAGATCGATGCTGGAAAAGTTTGCTAAATCTTTAATACGGCAATGTACCGGTAGTAATAGTCGTACAAATCTTCAAACGGCGGGCCACCCTCAATTTTATCGCAAATCGGTTGCGGAGTTTCGGCAGAAACATGCTTCTTTTTGAGACCCATCGTCTAAAAGCAAGCTCCCTGTTCCACTCATATTAAAAAGGCCAAATTATTGTAATAGTTCGATTGAAACCAGCATCGTGTGTGATTGACCCGCGTAAAAGAATCGCTTTATTCTGGCTCATAGGCTAGCACGAGTTGGGTGAAGAAGACACGGATCAGACGAATACTACCAACGCATAGTGGATTCCCGTAGCGGTGCATATCACGCAATGCGATGAGAGAAGGCAGGTCGGGGAGGCGGGAGAAGTCAGAGTATCGTACATGTGGGTTTTCAGTAACTTTTAGCTGGGTACGTTCTGGTACTTGTCTCGCCGCCCGTCAGGATGAGCCCAAATTACCGGGTGAAATAAAACGAAATACGGGGCGTGAAATAGGGTTAGCAAAATCGGACGTTTGTGATATGTGAGATGAAGAGGAATGAAGGTTGGGGGATGGGAAGGGGTGGGACGTCTTTGTACAGCCTTCACACAGACAGATATTATGCGGGCTGTTCAATATCATCATGTTCATACGGCGTTGACACCTAATGGGGGAAGGCAAAGAGCAAAAAGAGGAAAGACCCGAGACCGAACAATAGAATCTAGAGACTACATGTGTTGACGAAGGTCAGGAACAAATTAAAAACTGTCGATGCAGCCTGTTTGCATGAAAATACCGAGTGAGCAATGCGAATAAATATGGAATAACAAAAGGACTACAAATGAGAGTCGCCCGAAATAAGGCGCGTTGTATCGGAGCCCTGTCGAGTGTGGGAGCCCTGCCGTCGTAGATATTTGCCTGCTAAATTTCTGAGGTGTTGTGTGAGAAATCGAGGATACCGGTCGGGAGCTTTGGGAGCGCCGAGTTTATCAACAACGCAAGTAGCACGAGCATTGCGCCGACGACGAATGGAGGACCCGGGATGAGTTGCCAATCAAAGGCCGGCTTGTCCAACGGTACCTAAGATGACGATGATAGCACAAGATCTCTAGAAAGGGGTTCTTTCGCCTTCTAGGGACAAATTTACTATTCCGGAACCAAATAATCAGAAATTTTGATCCAGAAAGAAATCCTACCTTATACAGGGTGTCCCAATAAAAAAGGTCACGCTGGAATTTTGCTATTTCAAATCCGATCGACTTGAAATTTTGCACAGAGGTGCGGAAGGGAATTCAAAATGTTCACAGAAACTTTCAGCCCGATCGGTACAGTAGTTTTCAAGTTATTGTAAAAATACTGTTTTTCCCACACTTTAGCTTCATTTTTTCGGCTATCTTTTTGGACTTTACATCAATTAACATAAATTTCCGGCTCTAAATCCCTTATTCTTCTTAACATCGGCGTCGTTAGCCCTTGTTAAAAAAATACTTAAATAGCCTATTTTCGACCCGAATTTTGCGAAATAAAAAAATTCCTAGGATAAAAAAGGGTCGGCGCTTCATTTTCTCCATACATTCCAGGGCTCAATTCCGACGGAATCCAGGTGAAAAACGTAAAATAAAGTTTATTTTTGCTATAACTCGAAAACTACTATACCGATCGGGCTGAAAGTTTCTGTGAACATTTTGAATTCCCTTCCGCACCTCTGTGCAAAATTTCAAGTCGATCGGATTTGAAATAGCAAAATGCCAGCGTGACCTTTTTTATTGGGACACCCTGTATAATTTTGGAGTGTATCTGTGTGTGTGTGTGTGTGGATGTCACTTTCGAGGCCCGATTTGAGGGCCTTCCCGTGTCCAAAATGCGCTGATTTTTTGCCACTCGGGAGAATCGACCCTCCTCTTTCCGATGACGTTTTCAGAATTTCGATAAAATACAAGTTTACAAAGTTAAAGCCGGTTTTATTCATTCTTGGGGGTAATTTGCATAATATGAAAAAAATACAAATTTCCTCATTCTTGCAATTGGCCCGCGCGTGTGTGGACGGTGGGGGAAGGGGTCCGAAGGACCCGAGCTATCGGAAAGTCAAATTTTTCATGCAAAGGCCCAATTCCAGCGCCCAAGACCCGCGAAGCGGGTTTTGGGCGCTGGTTTATAGATTTTTTTGAACCAAAATATTCGGGTTCTCGAGCTTGATGCGTAGCTTTTCCGCCGGAAGTATCGATACGTTGCAAAAATAGTATTAAATAAGTAATATTCTGTTAACTACGACATATCTGGACTTATCAAAAAATTAGGTTACCTATGAAATTGCGAAAGCAGATCAAAGGAAATAAAATTCGTACCGTTTCGTTTCGCCTTGGCGTCAGGACCTTTTCCTTCGAATCAAAGGGTAACCGGTGAATATTTGGTACCGGGAATTGAGGGCCAACCTGAAATAAACACATTCTTTCCTGTATGCAACATGATTTTTACCCCAAGGTGTCCAGTGCCGTCACCGTCCTCATTCAGATCCACGTCAAATAGGTAAAATATGAATCCAAACAGCGCGGGGCCAAAACCTGAACGAAATACGAAAATGAGGGTTGAAACGGAGCGCCTACCTTGGCAAAGACCGCGAATCCCGGTGATGACGCCCTGGACAGTTCCCTGGCGATCCTTGTCAGAAAGAATCGACACGAAAGCCGATATTGAAGGGTAAGTGATTGAGGACATGGCGGCTAGAATTCCGGCGGCCCACATCATCCAATATCTAGCAAAAGGGAGTTGTAGCTTCAACTATATAACGACTTACTGAGTCCCGAGCCCATACCACAACAGCTGCGCCAACTGGAAGACGAGCCCGAGGGTGATCGTATGCTTCGTGCCCAACCAATTTGTGAGCACCAGTAGCACGCCGGTCTAAAGTAGGAAAAGAAAGTAGTAATTTTTGTAAAAAAAATTACCTGGGCGACAACTGACAAGATTCCGACCAATCCAATGAAGGCGGAGACGGCCTCGGATGAAAAGCCGACAATCTAAGAAAAGGTACAAAATAATTTTAAGATTGCTGACCAATTTCAAGTAGACAAAGAAGCAGCTGAATTGGCCGGATTCGGGCAAATAGGAAAGGAAGACGATCGTTGCCAATTGCAGCACCAGCCTGGAATCAAATTTGTAAGAATAAAATCTTCGAAATCGAATCAAAGCTAAGTTAAGTACTCACTTATCGTCCCAAACAATCCTCAATGATGCAAATGGGTCGGCGATCTGCCAGCTAAACGCCTCCGTCGGGATTTTCTTGGTGGGCAGCGATTCCGGCACGAAAACCATGATGAACAACACGTCCAAGACAGCAACAACAGTCGCCTAAAACCAAGGCGTGAATCCTGACAAAGTTTTAGACGCCGAAGAAAGGCAAAATAAAGGAAAACGAACCAACAACACCACGGCACCATCCCCGTAACGCTCCGACAAGTAAGCCCCAAGTGCCGGTGATGTCACAAGTGAAGCAGCGAATGTGGCAGATACTGAGGAAGCATATAGCCCGAGAATTCGAACTTACCAAGACCATACGCTGCACTTCGGTCGTGTTTTTCGGTGATATCGGCCACGTAGGCCAAGACCACGGAAAAAGTCACCGAGAAGAGACCAGATATGGAGAAAAGCGAGAAGTACCACCTAAGTAAATATTATAAGTTTAGCGGGGTTAATCGTCGGTCGTCCCCAATCAATAACAATTTTCAAATCCATACCATGGACTGATCTTCAGACAAGGGATCGGCATGCACGTGCAGAAGACCGTCAATATCAAGAAAATCTTCCTTCCCCAAACATCCGAAAGCGCACCAACCAGTGGCGCTGACAAGAAGGAAAGAATGCCCTAAAGCACATGTTTTACAAATACACAAATCCCCTACCTTGATTCCAAGTACCAATCCATTCATCAGGAATTTATTGGCCGGAAAAGTCTCGGCGAGCACCTAAAAAAACTGGATTTCACAAGTTGTATTGTATATATTTACATTGATCACCGGGACCGTCAGCAATCCCCATGCGAAATATTCGAGAAAGATGACAATTAACGCATGGGAGACCGAGGCGCTTGTTTGCGGGCCTAAACGAGAACCTTGATAACCTTTTTTAAAGCACCTTTCAAGTCTTCTTTCGGTCTGCTTTTTCCAAGCATCAACGACCAAAATGAACGTCTTCGCATCTGCGTCTGAAACGGAAGAAATTATTTGTTGATTACTCCCAGGGTTGGCTTGAAATACTTAAAGGGATGCCGACGGCATAGTCAATCGGTTACGCGCTGGAAAGAAAATTTCTCTGCGCCTCTCCCCTAGGCGCGCTCTCTGCCCTGTTGGCTACTTGCCAATTTGTTGATGGGGGGGATCGACACATGCCGTCGGCAGCCCTTTAAAGCAGCGGATATCGGTTAGGGAGAGAGAGCATAGGAACGTTTTGGAATCGGGGCGTCGCCGCGATAGCATCGCAAAATAGAGTGGCCGCCCCAAAAGAGCTAGCTCAGCGCCTGCATTGATCGTTTTATTCGCCCATTTACGAAATCTACGCTATCAGACGAAATTCTCTTTCACGCGCAGAAGTGGGAATTTACTTACCTCGCCCGGCATCGAGTATTTGGAGTAAAGGATGGGTTGGGGTTCTTTCGCTCCTTTAGCTGGCGTTAACTCGTCTAAAGCCCATTTATTAAGAAAGAATTCGGAAAGACTGACTGGGTCGTATTTGTACGGTAATGCCCGTTGAGGAGTTGCGCATCACCTGCAAAACTTGTTTGAGATAATCCTTAAAAGATAATGTTTTCGAAAATGGTAAGTAAAAAAACCCGTTCTGTAGAGATCTAGGAAACATCATAAAGAAATTACATTAAACCCACAAGACACCCCAAAAACACATTTCCACCCAAGCCGACAGAAAATAAAATGTTGAAGGGTCCCTTATTAAGCAACAATGTTGTCAGCCTTTTCACCTAACAACCTTTCCCCCATATTTTTTTAGAAGTGCCCTCTTGATGAAGCCATCGGTTGGTGGGCAGGGCGCGTGTTCGGATATCAATTGGGCGGGGGGTTGCTGGCTGCCGTAGCCCAGCCAAAGACGGAAACGGGTTTTCGCAAGCTTCCCCCACCTTCCCGGAAAGCACTGAGGTATGTATCCGGAGAAAGCTTAACAAAGCAGAGAGATCTGAATGATCAAGACGAAGCGTAAAATCATAATTTTTCATCTGTACTTTGTTGGATAGAAAAAGAAAACTAGTTAACCAAAGTCAGATCCCGATCTTGCTATTATAGGCGAAGCAAAGAAAAAACTGTACAAAAGGGTGCGGAGTTGTAGGGCCACATGTGCTGAAGTTTGCCATTCAAAATAAGTTAGTATACCCGAAAAAATGCCCAAAATCGACCGACATAAACTTAGGCTACTAACCAGATGACTCATCGTGGTATTCTAAAGCAAAAGCATAGCGAAGAGCTACAAGGCCATAGAAATGTACCCACCAGCACATATCAGCCGTCTAGCCTGTGCGGTGACCAAAAATTGTGGCAGTCCCTTCTCGTCGGCGCCCTGAAAAAAAGGGGCATAAGAGGTTCCGGTGTGGCAATCGCTGGGGATGGAACGGATAAAAACAACCGCAGTCTTCAACCGATTAAAACACAACATTCTTCTAATAAACTCTAAAAAACTCGGAGCTATTGATGTTGGGGGGGGGGGGGGCATCTTTTTTTTTGGCTCCCAGTCTTAGGCCTAGGCTTAGCTTTAACTTTGCGTACGCTTGGCTTATACTTACCTTGGGCCTAGGCTTGGCTTAGGCTTAGCTTAGGCTTAACTTAGGCTTGGTTTTGGCTTAGCTTAGGCTTAGTCTAGGCTTACTCTCGGCCTAGCTTATGCTTGGCCCAGCCCTAGCTTAGGCTTGTTCTAGACTTAGCTTAGGATTGGGCTTAAGCCTAGCCTTGGCTTAGGTTACGCTTAGGCTGGGCTTGGCTTGGTTAGCTTAGACTTGGAGACAAGCTTAGACCGGCAAAACCTCAAAAAAAAAAGATGCCCCCCCCCCCCCCCAACATCAATAGCTCCAAAAACTCTATAAATATTGCAAGGTGTTTTCTTCAGAGCGGCAAAAACTTTGAGCGACACACGAGCCAAAAAACGACCCCATAGCCCGCAGCGCGCTTTCAATCGATCCGTGCCGAGACCCGAATCTCCAACCCCCAACACAACGAAAAGCAACAATGCGCAATCGCCCAACGACCGTAGGAAACCAGAAAAACAAATAAATATTTATGCCAAAAGAATTCATATCCACAAGGCGAACACCCGCATCGACGAAACACAAAGAAAAATGTTATCACAGAAAATTAGCACAAGATTTTTGACACCGAAAAATAATATTAGGAACTAGCGTAACTATAAGCTAAAAATTGCTAGAATTCTTTCTCATCGACCTTTTGCTCGTCGCTATAAAAATGCCGCTTTCGTATCCGTATCGGTAGTTCTACAGCGCCCACCTAAATGCGAGCAATCGTAACTGGCTGGGTGTAAGGTACCTTAAGCCCCCATGCACCACCAATCACGCCAGCTTGCGCAGCCGCGCCGGTAGCGACGGCTAATTCGGGATCTATTCCAAAGTTTGGTGCCTTTCTAAATTAAACGTGACAATAAAAAGATTCCAAAGAGAACTGACCCAAAATATTGTCCAACTAGCTTGCGAACGCGTGGAATCCGTGTCGATCCACCGACCAGGACGATCTCATCGATGTCGGAGGGCTAGAATTTCCAGTGAAAAAAGAAGCGCCAAAAAAAAAGGAATCGGCGTTCAAAAAATCAATGCTAACCTCTTTCCGAGCGTCTTCTAATGCGGCCCTTATTGGCTCCTTGATAGATTCGAGCAACGCATGATTCAGCTCCTCGAATTCGTCACGTGTAATCTAAAACCAAATTGCCAGCTTGGATTTTAGGAATGATACTCACCTCATACTTGAAAGCACCCGTCGTTTTCAAATCCAAAGAAATTGTCGTCTTCAAATCGGAGGTGAGCCGCAGTTTTGCAGCCTGAAAAAAATTAAACTGAAAACCTAAAGCAGTTAACCTCAACTTCCAGCCGGATCTGTTGAATATCTTCCTGGTCGGTAATATGTTTCCCAAACGTTTCTTCCAAGACCTGAATTTGGGCGTTCAAGAGAGAAAAATCCGCACAACCTTGATCAGGTGGTTTTGAATGTTATTGTTGAAGTCCTGGCCTCCGAGGCGGTTGTTTCCAGCCATAGCTTGCGTCACAAAGGTAGCCCCTTGAAGCCGGAGCACAGAAACATCCAAAGTTCCTCCACCGAGGTCCACGACGACCACATCTTCCACTTTTTTTTTCTCGTGCAATCCATAAGCCAGAGAAGCAGCCGTCGGCTCAGAAATTATTCGACGTACTTCCATGCCTAAAAGAGATTTTTGAATGGACAAATGCCACTCAACAGTATCGAGGTTTTTAAAAACATGACAAAAAGCTACGCACCCGCCAACTCAGCTGCCTTGCTGGTGTACTCTCGTTGTTTCTCTTCAAATTCGGCCGGCACCGAAATGACGACCTGGGCCAGGTTTGAGCCAAGTTGTTTTTCTGCAGCATCTCGCAAATATCTAATGATGATCGCACCGACATCATGCGGGTAAACAATTCTAAAAAACAGATACTCGAAACGTCCATGAGACCTACTTGATTCCAGAATCCAGCGGGATTTCGAAGTAAGCATGTCGAGTCTCATCCAACTTTATGGCGAATGGATAGCGCTTTTGGTCTCGCTAGATGGAATATGTCAAAAGCAACAGAGCGCAAACGCTGCGAAATATCCATCGGGGCCAAAAATCATACCTTAAAGAGAGGGTTGTTTTCGTCGAAGGTGCGTCCGATAAAGCGCTTCGCGTCGTAGATGGTTCGAGACGGATTATGTTCTTGCTGAGCAACAGCTCTGGTCCCAACCAGCACAGTGCCGTTAGGTCTAGACAAAAGTTAGATAGCAAATCCAAAACAAACAGCCATGCTACAACCGACGGCACGGAGCGCTTTCCCAAATCATCCGCTAGTATCGTTGTTTCTCCTAATTCGAAGATCTTAGAGAAAGAAGCTTCCGTTACCCGTTACTGCATGGCATATGCCAATCGAAGAGTAGGTCGTTCCCAAATCCACTCCTGCTACTTTCGGTGCTGGAGGTGGAAGTCCATATTTTTGTCCCAAATAGCCGGCCAAGAGTAGGGCCAGGATCCCGCCACCTAAAGATGTAATTTAAAAATGCTCGTAAGATATATGGTTTGCAATTTCAAACACCCACCTATTAATGACATCGACATCTTGGCTTCTTATTTCGATATCTTGTCCATAGGCCTAATAAATATCTAGGATATAGGAGAAACAGTAAGAAAAGAATCGGCCGAGACCCGGGGGACACGCCACCTAATGCGTCGTCAGTTCTTTGACAGTCGAAGGGCTATATTCTTTCCGTCGATAGGACACTAAAGTACAGACACAGCGAGGAGAAGGAAAAGACACAATCAGCACACACAGATTAGCAGAAACGTAAGTAGACACCTTAGCCGTGCGAAAATAATCCGCTAAAATATAATTCACATCTTATAAAGGATTGTAAGATCACAAGTGAGGGGGTCATACGATGAGACGTTCACGAAACCCGTCCCCGCAGCATCTGTCGGGCACTATGATCTGCTCCTTGCTTTCGTCGAGATCATTAGCCTCATTGCTGCTAAAATAGCAGAAATTAGGAAAGCAAAAAATAAAGAGAAACCTGCAGCTGTCGGGGGCTTGTCTTAGACGAACTTCATGGACACGCTCGTGGATATCCATCATAGTTTCTTCGAGTACGGCACCCAACGGCTCAAGAGGTTCCTAAATATTTTTCAAAACAATATATCCAGTAAAGCTCACCTCCTTTTCTGGTGGGGCCGGGCGATTTTTTCGATCTTTCTAAATGGTCTTCGTCTGAGTCAACTTTCAATATCAAACCTTCAATTTGTAAACAATGTTCCGAAGCGATTGGATCGCCTCATCGTCCGTGAATCCGAAATCATTTGCCAACCCGGATTGCACAAATTCCATAAATTTTTCCAGAGATAGGTTACGGATAGTTTCTAAACAAAAGATTTATAAATAGGGTTAGATCACTCACTCTCGTGCATATCCATTATATTTAGAGCCATTCCCATCAAGACTTCATCTCCGTAAAGTATGTAGACATCCCAGATTCGGAGAGCCAGCGGGAACGGGACACGGTCCAGGAAACAGCCAAACCACCACTTGGTTACGAAGAAGTAAGGGATGGCTTCTTTTTCCTAAAATAATAGATTGATCCGGAGTCTTTCATACTTCACAGAACAAAGTGAATATTAGCAAATATTTACCAATGCATCGTAGACCTTTGGCTTGTAATGTTTGAGGATTTTCCTAAAGTGACTCTCGAATCGTTGCAACTTTGGAAATCCCGTCACGAAGAACCCTAAACAAATAGGATGCGCGAAAAATGGACCTTACCGTGCATCGTGTGCCGTGGAGAAATCATTAGTGAGTGGAGGCACCAAAAGGCATCTTCTTCGTCGAGAAACATCAGCAGAAGGGCACCAATTTGGCTCATACCCTAAACCAAACCAAACTGAACAGAGCCAAGCATGAATTCTCTACCTGACAATACCCAATTTCGGTATTGAAGACTGAATAGGCCACCAGGAGATTGAAAAGGGATTGTTGCCTAAAAAATGGAATAAAGTCTTAAAGTAGCGAGTACTTGACATCGTAGCGTCGACGAAAAGCCGCGTGATGGCGGTACGTCCTCCCAACGTCGAGATCTATCTGCTTCACGTGTTTAGAAATCAGCCTGGCCCGGGCGAGAAGCTCGCTATAGATCTGGAAAAAATATCGTGAAAACGTTGAAATACCTTTCCTTGCCGGTATGAAGCCTTGATAGCATCGATATCGAGCAAGAACGGCCATACCTACAGAAAAATCGTGAAACGGGTAGCCAAAAAAAAACACAAACGCGAATTCGGAGTTTGTTTGGCACGCCTTCCCAAACCAATTCTTCCATTTGACTGCATGGGGCCGAGAAGGGACGGGCCAACAGATTCAACCACTTTTTCTCTCTACGCACCTAAAGAAAATGAAGAGACAGACAGCGGCATTACATCTTGTGATTTTCGCTTCGGCGTCTCCTGGGCAAAGACAAAGTTGTCTCGCCTAAGGAACGGTACGGCAAAAATTAACAGATTTACTGCACAAATCCGAAGCGGTCGGTTCGTTTGAAGCCTTCCCATTCGGAGCGCTCCCAGTTGGCAATGTGGGGGTTGTCGGGGCCCTGAAGAAAGTTCTTGATCCGCACTTTCTCATACCCGATCGTACATTGCCACGATCTTATCGCGCTCCAGTTGCTCGCGCAGCTCTATCTCTCCTGGGTCGGATATCATCGAGCAAGTCTAAAAAAAAAGAAAAATTAGGATTTGAGCCAAGCGTTACGGTTGACGAAGAAGAGGTTGAATTTGGCCCGCGTCGCAGATGTGCCCTCTCAGGCGGCATCGGCTAAAATTTTTATACTAATAAATACTTCGAAATTAATTTGGCAGAAACCCAAAGTTTGGAAAAATTTGAACTTGCTTGATTTTCCGAACGCTACGCGCGGCACCATTGACGATCGTATGTGAAGTGGTGTGTAACGGAATTTTGTAGCGCGTTTGGATTGAAAATTTTTTTTCTTATTATTTCTTAGCATTTCACGAAGTTCCGTTTCGTTTGCTTTGAATCCAACTATCACTCTCCTGCTCAGACATACTTCATTCTCAGCCAAGCCAAGGGCCATCGCTGCGAAACTTTAGCTTCCCTAAAATCACTCCTTGTCCTTTTTTGGTGATGCAGACAATCGTGACAAGACTGGCACAAGCGCTGTTTTTTGACCGAGCACATTCCTGGGCGCCTCGGCACAATGGGTCTATTTGGTCATGGCAACTTTTTCCCCGCAGCGTGCCTGATCGGCGGAGTCCCGGCTAGCACGGCGCTCTGCGAAATGTAATCTGTCTTGAGCCTTCGGATGTGAACAATTGGCAGAACGGTGGGGTGACTCACAAGAAGTCGTTTCGAGGCGTGAATGGAGTTTTGTGATGGGGACTAGCTGATTCGATTCAAAATTCTGGACAGGTCCATCCTGCAAAAAACCGCTAAATGATACCGGTCTTCGAGAAAAAGTTACTCATGTTCCCACTTTGTAAAATGGGGCAAAAACTCCAAAAAAACGGCCTTTTTCCACAGACATTTATCGTTCCTCTGTTTCTGAAAGATAGGCCTGTTCCTAATTTCAAGCGTTATCGAATGAGTTAGCTCAATCGCCAAACTTCCTTGTCAGCTCAACGCAATTCCTGATCAGCTTCCAGATTGAGGAGTTTAGTGGGAGATTTCTGTTAGGTTTATTCGTCACACAATAACTTTGTACATCGGCTGGAACTTTTCTTTTTCTGGAACCGGCACATCTTTGGGCTACCTCACCAGTTTCAACCACTCCAACAAGGCCCCCGGCTGGCGCCACGCATGGGCCTCCGGGCCTATTTACACGCGCGGGGCTAAAGACAGTCGGGCCCGCGTTCCCACGCCCACCAGCGACTTTTGCTCGACGCGTTTCCCCGGATTTTCCCCATCCGGCCACCGTGTCAAATGTAAATATTCAGGGGATTGTGGGGAAGACCCTCAGCATTGTCGAGTCCCGTGCCGATGATATAGACACTCAAACGGGGGTCTGAACCGGTTTACGTAGGCATCAATTTCTTGGAGAGGGGAATGAAGCTAAATACAGGAATAAGCTTTGGAAATGTGGTGTGTTCGATAACTCTTGCTGGGGATTCAAGGCCTAGAAAAACTAGAAATTTTCGCATAGCTTGTGTTTCTGATTATTTTAGTTATTCTTAGACCAAAAAACTTTCTGAATTTTAATGAAAGAGTTCATTTTAGATTGAACAATCAGTTGGACTATAAAATTACCAAAATGTCGAGCTGTTCACATATTTTCTCACGTTTTTGAAACCTTTACTTAAACGATAGCTTTTTAGAAACTATTAAAGTAGGAAAAAATGGTTCCGTTGAGGCCGATATTATTTTTCAACCACAAAAATAGTGCGCCTTATGTCCCAGAGTCCCGGAGCCCCACACGATCTGCCCCAAAACACCTATGTCGTGGCCGTACCACAGCGGTGGCTAGCGAAAATGCACGGGTTGATGTTTGCATAAAGAGTGGACATTCAGTGGGCTGCCCTCGTGCACGTGTGGCTCGGCGGCCTTTGTGCTCCGCGCTGGGCGCTAAGCTGGGCCCCGGGTGCGCGCTGGCCGGGGCCTCGTACCCGCGCGGGATTGTGGCCATCTGAACCGGCGTGACGTCGGCCCGCATTTGGTTGGCAACATGGGGCGCGCTAAGGCGGGCCGGAGGTCTCTATTCCGCGGGCCTCGTCGCGCCACAGAAAAACCCGTGAAAACGGACAGGTCTCTGTGGCCGCTGCGGGGGGTTTGGTCTCAAACAAACCCCCGCGCGCCGGGTTGCGCGCGCGAAACCGGATTTCGGAAAATAAACACTAGAATCAGGCGGGGATCGGGGGGTTATGTTTGTGGATGGGGGTCATGGATTAAGGGTTGCAAATTGAGATTGGAAGATGATCAGGGAGGATAAGGTAAACGTAACAAAATATTTCGGGGGGCAATTAGCAAGACGTCGCATGGTCCTCGCTAGTTTTCGTCAGACGTATACTCTTATGAACATTTACGTTAATTTTGCCTAACCTCGCTGCGTAACTAGGTGCCTACGTAGTGATACTGCAACGTGATCTATAAGTTGCCTTGCATAAACATAAAAATTAAGTTAATCACTGTAATGAGACATCGTATTTAGGAATTTAGGGTACCAGGACATACTTTATAGACGAAAAGAGCTATTTTAGGGTCTCAATATTTGCCGTTTGTGCATTTCAGAAACTGTGCGACATTGGTATTTACTTTACTCTCAGGCTCGATTGCAAAGGTATATCTATGATTCAGGGATTTCCGGTGTCTATTAACTTTGAAACTTTTAATAACGGTTATGTTCATGAAAGTACATGCTTTTTCAAGTTTTTAAAACGATGGATGTTCTTATTCCCAATTTTCGGTGCTAATGCACTTGGGGGGGCAGTCCCGATTTTGAATACAAGTCGCTCCAAATGCCGTTTTTTAAACTCGAAGCCTCTGGAAAAGCTAAGCCAAGCCTAAGCCTGGACTTAGCTTCATACAAACGAAGTCTAAGCTTAGGTTGAGCCAATCTAAGCTTAGCTCTAAGCTTAGTCCTAAATGACCCCATTTTGACCTCGTAAGACAATTTGAAGCTCAAGATAAGCTTGACTTGGGCTTAAGCTTAAGCCTAAGCCTAAGCTAAGCTTAGTTAAAGCTAAGTTAAGCCTAGGCTTAAGCAGAAAACCAAGTAGCTTAAGCGGAGCGTCTCGTAACCCTTTACTACCAATTTCGGACTGCCCCCCCACCCTAACTGCATTAGCACCCAATTTTCTGTCATTTCAGCAATGATTTGCGCAAATCTATCCATTTTCAGATCCACCCTATCCCAGCCACATGACCGACGCGGTCAGCGTGATGGGTTGCTCAGTTTTCGTGGAACAATCAGACAATCAGCCCGTTGTCTTCGGCTGACTGTTTGACGGGCATGTGGCCCACAATTGGGGGGCTTTTGATGCCGTGCAGTGTGGCATCGACTGAATGGCATGGGGACCCACCAGCCACTTCCCCCTCCCACCCTCCCTCCCCCCTCTACCATCTGGGCCACCAACACTGGCCCCACCCATCCGGGGTGCCCCGTATAAAAGCAAGATTCAGGGCTGACAATTCACCAACCAACCACACCATGGCCCATCGTCGTCTAGCCCTTGGCCTCGCCCTCGTCGCCATCGCCCTCGCTCAGGAGGGCCAGTCTGGAGGTGCGTTTTTGACTTTGCTCTTGATACCTCGTGCTCAAAAAGTTTTCATTTTCACCATGGAATATCTTGCTTCTTTCTTGGCTCTTACTTTTCTTTACTCTGGTTTAGCGCTAGTATTAGTGTTTCGTTTTACCTATCTTATTTTCGCGCTCGTGCTCAAAAAGCGCTAATTTTAAACGCGATACTGCAATAACCTTGGCTTATTATTTAATAGAGTCTCTCGAAACGTTCAAATTATCATAAATACTGGTCCTGCTTTGCAAATGAAACCTATTCGTTTACGGTATCTAATGTCCAAAATTCAGCTTTTTTTTACTTCACGATCCCTTCAATTGCAGTAATAGGAGAATCTGGACATGTTTCTTATTAAAACGTTAAAACCAAATATTGCGAGTTTTAGAAGAGACGACGTCGAAGCCTGACGCCAAGAGGAGGCAGTACATCGCCGGCCCACTCCGGCCCGCCGTTCCCCTAGCCGTAAGTTTTCATTTTAGCGTTATACCCTTCAAAAGGTATGCTTTAAAAACTTCTAGTGATGGTTAAATTCGTAAATACCCTGAATTTCAGATCCCCCGACCAGTGATGGCCGCACCGGCAATCCCCATGATGCCGGTGAGTAATTTTCGGTTATGATAACTTTCTTTCTTAGTGAAAAAAGTAAATAAAGTGGGATAATAATCTATTTAGTTGGCCCAGCCGGCCGTCCCTGTCGCCCCCGTTGGTCAGTGCCCCGGAGGCCCATCCCTGCCAATTGAGTGCGACCCGAAGAGGCCGTGGCCCCAGTGCCCCCCTCAATCCTACTGCTACGCCACCAACTCGGTCGACATTGGCCCATATTTCTGCTGCCCAGTCTGTAAGTTGAAAGTTTAAACTAAAAACTATTTCTGTCGGGTCACGGTAGTTTCTTGTTCATTAGCGGGGGGAGTTAGGAGGGAGAAACCAGCTTTTTCTAGTAGCCTTGCGTAAAATACCAACTTCGTCCACAGATTACGTGCCGTCCGGCAACTTCCTTAGCCATTGAATAGCCGGGGCAGCGCTGCCATTTTGAGGGTACTCTACACCACCGTCCCACGGCCACCCTTCGGCCCCGGCAAATCCGGTGGGGGGCGCGGGGCGCGCGGGCAGCGCGTGAAATGCGTTTGCGCGGACGCGGAGCGCAAACAAAGCACAAACAAACACAGAAACGCGCGGCGCGTGCCCGGCAAGGCGCGCACGTGTAACCGGATCCGTGCCATTTAGCAAGCATTAGTGAGGAGGGGCACGGCGGCTTTGCATGCAACATTGTAGGCAGGGGGACGTTTTCTGGGAGCTTTTAATATCAGCAAATACAGTTTTTCTAGACTGTTTTTTATATTCCTAAACGTAAAACCTTTCAAACGCAAAAGCTCGATTTTTTTCGACCGAAAATAGTCGAATCGGACCAAAATTTTCTTTTTTCTAAGTTTTCACATAGTTTTCCACTTTAAATATGCCTAAGAGTGATAATTGTAAATTATAATGAAACCCCCCCCCCCCGATGTTGCCAAAGCGCCGCAAAAGTTAATCAACAAACGTTCAGGGTCCACCTACGGAGCCGCCTGGCGCCCGGCCGCTCCCTTCTACAACTACGTGCCCCCGGTGCCCGCCAACTGGCCCGAGGCCCTCCGCATGACCGCCGCCTGGCCCGCCAGCGCCGTCGGCCTGCCCGTCTACGCCCCAGGCGCCAAGAGCAAGAAGGTTAGTTTACGAGACGAAAATCGGCGAAAAATTAGCGGCATCTCCGCTCCCCGTTGTGTTCCTGAGCTGTTAAGTATACCAAAATACTCGCCAGACCAAGACGTACATTTTGGTGTACTTTACGACCCTGTAGATAAATGGGGGCCGAGATAGGCCCGGGTAAAGTGTGCGCTTAAACGCTTACGCCATAAAAAACACGCAAAACTATGGGAAAACAAATATCCCCAATTTTCCAGCCCGCCAAGCTCCCTGTCGATGGTGAGGAGAAGAAGGAGGAGGAGAAGATGGAGTCCTCAATCAACAAGTGGATGGAGCGTCAATCACGACTTGTAAGCTTTACCAGAAAAATTCCTCAAAAAAAAACGTATATTTTAGTAAATTCTCCACAACTCCACCTAACGAACGCCTAATTTATCGCCGAGAGTATTCGCTGTGCCCCCCGAGTTATAAACGCGTAATGACGGGGCCGCGCCGCGCGGTTCCGCTTTTTGGCTGTATATATTTGATGAAGTCGCCCGATTGCCCTGTATTGTCATGTATGTCCCCCGGTCAATTCCCTTCCCGTGTGCCTTGTTCTCGTTTTGCACTGTGGCATGCACACGCGTACGCACAAAGCGTACGCGTTTTTGGAATAAATTTGTCGGCCTTAATTGGTGGAATAGTACAAAAACAATTAACCAAAAAATGCAAAAAGTCTAGCTTTTGAGGGAATTTTATTGTTTAAGAAACTTTTAAAAAATAGATAAAAGCTAAAGCTAAATGATAATCTGTGAGTAAAATTAAATAAGTAAAATCTGTCAAAAACTACACTAAAAGTTACAAAAAGATCATAAAATGTGGAAAAACTTCACGAGCGCCAAAAATAAGCGTGTACGGAGTAGCTGCTCGTACTAAACTCCACAAGCCACATATTTTGCTTTTTCAAGTCTTAGAATCTTTCTTTAAAAGTGAGAATTATTAGAGCGTAGTATTATCGAATAGAATCAAAATTGTTAATAGAAGTTTAAAACACTCTAGAACGTTTTCAATGTTAAAATTTTAAATACTCCCCTTTAGAGTTTTATAAACCCTGGCAAAAAAAAACATGAGCATCAGTTGATCCTCCCCAACAATACATAGCTAGGAGAATGTCCTTGCCGCCGGGGAAAAGGGGGCGGCTTACATACCGCATCCTAAAAAAGGGATGCAAGGATCGGGCGAGTCGAAAAAGCGAGAAAAACTACCATTTTCCGCGGAAAAACCTTTCCGCCCCAGCTTCACCAGACTGTATTCCGATTATCAGCCTCGCCCTTGCTATTGCCAGAAAAATCAGGAAAACCGCGTGTGTGTAGATGTCTTTGGAAGGGGGGGGGGGGCAGAACGCAGACCCCGGGGGCAGCCTGACAATGGCAAGAACGGGTTCTGCCATCCGTCTATCGCCTGGCTGCCATCGATCTCGCTATCTATCTTTCTATTCATCCCCTCCCCGCAAATGCACTTCCCTGGCGCCTGAAATCTATATTTATATTGGGTAAAATAACCTTATATAACTTTTAGTTATTTTCGCTAAATTCGGTTCTTTTGCATTATCGGGGGGGGGGTGGGTCAATACGTCCAGATACGCCTCCAGATAATTTAACATCAAATTGTCATAGTTTTTGTAAAAATTTAAGCAATTTTCAGTTGGAAAAACTAATTAAAAAACTAGAAAACTTGCGAGATGCGTTTTTTGTCAGATATATCTATTTTTCTGTTTTTTTTTCTAGAAATGTGTACGGCTTTGACGTTGAACGAGTTAAAACAGTGTTGAAATTTTCCACGCGATTCATAATATAAAATTTTGAATTTATGGATGAAAATCGGTTTCTTTTTCGATGGGTTTTTTTAGAAACTGGTACCGTTTTTTACGGGGAGAAATGTTGTTTATGCTGAAAATTTTGGATGCTAGGAAGATGGTTGACGCCCCCCACCCCCGATAATGCAAAAGCACTCCAACCGCCAACGCACCAGATCACTAGGGCCAAACTTCTTTGAAACCGATACCAAACTCCGAAAACATCCCAGTCAATTCATCACTACCAAACACTCCTATCGACAACATCAACAAAGTTAATACCACACGAGATAGACTCCCACTACCCCCTCCCCCCGCACTGTAAAGTGTCTGCCTAGGTTAGTGACGCGGCGGCACGACGGCTCAGCCGCCCACTTCAAAAATCCCTATTTTGTGCCCATTTCTCATGCCATCTCCCTCTTTTTTGTCCACTTCTCCCGCACGCAAACTACGCCATGTTTTTTCCTTTTTCCGGCAAGACCGTCCTTGGCGTTCGGCCCCTTGAAAGAACACAAAAGTCTCGTGGGGCAAAACATCTGGTCCCGGAGTTGGACACGGCGCGCCAACTTGGTCAGGGTCATCAGCTGCGATTCGGTCCTTTTGCATTATGGGGGGGAGGGATGTCATTCCTTAGGATGTCATTTTTCTAAGAAAAAGGAAGCGCTGTACTGTACCTAAAAGCTTTACAAACCTTGCCAAACATCACAAAAAATGGCGATTTTCGAACAAAATTTCCAATTCTAAAAAGTTTTTTAACTTTTTCCGCGAGCAAATCTAGTTGAATTGTAGGAAAATATATTAAAAACCTTGAGATTACGTTTTCACTACTTACTAGGCTTTTGGAATGATAGGACCCCCCCCGGATAACGCGCAAGAACCTCCGATTCCCAGAAATGTACAACACCCGGTTCCTTGAAAATCGCTACCTTTTCATTCGCATCAAGGTTGACCATCGATTTTGGCTATTCTCCGAAGATGCATCCCTTTTGAGCGCCGCTCAAATTGATCTCCTCCTTTCGCTCAATCCCTGCGGACCGGCTTTCCAAAATGGGAAAATTTTGGGTGGCGGAACGGCCCAAACGGTTTTTGTCTACCAAGAAGTTCTTTGCGAACTCGGCTCTTTAGGATTGTCGGCGGGAAAATCAAGCCTTTTCCTCGGTTTCCTCGATTTACTTCAGAAATTGGTGCTGTATATTTTGTTATCGCTTCTTTTTCGACATAAAAACTTCAAAAATTTCTTTACAACAAGCGACTATGCCCATTTACTATCTAAAGTGATGAATTTTGACGAAAATTTGAAAACTTCCGGATATATGAAGTTTATTTTCAACCCTCACCCCCCCCACCGCCCGATAATGCGGAAACACCTGTTACTAAGCTATTTATAATTACTGCTTCCTTCCCATGTTCCTACGATTAAAAACATAGAAAAAAAACAACGCTTACAGATTTGGGAATGATACCACGAGGGCTGATCGTGTTGCTGGCATTCCTAGGCCCCGTAGCTAGTCAAGACTGCGATATTCGTGATCCCTCGTGCCGAGATCGCCTTTCCCGCAAAGGAGGCGCACTGCGGCGAAAAGTAAATGCTAAATACCGTAAAATAACAGTAAAAAACCTAGGTAAACTCCAACTGCAACTATCAGGACATTTGGTTGGTCCCGGGGCGCGCAGACGCCTCTTGCAGTACGTTTCCCAGCCTTAGATTTCTATTATGTCGCTCCAGCACGACCGGGGGCCCATCGGATCATCGATATCCAGTCATCAAATGTTCATATAAAGCCGGACGTCGTCAAATTCCCCGGGTGCTTTACCCTCGAGATCCGGAACTTGAAAGTGAGGCTTTAGCAGTTAGGCAATAACTATTTTTCTAGATCCACGACCGCGCCGAAGCGCTCGGCAACTCCTTCTTCGCGAAGGCCGAATTCCAGTGGTGGAACGTGAAAGATTTCTCAAACTTGAAATGTCAGAATTCATCTAGTGACGGGTGCGGTGGATACGGGAATAATTGGTAGGTTCAAGCTATGGCACATTTCCGGGAATCTTCAAATTCTCTTGGACGTATTGACAAACATTTAGTGGTGTTTTTAATCAAATTAAACTAAATTTCTAGTAGAAAATTAGCTAAAAACTATAAAAACATGTGAATCTGAAATTTTAGCCGGTATTCGGCTAGGTTAGTCGAAAATCGGCTTTTGTAGCTTTTAATAAAAATCTGTCGAGTTTTTACGTTTAAAGATAGCAAAAAACGGTCTAGAAAACGTAATTTCTAGTCTAGAAAAACTGAATCCTATGATTATGTTTCCCCTAAAAATCATAAAGTGCAGGGCATACCAAAAAGAATTAATATTAAGTTACTACTGTGACATCTGCGAGTCCCTGACGGATATCGAAGAGGGGCGAACCAGACCCGACTCATTCCAATCGCAGCTAAAGGGCATCAATTGCCCGCAGCATCCCGGATTTTACACTTTCCGTAAGGTAGAGTTGGACCACTATTAACCCTGCCACGACCTCGTCTAGGAATTCTGCTTCAACGATTGGTCGGCCTTCGACGCGGATGGCGACTGCGAAATGGACTTTTTGAATGGGGATCGCGGCGACTATAAAGGGGCGCTTTCATCACTACAGCAAGTTGGATATGTAAGTTAGAAACAAACGTAAAACGATTTTCTACAAGTTGAAAGAAATCTGTAGCTTTTAGGGCTCGGTTATCGCAAAAATACGCCTCGCTTTCAACGCCACGGGAGCCATTGCTAAAAAGAGAGAGCAGAAAGAAGAGCAAATCCAGCAGACGGTACTGCGCGAGTTGGAGGAAAGGAGAAGGTGGCTACCTACTTTCTAAAAAAATATCCACAAATTCCTTCAGGACCTGGGATGTCAACAATGGTCAATTTGACAAGTTCAGCCAGTGGTATATTGAATATAGGAAGAATATATGGCACAAGTAAGTAGGGTCCTGGATATTTCCGGGGGGGAGATTTGTCCTATAAGTATAGATATGCTTAGTAACGTCATAGCTAGTATTTGAAAAGGCTTTTAATAAAAGTTAGCTATATTTAAAGTGGAAAAATAATGTAGAAGGCTTCGAAAAGTGCTAGAAAATATCAAATCTTGGCAAAAAAGTCTAATAAAATCCGTTTGTATGTTAGAAAGATTAGATCAAGGAAAAATTGTGTTCCTCCTCGTCGAACCATCCCCTCGCAAATAGTAAAGAACCGGAACTGGTGCTCCTTAGTCCCAAAATACCAACGAATTTTCAGAGAAGATTATCTACCGTGGCTGATCTACGAGAATGAGATGTCATGTCTGAAGCTGACCTTCGACGTCTGCGAGCGGCCACCCCGGCGTATCTCATTCGGCGATAGAGCCCGCTACACATGCAATTAGCCCCAAGCCTGGACCTAACTCCTCCCCCCAAATTCCAATGATCTCATAGGGCTGCCCTGGTGAAAACACTTTCAAATATGCCCTGCCCCTTTGCTACTGTTGCTGTCTGCCCGACCCCTAACTTTTACCGTCGCTCTAGTCCGAAAGCACGCCTCTAGGAGCCAAATTCCTCCATTCTTGTTTTGTTATTTCGTGCTCGTGAAAGACTGGTTTATCCGCATAAAACGGCGAAGCAAATAGTTCGAATAACTGCAACGAGTGTGTCGAATCAATGTCGAATCAGAGGGGTATCCGAGTAATGTCAGGAACGCTTCAATCGGCTTGTTCAGGTGGGCGACTCAGGGCATTGGCGGCTTGGAGCGCGCTGAATCGCAAACATAGGCTAATAATAAATGGGGAGAGGCGGGATTTAATTTATTAAATCCGCAGGCAGAGGTCAGGAAAGCATTTATAAAGTGAATTTTCTTTTTCATTTATTCCCCCGAGAGTTCATCTTGCAACCAACCAATTTCTTCCTTTCGCTAGTGTTCGAAAAATGGGTGTAAAAAGTCACAGGGTAAAAAACCATGAAAACGTCGCCAAAAGAAAATTATCATTTGATAAACATCATTTGGAAATAATGAAAATCCTTAAACCTCACCGCCTCCGATGGGACATCTTCTGTTCGTGCGACCCGCGCTTCGCACTTTCCTTGGCCCGTTTGCTGGACATCGCATGATTGGCTCGCGCGGTGGCTATCTGGCAGTCCCGTTCCGAAAGGCTACGCTGGAAACACGTACAACATTTTTGAACGCTAAAAATACCAACCTTCCTAGTTTTTCGGGCCCTCGGCGTGTTCTCCTTTCCAGGCATCATTGCTGGCGGATTCGAACGCGACCGGCGTCGTTTTTCAAGCAATCGCGGTGTTCGCTCGAGGATCTCCTTCTCTAAATCCCAAAAATAAGAGCCTGATTAAAATACCAACCCAGCTCTGTCCGAATTTCGCGCTTTGTCCTATTCTTGACCCCTTTCACTTGCGCGAGTACTTCACTGGCGGCCGACCTTGCTTGACTGCGGACCTGAAGTGTTGTTTAGTAAAAGGAATTATGCGCATACCTGTTGAAGCCGAATTTTGCGTCGACGTTCCCGCTCAGCTTTTATCAGTTTTTCTCGTTCAGTCACTGTGATCAATCCCATCTGAAAGTGTTGGATTGGCAGGGGGAGTGTATCCTTTTTTTCAAGAGAACGGGGAGAGAAAGTGATTTGAATAGAAATTCCTGGCATAAGGGTACGTGATGAGGATAGGCATGTAGCGCAGCCCTACAAGCTCAAAGGCCCGAGTCGTAGAAAAAAGTGAAGAAACCTGAAAAGAACAAAAAAACAATAGGAACGCTTGTATTCTGGTAAACGGAGTTCGAAACAAATCGTAATAAAGAAAAAAAAACCGGACCCGGTAAATCGCCGATATCGCTTAGAAAGTTCCTTGACAAAGTATCGACATTTGCATAATAATAATTGCATCAAACCCGGTGGGGAGTTCTGATCTGAAAAACCGATCATTTCATAATTCTTACAGCCACAAACGGTCGGTTTCCTCTGGTATGTTCTTTTCCGACCCCCAGTAAAACAAACCACAGGCGTCATCGACCTGAAAAATGTTGGCCGACCTATACACAATGTTGGAACCGAAAGATTACTTGTATGTTGGAGGTGGGCACCGTGTCGGCCCTAAAATATCATACAAAATCAGGCGGTCTCTCCCTCCTCTACTTGCTCAACGGGGTTCCTTCGCACGCCTTCTGCGAGATCGTGCTTGGTGCCGTCCCCGCGGCTTTCACATACAAAGTATTGCTCGACACCGAGATCAACCAAGAGGGCCAAGTACGAACTACCGTCCACCGGAACGCTCGGGTATTCAGGAGGCGCTGATGTTCTTCTGGGTGCTGCACGGCGTGTTCGTCGCCGCCGGCCATCTGATCGCCACGACCCCGTCGTTTTACATCTTGAAGTTCGCGCTGCTCGGGTTCTTCCTGTTCAAGGCGATCACGAAGAATGATCAGGTAGCTAATGATTTTTTCATTAGGATCCAATTTTTCTAGTATCAATTGAGGAAGTGTTTCCAAACTTTTCTACTACGACAAATTTTTAGTGTATGTAGATTATTACGTTATTAGGCATATCTGAAGTTATAGCAAAAAAATTCTAGGCTACGATTTACTTTACCCCCCCCCAGCCGGAAGTTTTTGGCTATAAGTTTTTTATTTTACATTATTGTAGGCTCAAATTAAAACTCTTAGTATATTTTTCGACGCTCTATCGAATGGCGTTGCAAAAATCCCGACAAAATAAGCGAAAATACCGAAAGCTTTCAGACCCTTCGGCTGTGGGGGGTAAAGTAAACTCTTACCAAATTCTACCTAAAAATGAAAGTTTGAAGATCCTGGCCAACATTCGCGAGAGCTGGGGCTGGCGCTCGAAGCGTTCAGCCATTGGCACCAGCCGTTTTGCTGACACCACCGAGTGCACCCAGATGCATACCAAGTAGCTGATCATGACCATTTCTATACGAGAAATGTTCAGCCATCGGCGCGAGAAGCCGATGCCCCTCTACGACGAGTCGATGCTGTCCACAGCTCGCGAGGCGATGAAAAGCCGCATCGAGGGCACGCCAAGAACCTTGTAGGAAACGACTTAACTTTAGAGATCGTCAATTTAGCAAGGCTTCAAGCGTTCGGCTGCAGACCACGACCTACCACTCAATCGAGAACCAGGGTTTTCGTGCTGTTGGCACCCCATTCATCCGTGGCGAGGAAAAGCTTGATGCCAGCCCGAACTTGTTCACCCCGGAAACGCGATCGGCTGACTCGACGCTGAGTGGGAACCCACTGAAAAGTTAGATCAATCGCTTTTTTAGAGCAAGACCTGACGGAGGAGAATACGAACGCCCTTCTCGGAATCACGACGGCTTTGGAGGATAGTCGGTGAGTGGAGCCAAACGCCCATCAGCAATTTTAGTGCCAACGACGCCGCCCACCACCCGTCCTTTGACACCCTGACGTCGCATGCGGCCGCCAGCGGTGATTCGACAAGGCAAACCATTCCACTCGGCCGCGGTGAGGTCCACACCTGCCCCTGCAATCTGGTAAAACCCAGAAAGGAACTTAAAAACCCTCACAGATTACCTTTGACGACACGACGGTCGGTACCAACACCTCGGTCACGCTTGTCAACACGACCAATGAAAGGATCGTAGTGTCTACCAACCAGACCATCCCCCACACTCGTTACAGATGTGGGCTTTGAAGACGAATGCGCATGATCGTCTCCAAGCTTCGCCGAATTGTGGTGTCATGACGAGCGGAACTGCCGTCGCGGTACTGAAAAACACCTTAACGCGGAGCAACTCGCTTTTAGATCGTGTTGGCTATTGCCGAGGATTGCAAGCACATGGCTGACGGCGCCCACAGGGTTGCCATCGACTACGCCTTCGTCGGCGGCACGATCCAAGCCTTCGAGAAGGAGATGTTCGTCGCGATGCCGCGCCACCGCCACTTGATGAAAATCAATTACCTGCGCAACGCCGACTAAGGCCCCGGAATCCCCGCTTTTTCCCTATACGTACTCGCGAGTCTTTTCTCGCGTGGGCCGAGTATTGTGAATAAATTTTTGGTATGTGGAATTGCTACGGGGCGAGGGCCTGAATTTGCACGTGGTTCGTTCTGGGTGTGAATGAACCTCTTTTTATCTACCGCTAGCCCCTGAAAACCTGTACCCTCGAGGTCATGGGCCCCATTCGCAGAAAGGCCGGTACGGCTCATAATCGCGTCCATCCCCCCCCCCATCCGGTCAGCTTACCACACTGCCCACCCAACCATTTGCATACGGGCCGACGAACACCTGCACGCTCAGGGGCCCCATCCCTCGCAAACCACTTTCCCTAAAAGCCCCATGGTATTCCGCCCACAAATGCCATCGCAAGCCCCCCTCCCCTCCCCAAATGGACCACCATCCCCCAGCAGACACCTCAATTTGTTGCAATTCGTTGTGCGTTGCCTTTGCCCATAGCGGGCCCAACGGCTCCCCTAAATAACTAGGCCGCTTGAAACGTTTTCCCCACTTGCGGAAACAGTCTAGTCCTAGCTAGAAGAGAAGGTTTTCGAAAAAGCCCGCAATTGAAACGCTCCCTATCCGTCTGGCCCAATTAAACCATGAATCAACGTCAGGAACAAGTGTCGGTCAGCTTTTTTGAGCCACGGCCCCGACGGCCCCGCGATACCCATCCATCTTCTGGACCTGGCCAGGAGCCCGCAATCTATGACCGCCAGTCTTCCCTTGTCGTTGCGCTATTCGCCTGCTCAAACGTAAAAATTCGGATTTTAGGATGCGACTATTTGCACTGGTGATTGCCAGCTCGTTGTTGCCTTTCGCCTTTCTCGCGGAAAACTCAACGGAAATAGCGACTGAAAGGCAATTCTCGGTAAGCCATATTACACCTACAAGCCCCTACGCAAGCTTACAAAATATCTCCTTTAGTTAAAAAACGTCGCCCGAGAACGCCGCATTCTTCAGAAGAAGCGGCGGAAAATGAAAGAGTTGCGCGAAGAAATACGCGTGCTTTCACTGCAGCTTGCGGAGCAAGGTTGGCCAAAAAATATAAACACCAAATGGAAATCAGGTTCAAGCATGAGGCCGGAAAGCCGGCAGAGGTCCTCCCGTCTCTTGATGAATAGTGACGACTTGGAGCGAAACTGGAAACCAATAATTTTGGAAAAGGTTTACCGACAGACTCAAAACATCCGTTTTAGCTACGAAGCATACTGCGCAGATTGACACGCTTGGAACGGCAGATAGGAAAGGTCAGAATTTTGTACCGGAACGCTTCAGTATTATCCAAATCAGCTTACTTTGGTTTAGCTCCAACGCGGAAGGAACAGAAAGAATGATAAAATATTTGAACGTGACCCGGTGCGCAAAATGACGGTAGATTTCAACTACTAAAATAAAATGGCTTCAGAATGGCATAGTACAACAGGATTTTGCGGTCTGCTTGCAACACCAGCACTGCCGTCCAGGTAATTACAACTCTCAACATACTGACCGAGTTTAGGGTTCTGTTGTGTCACCAAGGAAGATAATACGAAGCGATGCCAAGAATTGCAGCTCAAAGTAAACCAAACATGTTCGGATTCCTGCCAATGCGCACCAACTTTGAGTTGCTACAGACCGAAAGGACAGGATGCGGTAAATCATTTACGGTACATCACGCAAATTCCAGGCGTTTTGCAAGAATCCTTCGCGAGATGACGTGAAGCTCGGAGAGTATCGTTCACGCCCCAACGTCACCCTCACCCACAAAATCCCCGACTAAAGTTAATCACCGGAGCATATCCGCACATGTCCGTTTGATAAAAGTGCCGGTCAAACCTTGTTTCTGATAATGACACGATATGTAGCTTATCAATGCAATGTCAGCCGAACAATTGAACGTATATTGTATTCATTTAGCTTAGCGCAACAAAATTTATAACAAAAAATGTAACAAAACTTATTCCGTCTCAATCGTGGTCTTCTCGCTCACGTAGATGCCGTCAAGGAACTTTCGGATATCCTTGTTCTTCACGGTCGTCGATTGCTGGATGCGTGCGGCTAAAACGAAAATAAATCGAAGTGGAAGGAAAAATTACCGGCTTGCGAAACCTTCTGGATATCATTGCCATCAATGATGAGCTCGTCCTTTTGGGCTGTGGACATGACGGCTGAGACGCCCTCCGGAAGGGGGACTCTCCTGATGATCTTCTCGCCAAGGAAGTTACGGATCTGAAAACAAGTCAATGTATCATTGCAAACAAAAATATACTGAAAAATGTCGACCGGTCTACTATCAAACTCTAGCCATAATGGCAAGCGCTAGCGAAATCCGGTGCATTGATTTATGCTCCAGAGCAAGGAATTGTCAGTATATATGACAACCCATTAGCCATGAGCAAATGACCAAAAGTAAAACACTTACTTCGATCATGGTGTTCTTTTCTTGGAGCGAAATGTTGATGGGGAAGTGAGCATAGACGGAACGCATCTTGTAACGGTATCCCTTCGTGACGCCCTTGACCAAGTTCTCGATGTGGGAGCAAACGGTACGGATGGCGGCGAGTTCCTTGCGGATGCCGAACCACTTGCGGACACGGAGCTTATTCTTGCCGATGCGCTCCATCTCCATGTGCAGGTGGCGGAAGTCGCGTTGTAGGGATCCGCGAGGTCCTTTGACATGGACAATGCGGTTCTTTACAGTGAAGCTGACATTGTCGGGGAAAGTCACCGTGTCGTGCGCTTCGACCAACTTCATGATCGCAGGATACCCTAAAAGAATATAACGTAGATGAGATAAAGCGAAAAAAGCGGCCGAGATATTCAACGATTCAAGATCGTTCCTTCAAAGACTTGAAAGAGGGTGGGTTCGGGAGCTTTATTTTCAACATTGGTATCCGGACAAATGTGAAATCGTAAAAAATACAAATGAGACCATTGTGTTGGATTAGAAATAAATAGACCCAGGATGCCGTATGTCTTGATGGCTTATTCAGCGCGACCCTCGATGTAGGAAGAGACTTCGATATTCTCCGGCAGCTCGGTGACGCTGATGTCGAAGCGGTCCTGGACAGTGTTGAGCACCTTCGCATCATCGTCGTTGGACACGAAAGTGATCGCGAGACCCTTCGTCCCGAAACGACCGGCACGGGCAACCTAAAGAAAGGTGAGCGAGGGTAAGGACTGCTTACCCTGTGCAAGTAGGAATCCGAATCTTCGGGCATGTCATAGTTGAAGACGATGTTAACGCGCTCAATGTCCATTCCACGACCGAACAGATCGGTTGCGACAAGGATTCGCTTCTGGAAGTCCTTGAAGGCTTGGTAACGTGAGAGGCGTTCTTCTTGCGGCATCTGCCGATGGATGGCAATTGAAGGGAAGTTCTGCTCGACCAAAAGTCCGTGGAGTGCGATGCAGCGCTGGACACTTTTGACGAAGATTACCACCTAAAGGAGAGATTTCAGAAAGAGAAAACTGCTGACCTGATTGAACTCTAGATGATCCAGCAGTTCAAGTAGCTTGCGATTCTTGTCGGCCTCGCGGAGCTTCACGTAGTGCTGCTGGAGACCATGAAGAGTGAGCTTGGCCTCGTCATCGACGTAGACTTCCATCGGCTAAACAAAAATTTATCCCGGCGCCAAGCGTTTTGTAGAACCCGACGATCACGAGCACTCAGGGACGAACTGGGCCGCATCCACCAAGTGGTTTCTAAAATAGAGTTGAAGTCACGAAAAAAAGCGATACCTGACACTGCCCATCGTTCATCTACCGAGCAAGCTCGGTTTTGGTCCGACCCAGAGAGCAGACCAAACGCGAAGATACTCTTACATCTTGCATGAATTTCTTGCAAACAGCACGCAGCTCCTTAGGCAGTGTGGCGCTGAACATCATCACTTGCTTCTCCTTCGGCGTCATTCGCACGATCTCTTGAACATCGCGACGCATGTCTAAAACACTGGTTATCTATTGCCGCAAAAAAATTCACCGAGATCGCCAATCATCTTGTCGCACTCATCCAAAACGAAGAACTTCACGTTCTTGAGATTCAGAGCACCAGAACGTGCGAGAGCCAAAGTGCGTCCAGGGGTACCAACAACCACATGAGGACAGTTGGTCTTCAGAGTTTCCTCGTCTTTCTTGATCGGCATACCTCCGAAAAAGACGGAAACCTTCAAAAGCCTTTTTAAAAAATGCCAAAACTTTATACCTTGACAGTCTGCATGTATTTGCTGAAGCGCTCATATTCCTTGGAAATTTGGAAGGCCAGCTCGCGAGTGTGGCACATCACAAGCACTTTCACCTAAGAACACTACATGAATCCACTGAGTGTCGTTACCTCGCCGTCGACAGGCTCCAGTTGCTGTAGCGTAGCAAGAACGAAAACAGCAGTCTTGCCCATGCCTGATTTGGCTTGACAGACGATATCCATGCCCAAGATAGCTTGGGGGATGCATTCGTGTTGCACTAAAAATAAAACATTAGCTAATCTCCATTACTTCACCTTCAGATGGATGTTCAAATCCGCAATCAACGATAGCCCGGAGAAGTTCCGGCTTCAGCAAGAAATCACGGAAACCGCTGCTGTGGATTGAAGCGTAGGTTCCTTTGACTTTCTTTCCGCCATCACCGGCTCCGTCAGTCTTCTCCACGACGCGGTTGGTGTCCTCATTCTCCTCCTCGTAATCAAGAAGTTGCTCCTCATCCATCTTCTCCTGTAATGATGTCAAATTAGTTACGTCAAAAGAAAAGCCAATGAAATACATACAGAAAATGGGCGAAAGAAAGCCCCGAGAACATGAGAAAGGTCGCGCCCAAGCGGCGGGACGGGCCGAATTGGCAAAGGAGTCGTAATTTCAACGAATTTGGCAAAATCGTACAGCAACACGGCCCCGGAGAAGGTTTTTACTTGCTACATATACGAAAATCACCGATTCTTAGGACGCTCAATGCCGGCTGCAAAGGCAAGGTCCCGGCACGATCACCGGGCCGAGTCGTAGTTTGAAGTCTGTTGGTGCGATGCCCAATATCACCTTTCAGATTTTCGGTGAAGAAAATCAAACCGAGTGCACATCAGAAACAAATGGGGCCACTAACTTTGAAATACCTAGGAGACTACTAAAAATTCGAAAATTGGGAGTACGATGTGCTGGATTCGAAAAGACAAAACTGAACAAAGACGCGGGGCGCGCCAATACCACAACGTTTAGCTAAACAGTTTGTTAACATTTAATCGTGTTCCAACAGGAAACTACAGATTGTCAAAAATGGAAGGAAAGAAATACAGAGAACGGTTTGTTCCATTGTGTGAGCTGAAACAACTTCGTTATGTCCCTCCTTCAACACGCAGGCGAATCAACAAACTCTTCAGTTCTCGGCTTCTGAAACTGCTGCTGAAATGCTTTCCTTTAGGTTCTTAGAAATAAAGTTCGGTTGGGGACGGAGCTTCAGATTTGCCATAAGGATTCACTGATTCGGTTGGGGCACTGGAAAACCAAAAGGCACTGGTTCTGAAAACCACTGTATCTCTGAAATCGGAAAGAAATCAGGTTCGCCGAAATCTCGACACTGCCTACCATTGTTGTGTTTCTTCAAGGGACGGTATGTTTTCACCATTTTTTCAAGCATCCGGCACTTTTTCAAGAGACTGGGGATTAATTTCCGGTTGAACTTTGCGCGTATTAGCAAGGGGGACTCTGTTTGTGGATCGCTTATCTTGCGCGCAGGATTGCGCGAAACCTGGCAAAACGTTCTCGGGGAAGCTGGCCGCGTCGATCATCTTATTTTCCTGGGTATGCCACCCGCCGAGCCATTATGCCAACTCCGACAAATCGATCGGCGATCGTAATGTTTATGTGCAGCCGGCACTGTCGATTGAACACATTTCCGATTTTCCTTCTTTGCCCCCACATAGCAGGGTCTTATCTTGGGGCGGGATCTTTTTAAGCCGATACTGGTCAAGCGTCTCGCTGATACAAATCGTTTTGTTATTGTAATCGGAAAGTTTATAAGTAATACTTTTCCCGGTACTGTACTGTTAAGGAGGGGGGGTAGCCGGCTCACTCGGCTCGTAGGGGTTAAATAACGAAATCCAGACGATTTGTGTAGCTTTTTACGTTTTTAACATAGAAACCAGGGTTGAAAAGCCGCTTCGCGTCTTTTCAACCCTGGCCCCCATCTAGCGTATAATATGCTTCATTTTGCATAATTCTCGCGAATACCGATGACAAAAAAATGAAAATCTGTTCCTCCGCCCATTATATAAGTTCGCGCCATTTCCGGCATATGCTAATTGATTCCTAACAAAGTGGGTGCTCCATTTTCTAACAAAAACTTAATTTTAACGTCGAAAATAGCATAATTTGCAAAATCTGATGTGTGTGCAGTCATCTCAGTGCCATTACGCACCTAATGACGTATCATACGTTGCTTAAAAGCCTTTCCCTCTCGAGATATCTTCCGGACACCCTGACGGAAGTTGCATGCAAAGTGGCACACACACACAAACACACAGACACTATTTTTTTATATATAGTAGGATTTGATCAAATTTGGGTCAAAATTATTTAATCTTTTTAGGTCAAAATATTACTTTGTAGTACCAAAACCTTAGAAAAACTATAAAAATCCACTAAAACATGCTTAGAAATTTCGGGGATGAGTGTTGATCTTGTACCAATAAGTTTTCAAGCGCTATAATTTTAATAGCTAGAGTTCTAGGCTCACACGAACCGGGTCATAAATAATTTTCCGAGGGCACCGGCTGGTTGTTTTGGCGTGGTCAGTTTGTGTGTGTGTGTGTGGCCAGCGGCTCCCGTTATCACCTCATCTCTGGCCCGTCCGGCTGTCCCTCAATGTTTCTATCATAATCAGCCGTCTGCCTGTGTGGCCGGGAACAGCCGCTACACCCCGGGTGCCCCGAGGCAATGGTTCGCCTCAAACAGAAGCTCTCCACTGTGTCCATGCCATCGTATATCCGGGTGAGTTTTCTATAAAACAGTTAATACCGTTGGAATTTTCAGTCTGACACAGATCTTTTGTACGGGAAAAATGCGGGAATTGCCAACCAGGACGCACAACAAGCCCTTATTTACTCCGATCCGTCGATTCCGATGGCAGATGATGAGGTAGGAAAACTTCAAATTACGAGGAAGAATATTCCATCTACATATTTCTTCTTTAAAGGCGTTTCGGTACTAGACTCATAGTGGGGGGGTATTATAGAAGGACAGCTTATAGACAAATGGTAACATTTTCGAAAAATTCTTCGTTTGGATAAAAAATTCGTAGTTTAAACTTCTTACAAATGTTTTAGTAATCAAAACAGGGCTAAAACACGCTGTGAAACGAGAAAAACCTATTTTTTTCTAGGTAGGTATATCCCCCCCCGTTAACAGTCCAGTACCCGACTTTCTAGACAGCCCTCTTTGATGATGCGCGCTCGTTCGGCCCGTCGGCTGCCCCATCCATGCAGCCGTCTGTCACCAGCCTAAACGAGCCGCACAGCTCAAAGTATAGAAGTTTTTGATTATGAAAAACTTCGTATTTTAGCAAAGACCACCGCCTACGCTCCGAGATGGAGATCAACGCCCAGCATTACCAAAAACAGCAAGAGTATCGCAAGCATCGAAAGCAGAAGCGCACATTGACAGACATCGATTTTGAGGGTATTTTGAAAAACTTAATTAATTCGGTTGATTTTTCAGGAATTTTGAACATCATCGGGGGTTGTAATCTATGGCAAATCACGGTCTACATGATGATTTCTGCGCAACAAGTGCCACACGCCATGTTCAACTTGTCGGTCGTCTACATGATGTATCAGCCGGATCATTGGTGCAAGGTAGAATTTCGGCGAGCTCTCAAGAGGGGGTCCTTTTGCAAAATCGGAAGAGGTGGTCATTATGACGAAATTTAGCCATATTTCGATTGGAAAGCCTTTCCAAAAGCTAAGAAAACGGTATGAAATTTTGGCGATTTTGTCGAAATCGGTGGTTTATGGGCAAAAGAATATTTTTTTTTTGGTATTTTTAGTACGAGGGTGGAATTTATTTACGTCTAGGTGCAGTAAGAAAAACCATATCGGAACAGTTTCTCTTTTTATATTGGAAAAGTTGGACATAAGAATTGAAAAATCAAAAAAAAAATGGAACGACACGTTTGTTTGCGAAACAGGCTTCATGCCGGCTGGCTTACATCAAATATGTAGGTTCACGACTACTCCGAAAGCCATTTCCGCAAATACGAGCAGAACTACACATGGTCTACGGTTCTCAACTCCACCGTCGCGTTCCCACAAGTGTTCAACCTGCAACGGAAGCAGGTGTGGCATGACCAATGTCATTACTACGATCGAGATTATGCGGTATGTCAAAATTTTTAAGGTGTACCGGATCACTTAGAAAATCTCGAAGTTGAGTTGGGATAAAATTGCAAATATGACGACGGATGTGCCACAAAAGAGATGCGTCGAGTGGGAGTACGATACTTCAGTAAGCTCATGAAAGTATCCTGTTAACCCAGTTAATTTAGGTTATGGAAAGGACGGTTGTGACTGAATGGAACCGCGTGTGCGACGACAACTGGAGCCGAGCGCATGTACACCTTTCATATTCACTTGGTTATCTGATAGGTTGTCTGCTCGGCGGCTTTGTGTCTGACAGGTTAGTACATGACTGCATAATAGATTATCAATAGAAACAAAGAAAAATGAGCTGTCTAGGACCGCTAACGTTTAGATACGGACGTAAGACGGCTATCTATGGCTTCGGCATCCTATCGGCCATTTTCGGGTTCTTGCTGCCATTTTCAAAGGAGTTTGAGGTGGTGCTCTTCTTAGCTTTTGAGATACTCTCGAGTCAGATATTCCTTGTGGTTCGTTTCCTACTTGCCGCCTGCAACGAGGGAGCCGATTTGGCAGCCTATGTCCTATGTATGGAGATCACTGGTAAGGACGTAAACGGAAATGTAATGATTGATAGGTGTTCGGTATCGATCTATCGTTGGCTCCCTGCTGCAGGCACCGTGGGCTTGTGGATACGCGCTTCTTGCGTTAGTGGCGTGCCTTACTAAATCCTGGACAGCCATTCATGTAAGATAACTCGATTTCCATTCATACTACAGAAAATTCAGATGATTACTGTCACGCTGCACGGAATCTCGCTCATCTTCATCCATTTCTTGCCGGAAAGCCCTCGGTGGTTGATTTTGATAAACCGGTAGGGAATTTACGGCCTGACAAGTCGAACAGAAACCATTTAGGGTTGACGAAGCAGAAATTATCATCAGAAAAGCGTGCCATTACAATAAGTCGAGCCTGCCCAGTGACCTCGAACTCGTAGGGTTAAAGCATATTTTCGTAATTTGGAGCAATAGGTACGGCATGCCGAGCAGCGAAAATGGATGAAACAAAATGAGAAGCCATCTTTTATCCATCTGTTCCGCTCAAAAGAACTTCGCGCTCGCATGAGCATACTTTTGGTGGTTTGGGTGGGTTCCAAGTTCTAAGAGGGCGACTGGCAAAAAAATCGTGATTCAGATTGCCACCGCGCTTGTCTACTACGGACTGGTGATCGCGCTTTCCGACCAGTCATCACCGGGACGTTCAGTCTTCGATGGAAACTTCTTCCTCAACAATGCAATTGCCGGCGCAATTGAGCTGCCCACGCTGGTGATGTGCGTGTTCTTGTTGCGGTACGGCAGAAAAAGGTGAGTGGGCAAAGATTAGACTATTGAGCAAAAAAGTAAATAAAAGAAAATCCAGCAAGTAAATAAAATATGCAGCAGATTTCTAGACCAAACCGTTGATTTTAGATCCCAAATGATCACGCTGTTTGGCGCAGCCGCCCTGATAATGGTTGCCATGGTAGCCACCACGCAACGCCGGACTACGGTAAAAGGAATGAAAGTACGAAATACGAAAATTACAGCTTGCCCTCCTATTCATGTTACTGGGGAAAGCCTGCATCCAGGGCTCCTTCAACATTCTCTACATTTTCACTTCCGAGCTGAACCCGACGATTGTGCGCAATTCCGCCGTGGGGATCTCATCAATGGTGAGAAGGGAAAAAGCTGCTAAAATCAGGATTTAGATAGCCCGCATGGGGTCGGGAGCTTCAGGATATATTGCCATTCTCTCCGATGTCACTCTGCCGATTGTTCCCATGCTGATATTTGCTGTATTCGCCGGTAGGTCTCAAGATTTCATATTCGGTACTATACCGTTAGCGGGGGGACCTAACTTCGGCTCGCAAAAATCAAATAAACGCTATTTATGTAGCTTTTTACGCCGTTTTCAATTTTGTATCAAAAAGCCCATAAAAAGTGTTCAAATTTTAAAAATGATCAATTTGTAGGCTTTGCGGGCATACTTGTCTTCTTCCTACCAGAGACACAGGGACTTCCGTTGCCCGATACAATCTGGGTACGACTAAATAAACTAACGGAATCAGCAAAATTTTTAGGATGCCGTTACGATGCTCAAAACCCAGAAAACACCATCGTGTACCAGTTTTCAGCGGAGTCGAGAAGAGGAGAAAGTCGAGATGGAGGAGGTAGGCGCCGGATCTTTCAGGCCGGAAATAATAAAAAATTATTTCAGGCTTATAAGCCGGCTTCCCGCAAAAATACGCAAAGCAGCGACCGATGATTTCGATACGGGCCAGTCAATCAATTGTGATCTCGAGATACCTGCATAGTGCTCAAATAAAGTTTATTATAACGTGCCAAGGGAGGTCAAGCGTAAAAGAACCCGTCGAAACAACAAAATATAAATAAGAAGGTTCTTTAGCATTTCCAGGGGACAAACTTTATTTTTCTTAGGTTCCAATTTTTTTAAACAAATAGTCTACTTTTTATACTATGCCTTCGCGTAAAACTTACGATTTTCTTATTAAAAAAACCCGATAAATAGATTTTCCGGACAAAAGCGGAAATTTCCTAAATTTTCTAAAAGTTTCCTTAACTCGTTTTCCATTTGAATTATAGCTAAATTTTATTTAAAAGCTTCAATTATTTAATTTGGCACTGTTAGGAATTGGACTCAGGAAAAAGTTCGGTTCGCCTTGGAAATTCTAAAGAACCAATAACAACAACAACTAAATTACTGCTTATCGAGACGTCCACCGGTCCTCCGCAGCACTTCGGCAATATCCCAGGCTTCACCGTCCGGCGGCGAGCCACCATCAGGATTTCGGCAGACCGTCTTGACCTCCTTCCGAAGCACCGTGTCTACGTCGACTTGCGAGAAGAAGGCAATGTTCTAACAAAATGCTATTTATTTTCGTCTTTTTAGATTACCAAGGGCAATTGCGGGATGCCGAGCACGTCAGAGATTGTGGCCCGTACGTACATGTTGCTTAGCATCAGGGCCAAGGCACAACGCGCCGCGTCCTCTTGGTGGCAAACGTATCGGACCTAAGAAGTTGGATTTTAAATTTCGAATTAAACACACCTCGTCATGAATTGAAATCATAAACCGGGCGTCGATCTTGTAGGTAGAGCACAGCCACTCCATACTCAGCAGCAATAAATGCAAAAAATCGACGGCTGACGATTGGACGATCTGGAAGTGTATTTCAATTTGGGAAAGGCGAAGAAGCTGCTACCCAATTCTGACGACTTCTCATTAGTGAATCGCGAAACAGGATTCTGCCCACACCTCTTGAGGTCTCCGGAACGGCTAGTCCCGCGCCAAGCGTTGCTTCTAAACAAAAAAAAATGGTTTTCCAGATTCAAAATTAGCTTACTGAGAACTGGTGTTCGCATGACGTCTTCTCGCGCGGATGCAAGCAAGAAGTTGAATGTAGGCGATTCGCTAAACATTTTTGATGATCTCGAACTTAGCCAATGCTTACTAGCCGCCGACGAAAAACTTCTCGGTGGTTGGATAATCCAAATAGAGGCTGGGCACAACATTCTCGCCCAATTGTGCTGATTTCAAATTTTGGGCCTGTAGTCGTTCCTGGATCCACTGCTCGAAGTTGTAGGTAAGGTCACTAAGGAAAGTTATTGCTAAAAAAACGAAAGAAAACAAACCCTTCGGTCCCATACTCTGGCAGATACATTCCATCACCGACACGAAGAAATCCCTCTCGCACGTTTTTCTCCTTGGCGTACTGCTCGAAAAACGGGATCAGCATCGGCTTCAGACGACGGAATCTAGGCATTTTCTGCCAGGATTTACAAAGTTTTATTACGGAATTTGCCGTCCTTTCGTCGTCTCCAGCAAAACCGTCGCCAATTCGTCGGCCCGTTCACCATCGATTCCACTTTGCCTATCAAAATAATTTGGAAACCTCGAGAACATCTGACCTCAGAGTACCCTTCGCATTTTCCTTCCCGGCGCCGTAGAGTCGTGCGTAGTTTAGGACCTAGTCAAGCGTCGCGATGAAAAAAATTGATCCACCTTTGCCGTGTCTCTCGGAATCCCCAAATCTTTGGCGACCACCGAGTGCAGGTCGCTGTTATCGGACCGTTGACCGGCTAGGGCCATATTGGAAAAAGGGGTCCGACCAGCACGCCTCTCAGACACGTCTAAATAGGAAAATTAGAAAGGATTAAAAAAATCAGCAAATCAATTTGCAATTTTTCGGCTACGGTTTACTTTACCCCCCCCACAGCCGGAAGTTTTTGGCTATAACTTTTCTTTTACATTATTGTAGGCTCAAATTAAAACTCTTAGTATATTTTTCGACGCTCTATCGAATGGCGTTGCGAAAATCCCGACAAAATAAGCGAAAATACCGACAACTTTGAGACCCTTCGGCTGTGGGGGGGGAAGGGGGGGGGTAAAGTAAATTCTTACCAAATTTTCCCTCTAACAAATTTAGTAAATAAGTAAAAGTAAAAGTCTAAATAGTAAAAATTTAGTAAATACCCAATCCGGCAGCATCACTCGCATCACCAAACAACGCGGCCAGCCATTGTTCTTGGGAATCGACATCAGCTCCTGTAATAAATTTTCAATTACAGTTCTAATGGCTTGAAAAGATCTTTGCAACGCACCAACAAAACAATATCCGAGCGGCGCCTGCACCATCGATTTCAGATGCGTTCCGATACGGTCTTCAGCCGCACTCTAAAGAATTTTAAACAAAAAAAATCAAGGCCTCACCTTGACGTTGGTCAGGGTCACCCAAAGATTGTGCACGGCTCGGCGGGATACGGTACCGGCGGGGCGAATTCCTGGGGCCAAGGCGCCTTCCGGCATCTTTCCGGCCTCCCACGCGTCATCATTCCATACTTGGATCTCGTCCTTGTAGCGTTTCCTGAAAAAAAAATATTTATTTGGCCGCGAAATAAGCTAACTTGTAATTGCCCCAAAAATGTGTGGTGTGGACGGTTTGCAGGGCTTTTTGAAAGGCCTGTTCAAATCTGAAAAGGTAAACGGAAGAATAATGATATTTAATGTAGTGTCCCTACCTTGTAGCTCTAATAGTTCCATTGATCAGCAGCGGCCTATAGGCTTTTTGAAAAGGTGACGACACCTTGGTCACCTTTTTCCCAGCAGCATCGCTCTGAAAGTACAAAAATCTTGAGTGGCAAGCTTTCTCACCCTTGGTAACTGATAGAAGATCAGCGGATGCAACAGCTTCTCGTCTTTAGTCAATGCATTCAGATCCAGGTGATTTCCAACGTCTTCTGGCTTATGGTCGCGGCTCCATTTCGCGATGGCTTTCAGTATACGACTAAAAATGGTAATTTTTCTCGAGTCTGTAGGCTTTACGTCAATGGCATGCGGAGGGTTTCGGATCCAATTCGGACTGTTTGGTCCTTGTCTTCAAGCTCGTCGAACAAATCTAAACATTTTTAAATCGATGAGGATCTTCCCTACCGTGGTAATCCGGCGGTGGCACCAAAAAGCCCCATCCATATTCACGATGGTTGAAGAGGGGATAGGGCCCAACCGCCATTCCAAAGATCTAAAAAAATATTTAAAATAGGCTTTTTTCACCTTGGGAACCAGGGTCCTTGTTGGTGACCAATCTGTAGACACCCATCTGCCGGCGAGCGCCGCTTCACAGTCCTCAGCCTTGCTGAAAAACGGCGAATCGCTGAGTCGCCTGCAAGAAACCCACTCGACAATCGACGCAAACCATTTCAGCACTCCTTTTTTGTTCTGATCCCAATCTTCAGTCCACAGCCACAGATCGGATCTGAAGCAACAAAGTTGCGGAAACACGACTAGAACAAACCCATCGGCGCTGTCGTAGAGTTCACGCGCCGCTGCTACGTAACCTGCGGACGACTAAAGAAAAAGATCGAAACATCTTTTCGATCCACCTCGGTTTTCTGAGTTCGCGCTTGATCTTCGGCATCTTTGTAGAAGAGCGGCCAATTTTTATTGATCGGAAGTCGAGCATCGCCCATATTGAGGTAGCCAAATGTCGAGATCGGAGACGGATACCTAATTAAAGATATTTTTTGACAGTAAGGTTTCTTACATTTCCTTATAAACGGGCCACATTAGCTGAAAGATCTTCGCCGTCGCGAGAACATCCTTCGCGCAATAGTCCATCGACACCTGAGCCAATCTTACAATCGAGGTATCTGACCCTCTAAATACCTCAAAATTGCCAGTCCCCTCCCGGAAATGCGTGACATCGTAGTTTACAAAGTCGTTTCGCGTGGATTTCGAAAGAGAGCGAATCGCCTCCGACAACTGGTCCTTCTGCTGGTGCTTATTAACGAGGAATCTGCTCAGCTAAATAGAAACATGTTCGTCTAATAAAGGCAGAACTAAAATATTTTTAATTCCCGGTTCAAGGAAAACAAACATCCGTTAAGGCGACACGCGTCGTCGTTGGCCTCCATTGATCCTCGACTTTTCTAATTTCCCCCAGATCCTTTGGCTTGCGCATAAATTGGGACTAAACGGGATGAAGCTTGAAACATGGTAAAATTACCCAGGTAGGTTCTGCGATGTCGTCTTTGTTGTAGAGACCCTGTTGATGATCAGCCATGCCGTACATCGAGACTCCCATACACATCGTGTCCATATAGCGAATTCCAGTGCGCTACAACGGATGAATCGATGTGCATCAACTGCATCCCACCTTTTCCAAATACGGCTCCTGCGAGCGAGCCCTATCATAGCCGATATTGTGACCAACGATCAACCGCTTTGTCGTGTCCTCCGAACCGCCGGACAGCTGCACCAAGTTTTTCTTGGTGATGTATTTTGGATAGGGAAAGTCGAGCCTAATGAGCCGCGCTGAGCACCAGGAGTACCACGCCTTGTTGGACAGGGCGAGGCCGAGGGTCGGGATTTGGCCCGGATCAGCGTCAGCCACAGACACTTCCAGATCGAAAACGCAGCACTGCTCGCGCGGATAGGGAACCTAAAATATAGGAAAAGTCAAAATTCTTATTAATTACCTGTTCCGTCTTGCCAGTTTGGTGGTCGTATCTGGTCCAGCCCGTGCGATATTGGTATGCCCAGCGACTTCCAGGATGTCCCGGCAACAGTTGGTAGTACTTCTCCAGGTCCCATGTCAGCATCTCGTCCATGAGCTTTACATAATCACCAACCTAATAACTTGAAGTTAAATTTAACGCGTTCTCCGTACTTGCTCCCTTGCAAGGGCCTCAAAATGTTGCAGAAGACGCGAGTCTCGTAAAGTTGGTAGCTGTAGGGACGATAAGAAAGGGTCGGCATTAACATCGGCCGAGCTGGATGGGATCTAAAATAAATTTTCATAAGTCTTCGACCGGATGTCGGGGATTCGCCAAAAAAGAAGACCAACCGGTACATGTGGAAACAGATGACTATGAAGATTAGCCGGTATCGTCGTAATCTCTTTTGGCACAAACTAAAAACCGTCATCCTCAAGAAATCTCTCACTTTAGCTGCAGCACTAGAAGAGCTTCTGATACAATGGTAGACCCGGAAACATCTTTTCATTTTTCGTTTGAAGGAACGACTAAATTTACATTTTCAAAGATTTTAGTGATTCTAATGCCAATCAGAATCAAGGGTTTCCAGGAAATAACAATGATAAGCCAATGATCGTGTGTTTTTATAATTTTAAGCGGGCGAATAAATTGTATATATTTATTACACAGACTATGTGCATGACAGTTAGCTGTTAGCGTTCTCCCGGCTGATCACAGATTCTTCAAATTTGATGAGATACGTTGTCGCACCCTCGTGCCAATGTGCTCCGACTTTGCACGGGAAATTCGAGGCCTAAATTTTACTTTGGATTCAATGGTAGGACTTTACCTCCAACATTGCTTCGACAATTCCCGCCGAGAAGGCCGCGCAATTCAGATGCGCCTTATCTTTTGGAAGTGAAATGTAGGCATTTACTAGAGGCTCCTTCTCGATCAATAGATCTAAAATCTTTGAAAAAAGGGCGTAAAATTTTTTACATGTATGTGGGTCATCATTTGCCCGCTCCAGACGATCGGCCTCCTTACCAAAAAGGTTCTTCCAGACGGTGCTCTGAAACAAACCGGTTGAAAGAATATAATACTAGCTTACCTTTAGAAACATCAGCATGCCTAACAGGCGTGTTTCCCGTTTGTAACCCTTCTCGCGCAACACAATCAAATCCAACATGCGAATACCGACGGACTTCCCCAGCGAGACAAGTCTGTAAGTAAAGTATAAGCGGTCTCCAAAAGAAACACACTTATCATGAAGCTGATCTGTTGTTTTCACCCGTTGTTGTACATATGCGATGATTTCAGAGAAGAGAACGGCGAATGTTGATAAATTAACCTAAAACAATTTTTTTATCAGTTTGGAAAGTTCACCTCAGCTTTGCCTTTGCTCAACGACTTGTCGAGAATGCTTTGCGCCTTGACCATCGGGCTCGGTTTGAAAAATGGAATTTATCTAGTCAGGAAAAAAAAGATGAAAAGTTCGGAAAGAAAACAGGTATCTAAAGGACCGTGCAAAAAGGCCAGACTAACAGAGATCGAGAAAATAACGGGAACAAAAATCAACAACAAGATCGAAGAAAGTCCTTCGTATGCATCTTTGTCAGCACTGTTTCAACTAGATTTGGCTTTTTCAGATTTTTTAAATCGTAGACGGTTTGCACGGCCTGTAGGTCAAAGTGCTCGTCCAATTGTTCCAGGGGCACTTCTTCACCATCTACTTGTGACGAGATCTCCTTATGAGCTGCCGAACCTTCCTCCCCAAAAAAGACGAATACAACGGCGCTGGTCGATTCTTGCAACCCGAACGTCTGCAGGCAATGGGAGATACTTTTCGTGGGCGCAAGGCAATACAGTGTTTCCGCATATAACGTCTTTGTCTTCATACATTGGTGCTTCTCGTTGTACAGAGCCTGATTGATAGCTGTCAGAAGGACGAATTGATCGGGAATCATCGAAGCGCGTATGGCTGCTGCAAACATTTGTCCACTTTTGGCGATTTCGAGTAGGTGTGCCGCGTTCTTGACCTCCTTGAAGAGCGAGATTAGGACGTTCTGCGTATTACTTCCATCTAACGGATCGGGCCTCAACCGGAACGTCGACATGGCGATGCTGGAAATGCTTTATATTTACAAGGGAAAAACAAAAACGTGTCGAAAGTAAAACAAGTAAAGTAAAAGCTACTACAAGCGGAAGCACTAAACAAAAAAACCCCAAGGGAATCCTCAACTCCAAAGATCTTGCGTCTAAAAGTTGCATTTTTACACCAAAAAAATATTATTTTTGCATTAGAAACAAAAATTTATAAAATTTACACGATGAAATCTTCGCGGAAATGAAGTACGAAAGACAACTATTGACCACAGAGAATCGCGCTTGGACCGGAATCCATTACCAAGTCTCGAAAATAAAATCATACTTTTGTGAAAATTTTCGGTTTTTTTCGGTTTCCGCTTCGGTGAGAGTTTTATCATACGGATAACTTTGTTGGGGAGCTGACCTTGTAACTTTCCTGATTTCCCTACGTGACTTCGGTATCCTTGCGCAAGGGAAAGCCGGCATTTTTCTCAATTTTTTTCTCTTTTTATCTATATCCCCCATATCCCGCTTTAAGATGACCACGACCGACGACAAACCATACAAATTGAGTCGCGTGATCGAGGCGCACAAATCGGACGTCAAATGCCTGCAGTCGACGTCCAGTGGGCTGCTGATCAGCGGAGGTCGTGACGAGACTGTCAGATTCTGGCAAAAGAAGTAGGCGCTGCTTGTGGCATTTTATGGTTCTTTAGGGGTGGCGAATTTACCGAAGTCAGCAACTTCCCGCAAGGCGCAAACGTTTACGTCAATTCTCTGGCGTATTACGAAGCTCAGGACAATAATGAATGGCGGCTTTTCGTGGGCAGGTGTGGTGCGGCTCCCATTTCTGAGATTTTTGTTTAGGAAAGATGGCGTTGTGAATGTCTATGGCCCCGGCACCACTCCGGATAAACCGATTCATACCCTCATACTCCACGAGCAGAACGGTATTTTTATGAGAATAGACCCCACATATCACATATCTTCCAGTTTCCTGCATGTCCGTCGACCAGAAACAAGGGCTACTTTTGACTGGTTCCTGGGACAAAACTGCCATGGTCTTGTCAGTGCACGACCCAATCGAGGAGCACCAAAAAGGAATTCGGCTGGTCGGGCATACTCTCTCCGTGTTGGCTGTGCAGACGTTGCCCGAGGAAGGCTGGTTCTTGACGGCGGGCTCCGATCGAACCGTTCGCATGTGGAAGAATGACATTGAGAAGGGACAATTTACTGGTAGGTGATAGCCATTCGTTGCCTACATCTACCACCTTTTTTAGGACACAAGGATGTCGTTCGAGCGCTGTGCGTTCTGTCCCGTGAGCGTTTCCTTTCCGCCTCCAACGACGCGACGATCATTTTGTGGGATATCACTGATGGCTCGGCCATCTCCAAGTTTAGCTCTTTGATGGATAACTTTATCTACAGGTGCGGAGGATGACATTTTCCTGATCAGGTATTTTCAGCCTTACTCCCCAGCCAAATGGCGGCTTCGTGACGACCAGCGAGGGTGGCTTCGTCGAAGTGTGGAAAAAGCTTGAAGATGAAGAGGTATTTGTTTTTTTATAGATCTCGATGAAATGCACTTTTTTTAGTTTACATTCACTAATGACGACTGCATCAAAACGCCGGCGAATTCGATTTGGACCGCCTGCACTCTTCCGAACGGAGACCTGGTGACCGCTGGCAGGTAGAACAATTTTTCTATGTTTTATTTGCTGTTTAGTGATGGCAAAATTTACATCTGGACACGCAACGAAAAGCGTGAAGCATCGGCTACCGTCAGGGAGACATTTGATGCGGCTGTTGCGGAGAAGACCGCAAAGGAAATGGAGCTCGCTGAAAAACAGGTTAATTCACGCCGATCGACTTTTTAAACTTGGTTTTTTTAGTCCAGCGAGACTGTCGTCATCAAGGTCTCACTTGACGACAGCGGCAGCCAGCTGGAATTGCGATATCAGAAAGGTTCTGATCCGTCCATTGCCGCCCAAAAGTTTATCACGGTAGCCTTCCCATTTTCTTTTATTTTTATTTTGTTCTAGGACAATAACCTGCCGGCTTCCTACCTCAACGAAATCACCGACTATATTGTGCAAAACATTCCGGAGGCCAAGGCGGCTGTTGCCAAGAAATATCGCACCCAAGAGACCCAACGGATCAATGTGGATGGAGAGGTAAAATTGCTTTTGACAAATTTGATGTGGCTTTTTAGCTTTGGGACTATGCTTTTGACGTTAGCGTGGACGATGGACGACAGTTGCGCCTTTGCTACAATGCGGGCGAAGATATGGACTATGCCGCGCAACGCTTCGTGGAAAAGCACAACCTGCCAATGAAGTTTTTGGCCCAGGTATAGGCTTTCTGAAGTCTTTTTATTGGTATTCTAGGTCTCCGGACTGTTGCGAAGGGAAATGGCCGGGTTGGGTGCTTCCACGGCTGCCTACCACGATCCCTACACTGGCGGTTCAAGGCAAGTTATATATTTTTTACTCAGTCTCTTCCAGGCACGCCCCTGAGCCAGCAATGCCCGTTGCTGCCGTTGCCGATCCCTTCACCGGTGGAGGACGGTATTTATTCACCTCTAGCCAGAAGCCTGAAATTTCAGCTATATCCCCGGCGGAGCTTCGTCCGGCACTGAAGGCACAGCCGATCCATTCACCGGCGGCGGGCGGTTAGTTTTTTTAGAAAAAAAACAGACTTTTTAATTTAGTTATGTCCCCGGGTCGGCACCTGCCACTCAGCCGACGACACGCCATGCGGATAAGACTCGTCCAAAAGGTTTTGCCTTTTTGCAAATAATAACGTGACGATTCTCTAGGAGAATTTTGGCCAATCAGCTCGTACTACACCTTCGGCGTCGAGCAGTTGAGTCAGAAGGCCAAGGATAAGCTGCTCGAAATCAACGCCAAGCAAACGGGCTTCCAACTCAACGATGAGCAGGTATGCTTTTGCTTCGTAAGACTGAATTGTATCTTTTAGATGAGCTCTCTTTTCGACGTGCTGAGCGTCCCACCTGGCAGTCTCGAAATCACAGACACCCTCACCGCCGCCATCGATCTCGCTTTTCGCTGGGAGATCCAGGTAATGAATTAGTTGTTTCTTGAATCTTTTTAGGACCTTCTGCCGGCCGTCGACATATTCCGAATTGCCCTGTTGCACGAGAAGCTGAATGATCTTTATTGCAGCCCCAAGGTTTGGCTTTTCACTCTACAATTTTTTTAGAATTTAGCACTAAAAAGCAATCTTGGCTCAATCTAACAACTTTTTTAGAAGCGTGGCCGCGAAACCTTGGAGCGCTTGAATGCCATCATGATTTCCGACCCTCCGGATGCGATCCGTGCCCTGGTCTGCCGCGCCATCGCCAACGCATTTACGCATGGTACATATGCGTACGTATTTTTAACACTTTTTAAGATGGAGGACGCGAAATGATGATGATGGACGTCAAGTATACGGCCAAGCTTCTCGCGCAACAAATCCTTCACGCGAAGCCGGTGGTGCAGGTGGCTGCTGCGACGGCTCTCGCCAATTGGGCCCTGCTTCTCCTGCAGCGCTCCCTGCACATTTCCGAGCTTGGGCCGAGGGAGGATCTGATCCGTGTCATTATCGAGGTTGGTTTGGCCCCCATAATTTACGTACTTTATGAGCATTCAAACGACCTCGATCTTATTATTTTAGACATTCGAAGAGGAGCCGGCTTTTGGTGGCCGTTCGGAAGTGGCCCTTTTCCGTCTGATGCAGTGCCTTGTCTCATTGATGTGGGGTGATTCCCAAGTGATCAAGGTATACTCGATCTTTGACACCTCAGTTCAACTCTTTTTAGACTTGCAAAAACCGCAACCTCGCCTCGATCGTCTCCAAACTGAAGGACAGCGTCGTCGAGGAGAACGGCAAGGCTATCGCCCGCGACATCGTTGAAATGATTAATGCTGTTTGATTTTACTGACTTTACGTGTACCCAACCCGATGTCATTTTATATCCGGTTTTATTTATGAAAAATGTGCACTGACGCATTATGTACTACGGCTAAATGTGTGTCTGAATAAAGTTTTGCCCCCATCCGTTGCTTTTCTGCTTATATCGACTACGGTGCATTGATCCCTGGTGAACAATTGGTTTCTGTTAGAATTCTTTCTTGGGTTAGGTGGTGGTTGCGCGTGAAGCTTCTCATGGGCCCCGGGTCCCGGCTGCGTTTGGTAGTGCGGTTCTTGACGTTTAGGGCAATGAGCGGCCATACGCACGGTCAGGTGCAGCCACGTTCAACAGCATCGATTCTTGGTATCTTCAGCGAATAATACCGAAACCGCTGTTTCAGTTATCGGTGATGAAATACTAAAAGGCACGACGGCTGATACAAATTCGCATTTCTTATGCCGTCGTCTCCATAAACTTGGTGTTGTTGTCAAAAAGGTATATAAGTAGTAATAAAACTTTCATCCTCTGGATTAGATCAGTGTTGTTGGCGATGATGTCGGTATAATAGCAAACGAGGTCCGACAACTGCGCTCCGCTGTAGGTTTATTCAAACAATTCTAATTTTTTTTTGTTAGGTCGATGTAGTTTTTACGACCGGTGGGATCGGACCTACACACGATGACAAGACCTACATTGGCGTTGCGCGAGCTTTTGACGACGAGCTGACGCTAAACCAAGAAATTGCCTCCGTCGTGCAGACGCTTTCCAAGCAGCCCTCACACAACCAAGGCTTTATCGACAAGTTATCTACGGTATTACTTTGCAAAATTTGCTGATTCCAACATATAGGTTCCCACGTCTGCGCAACTCATTTGGGGAAAAGACAAACAAACTGGCGAACGCGGCAAGTACCCGATAGTCAAGGTAAATTGCCGTCAGCAGATCGAATTTCCGCTATAGGTACAAAATGTGGTCATATTCCCGGGAGTACCGCGATTCTGCGAACTGGCCTACAACAACATCGAGCAAGATCTGTTCCCGCCACAAAACTTCCGGGCACTGTACACCACGTTTCTCTATTCGAAAGCTTCGGAATTCGACTTTTCAGAGGATGTCGCTAAGGTATCGAATTTCCCGATGTTAGAATCTCGTTCGGCTTTTAGATAGCTGCTCGTTTCGATGACAAGGTCGAGATTGGCAGCTACCCTGATTTCACGAACAAGTACAATTTGGGCTCAAAAATCAACACTCTCTAGTTATTTCAAAACGAAGTTGGTTGTTGAGAGTGAAGATGCGCAGGCGGGCGAGGAAGCGGCGGTCGAGCTGAGGAAGATTATCGGCGGTGAGAGATCGAATTTAAATTAAGTGATATTTAGAAAACCTTGTTCACTATGACACGAAACCGTGGATCGACACTGTCCGCAAATGGGACAGTTTCAAGTACTCGGAATTTGCTGGAAAGAATGCATTTTTTCAGATTTCGTGTAGCTCAGCAGGATCCGAAGTTCGCGGCAGGTTTGGACGAAGCCATGTTGTGCATTGACAAGATATTGGAGGAGTATACGTGAGAAAAAGATTAGGAAATTTGGTAGGATTCTGAATCTAGGCTCGACCAGGTTGCGCTGTCGTTCAATGGCGGAAAAGATTGCACGGTGCTTCTCCACATGCTGCGGGTAGCAATTGATAGGTATTTATCACTTTTATGTTGGGGAGTCGATTGCACGCTTCAGAAAGTACGGTCCAGGTCGGCAATTCACCGGATTCCACATTGTCTGCGAGGATCAGTTTCCAGAGTTGACGCAATTCATCATTGATGCAGCAAGGCTGTAAGGAACAGAAGTTTTTGCTCAAAATCTTTTTTTAGCTACAACATCATCGTTACGGAAGTGCCGGGCCCTCTGAAGGAAGGAGTACGTTTGCTTAAGGAGAAGCGACCAGCAGTCGTCGCCGTCTTGATGGGAAGCCGGGCCAGCGATCCGAATGGAAAATTTATGAAGTGAGCTATTTCCATATTTTTCAGAGATTTGGCTTGAATAGGTCTCCCGTCGAATGGACCGACGCCGATTGGCCACGCGTGCTGCGTGTTTGTCCGATTCTGCCTTGGAGTTACGCGGATGTGTGGAAGACGTTACGCGGGCTTTGCGTCCACTACTGCCAACTATACGATCAGGCATACAGAACTTTCTAATAATTTTACCAATTCCAGGGGTACACCTCGCTGGGAGCCAGAGGGAGCACGCAGCCCAACGAGAAACTGCGTTTATCGCGGCCCGGGTCGCGTGGGTGGGTAAAAATTAATTTATCAGCAACGCGTTGTTCAGCAGCTATCTTCCCGCCTACATGCTCGATGACGGTACCCACGAGAGGAGCGGTCGCGTCAAACTGTGATATCCATTTCCTAGTGCATTAAAAACTGTGATGATTTTGGTTTTAAGATTTTTCATGTATAGACGCCGGGGTATTCATAAACACTTTAATAGGAGTCATCATTTGGGGTGTAGGCGTGCATGAAAATGACTAGTCGAATCCACTTGGACGAGTAATGGCATTTGAATAGCGAAGATTGAATGGTGGGGTTCACAGGGCGAGTTGTTTCGACGAGAATGGAGGGATGAGATTTTTAATCGGCGCCCACTTCGGAGACGTCGTTTTGGGTGTGCTCGGTGTTGAGCTGCAACGGGTAGTAAGGTACAAAGGAGAAAGAAAGAACCCTATGACATCTAAGATTGGCTTTACCTCATTATCCCAGCGTGCGAGGTGAGTGGGCGTGGTGGTCGAGATGGCCGTGCGCAGATCCTCGAGAGACAGGCCTCGCGCCGTCAGCATGCTCTGAATAAGCCGGAACGCCGTCATTCGGCGGCCGGAAGGCCCACCTACCACCAGGCTCGCGGAGGGGGCCACCGCAGGCGAACGGCTACGAGCGGTGGTGGTCTTCAGGTTCAAGGTGGTTCCAGACTGAAATAGGCTTGGAAAACCAGCTATGGGATGCGCACCCCTTCCATAGCCGTGAACACCGACGTCAGCGGCTCGACCATGCTCTCGTCGTTGTTCGCGGAGATCACATAAGAGCTGGGGATCTGAAAATTAACTGCAAAATTCTTTCCCATAGTCGGGCGGGGGACCATTTTTCTCATAAGTCCAGCTAAAGGGAGTAATGTGGCATCAAACATTTTTTAGTAGTGCTTTTAACAAAATCTAGCTATATTCGAAGTGTGAAAATTATTTAGAAAACTTGAGATATAAGGCTTTCGATAACCATAACCTAGAGCCAAACCTCGTGGGCAGTGAAGCAATCAGCTGTGTAAGTGTTGCAGGGGTTAGTGTGGACGTCGGCGGTCACCGCCGATGGCTGAACATCCGCCGTGGTGATCGAATCAGTCGACTTGTCGCGGGCGGTCGGGCACATCGGCGACTGGGCCACCGGGTTCACGAAGTGCTTCTGAACGAAGAGGAAAATATTCGACAGTTATCATTTACGTCATCGATGACGGTCGTGGAGACGAACATTGGGCGAGTCTCGCTCTCAGTAATCTGAAAATGAGGTACATTTTACAAGAAACATTATTTTTAACTGTACCTCAACCCGAGCCTTGGAGCTCACCGCAACGCTTTCGGGCAGGGTATCGGCGGCCGACTTGAACGATTCGCACGAGTAGCTGAGGTGAGTGGGAAGGTCATCCTAAAATCACAATCGTCACATACAAGCCAAATCCATACCCGCTCGGTGATGATTGGGCCCTCAGCCGCGGTGAAGGTGTCGTTGGGCGTGTGAAGGGATTGCGTAGAAGCATTGGTGAGATCGGCCGTGTGGGAGGTGTCGCACAGAATGGATTCGCCGCCGGGCTCGGCAATAAGGACCCGCATCTGAAAGTGGGAGCTTGATAGTATCTTGGCAATGAACTGTTAGCGGGACCTTTATTTTAACACTATGGGCGGAAGATATTATTTCCCCGTACCTCCAAATTAGCGATGGCCGACGACAAGTGGCGGGCTTCATATGCAATTTCCATGCAAGCGTCCACCTCCGGGGAGCCGGTGATGATGCTGCCGAGGCGGTCGAAGGCCTGTTCAACTTCCTCCATGCGGAAGATCATCTTGAAATAAGTGTCAAAATTGGAGCAGCGCAGCTCACATTATTGGCCACGTTAGCGTTCCAGTAGGCGCAAGCGAACTGCGTGGCCGGGGCGTCTACCATGGAGCGGAGATGGCGTTGGACGGCGAGCAGTTTGTCCATCAAAAGAAAATGGTAGATTTTCAAAAAGTAAAACCCTTACGTCCTCCTCAATCAACTGCTGCCACACCGTATTTTCCGCGTGGCGAGCAGCACTGCTAAGGAATTTAACAAAAGCATGCTAGCATACTATTGCGCCAACGGCTCCATGCTGGTGGTCATTGCCAGCGTGATCGCCCGCACCGTCTCCAGCGTGTCCACCAGGGAGTCTGCCTGAAAAAAGAGCTTCTTTCGTTGTTCAGATTAGTTCCGGGCGCACCGTATTCAGCTGCCGGTCCATGTCGTTGACCTGCTTGGAGATTGTGGACACCTTCTGTGTGCAGTCTGCCACACCGCAGTCGAACTGAAGATGAGTGTGATGTTGGCGAGTGCGAGAGCCAAACCATATCCAGGTAGTGCTGCGCCATGTTGTCGACGCCCTTGTAGTTGCCCTCGAACTGGACGAGCTGCTCGACAGTTTTTCTGGAATTATATGCTGGTAAAGCCCTAGTTCAAAAAAAAGTTTAAAAAATCATGTATATCGGCTGCCTGTTGTCCTACAGTGGTGTAGAGTATACAAAAATGTTCGCGATGGTACAACGAGTATGTTGGTATACTTTACAGCCAGCGTAACGGGGAACCGAGATACGATAGGTAGGGTCAGCTGCGAGAGTATCTGCAGCTTTGCCTAGAGGAATTAAATTAGTGAATCCCTCACTTCCTTGAATTCTTCAGGGCACGGTCCATCGATTGCGCGACCCCGGCCGCCTCCTGAAGCTGACGCAACGTCGACGCCAGTTCGTCTCCCAGCGCGTTCAGGCGAGCCTAAATCTCGATTGCGAAAATAAAGTAGCACCGTTCACCTGCTGCAGGCTGTTCTGCGCCTTCTGGGCCTCTTCATTTCGAAGGCGCTCGTGTGGGGCCACATCACCTCCTTCCTAAAATCACATCATTGAGGCCGTCTCTGTTCCGGACCATCCCAAAATTCATCCGCTCCGCCGAGGACTCCGAATCCGGCCGATCGTCTCCTGACGATTCCTAAAGTGGGATTAGGCAAACGGCGACATGTTGCTTACCTCGTCCTCGTCGTATAGGCGAGGGCCAAAGTGAAGGCCGTCGTCCTGCATCTGGCAGCCAAACTTGGCTAATGGCGTCCAAAAATTGCCTCGGCTAGCGCTTGTCGCTTTAACCAATTGCCCGGATGTTAATTGATCGCTAGTTCTAATACTCAGAAATTGAAATATATTTGCATGCTTTCGTATTCTATCAAAAATGATCCACGTTGTTGAAAATAGCGAGATTTCGCGTCAAATAAGCCTACAACTACAACCCTATCTTCACCCTTGTAAGGAATAAGACATTTTTAGAAAAATTTTTTCCCCGGTGAATAATGTGAGAGGCTAGAGGAAATCTGTAATTGACAGTGCGGTAGACAAGACAAGATCTAACTTCGAACAATTTTATTCGGCACCAAAGTACAACCTGTCGGATTCACTGCTCAAATCGGGGGTTAGTATGTGGGAATGTAAAAATACAAAATAAAAAGCACAGATGGGGGATGTGTTGCACATTATGCCAAGGCCGTATTCACGATATCACGGAATTTTGCTGATTTCTGGCGGTTTGTTGCATCAATCAGCTTAGACGGGGTAGTTGTCGACCTCGATCGGCTTCTTGTCGGGGATCGGGCCCACGGTGCAGGCGGCCGCCAGGTTCTCACGGAATTTGCCGCGCTTCTGCAAACTCGACAACAATTATCGCAAACTTCCGGGAAAGCTGACCTCGTTGTGCAGCTTGAACAGGACGGCGCGGTGGATATCGGCAGCGACGTGCTCTCCGGTGTGGTTTTCGATCAAGCGCATCGTGAACGTGTAATCTTGAAAAATGGTTTATAAAAGTTATTTTGTTCTTTCGCACTTCATAGTCACAAATGCTTAAAGTTTTTTGGTGAAATTTAAATATATTTCAAGTGGAAAACCAATGTAGAAAATTAGAAATGTACTTGAAGACTTCAAAAATGCCGGTTTTTTGGAATGTTTAATAAAAGTTTGTAAAGCTTCTATCTCGTCAATTCGCCAAAAACAGTGCATCAACTATTACGCTAATCCTTTTAGTAAATAAAAACCCTCACCCTTGCCCAACTTGCTGAGCCACTCCTTCTCGATGCCGTAGTACGTGTGGCGATCACCCGTGGAATCATCGTTGAAGCAAGCCCGGTCGATGAGGCTAAAAAACAAGATTTTTTGTAAACCTCAAAATGATGGCGAACCGCCTGGAGTTGTGGACGTAGCACGAGGGCCAGAAGAGCTGGTAGGCAGTCATCGCGTAGTTGATGACGCTGACCACGCTCATGACGCCGAAGAGCAACCTGAAAAAAACTTAGAAGCCGCAGTTTTTGGAAAGTACCAAAGAGAGAGGAAGATGCGCTCGTTGTACAAGTTGATCATCAACACGCACTGCGTCGTCATGCTTTGCACATTGCCGAGGTTTTTGATCTGGAGAAAAAAAAAACAGTTTATTTTGTTACAAGGAGTTGTTTTAGGTGATTTTAGGAGTTTTGACTGTAAGACGTACTTCATTCGATAGAGCTCGAAGTTGTGAACAAATAAAAACTTTCAAAAGTTGCCGCAGGAGTTTTTAAGTTTTAGTTTTCGCGTCTTTTTAAGCGGTTTGAAGCAAAACCCCCTGTAGAACGTTCAGCGCTTTACAAGCCTTTTTTTGAACAACTCACGCTCGTATCGCAGAAGACGACACGTGGGAACATTCCGGTGCTGGCCCAGCTTCTCTCGTTGTGTTCCATGATGCTCGACATCGCCTAAATTGCGTAATTATTGACTCGTTATTCGCTTATTTGCCAAGGCAGAGCGCAACGAAACTGGCAAAGCACTCGGGGTGAATGGTGAGCAAAAAGAAATCAGGGAGGGAAGCCACACCACCAGCACGACGGTTAGACCAATTTATCGATATCCAGGAAAACTAGCCAAAAGGTGACAACGGTAGTCACACCACCCAAACCTACCAAGCATTACGGCTGCCTCGACGGGCTGAATGTCGGTTTTTTAAAAGATTAATGAGGGGCAAAAACTTGGTAAGTATCGAAAGTATACCTGCAGAGCCCACGACTGATCATAGCCAAACATCCAGGCGAACGACCACAACTGCAGCAAGACGTTGATGAGGTTAAGGGTCTTCAGAATCATGTAGCAAGTGGTGGACCTAAAATATAAATCATGCTGTCAAAAAAGACGTTAATGAAGTGGCCTGGAGTATAGGAATTAAAAAATATTCAAAAAATGTCCTATAGATGGTAGTAGGAAAAACTGACCAGGTGATCTGACGCTCGGGCTGGTGGGCCACCCAGGTGTATAGCATGTCGGCCGTCCTTTGGATCTTTGCCTCGTATGTCTTGCGATCCTGCTTTTCGTTGTACTCCTTGGTGTTGTTATCGGCTTGTGTTGCGCTGATCGCCACGCCGACGATCGTCTCGACGACTCTGCCACCTAAAAATGGAAGTTGAAGTCAAAAACAAGACCACCTACATTTTTTTCTTAGGATCTGATTTTTCAAATATAAATAGTGGAAGTATTTTGAAATGGTTTTTTAATATTCCTAAACGTCAAAACTTTACAAAACTTTATTTAAAAATATAGATTTTTCTATCAAATTACGAGTTTTTAAACATTTTTAAAATATTTAAATAATTAGTTTTTCTAATTGAAATATAGTTCTAAATTACCAAAAACCCTATTTAAAGACTTTTTATGAAGTTACTTGGCATTTCTAGGCCTATGTAAAAATTTTGGTCCCCCGATCACGATCCAGAACTGGTTTTGAAGGTACGTTTTGCACCGTTTACAAAGATGAGGTTATTTACCGGCGTTCCAGAGCATGTTGCGGTAAAGACGGAAGGGGATGTAGAAGAGGAGGGCTCGCACGATCAGGTCAATGGGCACCCATTGATAGTAGGTGACAGCCGCCTCCTCTTTCAGCTGCGGATCAAGTTTACCTAGCAAAAGAAAAGGAGAAAGTTATTTTTAGAGAGAGGTAAGTACCTCCAATGGAGATCGGCGCGAAATAGGTGGCGTGTACGAAGCAGTAGTCTTCAATGTATTGTTCCCAGGCGCCGGAGAACTCCTTGGGGACCCAGCATTGAATCGGCTTGCCAACCCATCTGAAAAAGGTTCAGGTTCCTTACAGAAATAGGGCAAAAATTCCCGATTGGGGGCCCACCCGTTTTAAGTACCCCTTTGGCAAGTATGGGCGTAAAATACGAGTTACGCCGCGATGGTAAAGTTTTATTTTAGTAAAAAACCCACTGCTTGGCGCTGATGAGCAGGGCGAGAAGGATGAGCAGACGGGTCGTCCAGTAATAGTGGATTACGTCGACGATATCATCAACGTGCCGCTTCTTGATGCCCCAGAGCCATTTTTCGAGGGCTGGGAATTGGAGCATCCCGCCTGAAATCATGTTTTGTTTTTGGGCATATGTTGGTTAGGCGGGAGGCTTATGCTGAGCTTAGGCTTAGGCTTAGCTTAGCTTCAACCCCCGCATAACCGACATTTACCAAATAATGAATATCGCTACAGGTGAGGAAAAACTGCAAGAAAAAGAGAACGATAAATATAGAGGAGAATCAAGTCCGCGAGTTAAACATACGCGTAAGTAAATGTAAACATAACAAAAATTCCATCCAATTCTATGATTAAAAATACAAATAAAATTAACCAAACTACAGAAGTCCAGGATGATAATGAAATTCCGAAGACTTCAAGTCAAGGGTATTGAGTCGGAATGGTGAAAGGCTGTCGGAATGAATGGAGCCGGCTGCCCGAGGGGCCAGCTACAGTACTCCGGCGACCCCGCCCCTTCAGTGGATGGAAAAGGGCGATGAGGAGGTGGTGAGGGCTAGAGAAGACAGATTTTCATTGGAGAACTCATGAAAATGAGAGAGGAATTGCAGAAGCCAGCAAGGGATGATGATTTGGGCCCCGCCCACGCCTAGAAAAATACAAGCTGATCGATTGGAGTGGTGAAGGGTTTACGGGCCGGATAGATGGAGGGACGTGGAAAATCAGGAATGTGAATATTTATGCGTATAAAGCGTAAATACATTCATAGACATTTTTTCATGACCCCGAATTTCGCAGATGGCCGAAAACTTGATAAGCGGTGCTGATGCGAGTTTTCGGGAATCGGCAGATGGCCGAAAAAAAAAGTCAAAAGCTGGGGAGACCCCCGGAAAATTCGGCTAAAAGATGGCTACGCTGATTCGAACTAAACTATTGCTAAAAAAGGTCCACTTCCACGCTTTAATTAAAATAGTTTCAAATTCAGTTTTTTTTCGTTCTTGCACCATTCTATTCAGCGTAGTGGGTGCTGCAATCGTGGAAATTCACTTTTTGAATCAAGAAAACAGAAAAAATTATAAAAGCTTTTGCCTTACTAGTATTTTGCCGGTAATAGCCCGCGACACGCAACGCAGAAGTCAAGCGGTTGTACCGATTTCGCAATGGAACTAGGATGTCCGCGCCTTGAAGACACGTTTTCAGCAACGAATTTTACGCACTGAAGTTTCGGCAACACTAGGATTAGTGCGCAGTTGCCGAAAATTCTGCTTCTGGGAGTTGCTGAAAACTCATGGTCTCCGTTTGCAATTTCTCCGTTCATTCCTGTCATTACGGTCTTCCTGGCCCCGACCGCCAAGCTAGACGCCCAGACAGCGACTGATATCGCCGCGGTAGGTGACATAATTGGTGCTCCAGATTTTTTTGAGGGTATCGTATAAAATATTATCAGACAGGCAAACAACCATAACACAGCCAGCCAGACGGGTTGACCCCGCGAAAAAGTTCGCAATATGGGCGGCGGAAGTCGCATATGGTGCCCGACCAAATGCCTGCCGCCCCAGCTCGCGACCCCGCTAAGGACCCCTTCAAATATGCCGCAACATATACAAGATGAGCACCGAACTTGTGCTCTTTTTTCGGAGAAACCAGGACCATCAGCTGCAAAATATCGGGCGATTTGGAGGAGGAGATCGATTGAGGGTGGCTGGGATGGCATTCCTCGGTCGCTGCGGGGGCTTCCCCTCCTCTAATCAGACGGCCAAATCAAAATATCTGATGGCCGAGGAGGCGAGAGGGTGATTTAACATTTCGGATGTCCGGGGGGATGGCATTTCAAAGAAATGGCCCGAATGTTTTGGCTGTGAGAATTGGACTGCATTTTGGGAGGCGATATTGGCAAGGGGTCATTTCGGAAGTAAGAAGGGTCGTCGAGTTGAAGCTGACAAAGGTTGCGAACCGAATATAAAAAAGCGGGTAGCGACGTGTATTTATTTCTTTGGCTAGAACGTTATAAGGTCGATGTTTACGACCTAAAGTCCATCCTGACCCCTCGATCCAACCCTTTGAATTCCCCCATAACTCATTTCCCCTCATTCCGATCGGCCCATCCAGGCGCCCGCCGCGAACCGAGGAATGAAAATAAATAATATTTAGCGCGTTTAAGAGGTTTTCGTATTAAAAAAATCGATGTGTATTAAAAGTATTTTTTAACGATGGGGCTAACGATCTATAGCTTCACATATTAGTTACGGTAGTCCTAACGTCCTAAGGTACACATAGGATAGCGGGGGGAAATAACGGGGGGCACTCAAACTTTTTATATGTTAAATTATTTTTAAATATGCTTTTTTCGGGCTGTAAAAAAAACTCTTAGTATATTTTTCGGTCCTCTATCGAACGGCATTTTCAAAATATCGAAAATATTCAAAACGCCGAAAATTTTTCCCCCCCCCCCTGTTATCCTATGTGCTGCCCATAGTTTCCAAAAATAGTTTTTAGGCTATAAAACTTTTATAATACATTTTTTCGCGTTGTAAAAAAATCTCTTAGTATATTTTTTGATGTTCTATCGATTCGCGTTTTCAAAATATCGAAGATCGCAAAAATTTGGCTTCCCCCCGTTATCCTATGTGCTGCCCATGGTTTTTGATCAATTTTTGTTTATTTGATAAAAAATTTCATTTACATTATTTAGGGCTGAAATTAATTTTCCTAGGGCAGTTTTCGACGCTTTACCGAATGACGTTTTCAAAATACCGAAAATGTCGAAAATTTCGAAAATTTGACTTTCCCCCCGTTATCCTATGTGCTGCCCATGGATTTTCCTCAATTTTTGTTTATTCAATAAAAAATTTCCATTTACAATTACATTTACATTTCCAATTTTGGGCTCAAATTAATTCTCTTAGTATATTTTTCGACGCTCTATCGAATGACATACGCAAAATCCCTCAGTAATTGCAAATTTCCAAATAATGAGTGCCCCCCCGTTATCCCCCCCTGTTATCCTATGTGTACCCGTCCTAATGCAGTAGATCAGCAAAATATACATGTATGCATCACTTTATTTTCTGAATCGAATTTCCGTCGTTTATTACGACAAATCTGTATTCACACCCTCCCTATCGGCGTCGAATCACTGGGGTTCCCGTAAAATGTGATGTGGTAGATATTGCGAAAACAAATGTGTTGTCTGCGCGCGCCGGCAACGAGCATTAGTCACCAATTTCCAAAACAAAAATGGCGCCTGCGGGCGGTGGAGGACATTGGACATTGGATTGAATCGCAAAAAGGTGGATTATTCTACAATACGGGGGGAAAATAAATGAAGCAATCTTGTGCGAATCACGGTTTTTAGGGGTAAATCATTTTCGGATGAACTAACTAGGTTTCCGTTTAAAGAAACGTTTATTTAACTCTAAACTCGACAGCGAACGGTAAGTTTAACTAAATAACCGATAAATAAGGCTTTTAAAGCACGTCTAACCAAATAGTTGGGAAAATTGTCGTTTCTAGTAAAGCTGGAGCTTCCGACCAGAAAGTTCGGGCTGCAAGTGTCGCGCCACCGATGGAAAATGCCAGACGATACCAAACTGCTTGCTAATGCCCTGTCCCACACCCCAAGTTTTTTTGCGCGCGCACGCAGTGGTAATTTTCCCAAGTGGAATCACACGTTTTTCGGGGTATCGAGATACCAAATGGCGTCTCCCCCAATGAAGCGACCAGAGGGCCCTCTCGCAGCTGCAGCTATCGGACCCGATCAAGGGACCGTCGCGAATGGGACTTTGTGGGCGCGCAAATGTGTCTAGGCCGAGCGCGGAGGACTGTAGCGCCGTATGGGCCAGCTAGTGGTTTGCTTTCTAGGGCAGCCGCTAATGGCCCTTGGAGTCGGCCCGAAAAACGTAAACATTCGCGCTTTTGGCGGATTACCCAATGGTGGCTCGTTTTTGGGGGTTGAAGGGGCGAGCAAGGATTGGCTATCGATTTAAATGGCCCGCGGATTTCGTATAAATCTTTCGTATAAAGCACCTAGCCTCCCTTGCCCAGAATTTTTTGCTGATCCCGAATGTTGTTTTGCAAATTTTCAAGCTGCTCGATTTCAAAAGTTACAACGGGCTTTGTTATAAATGGCCCGGAAATTGAAGATTTTAGGTAGCTCTAAAAACCTTAGGTAGACTTTTAGGGAAAGCGTAGACTACATTAAATCCGAAACGTATTACAAGATTTTTAGAGTGACTGAAAATCAGTGCCTTTGGACCAATTTAAACCTTGTAGCTCTTGAAATCGAGCTCCTCCAAGAATCAAGAATCCCGTTCAACTACGTTATATGGTGGTATTATCTTTATGCCGTATGCCGGACCGAAATTGGCAACGGAGCGTGCGTATTCCTCGTGGAAGCTTCTCGGCTCACGGTTTTCGGAAGGTGCCTGCAGCCCGGGAAACTGCCAAAGAACCAGATCAGGACGACCCTGAAGCATTTCCACTGTTTCCGGTCCACTCGCTTACCCCTGAAGGGTGGTGAGCATTGGCATGTAGATGCTTTCGGTGAGGAATGTTTTGAAGACCTCATTATCAACCATCAACTCGGCCACCGCAGTGCTTGCCGCCATGGCAATTAGCGTTGACACGTGATTCAGGATCAGCTGAAAGCGGGGTTGAATTAGAGTTTTCGAAATGATAATTCATTAATTGGCACTGACCTGTCGATGCAACCGCTTCATCAGCTTATCCTCTCCTTGTCCGGGGCGCTAAACAAATGGTTAATTAGGTTTTTTGCACTTTAAAATGCCTTTGAAGAAGCTTACTCTCATGCGCCTACGTCTCCTATAGACAAAAATGTCAAATCCGATCGATGGCCCGCCCATAAGGTAGGGCATTGCCGATAAAAGTTTTATATAGCCATTACAAGAGTCTAAATTAATTTTTTGGTTTAACATAGTAATTGATACCATCTACGCCCGAAAAGGTGAAGGCAATCTCTTGGTAATCAGCATTGCAGGCAGCTAAACTGGGGCATGACGAACAGCTAAATTCTAAAAACTTACGAAAAATGACGGGGATACAAAAAAGCAGGGTTGTTCATTTTGGGTCCGGTCCGCGTCCGTCCGGCCCGGGACGCGGACCCGTCCCGTCCGCGCAATTAGCATAAAAAATTGCGGACGGGCTGGGACGGGTCCCGGACGGGCCGGACGGACGCAGTGCGGGCTGGGGCGTCCGCGCGTCCGCGATGCAAATGGACGGAAGCACATGCAAAATTATTAGATGCAAATTAAGATATTGAACCAATTGCTGCCCTTTCTTAATTTGCATAAGGGCTTTACTTGGGAAAGAACGCGGTAAACCGTCATTTCATCAATTATCATGCAAGTTTTGGCTGCCCGCGCTTTGCATAGCGGGCTCGGCTACTTCCTGCGTCCGCAGCCCGTCCGGCCCGTCCCGGACCCGTCCCAGCCCGTCCGCTCTCCCGGAGCAAATTATTCGGACGCGGACGGGTCCGGGCCCGCGTCCGTCCGAGCCCGTCCGTGAACAACCCTGCAAAAAAGGAACGAGAAAATAAGTAGGCCGAGCAGCTGAGCTATTTCCGCTCTTGAGACCACTGCATAAAATCTGCCCATGAAGGCGATGGCGAAGAAGCGGTTGGTCGACAGGCCCAATTGATAGCAGGGTACCGCGAGATTGACCGATTCGTAAATATAACCCACCGCCATCGAAAGCCAATTGGCATTAACCGAGATTTGCCTAATATTTCCGTCTAGATCGCAGCCTACACAACTCACCCAAAAATTTCGGCAATCCCGTGTAGGAGGTAGAGGACGACTAGGAAAAGCCGGGCCCCGAACTCGCAATAGAAGTAACCTCGGACAAGTCGACTCAACGATTTCTGCCGGCTGATCAGCCATAGCGACCAACCAGAGAAGAAAATGGCGATTATAGTGACCTGGAAAAATCGTGGTTTTTTAGGATTCCCGGGGGGAACCAATTTTTTTCCTGGTGGTCCCGGGTCACCTAGTAATCAAATATAAAGTGTTTTTCAATTGTTTTTAGTAAGTTTTAACTGTAATTAAAGCAGAATAACTTTCAGAAAAATTTAGAAAAATGTTTGAAAAAGTCGAAAATTTGGTCATTTTGGGTCTTCCCCCCCCCGCTAATCCTAAAGAACCAAAATCGTTAGCTAACATGTGAAAAGCACTTACAATCGTGATCGCTGCGTACATCTGGCGCTTCGTCATAATGATCTCGACAGCCGTTTCATTTTCGTGGTTTGCTGTGCTGGTGGAAGGTGTGTTCATGATTAATTTTAAAGATGGTTTTAACGCTAGAAGTCACTAGAGTTGTGGACTTGGCCGGTTCTCCCCGTTGAACCTGCGAACGAGCGCAAAAGCCATTGTGCCGCGTGGTGCGACTAAATTGGATGGCGACAAAATGGATTTTGATTTGCGTGATGTCGCCAGAGAAATGGGTAGACGCGAAAGAAGGGATTTTTGACGTCGAGGTGGTTTGTTGGCAGCAAGTTTCTATCGGTAAGTAAGATGTGAGAAATGTGAAACTAGAGATGAGGTGTTTTTGAGCTTATTCCTCTGGTCGCTCTGTTGTTTTAGGCTTTCTTGGTTGCTTGTCACGTAGCGTTTTTTTACTAGCCTCGAAATTGCTTTATATTTTTTTTATCCGTTCTGGCGTACAGATACTGACAACCGAGAAGGAGGAGCACTGGAGGATTTTTGTACGACAGGCTTCGTCGAGTCGTCTTGTTCCCTGTCTTGACGAAAGCGACGGCAACATGGGCATCGGCCGAAGAACCAGATGATGACAAGCCTAAAGCTGAAGCCGCTAGACGCTGTGACTTAATCTGATTTACCCCTGAATTATCGTCAGTAGCGGCATAAAGATACTCTCCGTCACGAAAGATTGAAGCGATTCATAATTGCTGAGGAGTATTGCGATAAACTTACTGCCCAGCATTGCTATCAATGTCGATACGTGATTCAATGTCATCTATAGTAAAAATTTCAAATAATGTTGAAAATTGCGCCCAACCTGTTTACATAGTCGTTTCCCAGCCCGATCCTCTCTTTGACCGGGTTGACCGGATCGCTAAAACAAATCATACTAACGCCACCATCTCCTTACCGCCATTTTTCGCAGCTTTACAAAAACAAAAATATCGAGGCCAATAGAGGGCGCCATCAGCACATAAGGCATAAAATTGAGCAACTTTAGATACCAACCACAAGAGTCTGAAAGAGTGACGTTTACAAAACTATTAAAACTTACCGTCCAAACCATAGGTGAAAGCCAGATTCTGGTAGCTTGCGGTGCATACGGCTAAGATGGTCTAGCTTTTAAGGGACCGGGAAGACATACCCAGGTTGATTGGGGCGCAGAATAAAAAGGGAAAGACCATCAGGCCGACAAGCTGCAGGATCTCGGCGCTCGAGACGCAGCTATAGAAGCGCCCATTAAACGCCATAGCGAAGAAGCGGTTAGCCGACATTCCTAGCTGGTAGCAAGATATCGAGAGGTTCACCGCTGAATAGATATAACCAAGAAGGGCAGTTACCCAGCTTAGCGTATACGATAACTGCCTGGAAAAAGTCAAAAACATGAATTTTGCAGCCTCAAACTCACCAAATTCCCTCGGCACACGCTATCAACACGTAGTAAATCACCAGAAAAAGCCGGCCGCCAAATTCGCAATAGAAAAACGCGCGCATAAGTCTGCTGAGGGTTTTTTGCTGCCTAATTAACCATAACGACCACAGCGAGAAGAAAACGGCGATGAGGCTAGCCTGAAAATGTACATTTGGATTCTTTTCCCCACAGTATTCCAGTGTTTTGATGCCCCTTTGTATCCCAGATCACTCGAGCTTTAATTTGATCGAAAGTGCAGGTGTTCTCCCCCTTCATCAGACTAGAACCAACTATTTTTTTTTGAATAGTGAACCCAATTTGGTGAATTAAAATGAGCCCTCGAGGGTGTCCGGCTCAGAAAATGGCAGGTGGAATTGCGAGCTTCGCTGGGCTGTCTTTCTCAATAAACGAGCTACGAATAAAAGGCACAAATCAACCTACAACAATGATAGCGAGGTACATCTGAAGAAGGGACAACAGAATCTTTTCCGCTTCTTCCTCATAGTCATATTCAGTAGTAGTCGATAGATTTTCCATTTTTAAAAGTATGGCTCGCCTCGGGAATGGCCTCGGCCGGGGCCAATGAGTCCGCGTGTTCCAGGGTAATTGTCGCGCGCAAAGTGGATTTTGGTTACCGTGATGTAAGGGTCAGAAAAGGGTAGACGAGGCGTTTAGCTAAAAAATAGCCCTGAAAAATCAGAGATCCTGGTTCCAGCTGCGCGCATGGTTACCACGCAGCTGCACAATATTAGCCAATAACAAAAACCGTTGCTTTGAAGATTAAAAATCAGCCTGGGTAATTTAGTATATTATGAGGAACAGCAAAAATAGATTTATTCGCAATCGCCACAATCTTGCACTTCTCCGCCACAGTGATCTTGATAACCATCGACCGCTGGAGTATCGGCAAAAGTCTGATGAGTTGCCACTCCTAAAATTCAAACGAATTTGTCGATAAACGATTTTAACCTACCAACTCCCGTCAAACTTTGCACAGAACCGCCCTGTCGGTGGGAGCTGCCTTCTGGGAAAGTGTTAGTCAGAATAAAAAAAAAAGATGAGTAACCACTATCGCGACTCCGTTGCCGCATATTCTCTCCAAACTTTTCGGGTCGGTTGATAGATACAGAACTAATACGGAAATTATTTCGTTTATTAAAATTGTTACGGTTCAAATTCGGTGGTACGAGCTGTGCTGGGGACGGGCTGCCCTCGGTAGACGTACTCGTCTTCAGCTAAAAACCCGGAATTCACTTAGTAAAGTTAGCGATTCAGACAGTTTTCGATATCGCTTTATGAACAGTTACGTCACCTACAGTAGTGCTAGGAGTACTGTATTAAAAGTCAACGAGACAGACAGACAACCAGACAGTGCTATTCAAAAATTGCCGGTTGCGCAGCGGAAGTGGCAAGTCAGACTTGGCCCAGGCACAATTCTATGTGCTTTAACTAAACGGCTATAAATGCATTCTTAAAGTAAACCCGGAAAGATTTTTAAAATTATACCGCAATCTGAACCAACCAGCCAGAGGTAACCAGAAAAGCCTGCTAGCCATCACCATTCAAGGATCAAAAATGAACTCACATCCTAGCTCCTCTTGAAAAATGGAGCTCCAGCAGCTGCCCATCTCTGCCTGGCTGCCGACTTCCAGTGGCCGGATGCGAAATAATGGGACTTATGGGCCCTGATTTCCCGCAGCAGGTCGATCCGCCGGGATCGACCGCGCAAACAAACCGAACACTGATCGGTAAACATACGAGTGATGATACTCGAATTTTCACCCCGCCGAGACATCCCCGGGAATTTGGATGTCGTAGGGTATGAAAAGTTTACGCGGTAGGTACTGTTTCATGTCATTTTCGGTGTGACAAAAATTGTCAATGTGATTGCGTAAGACAAAAATGAAGAACGGATGCAGAGGAGCGCCGCATTTTCGAAGATTCGAGCCCCAGACGCAACTAATTACACGTTGACTCTCATACTTTTCCTTACTAACTAACTAACTTACTGTCGTTCCATTTAGAATTTTCTCGTCTTCTGCCTATTTTTAGTCACTGGTTAAAACTCTTTACGAGCTGATGTAACGATTTGGCTATACATTCTTTCCACACCTTCTTCCCAAGAATGCCCGCACATCCGAATTAGCACCGCCACCAATTCTCGGTGGCCGGCTGCAATTATTTTTGCTTTTTTTCGCGGCCATTCCTCATCGCATGATCCGAGGGGCCAGGTGGAATGCCGGCAAAGTCTCTGAAGCGGGAAATGAGCCATTTTTGCGCGATCGAACTGATTTATTATGCGGAACCCCTGGCAGCGGTGGCATGTGACCAAGTTTAGAAAATAAAACGCAACAATGGGCGCAGACATCGCTTGGAAAGGGGCAAGAAATGGAGTTGTTTTTTAACAAACATGTGCGAAGTACGAAGTTCGTCGAGTTGCTGGGGGATAAGCCGATTCTTCTTGTTTTGTTGTTTCCGAGGCGAGCCAGAAAGACACTGAACTTACAAAAGCTCGCCATATGTGCTGCGACGTCCTAATATCAGCACCTCCTTCCATATTCTTCTCACAAATAGGAGAGCGACGGATATTCCCGAACGAGCCGCCGCGAGACACGAATATCCAGCCGGATGATCGCCCGCAAATCCGGGGCTTTCGCCAAAAAATACGAATTCGCCGCCGTGGCTCAAAAGTTTCAACACTTTCAAAATCCCCCTGTCACCAGACATGCATCGGGGCGATTAAAAAAAGGGAATTTAACCTGTTGGGTGAAGAATTGGCGGGGTGCCAAGGACGGAAAAGGTCACGAACGGCGGCTGTTTGTTTACGAGCCAAAAAAAGGATTCTAGAATTTTAGGAAACAAAAATCACCGCGGGTTTGGTAAGTGCGGATTTGAGGGCACCGAGCAAGGTATTGCAAATAATATCCAATACTATAATGTCTGTGGCCTAATTGAGCTCGAACTTTGGCCACACCAGCACGGAGATGAAGCGTGAAATAATTTTTGTGCATTTCATATAGCTGCATTTTTTACGTCAAAACATTAAATATGGACCCGCCGTGTTTCCATTTACTTATGATACTACATTATTGAAATTAAGTTAATAACAACACTCGCCCACGCTTCATCCTCCGCACGTACTTTGAGAAACTTTGTCCCTCTGTTCAGAATTCGGAGGCAGCTACAAACTTTCCAAAAAACGCAGTGACTCAGTACAACTTTAGGTTTCTGCATTGTCCAGACACGACTGAAAGAAATGTTCGCTGGAAATGGCGAGGCCATTTCCGCTCTATATGCCAAGAAATACGGGCTTGATCTGAGTGTCCGGTCGGCTATGATGACCCATCCGTTCCACTAATGCGCGTTTCCGGACCACGGCGTCCGCGCTAATTGCACGAATTTCTGGGCAGGAAATTCGGCGCGATTAGTGGCATCAGCGCTAGCAACGAAATCCACACTAACGAAGGCAATGCTTAATGTTAATATGAGTAGTTTCTGACGGACATTGAAGTCGCAGACTGTAGTCGGGATAAAGCTCAAAATAGCTACTTCTGACCAGTTTTGATACGAGATGTACGCGTCTATGTGGTTAATACCAATTATCGCTTTGGAGAAAGGGTATGGGGAAGCAGAAATGGTTTAATGAGTGGCTAGGATAAACTTTAAACGTCCAATGGCCCTATTTGCAAACTGCGTGTAGTCTGGTTAATACATGTAATCATAGGTTAACGGAAATTAACGTAAAAAGAGCTTAATTGCGTTAGTTTTCTAAGCTTTAAAGTTAGTTATCGGTCAGAAGGAAACAGCTGTGAAAAGTGGTTCACTTTCCTGGTTTCCTAGACTTCAGGGAGTACGCTAAAACAAAATAATGTAACAATACTTTACTTTCCTTAACTTTTAGACTACATACTTTAAATTTAGCTATCATACAAAAGCTAAAAGGTGTCCAAAGCGCTTCATTTTCTTTGGTTTCTTAAGCTTCAAAGTTTTAACTCAAGCATCTCAGGTTTGGCGAATCCTCAAAAGCGATCTAAGATGAATCTGAATTAAAAAAACTCTAATCTTAATGTGCGAATTGTAGTGGGCGTAGTCGCATTAGCCAGATTAATTTTTTAGTGAAAAACTTTATTCAGCACATGAGAGATCCCTAGTGAACCAATTCGAAACCCGCATCACAGCTCAAACCCAGTCGAGAGAAAATTCGATATAGAAAACAGTTGACACGTAATCCGTACATACACATTTTAGGTACATGATTTTCTGGGGAGGGCACCAAAGAGCTATTCCTAAACGTCTCTATGTGGAGAACTGTACAATTTGAAGTAATATGAACATGTAAATGATTCCTTGAGCAAATTGACAATCAATTCGGTGACTAGAGGGTTTAAAGAAAACCTATCAAAGAGATAACAACATTATGAGGGCTACACGTTTTTACAAGTATCGTTTGGCGTATTGTGACCTCGCGTTTCTTCTGTACATAGTATTTTTCCGTCGTCATCGATAGGAACGGCGCGTCGTCTAGTAGGGTCTCTGAAATTGGCTCGTTGTTTGGATTTCGATTTGAGCATTTTTTTACTTTGCAAAAGTAGTTTTTGCGATTTTGCGCATACAATAGTTTGCTAAGATATAAGTTATTTTTGTAGACATTTTAGTGTTATTTTATGTATTGATTCGCCTTTTAGGCAGTTTCTTACCTATTATTTTTCCGAATCTATCCAGTGGTGGGTCGGTGGACTGTCAAAAATCTGGAGCTTCCCTGCGGCCGTTCGGTCGTCGTTGTGGGCCTTCTTTTATTATACCAGAAGGGTTCGTTCGGGTCGTCGGTTGGTAGATGGATCATGTCTAGAATAAGATATTTTAGATTATAAAAGGGTATACGGTAAAGAAGGGCACAATATAAAATTTATAAGCTGAGCAAAAAAAGTGTAATGCGTCTCAGTAGGTTCGTAGAGCTTGTCGTAAAAGATCAAAGTACGAAAAGACCGCAGGATGCTCGATTTTAAAGCGAAAATGTTTAGCAACTCCCGCATTATATCATTAATGTATAATACAGGATTATTAAGCTTAGGCCCCACCCAAGCATCCGTCAAAGTTCAAAGACAACCCAGGCCCCTCCCACTTCCCCCTAATCCTACCGTACCCCCGGGAATGTCCTCAGCAATGCGGGGAGCGAGACAATATCTGAGCGAGAGTCCCCCTTCAGGGCCCTCTCAACTTATCCCCTACTAGCCCCGCCCCTCGATTTTCCGTTTCTTTCCGCTCACTCCTTTTCGTTGATCCTTGCGTTTTTTCGTGTGTGCGGGTTTTTGTGAAAGCCGCCCCTTTTTCAGCTGTCTTCCCGAAGAGGGGGGAGTGGATTCTGCCGGGATTTGAGGGTGAATTTAGAGATTAAGAGCGCGACGCGCGGTAAAATCGGGTTGTTGATTTCGGCCGCCGGGTGAAAGAGCAAAGGACGGTTTTTAGAATTTGGGATGAGTGTTCGTTTCGGGGTGCGTCGCGAAACCAGCGGCGTAACAAAAAGAACCATTTTTCTACCCTACCTTGGATTCCACTCCAAGCGCGTAATAGGTAACGAAAGGAAATGTCAAGCGGTCTGAACAAGACTACTACAGTTCTAAATTACGACTCGTAATTCAGCTAAAAACCATACCTTACAAAACGATGGCTCTGAAAAGGCATGACAAAAAAATGACTAATTTTTTAGGTCTTGCCCGTTCCTTTAAAAACCCCAAAACCAAATCCTAATCTACCAACCAACTTTTTTCCTATTTTGCACACCCCCTACAGTACCACAATGAAGCAGGACGGATGATCCGCTCACGAATTCTGACCCGCGCCGTCTTATTCGAGCTAATTGGCCGGCCAGCGCTGAATGGCTGAGCAACCCCGGCAAACTTCAGAATAATAGAGAAAAATCGGGCGCCCCTGATTTTTCCGGGGGGGCAAAAATTGGTTGTAGGGAAATCGGGGCTGCCGCCCGATAAACTGCCAAAGAGCAAACGGGCATCCCCGGTGAAAATCGTGCACAGGACTTCGCGGAGTTTTTGCGTGGCGTCGAGTATTTAAGGGTCGACCCCAGGGGGAGGGCTGAGTGTCCGGAAGGCAAATCGGAATGAAGGGGTGTTAATTGTAAACTTTGAAGGAAGAGGTAAGGTATGACACGGAGCCCTATGGTTTTCGCCAGGCCTGCGAGGTTTTCCAGATGATAGCTACCCTTATTCCGCGTCCGTGTCCCTCGAATTCCGCTTCTGGCACAACACTTGCCCTTTTATACGGCGCTCCCCTACAGTAACCACCCAAAAAATATTGGCCACCTCTTTTTCGCGCCCCAATTATTGTCCCAAAAAAACCGCTCATCGTATGCACCGGAATCGAATGGCACACTTTTTGTGTCTCCGCCGGGAGGCAAGAAGTGCAACTTACCGTAGCCCCACGCCAATATGCACCTCCCGTTCAGAAATTGGCGCCCCGAATTACGCGCTAATTTCCGCTGAAATACTATGAGCGTAGTTTTCCTCGGCGGGCGCCGGTGTGGATCTCCTCGGGGGACCGGATGCGGAGAATGGGGCTGGAAAAAGCGGTGATTTTAGGCGTCTGGAATGGGTAGGCTACGGTAAATGGGTGCAGAATATTTTCTTCCGACCGCTAACCTTTACATTTTGCAATTTCGACAATGTTCTCGACCTCTTCTCACCAGCAGCGCTGTCGAAGCAAGGGTGTAATTTAGCAAATCGTGCACATCCAAGAACTAATCTCTCGAGCGTGCTTTTTAGCGCTTTGTAGCCAACGGCCCGTCTTCCGCCCAATCATCGGGTCCCTCTTTTTCCAACTCACCACCCCTGGAATTGGCATCGCGATGCCCAAAACTACCAATTGTCTTCTTGTCGCCACCTGCCTGTTGCGGGCCCAATTAAACATTGAAAAAAAATTGGGAACGCCCAATTTTGAAACACGGATGAGTCGGGGCTATTCTTGGCCGTAGCCTGATCGTCCCCAAAAAAGCCAGGTACTCCCCACAGAAAAACTCAAAAACACAGTCCCCTGAGAGGCCGATTGTTTGGGCTATTTTTGAGCCCACAATTTGCCATTGTGAACCTTGTGGTTCGGTCCAAATAGTAGCCGAGAGGCAAAGAAACCCTGGCCTAAAACCGGCCACAATCGTCCTGTTTTTGTGGGCAACGCCCAAGCGTTGCAAATTTCGACGTACGTGCAGTGGATGAGCAAATCTACCTCGTTTTCAGAACGCCCAGATAAACATCGCGATCATCGACCCCAGGCTACGAGTCCCGCAATTAGATTTCGAACGGATTTGGGCAATTTTTTTTGCGGCAGCGCCTCAGCGGCTATCACATGGCGGACCGCTCCCTAAAAAGACAACAAACATGACCCCCGCTGGATGGGATTAACAGCCCATCATGCAAAAAAACCCACCTCGAAATCATTGAAAACGAAGCTCAAAAATGGCTCGCCAACTAGGGCTTTGCGGTTTTTTGTAATTGGACGCCATTCGGATGCGGGCATTCGGGAAGTAAGATTAGGGAGGCTGCGAAAAGAACAAAATATTCTCCGATTAATTGACACTACGGCTGAACCGCTGCTGAGCCAACAAACAAAAATGAATTCACCGACGGTCGAGTTTGTGCTATGGTTGATCCGGGTCAAAAATAGTCTACCAAAAATGACTAAGGATTTCTGTAGGGTAAAATAATACTTACCTGTTACTTTACCTCGTGAGGGTAGTGCTGACAGGTGGTCAACTCCATTGCCTTACGTGTTCGCCCATTTTCACCCTAACCGGTCACCCTGTAGCGGCTGATTAAAAAAATTCTATAAAATCCATGACCAGCGGCTTGTATTCGTTCCAAAATGAAACTTGAACTATAATCTGGCACCAGGTTCGTCAGAAACGCTTCCGCCCCCGATCGGCTCTTCTTCTCGGGGGTTTTTGCCCGTTTCTGGACAGTTCAGGCACTAACTTATTATCCAAACATGGGCATAATCCTTTTACCTTAGCCCCTAGCTTTACCCTAGAAGGTCATTTGCCGTTCTCGAGGATGTAAACAAGTAATCCGGTATCCTGATTGCTCGGGCAATCCGACACATCCCCCTTGGGAATCGGAGATAAATCCGGAAATCTGGTGAAATCCTGCCAGACTAAAGTTCGACCATCTTTTCGGGCAAAAATGCTTGTGGAAAATTGCCAAACCAACGTTTTTTTCTGGTGACTGGATACGTGGTTCTCATCCCCTTGCATGTTCATCCATTTTCGGAAAAGGAAAATAATCCGTGTTGGATAGTACATTACCCCTGGGGTGTGAAATCTTGAGAACACAAGCAAAAACTATTTAAGACCTTGCTACGTAAAAGTCAGACCGGTGAGAACATTTGCTTTGCCTGCAATTAGGCTGAGAAACCGGGTGCGGTTGCTAGCGCTGGTTAAACGGCTGGGTCGAAATGAAAAAAAATGTGTAGAGCTCATCGTTGGAAAAGTGTTTGTCTAAATCTTATCCTGAAAGAAAAGTATTAGACAAGTTTTTCAGAAAGTTTATAACTAAACACGTAGACAATAAAGCTTTTTCTAGGAAAAACTTGTTGCTCAAAATCCAAAAGCTGAACCTTCAGACTGCAAGGCCCTGGGATTACGCGCATTTTCCATATCCTATGCCTAAAGAATCGTATAAAATTGTTCTACGGGTCAATTTTAGTGTCGGTAGGGGCTCCAAATATTAAACAAACAAAAACACTTCCAGATATCCGCGGAAAGAAACGAAAGGCGATAAATCTGTCAATTTTTTTCAATCAAAAACAAACGCGTTCTAATTACAAATACTATGTACTAATTCCAGTCAATCAAAAATTCCAGTCAAACATTCGCCCATATTTGTGCAATTAGTAAAAGATCAATAAAAAAATTGATGAATTTGTAAAAATCTAAACTCTACAGTGTACTAACGAAAGACTTCGCTAAATTGCGGTCCTTGAATTTTTACCGTAGCGCTTTCCTAATGACGGCCACTTTCCAATTTTGAAGAATGGGAAACTCGTGGTTATTTTTGTAATTTCGTCTAGCAATTACAAAGAGTCGGGTGGTATGATTACCTTTTTTTTAGTGATGGCAACTCCACACACCACCTACCCGACCGTTGAGAGCGATGGCAAGACCTGGCTGGTCCTGCAGGTAGTGTTTGAAACTTTTTCACCTTGAATTTTCAGAATGCCGACGTGGCCGCGCCACCGCCACCGCGCATGAGGACCCGCCTCTACTCCTACCAGGAGTACCTGGTCGGCCACGTCAAGGTTTCAACGTTTATAACGCTGAATATTTTCATTTTCAGACTTTCGACGGCTTCGCCGCCTACGCGACGTCGTCGGCCCCGCAGGTTGTTTTTCAAGCGTTTTTGAAGCTAGTTGTTTGTCACTTTCAAGCATTTTGGTCCTGGACCATTATCGGGGAGCGAAACCATTTTTTTTGCGTCTAAGCTGCACACGCCTAGTAACGAAAGAGCTTTTGAGCTGTTTTGGCAGCTTCCTGTAGCTAAATAGCTATAAAAACATTCTAAGGAATATAGCAACTTTCATATCGTTGAGGATTTTTCAACCATTTTTACCATTAAAATTTACCCCGAATTTTTACTGTTGACATTTCTTTCCTCAAAAACAGCCGAAAACTGGCGCGTTTATGCTTGTTAATTTTGATTTTAGGGCGTGGCCCCACTGCCGCCGGACGAGGTGCGCATTGACGAGGACGAGGTGATTTATTTGGTTTATTTTCTTTATTCCGATTTCATTCTATTTGCAGTTTGATCGTGTTTCGGGCGCGGCGTCGCCCCGGGCTCCGGCCCTCAGTGCCCAATGTGGATCAGTGGACCAAGGCCACGATGTCTGCTGCTCAATGCTCAATCTTACTGCGGATCTGGAAAAAGTCGCCGATGAAGCCGAACCCCACGAAATCGACGGTACGATCATTCTCTCGATGTATTTATGATTTTAGAAATCGACGCGTTCCGCGCGAAGTACGCCACTGCCTGGGCAAGCTACCTGGCCCCAAAAAGAGGATCGCCCGCCCTCCGCGTAAATCAAGGTATTTTCGGTGTTATTTTAGTGGAAAAATTGTTGATTTAGGCACCCCATGGGATTGCGCCTTGTGCCACATTAAAGTGAATGGACAAACGGATGCGCGACACCACATCGACAATAAACACATGCCAGGACGGTACAAGTACGTTCAATCGCGTTTTTCATAAGCTTCCACGGTTTAGGGTGGACGCCATCTGTTATCGTCAGAAAAGAAAGGCCCTGCGCCAGACCCAACAAGTGCCCGAGGACATGATGAAAAATGGCGACGATTGGCGGTATCGAATATATATTCAGCCCTATCTTTTCTTTAGCTCGTTTTATCTCAAGTGCTACGAGGTACTCTGGGGGCTTTGCTTCCCGGGAAAGAACGATCGTAGCGGCCGTTATCGTACGCCATCCGGATAAATAACCAACTGACCAATCCCTTGTTATTGTTCAACTTGTTAATAAATTATTGTAACGTTTGTTTGACGTTTTTATGAACACGTCGATTTTCATTCGCGTAGAATATCTCTGCAGAATTTTTCAGACTTTGAAATGATCAATTCAGCATGACTGTATTAGTCGAGCTGTCTTTAATCGATGGAATCTCTCGGCGGGACGTCAACCGTCTTTGTTACGTGCTTCTTGAGGTATTTTGGACATTGATAAAATCGAATCGAGGACTTCCGTACGGGGAGAGTAAAGCAAATTTTTGTCGTGGGGGTGATGATTCACTTTTCTAGCGATATCAAGAAATCCACCGCCTTTCTGTAACCCACGATGTAGCGCCGAGACGCCGCTATGGATTGTCCATTGACATAAGTCAGGTATTTTTCTGCTTTATGTTCGCAAAATTTCTTTAGCTTCGCGTCGACCACTCAGCTTCCACGTATTTTATGGACGATCTGTTAGCTTGCGAGCCTTGTCTTTGCCGATTGGATGAATTAGAAGTCGGTGAACTTGATTTCCTACCTGTTTTTTTTCAGCATTCAATGGGGGCGCAGGAGGTTCATTTCTACAGGGATCAGCGGCCGTTTGCCGAGCTTGCCAACGACTCGGCAAACGAAGTTGTGACTTCGCGTGCCTTCTTTACCCCTGAAACGGTCTGGCACTTTGAATGCCTGATATCATCCAATTTAGACCAGCCGCAATATGACGCAATATCTGGACTGTGTGGAGCCAGCTGATGGGTTTGTTTGTTTTAAGAATTATCTCGTTTTTAGTGAGGACTTCGAAAAGGCTTCAATTGCTCCTGTTAACTCGTCGATACCGAATGAGCACGAGTTGGCGTTTTTTCTCCAAAAAAAAAACTATTTTTAGAGCATCTGCCTCGGCATCAGAAGAGGTTCAGCCGGCTCCGGTTCGGCAGGAAAGTGAGGTTGAAGATCTCCAGCTCATCGAAGCGGAGCCTTCGTTTGCTGGACCTGAGCAAATCGTTTCTGAGAGCATCGTCAAGCCCAGCTCATTAAATTCAAGCGAGGTTATTAACCCAATTAACCCAATTCTTAAAAAAAGCTTTAGGCTCCGGCGAACTGTTCTAGCCGCTTGGCCCAGCTCCTGGAAGTCCATCCCGTTGTGGGAATAAGGTTTTTCTGAAAATATATCCCTCGATTGCTTTAGTCAAAACACCATCCACGATAAAGCATCTTGCGAGGCGCCCGACGTTGTGAAAGAGGAAGCCATATCTACCGAAGATTTCACAGATGAACCTGTGTACGTTTTCTTCTCGTAATTTAGTCGTCAAGAACTTTTAGTGAGCGTGATCCTGAGTTCTACAATGTTTCGTTGAAACGATCGTGGTCCAGCTTGGTCGGGTTCGCTTCTCAAATGGTTTAGCTATTTAACTTACATTATTAGAGTTTAGGAGAACCTCTTGGATCGAAGCCCGGCCCTAGGCAGCGAATTTCCGGAAATGGCACTGCTGCTCCAGATGAACAACAACTGGCCACTCGATGATTTTGTGCGGGTATATTACAAAATTTCATTACTTGCTGATGCTTCTTTAGGGAGGACTCGCGGATGAGGCCCCAACCGATGAAGACGACGAGTATCATGCTGCTTTTGACGATATCGTTGAAGCCGGCATCCGCGGCGAATTCCCGGATGTATTTGCACATTTCTTGCTGTAACTGTTTTTTTAGAACGCTGAAGTTGAGCCAGGCTTTGATGACAGACTGGATGAAATCAAAAACCCGTTGTGTGAAACTACTGCGGTAAACCTTTGACAGTGGTTTTCATGCTTGGACGGTCGTTGATGTCACCGCTCCAAATACCCCTTTTTCAGGAAAATATCAACACAAAAGAACCGAAGACACGAAAAAGAAAGAGCACGTCTCGCGGTCGTGTCCACTGCACGGTTGATGTAGCCATTCCGTTTTTGCCAAACACCTCTTTAGGCCTGTAATAAATCTCGCAAGCGGTTCATAAGCATCGGCCAGGCTGTAGAGCACATCGTGGCCGCCCACGCGAAAGAATTGCCGAAGATTTGGAGGTAATATCCTTTTTTAAGAACTAGTTTTCCGATCTTGCTCTAACTAAACAAGTATGTTTGGAAATTACCATTTCAGATGCCGTTTATGCTCGTCTTTCCGCAGCTTCTACAAGGCCAATGTCGCGAAACATGTGCGAACTTTACACAAACAAGAGTCGATGCGGCCCTCGTATTTCCTGGAGCGCTGGTAAGTTTTTTTGGTTTTATTAGGCGAGGTTTTTAGGCACCACACTACGATAAAGCGAGCCCGCGAAATCGCTCCCATCTATTTTCCGCAGATTGTCGATCGGGTCGAGAAGTTTGTTTTGAGGATAACTTTTTATATCAGCGTTTATTTGCAGGTTCCTGATATGGAAAGTCAAATGCGGGTTGGTAGAAGCGTAAACCGTGACATCTGATAGCATTTGTGTGATACACTCACACTTTTTAACATCTGAAATGTGAAGTTTTTACAAAAAAAAAATAGTTCTTTGAAATATTTTGTTTTCTTGTAATGGTTTCCTTTTCATTTCGGATTTAGTTTGTTTGTTTGTGCGAATAAATGTGGACTAACCGAATTGAAAAAATACAACTTTCCCGAGAACGTACGCCTGTGTACTTTCCACACTGCCAACCCGCGCTGTTAACACTACTTGTTTGCTGTTGAATGCCCGAATTCAAAGGAATAGAAAAAGCTATGCGTTTTCGAGTTATTATATTTACACTTCTGATCAGCGCCGTTTTGGCGAAGAAGAGCCTACACGACTACACCGAGGCCGACCTTGAAAAGTGGGTCTTCCAAGGTAATCACGCTCTTTTAGACTCTACGAGGAATGGGAGGAAAACGATGATGAGAAGACGGACGAGCAGGAAGTCCCGGTCGATAAACCGTCAGCCCTTGACTTGGAACAATTAAAAGCACAGGTGAAGTGACACCTCGAATCTCAAGCAAGCGATACCCTTCCAGGCCAAAGACCCCGAAGACCTCTTAAAACTCACCAAAAAGGGGCAAACGTTGATGATGTTTGTTGGAGTAGTTGACCCAGATCGTCCTCAGGTCAAGGTATTTCCCCCTCATTTTGTATGGCTACACTCACTTTTCTAAAGGATATCCGACCGTTTACCGATAAAATGACGTCACTATGGCATACAAGCCTCTACAATAATCATATCGACGTGCAGGTTCGTCGTAACTAAGGCAGCCATGCCCATTTCAGGTCTATGTGGTGGATGATAATCGGGCCATTTTCATGTTCAAAGACGGGTCACAGGCGTTCGAGGCGAAGCAATTTTTGTTGAAACAGCCTCAGGTAATTGCTGATGTTACAGGATGCTACTTCTCTTATTTAACTTTAGAACACCTTCGTTTTATGTTAGGTCTATAAAGAATAAAGTATAAAGAATTTTTAGGTCTATGAAGTAACGCTCGAGGGTCGTCAGTTCCCGGGGAGCGGCGCTAAACATCTCAAGTCTGAACTCTAACATCGTGGTTCTTTAGGATTCCCGGGGGAAGTATTCCCGGGGGGAAAACAAATTTTTTTCGGCGAAAGCCTAGATTTTTGTATAAATTGCGGATGCGTTTCTAAACTGTTTTTAACTATTCCTGTGCATAAAAACTACACACATTTTAACCAAAAAAATGTAAAAAATTAAAAATTAGGTCGAAAAATAGACCCAAAATGACCAAATTTTCGACTTTTTCAAACATTTTTCTAAATTTTTCTGAAAGTTATTCTGCTTTAAATATACTTGAAACTTACTAAAAACAATTCGAAAACACTTTATATTTGATTACTAGGTCAACCGGGAAAACCAGGAAAAAAATTGGTTTCCCCCCCCGGGAATACTTTCCCCCCCCCGGGAATCCTAAAGAACCAACATCGTTTTTAGGGTTTAATTTCTTGCTCATAACACGTGTATTTGGTGCTCGTTTGGGATTTTTTTTCACTTGGGATTTTACCCAGCTGTGATGACGGCATAAATTATTTTTGATTTTTATCTTGGTTTGACGACAGAGAAAGCGACGTTACGTCAGTTTCGTGATCATTCGCAGCTAATACTGACGAGCAGAAGCTTTTCGGCAGCCTGCCAAGCATTTTTGACAGTTCCGCTTCAACTGATGAAGCTCCCAACGTTTCGGGGCCCGGCGGAGAAACTCGAGCTGGTTAAACGAAAACGCGAGCAAATCCCCCTCATTCGTGGTGGGACCCTGTGGCGCATTGCCAATACCCCAACCCCGGGCGCTTTTTGCTAGATTTTGAGCTTTTGCATGATCAAAAAGTGCTAAAAAGTTTGTACTTTTCTGTCTTTCTAGAAACTTAATGTTGTCACTACCTAACGCTCCCCATTCGTAACGTTTTAGGCTGATGAGCGGCGAGGATGAGGCGTATCAAGCCGCACTCAAACAGGTCCGTTTTCGGCCGATTATGCTTAGCAATTATTCTCGAAAAATACTGACGAGTTTATTTTCAGGTTGCGGAAATGTTCCAGCGACCGGATCAGCTCGAGAAACTGCCAGAATTGAAAAAGAAGGCTGATCGGAAAAAGGCGGCCGTTGAAGCCATGCTGCGAACCGCCGTCCACAGCCAGCTAGAAGGAGTTCGCACCGCCATACAACAGCTGAATCAAGCTCATGACGATATTATGCTAGTGGAAAACGAGTATGATTGTCTTTCATATTTGAAATTATTGTTTTAGGCTTGCTGAGATTTGCACGCGGTTGAAGCCCTTTCCTGCGCTCAAGGTTGCTAAGAAATTTTTCGAAAGATACAGAAAATCTAGGAACGCCTCAGTGAACTACGAGATGCGATAGCGCTTCACGGGCAATACCAGGCTGCAATGGAGAACCTCAACCACATCTACAACATCAATGAAACTGTAGAAGAAGGCAGGAAGGCGATTGCCAACAACAAGTTGTTACTTGGCCACAAGCAGTATGCTTTTTTGGACCGCTAAATCTTTTTTATTAGTATCATGGACCTTGAACTTGCGCGTGATGAGCTGCTCTTCGAGCTCCACAAGATGCAGGCAACAAATAATCAGGACCTGGATAGGAGGGTGAGTTAAATTTACAAAGACAAAAATCTGTTTTAGTTGCTAACAAAATACTTCGAAGAGGTGGACCATTTGGTGAAAAACCTCGCGGAGGGGATGTGGTTCATCTTGGGACGCGCGCTTTCGATGGTCAAAGGAAATGAGGTTATTTGAAAATTCCTCCCTTGAAAAATGTCCATTTTTAGCATGGCAATGGCCCGCAAGAACTTGTCAGCTGTTTGCGGATTGTCGAACGAGAAGAGCGAATCGACAAATATTATTTGGAGAGGCACGGCGCAACGAACTTCATGCCGCCCGGAAGGCCTCGAAAATGGAGAAAGAAAACTTTTGAGGTTGAGACTAGCTGACGCACAAACAATAGGATTTCTAGATATTGGAAGGTTCCGTAAACGGGCGTATCGAAGGGATGCAAATTGAGGATCGCACAACTAACAAAAGCTGGCTGGCAAGGTAGTTTAGGGGAATTTACTAAATGCTTTGTTTTAAGATATTTGGAAGTACTGCGCGTAAACGTACGCGACGACCTCTTGACGGCGCGTACGGCGGCTATCCCGTGCTTCCCACCGGAATATCAGATCTTCGATCGCTTCGTCAACATGTACCACCGAGCCGTCTCGAGGCGATTGCGGGAAATTGCCAATGACGATTTGCTGAAGAATGAAGTGGTGCAACTGTTGTCTTGGATCGGTGAATACCCGTACGTTTTTCCTTTATTTGCCTAATGGTTTTTTACAGGAGCGAAGCTATGCTCGGAAATCCACGCTTCAAGCTGAACGTGCCGGCAATTCTATCTGATATCCCCTTAGTACCGAAAACGACATTGAAAGAGCTGCACGATCAGTTAGTGCATTCCTCTTGAAGCTATTAGTTCTTTAGGTTCATCGAAATGCAGCGCTTGGAAGTTCGCGGTTATCTGAAGAAAACTGTGGATCAAGAAAAGGATGTGAGTTAGCGCTTTGGATTCGTGCTGCAACCTTTTGTATACCAGAATTTGCCGTCGTTTTAGGATTGGTATAAGCATATTCGGCCTGAAGAAGATTCGTCGAGTGGCATTTACTATACGCAATTGCCCTCGATCCTATTCGGCATCATCCACGACGCGGTAAGTATCATACTCAAAGCTCATTTTTGTCTTGTTCAGGTCGATGTCACCAAACTGATCTCCGTCGACTTGATCCCCGCCATCATCCACGTTTGCATCGAAGAGTCGCTCGAGTTTGCCGACCATTATCGAAGTAGCTTTTTTAAAATTAGCGTCAACGCGTTTTAGACGCTACCATGGCCTTCAAAGGAAAATATTTTGAAGAAAGGAGCCGTTTCAAGGAATATACTTCCACTATGGTATTTTTTTTTCGGAAGATGATTTGCAGACCGAGGTTTTAGATTGCCATCGCTAACAACTTACAAACCTGCATTGAGAATACCGACAAGTACATGAAGCACATCCGGATGTCAGACAGTAAGTCTTATCTGAAAGTTGGGATATTTGCGTTGGGTCCTTGAAAGATAGAGTTTTAGCGGATGTGGAGACTGTCGGTTCACTGAGTGGTCGGGCGACGCGAAGAGAAACCCTCGAAAACATCGACAAGCTGAATGCCAAGTGGAATGACGGCATCTTCAAAAGGTAGCTTGATATCCTTGGTGTCGTTAAAATAAATTTCAGCGTTAACGGATTGATGGAAGAGGTGATGGCTGATATCTCGGAGCACATGGCTGAGGTCTTCACGAAGAAATGGTTCGGCCCTTTTTCTAATTACCGTTTCTTTTTTAGGCTTCAATCGTCGACATCGATGGAAACGATCTGCATAACGATCCATGATTATTATGGCGATCACAGACATCTTCGCCCATATATTCTTCTAACGCTAATGACCGAGCTGCAATATAAAGTAGTGGCAGAATACATCGTGGCCATCGAGAACAGGTAAAATCTCTTTTCCTGCTTTTTACTCTGCCTAGACGGCTGACGTTTGCTTCGTACGAGGAGAGGGCACTCGCTGGCAAACGTCTCCAAGCCGATGCTGAACGAATCAAGCGTGTTTTTGGCGAAATGGACTTCTCAGGCGGCGCCAACTTTGCAGATGTTACTGACGATTCCCGGGTACGTTTTTGTTTGTTTCCTGTTCAAGAAAATTTTTCAGCTACCGAGTATCTCCTACATTCTCACCCAAATCGCCTCCGTCGTGTCGCTCCGTGACAAATCCTTATTGTCACTCGAAGCGACGACTTTTGCACGAAAATTCCCGGATTGTGGGGCCGAGGTAAGTTGGACTCGGTGAATTTTAAAACACAAAAATAGTTCCTTGCTGCCCTGCTTTCGAATCGAGAGGATGTTGGGCGGAGTGAGGCGAAAACCTTGGCGGAGGAGACGATGTCGCATGTGCAATTCCATCCCAGGGATTCGGCGGTTCAGAGGTGCATAGAAAGCTAGAGATAAAAAAAAATATAATTTTGTCTTAGGTTGATGGACGTGGCACGAGCTGGCGGCCAGGCTTGGTCAATCCCGGTCTCATTCTCCGTAGGCAACGTCCTGCAACAATTTATCCAACGAAGAGAATAATTTGCATCTACTGTCTTTAGAGCATTACCGTTCTTTTTGATTCTTGAGCTTTACTCGGCTCTGTGCTCTGTAATTAGGTGCCTTATCTCAGTCACTTACAACTAGATAGGCCATCAGCGTTTTATCTGGTTTTGTACTAATTCCTGAAACATAATCTGTGATCTCGATTTCTGCCAAATGTGATGTCTTTTGTATGTTCTTGTAATAAAATTTCTACGATATAGTTTTGTTCCGTTGTATGGGTTTGATGCCATGTTTTTTAAGAACTTCGCGTTTTGTGGAAATTTTCTGATTATTTGCCGCACATTTTTTTCTCTAAGACATTTCTAGGCCTCCATCCACAATGGGTGCTGGGCAGTCACAACCTTCATTGCCTCAAGCCACGGTCGGTTTTTCAGTTTTTTTTTTATAAACTCCAAACAAAGACGTTCTTCATACTATTTATTTAGGCTCAAGAATCGAAGCAACCGAATGAGACCCCTGAAGAATACGCCGCCCGTCTCCGCAGCGCTCGTCGCAACATTGCCAGTGTTCAAGGCGCTACCGACTATCAGTCGGAATGCCCCTCAGCTGGAGCCACCGCCGGAGGATGCCCGGTCCAGCACCAGGCCCTCGACCCGGCCAACAATGTAAGCCATTTGATCTCGAATAAGATCTTTTTTTCAGGAACTGGCCCACCCGAACCAGAAACCAGCTCCTGACCAGCCCTTCACTTTATCCACTAGCCGTCAGAAATCGTCCATCCCGCGAGCTGGTAATGGGCAAACATTTTACCTAAATAAATTTTTTTCAGGTACGGAATCCACTTGGGTTTATCCATCCCCTCAAATGTTTTGGAACGCCATGCTAAAGTAGACAATTCATCTTTTAACTATTTCTGGTTTAGGAAGGGATGGCGCTGGGAGGATGACCACCTCTCGCAAAAAGACATGGAGAACATCATCCGCATTCACAACGCCAACAACGAGGAGGCCTGGATGGAAGTGTTGAAATGGGAATTGATGCTTCATCCGTAGGGCATTTGCATTTGCTCAAATTGTTTTAGGGAATGTGGTAACCCGCAGCTGAAGAGCTTCAAGGGTGACGCCCAGAATTTGTCGCCGCGGGCGCGACTTCGTGGTTGGCTGGGGTAGGCTCTAATTCCTTTGATTTAGATTGATTTTTAGTTATCAACTTCCTTTTGATCGTCACGATTGGATAGTCGACCGGTGTGGGCAGGCTGAGGTGAGTAAAAAGGTAGTTTGTGTAAATTCTATAGGTGCGCTACGTGATTGACTACTATGATGGCGGGGCTGTGGATCCGAAGAGCAAACTTTTCACCCACCTTGACGTTCGACCGGCGATGAATCGCCCTGGAAACATCTGGGATCGCATGGTAAATTTTAGAAGAAAATTCTGAGAGTAATACGTTTTCCAGGTGGTCGCTTACTGGCGTCTGAAGTTCGAGGCTGCTGACTACTTTGGCTTCACTCCGTCCTTCCCGATGCCGCCAAACAAAGGCCACGACGTCCACCATATCCCTCCCACCGCCCCGTCCTCATAATACCTCCACCTTACCGGCAACTCGTTTTAGCACTGTTTCATAGTTTTAGGAAAGAGATTTATCGTTGCTTGTTGAATGTTCAGAGTCCAAGTTGATCGTTATTTGCATTCGTGATCATGAGTGTCCTTTCTTTCATCTACAATTGCGCTGTCTAAATCAACGTGCCGCCCTTCCCCTCTACCCTCGAGCTGGGCTTGGACCTGGCTTGCATCCACCTTGAAAGGAATATCCTCCTCGTAATTTCACAGGCTCCACCTCCCTCGCCAAAGTTAGTCAGTCGCTTTAGTTTCTTCTTGATCTACTTGTCCTTCACCATCTCTATGATGACCGCCCTTCACCCGGTCTAGGTTTTATGTCTTGCTCAGCGATTCATTTCTTGTGTCATTGTTCACCTGGTGAAAATTTTCAAATAAACCTTTTTGAAGTTGTCCCCTCACGACAAATACACTTCGCTTAGAGTACATAATACTGAGAGCCGCTTTGATTTCGACCCAGCAAATAATTCAGGGACATGTTGCTGTCAAAGCTGGCCTCATTTCGGTCCTCATTGAGCGTTGCGGCAAAGAATGGGCTATGTCGCTGGACACAACCAACATTGAGATTGTGAGGCTATCGAGATAACTATGATGAGCAATTTAGAGGCTCTACTACCGTCAGAACATTTACTAAAGAAGTTCAGGACAAGAAGGTGTTTTTTTGTGACTGGGCTAGGTTGAAATTTTAAATTTCAGGTAGGCTATTGGCTGCTGGGATGCGCGGGTATGGTCTATGGAGCGGTGGCACTAGGAGGCGTAACCAGGTCTGTCCTTTCCAGAAGACGTTTACCTTTCGTCTAGATTAACGGAATCAGGGCTATCAATGGTTAACTGGGATTTGTTTCGTACGATGAAGCCTCCATTCAACCAGGTGCCTTTTCACTTTGTCATTTTTCATGTCTGTTTAGGCGGAGTGGGAAGCCGAATTCGCACGCTACAAGCAATTTCCCGAATATAAATAGTGGGTTATCTTATTTTAGCTGAAGTCTTTTTCAGCAAGAGTTCTTCCGAAGAAATGACGCTCAGCCAATTTAAATTCATTTGGACAATGGAGTATCTTCATCGGATGTGGGGTCGTGCCATTGGTAAAGTAAAAATTAGTACCTCTAATTGATTATGTCCAGGGCTTGCCTTTTTCATTCCGGCCGGATATTTCTGGGCCAGGGGGCGCTTTACAACGACGGGAATGAAGGTCCGGATGGCTGCTTGCGGCGCTCTACTTCTGGCTCAGGTATTTTTCATCTTTACATCAATGTATTGCTTCAGGGTGGCGTCGGGTGGTGGATGGTGAAATCGGGCTTGGACCCGTCCAAAAATTCCGACACTTCAGTGCCAAGGGTTTCACAGTATCGCCTGGCCACGCATTTATCCCTCGCCTTTGTGCTGTATTCGCTGTTCTTGTGGAATGGACTGCGGCAGGTTTTGCCGAATTCCAACGTATGTGTGTTCCTTTTTTAGTTGTATTGAATTTTTCAGGTAGCTCCGGTTGCTGGAATTGGGAAGCTCAAGGGAATCGCGCATTCGGCAAAAGGTGTCATGTTCTTGACGGCGATTATGGGTAAGCCAATTGGCTTGAAATTCAGGTTATTTCACCCTTTCAGGCGCATTCGTTGCTGGCCTTGACGCGGGCCTAGTCTATAATTCTTGGCCAAAGTTTGCCGACAGCTGGATACCTCCAAACTTGATGACCCGAAGCCCGGCTTGGAAGAACTTTTTCGAAAACGACGTCACCGTGCAGTTTATTCACCGCAATTTGGTGCGTAGTGCATAATTTTTGACAATTACTTTCAGGCATATTTGACGCTATTTTCCATCTCATTGACATGGCTTGTTGGCCGCCGGATGAACCTGCCTAAAAGAGCCAAATTGGCCCTTCACGCATCGCTTGGAATGGCTTACACGCAAGCGCTTCTCGGAATTTCGACTCTGGTGCGTTGTTTTTAGTTTTTCTATTTCTTTTTTGTGTGCTTTTTTTCGTGCTCATTTCTGAATTTTCAGGTCCACTTCGTACCCATTTGGCTAGCCGCTCTCCATCAAAGCGGCTCCATGGCCCTCATCACCGCCGTCCTTTGGCTGGGCACAGAATTGAAGCGGATACCCAAATAGAGGATTTTTTTATTTATGATCTCGACGTTGGTTGTTGTGGTTTTCTTATTGCTAGGCCTGTTTATTTTTGTATTCATCGCATAAAATATTTTTATTTATGTCAATTTTATACATCCATCGATAATTGAGGTTTCGTAAATATCTATGACAAACTGCGTTTTGGACGTGTTTGTCTTTCACAATACTTTTTTCGAGCTCGGGCTGAGCATAGACACATTTTTTGCTGACTCGATGAAATCACCTATTTTTCGAGGGCGCTAAGGCACTCGTCGGCAGTTTTTGCGGCCTCACTTTAACTTTTCAGGAGCTTATGACCCGGAAAGAAGTTGAGGCGGCCCATTTTACGCCTAGGGATTATCAGGTTTTCTGACGCTTTATGAATTTATATCATCTGTCGCTTTTAGCTCGAACTGCTGGACGTTGCCCAGAAGCAGAATTCCATCATTCAGCTTGGAACAGGAACCGGAAAGACATTCGTTGCTATCCTTCTAATCAAAGTAAGCTAAGAAGCTTTACGATGATAAGTATAATTTCTCTAGGAATATGGTCTCCAAACCGCTGCACCCTTGGATCGAGGCGGGAAGAGGATCTTTTTCTTAGTCGATAAAGGTAGTTTTTTATAACTTCAGAAACTCGATTTTTAGTCAGTCTTGTTGAACAGCAAAGCGCGCAAATCGCAATGCACACCTCTTTCACTGTGGGAAAACTACATGGTGCTCTACACGTTGAATACCATTCAAGCAAAGAGAAATTTCGCGAGTTTCTGGAGAAGAACCACGTTAGTTTTTGGTTGATTAAATAATTGCGAATTAACTATAATAATTTTGTTTTTAGATTATTGTCCTGACCGCGCAAGTGTTCCTCGACTTGATGAACCACGCCTTCTATGATCCCGACCAGACGGCACTCCTCATTTTTGACGAATGCCACCACGCGATGGGCAAAGGCCATCCCTATCGGCAGATCATGGAGCGCGTGCGACATATCAGTGATTTTGTAACGCTTGGTAAATATCTTCATTTTAGGTGATCGGTTTCGCGTGCTCGGTCTGACGGCTTCACTTATCAATGCTCAGACGAAACCGGCGTTATTGGAGCAAGAGATCCGCAAGCTTGAGAGCGCCCTCAACGCCCGCGTGGCTACTTCAAGCAATATGGTGGGTTCATTTTTTTGCGCAACTTCCCTTCAGACCTCTAAATATGGCGCAAAGCCTGAAGAGTACCTGTCCACTGCTTACGACTACGAATACCGGAAAGGGCTGAACAAGAATGTCGTGGACATTTTGGTTAATCGGCGTCATTCTGTGATTATCATAAACTTAGGAGCAACAACGTCTATTCGTCAACAACACCCTGACATTCCATGAAGATTTTGACTATGATCGGCGAAAAGTTATTCACGAGGCATTCAACAGGACCCTGGCCGTGTTGAGGCAATGTGGGCCCTGGTGTGGCTGGAAAGTACGTTTATAATCTAGCTTTTTTAAAAGTTTTTACTGATTTCGTGTTCTCGAGTTGATCGCAAATTGCGTTTTAGGTGGCACAATTGATGGAGAAACAAATGATTGCTGAACTCAAACAACCCGTCCTGCCGGATAAGACACGAGATTTTCTAAGACTGGCGGAAAGCTCGATGCAGACTATTAAAAGGATACTGGATCCGCAGGTTTGGGTGATATCTTAAAATTAAACTTACATGTGTGCTTCAGATGAGGCCGTTGAAAACCTTTGCTGCGTTCGAACCGTATCTCCCTCATAAGGTCTACAAGCTCGTTGAAATATTTGTTGACTTTGAAAAGAAAGACGAGCTTTCTGCAATCGTGCTTGTGCAGCAGCGAACTGTGGCCTATGCGCTTATGGTAACAATATTGCTACGGGTAGAAGCATCATTACATTTAGATTCTGCTCAAAAATTTGGCCAAGCACGACAAGGACCTGGCGTACCTGAAGCCGGATTATATCATCGGCCAGGCATGCGGAAAGGGGTTTGCAAATGAGGAAGAGTCAATGGCGCTGCACAAGCGACAGCAAGACGTTCGTGACAGCTTTTCCTCTACTAATTCCTTTTAGTGCCTTCGTAAATTCCACAAAGGAGAGTTGAACATTATCGTAGCGACGAATGTGCTCGAGGAGGGGATCGATGTGCGACAGTGCAATTTGGTGATCAAATTCGATCGCCCCGTTGATTTTCGCTCTTATGTGCAGGTTAGTAGCTTTCGGGTGATTGCTCGCTCTGCTCAGGAATCAAAATCTCAAATTTCCAATGCTAAATTTTTCCATGGACTGGAATCAGGGTTCTTTGGGTCGGTTCGGTCTATGCAAATTTCCATATTCTAAAATTCATATCTTGAAATTTTGAGATCCCGATAGGCAACATTTTCCACACCATTCCCTTTTAGTCCAAAGGCCGTGCACGGAAACCTGGCTCAAAGTACGTCATGCTCTGCGAGGTTTCAGAAAAGCCGAAGTTGCAGGCCGATATCGAGCAATACCAAGAAATTGAAGCGGTAGGCGACCTTCTTTCTACAACAATCCAGCTTTTCTCAGATATTGCTAGCGCGGCAGTCGAACCCGCATAACCCGTTGGACAACGACTCGCTGCCGGAGGATCTGGATAGTTTTATGGCTCCATATGTCGTCCCATCCACAAATGCGCGCGTCACGTTGAGGACGGCTGTATCGCTTGTAAATCGGTAATTTTTTACGGCCCCAGGCTTCATCATGTTTTTCCTTCAGTTACTGCAGTTCCCTGCCCTCTGATATCTTCACGAAGCTCGTGCCGGACAGTAAACTCCTCCGAAACCCGAACGGCTCTCCAACGTTCGCCGCGGAGCTCTATCTACCGATGAACTCGCTTCTAAAAGAGGTAAATCGGGTTTGAGAATTACAAAAATCATTTAGGCGGTCCGCACCCCTGAGTACTATCCCTCGGCCAAAGTGGCCCAGATGATCGTCGCGTTAGAGGTCGTTACTGATTTGTTTGAAGCAAAGAAAGGGCAATTTAGGCGTGCATTCAACTACACAAAAAGGGCGAGCTCAACGACCACTTGCTTCCCCAGGGCAAAGACGCTGTCGCGAAACTGATGAGCCAACTGGACGAGGGTTTGGGTTTATTCTACTTTCAAAACGAAACATCTAGCACCTGACGAGTATATGCCGCCGGGCGCCCGCGCCAATCTTGGCTCTTCCAAAAGACGACAGCTTTATGATAAGAAGGTAGATTTTTCATGCACCTCAATTCCAATATTTTTTGGATTTCAGATCGCCAAAGCGCTGAACAAGGCCCTGCCAGTCAAAGGGCAAGAAACGTACATCTACGTCTTCGAAATGGAGGTCCTGAAAGAGCCGAGCCAGGACAGCAATCCGAAGGGACGAAAGTTCCCCAACCCGCAGCAGACCCTCAGCTGCTTCGGCTTCCTGTCTGCGGTGATATTGCCACCGGTAAATCACCGTTTTTAGAAAGATGCCAACTGTTTAGATTCCCCCATTCCCGGCCTACCTGCGCCAGGGTGACATGCGTGTGTATGTGCGCCGCGCTGCAAAATCTATCAAGCTTGAGACTCACACGATGCAGGTTTTGGCTCAGTTCCATCACTATCTGTTCAGGTAATATTTTCAAAACTACCTATAATGTTGTTGTTTTTGTTTCAGTAACGTGCTACTTCACAATAAGGATAATCTGGTGTTTTCGCTCTCGGAGATGACCGGGATGAACACGTTGGTGGTGCCGTTGAATCGAGGTAAGATCTTTTATGAGATTACTGAATAAATTAAGTACGACAACCCGGCGGCATCGCCGACTATGAGATCAACATGAAATACGTTAAAGAGCTGGTCCAGGTACACATATTTCCGACTATTTGTACCGTTTTTTAAGTGTATGGAAGAGCTTCCGCGTGTCCCCAGCGAAGAGCAGAGGAAGAATTACAAGTTCCGGAAAGAGGATTACGTGTTCGTTCCGGTAAAACGGACTAATTAATTTTTTTAGCGACACTGTGGTGATGCCGTGGTACCGCTCCACCGAGCAGCCCTCGTTTTTCCAAGTTGCAGAGGTGGGCTCCTTTTTTGGTTCCTATTTTTTTTGCCCCTAGGTTCTGGAGAATATGAATCCGTCGTGTGCGTTCCCGGATACCAACTTCACGTCGTTCAACGAGTACTTTGACAAAAAGTATAACATCAAAATCTACGACCAGCAACAGGCGCTTTTGGACGTGGACTATACGAGCAGGTTCGTTTTGACACACATTTTTGATAATGGTCTTATATTCCAGCCGCCTCAATCTACTTCTACCACGGAACCGCAGCTGCAAGCGTGTCGTACGAAATAGCGATCCCTCGCAGGTAGCGTTGCTGTATTTAACTAAGTTTTTCTCTTTTCTAGCGACAAATCCTGGTGCCCGAACTGATGGACCGACACCCGATCGCGGCCCATCTGTGGAATATGATCTGTGCACTCCCGTGCTTCTTCTACCGTATCAACCAAATGCTACTGGCTGACGAGCTGCGCGAACGAATTTGTGTGGAAGCCCTTGGGTCGTCGGAGAAAATTCCTGAAGATTTCCATTGGGCTCCGCTCTCCTACCCCAGCACCTATGAGGAGAAGCAGTCCTTGACGGTCAGCAAGATCCAACAACTGCGCAGTGAGAATTCTCAAGCAACTTCTCAGACGACGCTGCCGAGCTTTTCCTCTGGCGGATCATCATTCTTCGAGATCGGCGTCTGGAACCCATCACTGGCTGATGGGCTCAACTGGAAACCCACTGATCTGGTGGGCGGAGTAGCCGGACTACAGAAGAATGGAAGCGACCTTGACGTTGAGACCGTGGGTCTGATGAAGCCAACCTCAGCCACATCCGGTGATCTCTCCGATGATGATGACGCCGATGACCTTAACATCCTTGTCGATATGTCCAACAAATTCACCGTCAAGCCCGAGAGCAAGGATATGGTCTTCGCTAATCCTCGCCCCGAAGTATTGGCATCGCTCGGTGGAGGTGATTGGGACAACTGGGGTGTTCCCCTTGCTTCAAGCAACTTCGACTCTACCTTCCAAATTCTACAAGGGCCCGGCGTTGATCTAAATGGACTATTTGCGGATGTGCAGAAGATGATCGAGGAGACACCGGTGTTGCCAGCTGAAGCGTCGGCGAGCAGTGAGCCCGATTCGGAAGTGCGACGCGACAAACGGATTCCCAACAAGGCTGAGAAGAAGCCGGAAGATTTGATCGACAGCGAGTTGAGGGAGGATGGTGAAGAGAAACGTTCTGTCGAAGAAACGATAGATCTCGTCAGTTTGGATGATGCACCAGATGAGGATCAATCGCGTCCAGCCAGCGGTTCGCTCGTTGAGCAGCTTGATGAGCTGCGCGCCAGCGAGGAGAGAAAGGCGAAAGTCGAGGCGAATATCTTGCGGGTGGTAGCCCCGAATATGTCGCTGAAAGAATATCATCTACACCATCCAGTTTCTGCCGGTTCATTCTCGTTCGCCGATGCAAGTCCGTCAACGAGCCGCTCAGTACGAGGCGAAAGCATAAGTGAGGCTGAGGATTCATTCAGTGCGACATCTCAAGACTATAGCAGCGAAAGCCACCTTGCGGGCCGTCCTTGGCCGCAACCATCTGAGGATGATGGCCGATATGGCGTCTCACCATGCTTCCTCCTCCAGGCCCTGACCACAAGCAATGCAAATGACGGCATCAATCTGGAGCGGTTGGAGACGATCGGCGACTCGTTCCTCAAATATTCCGTCACTGACTATCTCTACCATATGCATGCCGACCAGCACGAAGGGAAATTGTCGTTTGCCAGGAGCAAGGAAGTGTCCAACTTCAAGCTCTATCGCCATGGCATCAACAAGGGGCTCCCGTCGCTGATTGTCGGCTATAAATTTGACGTCCAAGATTCGTGGCTGCCTCCGTGGTTAGTTATTAATACGATGCGCCGAAAATAATTATTTTTAGCTACATGCCAAATTCCGACTTCAAGGCGCCGAATTGCGCGAGCTCGGTGCAAGAGGATATGATCATGGAGTCTGCGCTGCAAGGAGAGCTTGAGGAGGGCCCGCAACCGGTAGCGATATTTGATTTGTTAAAAACTTACTTTTTATTTAGGTACGACCCCAGACGGGCTGGGACCTGGACGCAGACAAGGACCCGCTGGCCACGAAGGTCATCGACGGCGTTGAGGTCACGAATTTCCCAAAGGTTGGTTTCCGCCAAATACTTCCATATTTTTTTCAGATGAACGCGAACGCCGCCTACCTGAACGAGTTGCCAGCGTTGCCGTACAACATGTTGACGCAGCAGATGATCTCCGACAAAAGTATAGCCGACTCTATTGAAGCCCTCATCGGTGCCCATCTCCTCAGCATTGGCCCCGAGAAAACACTCAAGGTTTGCATCGACTTCACTGCATTTAAATTTTTCTTAGGTGATGAAGTGGCTGGGCATCAAGGTGCTCACCGAGCCCGCCATTCTACAACCACCATTATTGAGGTAATCACTATCACTAATCTTCAAGCTTTTTCTAGATTTATCGATACTCCTGAGGACCCAAATAGGTCTCAGAGCCAACTGGCCAACTATTGGGTGCGTTACCAGCTGGGCGAGGTGGAGAAGCGCATTGGATACGAGTTCAAGGTCCCAATTTTATTTTAGAAAGATTCGTTTTTTAGGAAAAAGCGTACCTGTTGCAAGCCTTTACGCACGCATCCTTCTACCGGAACCGCATCACTGGGTGCTATCAGGTCTTTTGAGAGGTTTTTGTATTATTTGGGTTTCGTTTAGCGGTTGGAATTCCTTGGTGATGCCGTGCTTGATTATATGATCACGCGGTACCTCTACGAGCATGATCGGCAGTATAGGTAATTTTCGTTTGGTAGCTTTCCTATAATTTTTGTGTTTTTTTTTCAGTCCCGGGGTCTTAACAGATCTCCGATCAGCGCTTGTCAACAACACCATATTCGCATCGCTGGCTGTCAAATACTCCTTCCACAAGGTGGATTATAAATATCTAGGCTATTCACTTTTTTTTATTTCAGCATTTCCTCGTCGTCTGCCCCCGGCTTCACTTCATGGTGGAGAAATTTGTGAAGCTGTGTGAAGAGATGAGCAATTGCGCCAATTTCAACGCCGAGGTAAACTCTTTCTTAGCGATCTGATTTTGACGTTAAATAGATGTACATGATCACCACCGAGGATGAGTGCGACGAGGGCCAGGAAGAGGATGTCGAAGTACCCAAGGCGATGAGTGACATTTTCGAAAGCGTCGCTGGAGCCATTTACTTGGTATTGTTTTTTTGCTCATTATTTTAAAAGTTCCTTCAGGATTCCGGATGTGATCTCGATGTGGTCTGGCGAGTCTTCTACGCGTTGATGAAGGAGACGATAGATGAGTGCTGTAAAAACCCGCCCCGGAGCCCTATACGCGAGCTTTTGGAGTTAGAGCCGGGCACCACGAGATTCAGGTAGCATCTACTATTCTTTAATTATTAAATCTATATAATCGTTAAAGCTTGAATTGTATATTTGACTATTTAGTAAAATGGAGCGCATCATCGAAACGGGCAAGGCGCGTGTGACGGTAGACGTACAACGCAATGGAAATGCCCTGCGCTTTACCGGAATGGGCCGGAACTATCGTATCGCCAAGACGACAGCCGCCAAACGGGCCCTCAAGTAAGTTTTATTTTGGGGAGACACCTCTTCTGATCATTTTGACTCTTTCTAAACTACCTGTTTCAGGTATCTGCACGATTTGGAACAACAAACGCGACGTAGGGCCGAAAAATCAGACTCCATCGACTAAAGTGAAGGCCTGGTACTTTAATATTTCTGCTTAATTGCCCATTTATAACTTATTTTTGTGATAACCTTTTAACCCACTACTTATTCATGATATGCTTTACGCTTTCCGGTCTCTGAATTCCGTACGGTTATTGTCTTTTCCGCGGATCCGATGGGCTTGAATAAAGATGCCAAATGTACTACATTCACTTTGAAAAAAAGACTTACACGATATTAGTATCTGACAAGTTGAATTAATTTTCGATTAGGTGGGTAGATGATATCACCACAATGCATTATTGATCACGCTACTTTGTAGCCTTGTCGTTGGCTTATCGGATCTTGTTCCTTGTGCGGGCATTCGAAAACGTTGGCTTTCCAGGCAGATTCGGCTAACACTTCCTAAAATGACTGGAACCCCGCTGGTGATTATCACAGGTATATTTTGCTGCGGCTCTAAAAGTTTCGATTATTTTTAGGAGCGAGTCGCGGAATCGGGCGCGAAATCTTCGATCAGGCGCTTGAAGATCATGGCGATGCCGTTGTCGTGCTGACCTCCCGCCGAATTGAGGATCTCGAGAAGGTCAAGTCGGCGATCGCGTCAAGGTTTGTAATCCCCATAATTTTAATGTGTATCACGAGACAATGCGCACCAAACCGCAAATCATTGCTCGATAATTCCATTCTAGAAAACGTTGTAGATTTTTGTAAAAACATCCAAAAATATTTCAGCCATCATTCTGCTACCGTCCATCTCTTCGCTCAAGATTTGGCGACATGGGATGACGCTGCGGGACAGAAATTTGCTGAACTGCTACAAAAGATCGTTGACGGTATATAACGGAAAAACGTTGCCTTCAACTCGTTTTCAGGCGCAAGCATCTCGGGCGTCTTGCTATTCCATAATGCTGGATCTACCGGGGATCTGACAAAGGTGAAATATAAGAGAAGCCATTTCGCAACATGCTCGTCATGATCATCTTCAATTTTTGTCTTAAATCAAAGTAAATCGAAAACGATATTTTTCAGAAAGCGGCTGAGCTCTCTGATTTGAAAGATTGGCAGCAGTATCTACAGGTTAGCTAAACGCTAACTTTTTACCGTCTTTCTAGGCAAATTTCCTGTCGCTGGTCTCGATCAACAACGCCGTCGTTCGAGTTGTCGGCAACAAGGTTAGCCATACAATCAGCTTTATATTGTCTATTTTTTTATAACAGAGCGCGAAGAAAACTATCATCAACATTACGAGCTTGGTTGCGATTCAGGCGTTCCCTTCTTTTACACAGGTTTGAATACCAGAATTTTCGATGCAGGAAATTTTTAGTACGCTTGCGGAAAAGCTGTCCGCGAGGCCTTCTTCCGGAGCTTGGCTGTGGAGTATCCGGACTGGAAGGTTTGAAAAGGATAAGCGATCCAACCGGATTTCCAGATCCTAAATTATTCACCGGGTCCGGTTGACACTGATATGTATCACTCTGTCGCGAAAAAGTATGGATAAGCAAAACACCCCAAAAGTTTTTAAGTTCTTATGACGAGGAGACGAGGGAGGAGTTCAAGAAAAAGGCAGAGTGTAAGGACGCTGCGGAGTCGGTGCTCAGTCGGAAAATGTTAACCCCGAAAGAGACCGTCACGCGTCTGTTTCACGTGGGTCAAAGTTTAGTTAAACCCATTGAAAAAATTAAAAAAGCTTTTTCTTTTTTTTCTTAAGCTCTTTTCAGATCCTCAAAGAAGATAAATTCGAGTCTGGTGGCCGTGTCGACTACTTTGACAAAGAATAGCCGTTTATCACATTACCCGCATACCCCAGGGGAATCACAGTTTTTAATAAATATCCAGCATTAATTATGACCTTTATTCCATGCGCTTCTTCTCGTCCTCCTCGTTCAGCAACAGCGCACTGCCCGAAATGACAAGCGACAGGCCGAGCCACCTAAAAAGACCTCATAAAAGACAAAAAAATTACATACCAAACTATCGAGTGCGTTTCCCCCCATATCGCGGCTCCGAGGATTCCCTATGAAAATTTTAATTAAAGGGCTGCCGACGGCATGTGTCGACCCCCCCCCATCAACAAATTGGCAAGTAGCCAACAGGGCAGAGAGCGCGCCCAGGGGGGAGGCGCAGAGACATTTTCTTTCCCGCGCGTAATCGATTGCATTATGCCGCCCCTATCCCTTTAATTTAATTTTAAAATTGATTACCGTGAGGGCAAAATTTGTTCCGGTGTTGATGGCCATCACCTGAAAAACAAGTATTTTCAGAAAATCTGTCTTGCACTTCTCTTTAAAATGTATTAAAAACGAACCTTCACAGTCGACGTTGAACGGGCCAGCGCTTTTGTGAAAAACAGCCACATTAGAACGTTTGAAACGAGGGCCGCGGAGAGGAAGGCCAGAAATGGCTGAAAAAAAATTAAATTAGCTAAAAAGGGTTTACCAAAGGGTCGTTTTGCCACGAATAGTTGGCGAAGGTCACTTTGCTTGCGATGGCCGCCAGGGAGGCAAAAACACCGGCCAGAACCGGGTACACAATCCCGTGCATTTCTAAAAAAAGTTATGCAGTTTTAGCTTTTAAAAAATTAAAAATTGGAAATTGAAAAATTGGGAGCGATTACACCACGAAATTACGCACGAAAAGGGCAATTTTATTGCGCGCTCGGGGTACAGTAACCGCAGTGGGCCATTGGGCGCGCCGTTCAAAAGGGGTGTGGCTTAGGGCCCGCGTGAAGTCAAGAAAGCTTGGGACTCATTCTCTCTTCTATAGTGGCTTGTCGAGAAGTCTCGAATGAAGCCCGGGCTTGAAAGTTACGGGCTTACGCCGGGTTAGCTTCATATTACGCAAAGTTGGCTTCATATTGGCTTGAAAGCTGCACGTATTTTTGTCATTTTTTGTTTCTGCTTTTTCTCGCACCAAACCAACTTTTTGGAGGGTAAACACCGATCTTTTTCAGGCCCCCGCCCCGCCGCCACGACCACGATGGTGAAGAGCCCGCGGAAGAAGATGAAGGATGCGGACAGCCCGCTTCGGACCCCAACCCGGCCAGCCGGAATCGAAGACGATGAAATGACGCCCATCAAGACGCCGAGCCGGCGCTCGCCCCGCAAGGCGTCCACCCCCAAGACGTCGACGCCCACGCGCACCAAGGCCTGGGGATCCCCGCGAAAGCTTTTCGACCTTGAATCGCAGGTTGGTCTCGCTTTTTTCTTTGACTGTTTCTGCCATTAAAGTTGTCTAAAATTTTGAATTTTAAGCGTTGTTTTTGCGCATGTGAAAGTTGTGAAAATTACCGAGTTTCTTAAGAATATACCTTTACATTATCGTTGTATAATTACCGTACTTCCAGATGAACGACTCCTGGGCCGACATGATGAACGCCGAGGGAGAGGATTACCCGGCGCCAAGCATGACTCAATCCGAACCCCGCCGCCGAAAGGGCGCCGTCCCCAAGAAGGCCGGTACCCGCCCGAAGTTCGTGAAGAGCATCGAGCTCACAGATGCCCTACTCAGCCCCAAGCCAAGGCAGGCCGAACGTCCGCAGCCGCCGGTGTCCGCTTCAAACAACAGGAAACGTCATTTGTCTACGGCTTCATCGATGGCCGAAGCCGAGGAGTTGGGAGCATCACCCACCAAGAGGGCCAATACCGGCACACCAAATCGGGTACCAGCCAAGAAGAAGCACTTGTTTGCTGCCGACCAAGCCTCTCCAAGGTCTCCACAAATTAAGGTGCGCATAAAAATCTAAGTTTTTGAATCGGGGCATTTTTAAAAATTACAGACTATTTAAACAAATAAATTTAGGTGAAGGACAACTGGGCCGAGCCGAAGGCTGGCTGGTGCACCGATGTTCTTGTCCTGGAGCGGCGCACAAAGGAGCTTGAGAAAGCGAAGGACAAGAGTGTATATAAGAGGTGTGTATTCTGGGGTGCTTGATGTGGTCCGAAAATTCTCTGTTGTTATCAATCTGTTCAGGTATGCCGAAGAGGTACCGAAGACGGATCGTGTCAAGGGTATGCACCCGAAAACACCTAATAAGTTGCTCAATTATTCGCGGAGATCTTGGGACGTGCAGGTTTGTTTTGGTTCATATCGTTTTTGTGGAATTTTGGCGGTGATCAGACATATTTATTACTGCCAAGTTTAGGCTGCCCGTTGCTTAGCGTCCTTAATAGTCTTTTGGCATTTTTTTTCAACTTTTTACGGGACCGGAACGCTCTTTTATCATTGCCGTGGCCCCGCTGACCCGCTGTAGGGGATGCGCAAACTACTGTATCCGTTATCCCTCCGTTCCGCCTTGGGCCCCTGGCCTATCCCAATCGCGTTCAACCGGGCTTTCGATAGTTTGTCCTTGAAGCGCTCTTCTGATTTATCATAACGCCCTCGGGAAGCACCCCAATTTTCCCGCCGAATTCTCGATCGATTTGGCCAGCTGCCAAGTGAATCAAGGTCACGCCCCTAGTGTGTTGGCTGGACAGCGAGACACCCACGCTGCAAAAGACTGTCAGCCGGGCATTGGGGTCACGGGTCAACGAGGACAATCTCCCCCGCCGGGGCTGGCAGTGGCCCACTAGGGTGCGCGAATACGGGGACACCTCAATTATCCGAGATATGGGTTGCCTGATCAAACGCTCAGAACTTTGAATCTTCCTGCTTACGAGTAAATAAAATTGTATTCAGGGCACAGTTGGGTCAAAAAGATGCACTTTTCGATTCTCTCAACGCGGGGGATTTTGCGATTTTGCGGCCAGTTTAAAAAGTAGTTGGTAGGAGAAGGTAGAAGTAAGACATCATGTAAAAAGATTGGGCCACATTTTATATTGCGTATTATCAGTATAAAGTTTAAGCTTGAAAATCATCTCCATTTTCCAGGTGCGCCGCTGGAAGCGCGAGCTCTACGTGTGGGCCGGCGAAGAGCCCACTGACTCGGCGAACAGCTCTTTCTGCTGCTCGGAGTCCGAAACGGAATCCGTTCTCGGAGACCCAGAGGAAGCCAAGGAAAACCACGTCTCCCTGTCCCTCACCGAAATCGTGGTCGGACGGCCCGAAGCCGACCAGATGGCGTCACTGCTCGGCAAATTCGAGATGGACACCAACGGCGGCTCTACACTCAAAGGCCCGGCGGCCCTCGATTGTCAAGGCCCCACCGATTTTTCTGCATTTTAATTTGTCTATTCTCCAGTTCACCATACTATGCGGTGTATGACGCCTCACCTTTCTGCCCCTACATATGTAAAGATACGCATTATCCGTAAATTAGTATCCTTGCCCCCCAAACCTGCTACAAGTCATCTATCATCTACTTACGATGTTGTCGATTTTTGCTCACCCGCCAGAATCATCAAACTTATCTGGTTAAGCCCAGGCGGCTAACACTGGGCTTGAACAATATTTCCGGTTGATTACGATCTTGCTTTCCTACGGAATAAACGATTGTACGACAATAGTGCCCACGACGAATAGTTGCCATCAAGCGCCATATTGAAACAGGCTAACGAGATTTTGAAAAGCTAAGTTAGATTCAAAAGCGCTCGCTTTATGCACTTTGTGTATATTCTCCTTGGTGGGCTCGGTTACCGTAACCTATCTTCGCTGTCGAAATTCTATCTTGCGTCCTTCTATCGTGTTCCAGATCTCGACGGGCCACGCCCAATTTTCAAATCCTCCGAGAGCATGTTCGAACACGTTGCTTATTTTCGAATATCCTCTTTTCAAACCGGTGGTTCCTTACCGCTCTTTTGTTGAGGTCCCACCTGCACCTCCGCAAATCCCCCACTATTTCACTCCTCCCACTTCCCTCCAAAACCCCCATCCGACTTGCCCTAGGCCCTATATAAAGTTTTGTGAGCTTCCCTCCTCCATTTCCTCGCTTGCCATTCCGACTTTTGCACACTGTTCTAGAAGGAAAGATGGTGCACAACGAGAAGATCGACATCCCCGCTGGCGAGATTGAGAGTGAAGCTCCCGAGGTTGTCGAAGAAGCCCCCGCCGCCCGTGAAGACTTGTACAAAGTGGCCTTCGACCAAATGAGCCCGGAAGAGTCCGTCGTTATCCAATTTTAATTTTATTTACTTTTTTTAGCCGTCTGATCCACCTCCGTCAACTCACCTCTGATGGCAAGGACAACATGGCTGAAGAAGATTTCGAGGAAGCCAGTCATTTCTTCTCTCTGGTATTTTTGAACCTGTGTTTTGATACGATTAATTTTAGGCCGCTGAGCTTTCCAACATGATCTACGGCGTGGAGCACCCCGATACGTTCGAGTATCACTTCCGATATGGCCAGGCCCTCCTCGATACGACGCGTCAACAAAACCAAGTCTTGGGAAAGGCGACAGCGGTAAGCGTCCTGAGTTTTCTCAAGTCTATTCTTCTCTTAGGGAATTTCGACCACCGATGAAGGATCGACTTCCAAGGACACAACTTTGAATGGTTGGTTGTTATCAATGGTTCATTTCTATTTTTTCTAGCATCCAAGCTCGAGCAGATCATCGAAGAGGTCCATGGAGCGTTGGCTGAGACCGCGGAAGCCCTGAAGAAAGGTGCTGGAGATGACAATACGGAAGGAAAGGATACGGCGGAAGCATCCGCGTCTACCGAGACCGCCACTTCCGAGGTCGACGCTGATGCTGAGAAAGACGAGGCTGAAGAAGGAAAAGAAGCAGAGAAAGAAGAAGACGCTAATAATGCCGAGGAGGCTGAAAAGCCGGAAGGCGAAGCGGAAGCTGAGGATGATGCTACGGTAATTATATTTTTTGACGGATAGATGGATTTTCCTGATTCCAGGCCGCCTATGAAGTCTTTGAGCAGTGTCGGCTTATCCTTGAAGCTCAGCCCCAGAGTGATGAGCGCGATCTTCGCATGTCCGACGTCTTCCTTCATCTCGGTGCCGTAGAAATGGAGGGCGACAATTATGACAAGGTGATATCTCATTTCTGTGTTACATTTTCTTTCAAGGCTCTGGAGGAAATGCACAAGGCCTTGGAATGGCGTCAGCGCCTTAACGCGTCTGGTCGCGCCTTGGCCGAAGTGTACGCCATGATGGCTCGCTGCTACAACACCATCCAGGACTATAATCAGGCCATTAGCGCCTACGACAAGCTCAAGGAATCCCTGAATGCTGCGATCGGTGAGTGTTACTATTTTTTATGTACCTTTTCTTTTAGCAGCCGAGCAAGCTAAGGAGGCGCCCAACCAGACGGAGATCGAGGAGCTCCAATCGATCCTTTCCGACAGTGCCGATTGCCGCGCTGACACCGAACGTGACATGCTATTGGTATTTTTTTTTTTGTTTAGGAATATTTTAGATGATTTAGGCTGAGGAGTACGCAAAGGCCAAAGCTGGAACTACCTCGGAGACTGTGAAGATTCCGACAGCCCCTGTGGACGGCAACGCCGGAGATGCTATCCAGGTATTTTCTTACACTTTCAGTTTATGACACTATTGTGGGCATCGTGAATTCAGTGTATGCTGCTGCTCAGAATACTAAGTTTGGGTTTTAGGTTCGCCGTGCTCCGAAACGTCCCGCCTCCACCGACCCGAGTGAAGACACCGAAAACCAGGACGCCAAGAAGCCCAAGGAAGTCGATGCCCCCGAACAGCCAGAGACCCCTAACGACAACGTCGACGGCTCCATCGCCACCGCCTAAGCCATGCCAAAAATTTTTTCGCTGAATGCAATTTCATTTCTGATTTGTTCTGATCTCATTTTCTCATGTCGACGGTGTCTAATGCGTAAAATTCCCCGTGAATAAAAGTCTCTCACTGAAGTTTATGTAGTACACGATATGAAAGGACATAGTGCGATCGACAATAACATATTGAAAGGTCTAGACAATTTACGTAGACTAAAAACCCGAAAAAGGATTGTATATCTAAAAAACTTGTAACGAGTCCAAATTTCACCACATCGCGCGCTGCATGCCGCTGAGCTGCGAGTGGTCGGCATATTTCCGGAAAAGATGTCGATTGAGGCGGTACGGCTTGATCTTGCCGCGCTGGCGCCCGGTGAACATGCACATGTTGAGCACGAGTTTCGGGTGAGAGGCCCTGAGCAAGATTTTTAAACTCCGAGAAAGCGATACTTTGGCATCTTCAACAAATAGTCGGCGGCCTCATCACGGATCGCCTGCGGCAAGATCGTGTTTGCCTTTAGCGCCTTCATCCTCATTCGATCTGCACCGGTTTCCTGAAAAGACAAGGTGGGGATAAACAAAGTGCTGACCTGAATGCAAAGGCGTCTCTTCCAATCCCGTAATTGTCGCCAGGTCGCCCAAAAGCACGTTCGCTTCCCCGTTTTCCACCATTCCCGCTCCACGTAGTAGGGGTATTGATCGAGCTTCAGGGTCTGAAAATTAGGTTGTTGTTATTTTATTCTATTAAAAACAAGCAACAACTGTAGTAAACAATTATGGCCAAAAGAAAAGCATGTTAGCAGACCGGCACACCTCCAAAATGACCACACCTGAAAGTTCGTCATCGAATATGCCGATTTTGTGCGCGGCGTCCTTGTCTCAATCTCGTCGATTTCTTCCGGTTTTTCGGTCGGGGCTACCACGTCGAGCACTTAAAAAACTCGTAATCAGACGCTAATAAAAGTACTTTTTGCTGCCTCGGCGGTGGCTGAAAAGCACCGTCTCAATACAGTCCGGCCAATCGACAAGATCGACAGCATGCCCTGGAAGAAATACATCATAAAAGGCGGGCCAGCAGAATTTTAATTTTTTTATTATATTCGATGTATTTGACGCGGCTTAACGCTTGATTTGTAGATGGAAACCGAATAATACGGTATCGAGCCGTTTATTGCAAAGAAATCACAATTAGCGAGTGAGAGAGAATCAGATGGGTAGCAGTTGCATTGAGTTCAGTTGGCCGGCCGAGCAGTCTTGGTGCTGATCACGGAGGAAGTCGTTTTCGACGAGGTAGGCGAGCTAAATTATAAAAATTAGCATCGTTACGAAAAACTCACGACAGGCTCTGCGCAAAGCTCTTCTCGCTGATCGACTTCATCGTTTTCTGGTTGCTGTCGTTGTCGTTCGGATCCTTGACGCCACTGGCTTTTGGTGGCTAAAGATATTGGAGGCGAATTCGAAGGACGAGAAATTATACCTTGAGCGCGGAAAAGATGGCTGGTAGCGCGACACAGTAGAGGATGTAGGGCACAAAGTAGAGCGAGGCCAGTGGCTAAAAAAACCTTGAAGTTTGAAAATCGGTTCTTTAGTTTTTGCTCGGAAAAACGGCTTTTGGTTTAGTCGGATTTTTCAAGAGGATCTAATTTTTCATAAGAGTTTTTAAACTGCTTTTTTTACTCTGAATGTTAAAATTAAAACGGCCGATTTTCGACAAAAAGTCATTTTTCCAAGATTTCTGAACATGCACAAAAAACAGCTACACTTTTCCATTGCTATTAGGCTACTAAGAATCTCTGGAATCAAAAAAAAATAAGATTCCGCTGAAATACTAAAGTACCAAAGAGGCTCTACGTACCCGAATCCAGTTGCGGAAAGTGACCAGGCCGAACGGGAGGATTCCGTAGCCCATCGTGTAGAGGACAACGATCCGCCCGGCAGCCATGCGAAATGGGGCCAATGATTCCTAAGAATAATTGTTCATTATAATGGAAACAGGCTATCCACACCTGATACAAAAAGCTCTTGATCTCTGGATTCCGTTCGATCAAAGCGTAGAACTAAAAATACCATTGAAAAGCTGCTGTCTATTCAATACCTCATTCTGTGCCCTAACCGCAAAATATTCAAAGCCGAAGAGCAGGAAGTAGCCGCCGTGGAAGCCGTGCCATATGGCCAGGTAGAGCAGGGTGAGCCCGTGAGAGAGTCGCTTGTCGCCGAGCCAGATTAGGCGCCGGAATACATGCCTAAAATGCTTTTTACCACTCAGAAGAACAGGAATACTTTTTCATCCACAAATTGGTCTGTCGATTGAAAGACTGGACGAGAGCGTTGAAATCGGAACCCGTTTCCCATAGCCAGACGTCGACGCAGCGGCAGGCGTCCCATCTGGAAAATCAGAAATTTAGGGCCTGCTTGGCAGGAACCATACTTTTCTTCGCCGGTCTTCTTGTCCTTTCCACTCCAACCGAGGCCGGAATAGATCGTGGCGGCTTCCTAAATGGAACAAACGCATCAAATAGTCTATATTCATAAAAATCATTGAACCCGTTTAATGAAACGCACCGCCAATAGGAAAGCTGATACGTAACGGCTGAGCAAAATCCGAGCCCACAGCGCGAACATCGACCAGCGCGTCATGAACGAGTGTTCCTAGAGCAAAATCTAAAATAAACCTAAAAACCAACGTAGAATTCCTTCGTCGACAAATACTCGTCAGGAAGCCATGCAGCGCCGACCAGATGAAACACGACGTAGCAGAGCCCGGCAGTAAGACTTTGCGTAGCTGCCGTAATGCTGAATAATGCATAAAGAGCTGAAAGAACCTCCGGATCTACCTGCTCTCCCGGAATTCCTTCTTCTCGTCCAAATGGTCACCGCCGATCCAGTTGCGGAAACGATGCAGCGAGCAAAGTGGTCCCACCAACGTGTAGGAATAGCAGAAACCTGAAAATGTCAAAATTTTAAGAATTAAAAGCCCCAACCAAAAGCGGCAATTTCCAGGAGGTCCGGCGGGTCATTGATGGCCTCCTTGGCTAGGGCGGGCTTCAGTTTCTCCTGAAAAAAAGCTATCAAAATCCCGGGTAAATGGCACCTTTTGTGCTCCATCGGCCACGTCGACAATCAGCCCAATGTAGCGCAGCGTCATCAGGCAGTAAGGTGTCGTCCAGGTGATGTCATAGTGCTCCGTGGCCGAGATGACGTATCCCCAAAGGAGATGACCCTAAAGTTAGAAATGGTAGAGAGGCTGCGCACGATCGAATCGAATCGATTATGTCCATTAAGGTAATAGTAGGTGTTTTAATGCTTTTTTAGTAAGGCTTAGCTATATTTCTAGTAAAAAATCTCTAAAAAAGGTAGACAGACGCCTAAAAAAACAGAAATTTTGGGCAAACTCGACCATTTCTAGGCGAAACCTAGGTATTATTATCGATAAGCCAAGTTGCAAGACATACCAAGAAAACGACATGCGCTATCCAAGCAGAATCCGGCGTTCCGCCAGCGACTTGGAGCAGCAGCCAGCAAACGAGCGTCCCGATGAGCGCGTGTATCGTATCGGCGCCTGAAAAAACTGTTCGACTGGACCAGAAAAGTCTAAATGCTTAGCCAGAGTGAAAACAAAAGAATTTAGCATAAAACATCGAAAAACTCGCCAAAATTAAAAACGTGCAGGGCAAGGCCGGTGAGAAAAAGGAAGAGCTGCTGCTCGCGCGCCGAGCGCTGATAGATATGAAGCCTAAAAGAAGCATTTGAGGGGAAAGAGAAAGACATGATGCTTATGATAAAGAATTAAAGTTACTAAAAAAGACCTATAAATATGTGAGATCGGAATAGCGGCAAAAATCGAAAAGAGCAGCCGAATCGCCTCCGGTCCAACGCCGAGTAGAGAGCACAAAGCGCCGAACATCTTCAAAAAGAAGTAAGGAAGGGATTCCAAAAAAGGCGAAAATCTTTCAGGAAAGTTTTGATAAAATAAACCTTCTGAATGCCGTGCACTTCCCTGGCGCTTCTGAGAAAACAGTTCTGTACGTCTCTAAGATGCGTGTTTTCCAAATGAGATTCAAATTTATCAACAAACGGAATACATTTCAGAGTGCACAAATCGACAGGCTTTCAAATTTTGACTAGAAGACCCATTTTCGAAGGGAACGAGGGTGGTAGCTGCTGGAAAGAAGGCACGTTGGTTTCCGGGGTTGATGACACCGAGTGGGGGCACAAAATAAAGTTGAAAAGTGAAAATAAAAAATAAAGATAATTATTCCGCTTCGGCCGTCTCCTCCTTGCACATTGTCTTGAGGTATTCTCGTACGGAATCGGAGACCGCGGGCTCGGCTTTTGATGGATCCTGGAGAGGCTGGTTTTTTAGATTGAATCGATTGTTTTAGAAAATTTATATATTTCGTAAAACTAAAAGGCGATTACTTTCGTCAGGTTAAAAGTGTATCTAGTTAAAAAGTGCGTAATAAAGCAAGTAAACGTGTTTTAGAAGGGTTTCATCTACTTTGAACGGCTAAAAATCATCACTTTTAGGTTCTAGGTGTAGAAAAAGGGAAAGGTCCTTACTAAACCACGTAAGCTAGATTATTTAGTAAAAACTAACCCTGGCAAAAATCTCCAAATGATTCTTGCCCTTCCACAACAGCGAGCACTTGAATTCCGGATCGTTTTTCGTCAAAAATTTGAAGACCTTATCGAGGCAATCGTGGACCTAGATTTTTCCTAAATTTAGTGAAATTTAGCAGTACCTTGCTGAGCACGACGAGCGGCAACGGCTTCATCATCTTCGCCACTTCTTGGATGTCGTAAAACGGCGGCTTGCGGAAATCGCCGTTTCCTTTGAAGAAGCCGACAACTTCCTGAAGACGCTCGGCTTTACCGTCTATTTGTTCAGACGTACCTGATCGGCCGTTGTGAAGAAAAGTTGGGCCCATGTGAAGAAGGGGAAACCGGCGCCTTCCGGGTATGTTGTTATCAACTAAAAATTAATTTTTTAGTAACGCCCCAGCCGGGCCCCAGCTTATGTATCCCGGCTCCGTTTGTCTACAGGTGTGTAAGGTATACCAAAATGATCGTCTTGCGCTGGCGATTATTTTAGTATACTTTACAGGCCCGTAGAACAACGGAGAGCCGAGATACACCAGCGTAGGTTTAGCCGAAAGTTTGCTTTTCTACACATTTACTTTCATTACCAACCTGCAAAGGCGTGTCCTTCGAAATGTCGCCATAGTTTATCACCTGAAAGATGGGTTGATCTTGTTGTACTGCTTCAGATGAGTTCTAGGATTTCCTGCGACTTACTTCGATATGCTCAAACCCGTCGACTTTCGTCTTGTCGCCCAGCTTTTCTGAGGCTTCGACGTTTAGGCTGAATCGATCGCTAGATATTTAAATTTTCTAGGAAACTTACGCCGTAGACTTTGAATAATCCGCGGAATCGGCCTCGAAACGAACTAGGAATTTGTAGTTTCCAAAGGTGTAGGAGACGAGCTAAAGTGAGCTTTAGGAATAGAAGCTTTGAAAGATCACCTGGAAGAATGGTCCGACGGCATGTTTGCCTCTTGGCTTGCTCATTTTGAATTGCATATTTTTGTCAAAGGTGCAGTGGCCAATTTCCATCAGATCTGAGGCTTCAACCCTGTAAAAATGTTGTAAAAACCGGAAATGGCTCAAGCGGAACCGGAAACAAACCTGTTCAACAATATCGTCTTTCCAACCCGTTCGCAATCAATCCGGAATAGCCCGTCGCCGGCCTAAAGGAAGGGTAGATTTTAGAAGAAAGCCTGAAATCTACCTCTTGCGCAAATGCAAACAATTTCTGCAAGTTGACGGCATCGGTGATGAACTGGTACTGGCCGAAGTCGATGGGCTTCTTCCGCTTCTCAGCAAAGAGCTTGGCGGCCAGGATCGCCGAGTCCAGCGAGCCTTGTTTGATCTTAAAATAGACATATTTAATGCATATACATAAAAAGCTGTTTAACCTCTTCAAAAACAAAATAAAGTTTCTAAACACTCACCTTCATGTGGTTTACATCGTAGATGACGACGCCGTGATCTTGGGACAGCTTTCCGCCCGGCCAATGGGTCAGCTCGCGGGCCGCGCCTGGGATCTAAATCAATTTAGGATTTTTAGGCTCTTTTGCATTAACGGGGGGCAGCGAATTTTTGGAGAAGTCCAAAAACGTCTAGTATCGTAACACATATTTTTAGTAAAATTTAACTGTATTTCCAGTGCAAACTATCTAAAAAGCTTAGAAAATTTTGTAATTTTTGTAAAATCGGTCTTTTTTCGTCGAAAAACCTGCGTTTTTATGTAATTTTTTGATGAAAATCGATAACGTGAAAGAACCCATTAATTTTTATAAAAAACGAACCAATAAAGTGGGCGTCTCATCGGCGAGGTGCCACTGATAACTGCCGACGCGTTCGACGAATTTTGTGGTGGTGGGGCCGCCCTGAAAAAATTTGAGGCAAGTAATTTCACAATCAGAAATATACCTTTGCGGACAGGTTGACGAGTGGGAGAAGGCCGTACGGCTCGTCTTCGAGCCCCTCGAACAGCCAGAAGCCTTGGTCGCCCATTCTGAAGGCGGGATTAGAACGGAAAAATCTGGATAGGAAGGCCCGGCGACATTCAAAAAGAAAAATGAGGCCAAAACCATAATACTTTCCATGCTACAAACTATAAAAACTACATAAATTTTAGAACCTGTTTCTGAAAACAAAACAAAAAAAAGACAATTAAAGTTACGGTGCGTCGCAAAACGTTTTCTTAGCTTGGAAGTCAAACCAAGCGAGTTTCCAAAGCATAAGCGCTAAAAATGAATCGATTCCCTCAAAATGAACGTGTTTGTTGGCATCTTTTGAGTGGAAAAATACCCAGAGGGGGGAGGGGCGGGGGAGGCTTTACAGCATCCGATCCCCGGCCTCAGTCATGGCCAAGCTGCCACACAGCTGGCCTTCCCTCTTTCTGGATGGACAACCAGACAGACACACGCACAAACGTCACACATTTCGTTATAGCCCCCCGGGGCGGCTACGTTTCGATTTGTCATTACGCTAAAATTAGAGGGGAGTTTTGAGAGGAAAAGCTGGAAAATTGGTTCTTTGGCATTATCGGGGGGTGGGGGCTTCTAGGGCCCAATCTTGCTAACTTGCATAGAGCAAGTGTTTGTCAATATTTTAAATGTAAAAAATCTACAAATTTGCGATAAAAATACAAAAATATCGTTTTTTGGACCAGAAATGACCGATTTTCGGCAAAAAAATGAAAAAGTTCGAGTTTTAAGTTCGTTTCTCCACTTTAAATATTGTTAAATGTGCCAAAAACTATTAAAATACTTAACATTACATTACTAGTCGTTTCTGGGCTTATAGAAAAAATTTAAACCACCCCCTCCCCCGAAAATGGAAAAGAACCCAAAATACAATTTTTGTAAGTCTTCGACGGTTTGTTCAGACCCATATGAATAAAATTCCTCCCCCCCGATAATGGCAAAGTACCAAAATATTATCTGAACGCGTAGGGGCAAAAATTATGCCCCCCCCGATAACGCGAAAGTGCCAACATAACAGCCCTGCAAGGCACTTTAGAAGATTTTTAAAACCTTTATTCGCGTATACAAAAAAGCGGCCCCCAAAAGCACAAAAATAAAGCAGCATTTAATCCCGGGCTTCGGCCTGCTTGATCTCGGCGTCATCTTCGTCCGTCGGCGGGTCCTCGCTCTCGTAGCCCAACGCAGCACCGGTTGGCGTCTTCACATTTGACCTGAAAGACGTGGTAACACCCAATTTCTCGTTTTTTTTTCTCTGTTATATTCCACTCTTCCTACCGTAGCGCATCCGGGTCGAGATCCTCCATTTCTTCCAGGGTCTTCAGATGAGGTGCGACGCATTCCCAGACCTGCAAGGAGGCCATGCTAGAGTCTAAGGGACTTTGGCATTATCGGGGGGAGCTAATTGTTCTCGAATTCCTTCTTCCTTTATCTTTTCTAAAAAATTTAATTAGAGTTGAAGTGGAGATCGAGGCTAGCTTCTAAGGTACTTTGGCATTATCGGGGCGCGGGGCGCTACGGGCTTCCCTTCGGGTCTAATAATTAATAGCAAGTATTTTAATAGTGATTTTGCTAAAATTAACCATATTTCAACACAACTATATAAGTCGAAAATCGAGAATTTTAGCCAAAAAAAAATCGAGATTTTCTAAGCACATTTGTAAAGATTTCACGCTTATATATAGAAAAAACCAGGTAGAAACCCTTTCGCGATTTATATTAGATAAATTGAAACAAGAAAGGATTTTAACCATCCCTGATAACCCCCTGATAATGCAAAAGCGCCGATTCCTGAAGACTAACCTTATTCTCGCGCACCATCTCGATGACGCGCTCAATCTCGGGCTGCATGAACCGGTCGTCGATTAGGGGCCTATCTCAAACTCTATAGCTACGGGAGTTTCCCACTTACGGGCTGACGGTGCGCACCATTTGGTAGACCTTGTTGAGGGGAGCCGTGCTCTGCAGCGGCTTCAGGAATTCGATACCTTGGCACGCGGCCATCAACTCCATCGCCAACACTGGAATTTTTCGTAAAATCAAGTAAATGGGTAGCAACCTGCTTCTACGTGCTCCACAACGATCAGCGCCTTTCTGGCCGCAAATCCACCCATCGATACGTGATCTTCCTGCAAAAAAAGAGTAGATTTTCGATAAAACAACTAAATTGCTAATTAATATTTTTTTAAATAGTACTGGCCTCTTAGCGGGGGAAGCCAATTTTTATTTTTCCGCTTTTTAATATTATATCATTTATTTTTGTGGTCTTTAGTAAATTTTGATTGCTAGGAAGCTATCAAAAAATCTAGAAAAATTTAAAACGTCGATATTTTTCGTTATTTTTCATACATTTTTGACAAGATTCCAAAATGTTCGAAATTTTTCACTTTTTGGCGTGATTTTCTCATAAAAAACGGTGCAAAATGCTATTAAAAACCTATATTTCGCCAGGGCCGTACGGAATTACTGCGGGGAAAAACAGCCTCCCCCCCGCTAACAGACCAGTACCAAAACACGTACCTGGTTGCATGAAGTCGGAATCGAATCGGCTGAAGATGGATGGCAAAGCACCTTGTTTTCAGAAACTGTAAAAATCACATTTTTCCGAAAAAATGCTTTCCCTAACCCAGCGAAGCAGCGGCAAGCTGTACGGTCATATATCCCGAGTTCAGCCCGCCGTTTGGCGTCAAAAATGTTGGAAGGTTTGAGAGGTCCTGAAAAACCTTTCAAAAAATATTCAAAGAGACCCACATGGTTGACGAGACGCTCCAGGCGACGCTCACTGATTTGGGCAAGTTCTGCCACGGCGATGGCTAGGTAGTCGAGCACCTGAAACAAGGAAATTTAGCTCAAAAGAGGAGGTTTTGCGAGTCGATCTTGTGCAGAATTTTGCGAAGATTTCGAATCTGGGTTCCAAATTTGCTAAATCATGATTTTCAAGAAGTTACAACGCACTTTTGACTCAAAAATGGGCAAAATGGCCTGTAAAAAGGGCATTAATATCTTTGTAAAAGACTTTAAAATATTGGAGCAAATTAAGAAGTAGGACATTCTCAGAAAAAAATGAGGCTCTTTCGAACGAGCTTGAGCTTCAACACCAAAATGCTACAAAAATCGTTTGAGGACCTGTTTTTCAGGAAATTTTGACGGTTTTGGTCTGGCTTTAAGGTCCACTTACCTTGGCGGGGTACTCGCCGTGGAAGTTGCCGCCCGAGATGATCTCCTCGCGATCGGCGAAAACAAGCGGGTTGTCGGTGGCCGAGTTCATCTCCGTTTCCAGCACCCCGCGCACAAACTCGATCGTGTCGTGGACGACGCCGTGCACCTAACAACGTAAGATTGCGTCTAAAGCGGGGATCAATTTACCTGCGGAACACAGCGCAAGGTGTACGCGTCCTGGACTCGATGGCAGTTACGGTGGGATTCTAGGATATCAAGCAAGTAAAATAAAGAAAAAAACAGCAGAAAAATAGTTTAAAACCAGATTTTAACGTTAAAAATACCGGCAATTCCAGATGGGTTATGCTCGGAGTGCAGAAGCGAGCGCAACCGCCGCGCCACGTCGATCTGGCCCTTGTGTGGCCGGATACGATGGATGTCTGAAAAATTCGGTGCATTTGCATTATCGGGGGGATCGAATTAAACTTTTTCCTAAAAGACCAGAAATGATTAATAACATAACAGCTTTTATCAGCAAAATTCAACCAAGGAAAAAGCTGGTCCCCCCGTTAATGAAAAAGTTCCCCCAAAAGGTACCTTATACGTTAAAAGACAAAAGTATATCGTATATAAGACAAAAATAACTAGCAAAATTTGAATTAAAACCACTAAATTTATATAAAACGAGTTACCAGCATCATAAGCCCTGGTGGTCCCCTTCAGCACGTCGAGGGTCAACGCCGCGATGACGTCGGCCTGGCGGGCAATGTTGCCGGCACGTTCAACGGCTAAAAATTGTAGTTTTTGGATTTTTTATTACTAACTAAGAACAATTTTATGGTTTAAATTATCAATAAAGTAAAGGTACCGTAAGCTCCAAGCGCCGTCACCATCTGGGTGCCGTTGATGAGCGCGAGGCCCTCCTTCGGGCCCAGGTCCATCGGCTCCAAGTGGTTCGCCTTAAGCACTTTGGCAGCGTCGTCCCAGCTGGAAAAAAATGTATGAATTTTGTTAGTAAAAATATGCTAAAAACGACAAAACCAATTTTGAAAACGGTCTCACCCGGTTATCGGGCTCCACATCTTCCCTTCGCCCAAAAGCCCGAGGGCCAGATGAGCGAGCGGGCACAGATCTCCAGAACACCCGACCGTACCTTGTTGTGGAACGTAGGAGACGCAAAAGGCTAAAAATTGGTAGAAAAATGCCTTTGTATAGTAATAAAAAACTCTTGACTATATTTGGCGCTTTTGCATTATCGGGGGGGGGGACTATCAGGGGGAAAAACACCCTCTAGTATCTCATTTTTCAAATAAAAAATAGATGCAATATTTGCAAGCTGTTCTTTTTCCTCTGTTCTATTTTTAGTACTTTTTACATGTAAATTTTCGTTAAAAACACAAAAATATTGCTTTTTAACCAAAATTTCAGTTTTTGGAAAAAAAATGCAGTTTTTCAGATAGCTTTTCCACTTGAAATCAAGCTAAATTTTACTAAAAACACGATTAAAACATTTAATAGAACGTTACTGGGCATTTTTAAGCCTTTAACAACATTTGTCCCCCCGAGAATGCGAAAGTACCATGTCTTTCCCCCTTTAAAATTACCATTAAAAGCAGCAATCATCTTCTTCAAATTCTTCAACGATATTCCGGAATACCCTTTGGCCAATACATTGATCCTGAATTAAAGTGGCGTTGAAAATTTATATATTTCATTTACCGCAATGCCAAGAGCATCCTAGCCTTCGAGGGGCTCAGCGGCTGCCCATATCCGGTCGAATGGGACCGGATCAGGTTGATCTGAAGCTGCTTCAACTTCTCGTGATCGATCAGCACGTTGGAGAACGTGCCGAACCCGGTGGAGACGCCGTAGACGGCTAAAAACATAAAGCAACGTGGTTTTGCAACCTCACGTACTCTTATGTTCAACGACAATCTTCTCGAGGAGATCTCGGGCCTTCTTGATTTTCTCTTCCGCTTCGAGGGATAGCTGGAAAAAGGGGGGGTAACTAAAATTATTTATTAGGTTGGAACATAAGTTCGCGCAATCGAACTTTGGAAATTTCTTTCTGAAAATTTAGTGGCCAGATTCCGATGTTCCCTCTTTGCATATATCTATTGGGTTCATGAGTATGTGGGATCAAAATTGCAAGTTTTTAGCCCCAGTAGTTTTTAAGATTTTTGCGTTTCTCTCGAGGGCTCTTCAAATTTTTGACCCGGACATCTTTCCGAACCGCCCTAAAGTCACTATAGGAACTGATCATCACTATAATAATAAGTTATATCTATCAGCTGCATGCCGAATTAGCCTAAAACGGAAGCCAAATTTGTTTTGTAAAGGCGGGCCGAAGCGATTTTTCATTTTCGCTTAAATCTAGCTTTAAAAAATTCTAATAGGGAAGCAACGCGATTCCTTCCCACACATCGAATAGAGAATTTTATTGCATATCCGTTTATCCAAAAAACATTTTGGTTCTTGCCCGTTTTCCGGTCCGAAAATTACAAAGAAAGAAAAATATTGCGCGAACTTTAGTTCCAACCTAATAGATACCTGTAGAATACAAATTCCCCTCTCGCACTTCACCAAGTCCTCGGGCTTCAACGAGCACCCGTCGAGCACGAGCAGCTTGGTCGGCTTCTCGAGCTGGCCCCAGTCTGGCGACGGGTCAAAGTCGAACTTGATTCTAAAAAGAAGGCAAATAGCTTGAAATATATCTATTGAATATAGAAAGATACGACGAAAAACGCTAAAATACCGACATTAAAAGTCTGGAAATTCAAAATCCCGACAAGCCAAAATCTCGACGAACTACTCGAGAGCCAAAACCCCCGACAGCCGAAAGCGGACATTCAAAATGCCGACAAGCAAAAATCCCGACAGCGGAATCCTGATAGCTAAAAATCCCGAGAGCCCAAAAATCTCGACAAGCTAAAATCCCAGGACTAAAATCCCGACACGCCAGAACCCCGGGAGCCAAAATCCTGACAACCGAATTTCGACAGGCTGAAATCCCCGAATTAAAATCCCGACAACCGAAATTTCGACAGCTGAAATCCTAACAGCCAAAAGGCCGACAGGCAAAATCCGGAACTCCAAAATATCGACAAGCTAAAATCCGCACCATTCAAAGCCGAGTCCAAAGCAGAATCCCGACAAGCCAAAAAATGTGTCCCGTCGGGATTATGGTCGTGTTTTGATATAACCAATAAGGAAAAGCTCTCAACTATACTCACTTCCGTTTCGGCTTCTCAATGTTGAGCTTGATTTTCTCCATCTGCTCCTCGGGGGTCTCGTCCTGGACCGGGGCCACGAGCGCTAAAAGATACAGATTTCAAAGTATGTATTACGGATCCGTACTAAGGAGTTTTACGGAATTTTCAGGCACTTACTAATGATGACATAGTCGCTCTCCTTCAGGATGTCTCCGACAAGGTCTTCTGGGTCGAGCAATGAGTTGCCGATGGTTCGGCGGATCTTAACGGAACTAAGGCTAAAATCTTTCTCTCTCTCTCTCTCTCTCTCTCTCTCTCTTTTTCTCTCTCTCTGTCTCTCTCACTGCGCCCGCGCCGCGACACGCAACGAATGCGCCTATTTCCGTCGCGTAACCGATTCACAGGGTTACTGTAGCCAACCCCCGCGGCCTCGACTTTATGTTTATAGTACCTCTGTGTACTCAGCGATCGGCACCAATTCCGGCTTCAACTTCCGCAGCTTTTTGATGGTGCGCTCGGCAACGGTGTGTATCTTCTCGTCCTCGGTGCATGACACAACGATACACTCGATGCCCACCTGCACTTGGATGCGCATTTCTGGAATCACGGGTTACGAGAGGAAAACAGCTTGAAGATACAGTAAGTCTTGAGACTAGCAGAAAAAGAGGGGTTTTAGAGTTATTTTAAAGGGGCCGGCAAGCGAGGTCATTTTTGATCGAATTTGTTGCACGCAACGCAACCAATTACGCAATGCAAGGGCAATCTAGTGCGTCGCGTGTTGCCAGGGCCGCGAAATCGGTACTGTGTTGTTTGCGGGGGGGTAGTGGCGGTTCTGTGCTTTTCCGTCTAGAAATGTGTAAAATGTCATAAAAAATATTATGCGGGGCCTTACGGGGTTACTGAAAAAATTCCCCCCCCCCCGCTAAGTTTCCAGTACCGCAAAACCTATAACTATTTAACTTTACGATACTTTTAAACGATTACATAGTGGAAGGTAAGCTCGCTCGTTACGTGTTGCGGGCGCCGGAAGAATATATAGTAAAATCGACAACTAACCAAAACCTATAGCTATATTGTCCTTCCCAATCCCCTTAAATAAACCAAAAATCACGTAGGGTATACGGTAGCCGAGATGAAGGGGGCGGAGCCAGGGAAATTCCGCGAAAAGGGCCGATGACTGGTCCCGACGGCCATTTTATAGGGACCGTAAACGGGCACACCGAAGGCCATGAAATCGCTGCTGCTCACCCAACCTCGTGCTCCCGAGGCCTCCCGAGGAATACGACGAGATTCCCCGCGTGAAAAGGACAGAAACACACAGACAGTCAAACAGACCGATATTCATTCCCATGTCTGTCTGACACGGCCACATCCAATACATTTCACTCCTAGCGACGGATGACGGGCTGATGGCCACAAAAAGCTCGAGGTCAGGGAGGGGGAGGGCTGAAACGCTCACTTTTTGAGAGTACTTTTACGATGTGTACACTTAACGAGCCAACTGATTTTGGGTACGGTGCTCGAGTTCAGAGGGGAAAGATCAAGAAAAAGGAGCATGAGCGAAAACCCAGCCTCAATTGAGTGTACTGGACTGTTAGCGGGGGGGACTCCCTGTTTGTAGACTTTACTTTCAGTCACTTCCAGGCTTCAGGACGCCACCAATTACGCCTTGACGCCTAGCTACGCTTGGAGTACGATTTTCACGAGCGTGTACGTTTCTGTACGCCCCAGTACGGGCATGTACGTTTCTGTACGTCGGCAGACGAGCTCATACGTCCGGAGTATGGGCTGGTACACCTTGCACCGCGTATCGTACGCTTCAAAACGCGTTTGTACGACACTGTGCTCTCCTCTTTATGCCTGCACGCTGCAGTACGCCAAGCTACGCGCTTTTACGTACTTTTTGCATGCGTACTCTACCGGTTTTTGGTACCTTCCGCCTAGAAACTAAATAGCATCCTGGTATTTTTCACTAGGCCTTTTCAAGCTGTATTTCTGGTCCTAAATTCCGGTCAGCTACACCAGACAGCAGCCGATGTGGCTTAACGAACTTTGGAGGCTCACGTGCGCTGGGGTGGGGATCAGCGATGAGTCTCGGGTGGTCGGATCTGGCTGGCCTATACCGCCGATTCGGCCCCCGTTTACGGGCTCGGTTTATGTGACCGCCAAGGCTCATCTCCCACCATCCACACCCACGTGACGGAGTGAGCATCACCCTTCTGTTTCTCCATGTATATCCAGCGGGGAACGGATTGTGAAAGGACAGTTTCATGGAGATTTTCTAGGTTTCGAGAAAATACTTTTTATTCAATTTAAAATCATTGGGTTTTGCGCTTTTCAGAATTCTTCGAGCCCGACTCCACCTCGTCGACGTAATCGCTGACAAATTCGCTGTCACGGCTGGCTGGGGGTACCTTAAATCAGGAATATGGGGTTTCTACGCTGTTTTTAATATTACTAAACGCAAAATGTACACTTTTTAATCCAAAAATACAAAAATGTTTCGATTTTTCGATCAAAATCTCGACTTTCTGAATTTTTCAAAGGTTTTTAGATAGTTCTTCGACTTGAAATCAGTTAAATCCTACTAAAAACAGTATGGAAATATTTACTATTACGTTTCTAGCCACTTCTAGACTTATACAAAAAATCGCCCCCCCCGGCCCCCGATAATGCAAAAGCTCCGACATATCCCACTTTCTTTTGACCAGCTCTCCTTCCCCAGCTTCCAATATTATCGGCATAAAACCCGGAAAACGGGCCAAACGTCGGGGGCTCCGGGATGAAGTCCTTCTTCGGCGATTTCCACGGCATCCACCTGATAGTAAAACTAGTATTTTCTAGATATTATCGATTTCCAACACCCTGCATCACCACGGGCCGTAAAAACCGAAAAACGCCGGATTTTCGATCGAACCCCTATTTGCCACGGACCATTTGCATGTTCCCATTTCACCAAAAAAACTGCCACCCCCCTTGACTGTTGTGATTTCTCTCACCCGAACGGCGTGTAGCTGCCGAATGGCGGCGAGACGAAAACGGGTTTCCCCCTCGTCGGCCCGTACGGCAGCTGGAAGGGGAAAAGCGAACCGGCTGAAAAGAAGAAGCTAGAAATAGACGCGATAAAATTTGCCCTTTTTCATATCGTGCTTCCTAATCGGTTAAAAGGCCAAGAAAAATTTTTCTGGTGTAGGTTCTTTCGCATTATCTGAGGAGGGGGCTTTCTTAAGACCTAATCGTTTAATAATATAAATCAAGCATTGGTATACTATTTAGTACTATCCTAGGAAAACTATACCAGTTTTTCTACAAAGATTCCGATTTTTTTTTTCGACAAAAACGGGGAATTTTCGAAATTTTTGCTTTTTTCGACATTTTTCGAAGTTTTCTAAACAGCTGTCTCTTTTGCAATATATCTAAATTTTATCAAAAACACTATTAAAATAGTTGCTACCGCACTAATAGGCCAATCTGGACTTATATGGTGGAAGATTAATTCCCCCGGAATTGCGGCAAAGCAAAAAAATTAGTATCAATTTCATGCTTTCTAACCTCTCATAAAGACAAAAGTAATTTTCTTGTAAGCTTTTCGGTTTTTAAATAACTTTTCACCCTACCCTCCATCACCGGTCCCAATGAATATACAGCGGACGGGTTCTTGTCCCGCGGGTCGTGGTACCCGATCGAATAGCCGGCCTCGCGTTGCAGGGAAAATGCCTGGAAATCGATACCTAGAATTTTGCAAATAGTAATCAATACCTAACGATAGCATAACTTTCACTGAAAAGGCCTACCTGATTCATCTGGTCTCTGACGACGTGCTTGATCGGACCCTTTTGAGTGATAATCGGCGCCGTATACCGGTGCGTTTCCATTGGTTCCTGCGGTGTCCGTAGTGGCTTTGTGACAAGCACTGAAAAGGATTTAAGCCATACAAAATATAGACCATTAGGCCTAAAACGATAAATCTGGAAGCAACCTGCAGGTGGAGGTCGGCTCTGCGCCCATGGAGCCATCAGCGCTGTGCTATTCTTGCCGTTTTGTGCCGCTGGAAGCATGTGGTGTAAGTTGGGTTCTAGTCTTAAATCCTTAAATCGTATAGTTCGTCTAAAAAACTAGACTATTTAACGATTTACAAAACTAGATTTTCTAGAAAGAAACACGGGAAAAGCTTATAAATAAAGTTATACTAGCAAGAAGAGTTTCTAACCCGTCGTTTCTACTAAAACTTGCACATCTATTTGAAAATTAGAAAAAAGCTTTGAATTTGAAAATGGAAAATGGAATTACTTCTATTCGAAAAGAATACTTTACCCGAAAGAAATTATAATTGACAAAAAATGGCTTAATTTCACTCCAAAACAACTAAAAAAGGTAATCAACCCACCAAGAAGCGCGTGCAAGTTCCGGGTCCATTCATTTGCAAAGGATATCGGGCCCTGGGCTTGGTAGTCCTTATCCTTGATCGGCCTCGGGTTTGCAAGGTTCCGGATTTGCTATAATTACTGTTACCAACATATTATTTGCAGACCATTGACTATACAAAACAATTTTGTGATTTTGAAAACAACATCTGAATACCGTGCTAAACAATGTCCCGGTCCGGACGTCCCGTTCGCTTTAATTTCATGCATTTTACTTCCGGCCAACAACCCACCAAAAAGTCCGAAAAGTCATGCTCAATCCGGGTAACCTTTTTGTATTTTTCGATCAAATTCCATGTTCTTTTATTAGCTACGGGACGTAAGACTAGGACCTACCTCATAGTCCGTCAAGATCCGCCCCGGCTGCCCGTTGTTTATAATGTAAGTGCTGGAATGTTGGGGAGAGTTGGGTTTTTTTTTAGTATTTCCAGTGGGGGACCTTATCGTTTCTGATTAACTCAATGGGTGCATAGTAGCGTCATAGAATTTTTCATCATATTGTAGTGAAAATAACTATATTTCAAGCGGAAAAAGTGTCTAGAAGCCTTTAAAAAATGTTGAAAATCTGAATGCTAGTGGAAAAAAAACGCCATTTTTGCTTGCAAAATGTATATTTTAGTATTTTTGAGCAACGTGCGTATTTTCATATCCTTCTAGTAAAAAAGGGTTGAAAAGCCGCTTCGCGACTTTTACAACCCTGGACCATCTCGGACCCCACAATACCTACCCTTGCATACTTTCCTTCATTCAGACGGAAAAAAATAAAAAAAAACAACCCCTCTGCCTCTTTATTTAGAGCGACCGCTCACTCCCGGTCTATCCCAACTAATTATTTTTTTATATATTAATATAAATAGCTAGTGGCTAAACAAAAACAACCCCGCCGCACATTTCAACTTTTACCACCCCCCCTTTATTTTCACTTCTTTTTTACAGAGCCCCACCCGGAGAACAACCCACAAAAGGGGGGAGAAAAAGGTGGAGCCGGGGTTTAGACTCTTACCTTAGCTATATTTCAAGTCGAAACACGCTTAGAAAACTATTGACCGAAAACCTATATTGTTGTGTTTGCTATCAAACGTACAGTTTCTAAGTTTAGAAATATTTATATTTGGAAACTTAGATACAGTTTTTACCTAAGGTAAAAGCTTGCCCCCTGGTTATACACAAGGACCAGGTGTTTTTTTAAAACTTACGCCGGTTCCCCGTAAACCAGAACAAATAACAGCGAAATTAATTGTGTAGGGCGAATCATAGTCCCGGATGCTTCTTCTGCAACTTTTCCTGGGTTCCGAAAAAAAATCGAAACTCTTTTGCGGGCGGTCGTCGGCAAAGCCAAGGGCAATTAGTCGGGGGGAATTTTGTGGCTGATTTGCGGTGCGGTGTTGGTGGATTGATCACAAGGCATGTGGAATCTCTTTATCGTCGATCTGTAAAAGCACAATCGAAGAAGTGACCCGTAGAACGTGAGCAAAGGCTTTCGAAGTAACTGATTGAGGTGGATTTAAAGCCGCTATTAACTGGGCATAAAAGTGGAAGCGACGCAATGAAACGTGGAGAAGAAGACAAAAAAAGAAGATGAGCAGAAGACTCGCTTGTACATTATTCAGTTTTAAGGTGCCCAGATTGGTCTTCTGAAGGTTCTTCCACTAATTCCTCGCCGCAAACCATTTCGGCCAATCGCAGCATTTCACTCTGTGGCCAGTTACATTTACGATTTTTTTGCACCAACCTCATCGACCAAGTTTGGCTCCCGTTTCCGCACCTTCAATTTGCCATTCTCGAGACATTTGGGCTCGGAAATCTTTGCCTGCCCGAGCTTGAGCGCGTCGCGAATTTCGTCGCCTTTCTTCGAATTTCTCAGCTTTTCGAGGAGTTTTTCCTTTTGTTTTTGCGCCTGAAACACGTTGAGCTTTTGCGTGATTTGTGGAAGTTACCTTCTGCGTGCGTTTTTGCCTTTTGAGCGACAGCTGAAGTTTATAAGCTAGAATTGCTGCGAGGAGGAGGAGGGGCGTCAGGCAAACGAGCAGGGTCTAAATATAGATTGTGGCGATGATTTTGTACTGACTTTCACAAATTTTATAACGTTTCTATAGTTTATGCTGCTGTTTAGGCGCCATTGGGCCATTTGGACCTACCTTTGTTGCTTCCCATGGATCTCTGGTAGCTTCAAGTATCACATAAGCAACTCGTACCCTCAATTTATCCAGAAACGACAGCGTTTCATAGTTATTGTTCATCTGAAAAGTTCATCAGATTGATCGATGAACCCGATGCATAAATTGCAAAAGAAAAATCCCGCAAAGTCCAGATTCCATATCAATAACGCAAGACAGTAAAGAGAGCTTTATCCGTCAAGTGAAATCCAGAAAGGGAAGCGATATATACAAGGCAGCGAATGGCGAAGTAGTGCCTCACACGTTATAGGTAGAGGAAGGCTTGTTTGCGGTGCACTTGACTAGAGGGCGGGATGGTACGAGGGTAGGGACAGACACAAAAGAGCCACCGAGCAGACCATAGAATCACAAAGGGCAAGCCAGACGGGGGAGACTTTTAGAAGAAGCATCGACGAGTAGTACAGGACCCGAGTTTATTAATTACACCGGGTTTTGTTCATGGGCCAGCAAGGGCAAGTTCGGAGGTTGAGGTCGAGCGGTTGATGTGGTTGTCGCGCCTAAAAATTCGATATTGAAATGGCCTAAAAACTTACTCCGAAAAATCCTTGACCGATATATCAAAAACAGAACTCATCAGGGTGCGGCTCAGATTCGCTAAAATGGAAAATAAGAGAAAAAGACGCCAAATACTCACAGTAATAAGCCATCCTCCGGTCGGTGGCGATAAACATCCGCCAGAAGCAGAAGTGGGCGAGTTGCACGAGAAAACTTCTAAAAGGGCAACAATTCCGGAAATTTAGCTTGATAAACCTTTTCCCGTCGATGGTCCAGATGATACCGCGAATAAATTTGAACGTCGAGTAGCCATCGAGGAGGATCTGAGGCGATAATTCTTTTTTTTAAATACGATGGCTATACCTCCAAAATTTCCCATCCGGAAAGTCGAAGTGGTGGGCGACACCAATCGGAAAAGTTCTTCATCACCCAATGTTTTTTGTAGGTGAACCTAAAAATGTGAATGTGGAAAATGTAGGTTCGTTTGCATTACCGGCAGAGAGAAACAACACTTTTTCCTGGAGCCTACAGATTCATGATAGAGATGTGTTTATACTATTCTAAAAAGTAAAGCGTCCTAGACTTTTTATAAAAAAAATACAACATTTCGATTTAAAAAAAAATCGATTTTTCGATCTAAAGGCTCAATTTTAAGAAAATTTTGAAACGTGAATCACTTCTGAAGCTTTTTTTAGTAATTTGTTTCGTTCTAGTATGGCTAAAATTCACTAAAAATATTATTGAAAGTTCCTTTTTTATTCACACCACGACGGTTTTAGTAAAACGTTTGGTTTCTCTGCCGATAATGAAAAAGAAAAAAATTATTATACCTGCAAGTTTGACACTGGTTTTGCTGCTGGGGTGGTGCTTTGCGGAGCCATTGCGCGAAACAACGACCATGTACCCATTTCATCGAACCCGAGCATCGGCAAGGGTGCCGCCAGGTGTCATTCACCAACTAAAATATTGTTTCTACGAATCTACGGTAGTTTACCTCATCCGAATAGCAGAACTTGCACATGCGCGTGGCTGAAGCCGAGCTCTACAAAATTTGTTTACAAACACATCGTAAAGTACGCTCACCAATCCATCGAGTAGCGCCGTTTCTTCGAGAGATACCTCCACTTCCGAGTTGTTCTCATTGGTCGGAAGACCGGCAAGCATCACTGCCCCCGGTGATGCGTCCATCTAAAACAACAATGTTGTTTTTGTGAATTGGAATTTGTGGCGCAAGTGTTTGAGAAAGGGGAGGTGATGATGAAATAGATGCGCAATCATTTATACTTATTGCGATGGCTTTTCACACAGAACCGCTTAAGAACCCTGAGACGAACATCAAACTTATTACCAAGTGAAGTTCTTGAAAAAGTGCTTTTTGAATTCCGTAATCAAACAAATCGCCGCCCTCGGGTCATACATAGAAAACTAAACAAAAAGTGTTGTTTCTGAAGGCAGCAAATTCCTGTCTCAAGCATTGGCCCAAGTATTTGAGAAAAGGGGAGGGAGGTGATGAAATGGCTGAATCATTTATACGTATTCCGATAGCTATTGACACCCAGTGGCTTCAGAACTGTTTGCCTGCGATTTACGCGCTTCGATTTTGTCTAATTACTTATTTCTTGACTTGTAAGGCCTAAAACGTAAAAAAAAAAATTAAAATTTTATCAGTCAACTTTTCAATCTATCAAAATTTTCAAGTGCATGTTGATACACATTACGGATTTTGTATTCTGGCGTAGCGTTTCTTACACTGGAATTTTCGTTCTCCAGTTTTCGCACCATTGGCCAGGCGGCGCGTTTTTAGTTTTGGCTCCCCCGACACTTGCGGCGCGACACTTGCGGCCGACACTTGCGGCGCGGTCATTTGCGGCGCGACACTTGCGGCGCGACACTTGCGCCCGACACTTGCGGCGCAGGATTCATTAATTTTAAATGTTGTAAATTTAGCATTTATTCACGGATTTTTTTCGTAATTGTTGGATTTGTGTTCAAAATTAGCAATTTAACCGACCCGCAGCCGGAACGCCCCTGAGGGCGTCAGGCAAGGTGGGCCGTCGCTTCGGATGGGCTGCCGCTCCACTCTTTCTAAATCGGGGCGCCTGGGCGCTTCGCGCTCCTCGGGCGCCCCGATTTAGAAACCCTGTACGAGCTCGCACCCATGCGAAGCGACTAGGCCCCGGGTGGCACGAAGCCTTTTTCTAGTCGCAGAGCGGAGGAAGTAGCGGCCACTTTCCCTCCAAATTGAGTGACTTCGGTCGCAAACCCGACTTTTTATAATTTTTTAATGCCAAATTCGGATGCAGCTTATCAAATAACACCTTAAACTATTTTTATATAGCTCATACTAAATAACCGCAAGGTCGCGCCGCAAGTGTCGGGCGCAAGTGTCGCGCCGCAAATGTCGCGCCGCAAGTGTCGGGCGCAAGTGTCGCGCCGCAAGTGTCGCGCCGCAAGTGTCGCAGCCGCAAGTGTCGCGCCGCAAGTGTCGCGCCGCAAGTGTCCGCGCCGCAAGTGTCGCGGTACCTTAGTTTTTTTACTCGTTCACCAGTCTTTTTTTGGTAAAATCGCGAGATTTTCATAGTTTTTGTTCTCCTTATCCGCCAAATGTTGTCCGATTCTAATCGATATTACTAATGTGATTACATGTGTGCCTAGGCGTTAGCAACGCCCGCCCGACCTCATAATGCGCGAAAAATTGCCTGCGGCAACGCGGTTCTATGCGTCTGGTGACCGTAGACTCGTCGAGGTTGACCTAGTGCAACTCCCCTGACCTAGCTTGACCTATGAAAACATTTGCCATTTTCGAAATTTTGGTCCAGTTAATTCCTCATTTCATATCCGTTCCCAAAACCAATTAGGAAGGCTTTCAGGGGTTTCAGATTTTATTTTCCCCAGCGCTGCGCGTTGGTTGGCAATTTACTAGATGTCCTCATTAGGACGCGATTCCGAAACAATTTAGGCTAAAAGTTTGTAGCATAAAATTTGGGAGTTCTTGAGCTAAAGGCTCTGTGTAGCAACATTTCTTATCTCTTTTCCCGGGAGCCCGGAAGCTGTCGACTACAGAGTACATTTGGCTATTTGCCCCGTGAGCACTACGATCCCAAGCACCCCCCACTGGGGGACCTGGCCACGGACGAAATTCCTGGACATAGCAGTCTAGCGAACGCCTCTTATAATGGCGTATTTTTTGCTTATGCAATAGTGAATCCGCACCAACCCCGCAAAAAATAACCAGCTTCGAATATCCGAATTGGAAAATTCATCAAATCCCGTCCCGTTCATTTATTCAACTTTTTAGGCATTTTCTTTTGTATTATTGCTCTTGCCCTTCCTGATCGCTCTAATTTATCCTTTTCAGTTTTACTCAAACCCTGCTATGCCAGAATATCAAACTGGTAGACCAACAAACAGTAAGTGCATTTTATTGCTGCCTCGTACTCTGGTTTAGATGGATACCCTCAGCACTCTGTGAAGCCGAACGGCGGCGTGGTGCATCCTCGCTATACCACGCCGATGATCCGTCCAACGGCCCAAATTCCTCCACCGTGAGTTGTTTTGATTTTGAAATAATGTAGCTATTTATCTACCAGAGAATTGCCATTTGGTGGCCGAATAATTATTGTTTAGGCTAGTGGTTACGACGTGGTTTTGCAATAGCCTTGTTCAGGTCCGCTAACCCGGCGATGTTCCTCGACTCAAACACACAGATGCAAACCAGCCAATTTTACCCGAACATGCAGCAGGCCCAGCCGTTGGCCGGCTACGGCTATCAGCCTACTGGAAACTACGTTCAGGTGACGTATCCCCTCTCCTTTAGTTATTAATGCCTTTAGACCCCTATGCACAACTACTACGGTCAGCCCTACAGCATGCCGCCACAGATGATGCCCCAAGCGCAAGCGTATCCGCAACAGCCTATGCAACAGCCGACACAGCCACCACGTCGCGAGCGCAAGGTGATAGCGATCTGCGACCCCCGCACCGGCAATGCAGTCGAAATTGGTATGCGTTTTCCTGCGGGCCTGTCTTCCAGCCTTTGTATGCATGTTTTATAATGTATTCACGAGGCCCTGTTTTAGGTGGACCCAGTGCTGCTGCCAGCAAGCCCGAGGAGAAAACCGACGGTCCGCTGAACATACGCGCCCAATTCGCCAATCAACTGAAGCTGAAAGAAGGCGAAGCTCAGGCCAATCTTGAAAGTGGGTCCTTTTTTCGAACAATATTTTTTTTTTGATTTAGAGCCGGCTGAAACGCCTGCGCCTACGCCTGCCCCGCCGGTCGCCGCCCCGGTGAAGCCCGTTGAACAGACGCCGAAGCCGGCCGAGGATATTCCCGCCCTGGTTCCAGTAGAACAGCCCAAGACCGAGACAAAGCAGGCTAGGTAATATATAACTTTTTCTTCTGCTTCTTATTCATTGGGGTCGCTGTCGCACCGATTTTGCCGTTGTTTCTACCCCTTGAATAGGATTGTACATTGGAATCTGGAAAACCGGTGTCTCGGAATCTTCATAGCCTAAACCAAGTTTCCTGAGATTCTGTCCTGAGCTCCTGAAATAGTGTCGAAATTCTGACAATCCTGAATTTTTATATTGGAGACTGTCAGGCTTCCCTTAATTCCTCAATACTGGTTGAATCTCTCGAAAATTGTTGTCCTATGATCCTAGCTTGGGGCTGCATTGTTTTCGTGGCTCTAGCTCGACAAGCACCCGTTTGCTTTTCGGTCGCCCGCTTGCCGGGCATCTGGGACGACTGAACCCGTGCAGAGAGCGCGCTAGTCAGGAGGAGCGAAAAGCGCCTCTGCGCTCTTATCTCTCGATCGCGTAACGGTTGCCCACTCCATATCGACAGCCAGCGCAGCGCGCCCCCGTTCAAGTTGATTACTTATGAAACTAGCCTAATGCTCGCCGGAATTACGCGATGGCTTTCCGGGTATGGTCCGCAAATTCGCACCACTGTTTCTGTTTTATTCGCCAGATATCTATAGAATTTTGAATGTCGCTACCTAAAAAATGTGGCCTCAATTTGAGTCTCGTGACTCTAAACCTCTGCTGAATTCTAATTACGCCAATTTCAGCTCGTCAGCACCGATCGAGCCTGTTCCGTCACCCGTTGTTGAAGCTGCTCCTGAAGCGGAGAAACCGGTGCCAGAGGCGACAATTGTTGCCTCTCCGCCACCGACCACCGAGGTATGGCGCGGTTGCAAACATTTTACGTGTTTTTATACGAACAGCTCACACCACAAAAACACCAAGACAGAGAACAAGTTCAAGTTACCGATGATGAGTCGGAGGCTGACATGAGATTGGTCGATTCCTCTCCTGAGCAGGTTGCTATCTGACGGGCCATGACATACGCAGTCTTTTTACTATGATTGACAGATTGATAGTTCGAGGGTTGGGTCTGGATGGATTCGCGTGGCGCAACACGTAGATTCAGTTTTTTCCTTTTGCAAAACGGCATTTCGTAAGATGGGTATCAGTAAACGGACTGCGTGTGTGTCATGGTTTACCGTTTTAAGTATCATCCTACGTGATCTATTTGTTTTAGAAGCTTCTCGATGCGGAGGATACGGTTGTGGCCCCACCCAAGACCCCGGAAGCTTCCGAAGATCGCGCGAAAAGCGTCAGCCCGCTCCCCGTGGCTCCGGTGATGACCAGCAGCATGGTCGAAGACACCGTCGAGGAAGAGGATGAGAGTATGTTAATTCTTCTCAACGCGATGAACTATTTTCTAGCGGAGCCGGAGAAGACTGACGAGGAACGGGCTGCTGAAGAGGCCGAGCGGAAGCGCCTTCGTGAGCAGGAACTGATCACCGCCTTGAATGACGTCGAGCTCGAGGAAGAAGACCTGATTAACATGAAGGTCTACTCCCGTAAATTCCTTGCCACGATCTGCGATATCGAGAAGGTAAGCCGGCTCGGCTTGAATTATTCTAGCTTTTCCAAGTCCTGTTAATTTCTGAAGCGCATGCACGAGTCTGATTTAGGAGCTGCAATGGAATCAGTCATTCGTCAAGGAAGAAGAGTTGAAGATGTTGGGTGTCGATCTGCGCTCAGCTCCAGTTCGTGCCGAGCAGCCACGGCAGATCCGTAACAACAAAGGTTTCGACCCGAACCCCTTCTGGCTCAAGCAAGGAACTACTGCACCACAGGACCGCAAGGTATCTCAATTGTTTTGGTATTAAAAGTTGCTTTAGCCATACGCCGGCCGCACCTCTCACGATTCCTATCGCGGACGTACATCGGCACATCGTGGAAAGGCACCTATTAACCGAGGCTCGATCGAAAGGGCGCCCCCAGTACAGCTTCGTAAAGCTGAGAATGCCTGGAAGCCAGACAAGAAACTTGACGGGCTGTCGGAGCGTGAGGCAGAAAATAAGGTTAGTTCTTTTTTTTTTTAGTTGGGAACGCCTTTTCATTAAAAATTAATTTTTAATAACCGTTTTTAGGTCATCCTGAAGAAGGTGCGAGCGTTGATGAACAAGATCACCCCGACCACAGAGGTATTTTCGGTGCGATTTCTGGTTTACGTTCTAGGGCGAATTGACGAAGGAGCTGATCAGCTATAAGGTCTCCCAGGACCGCGAGCTCCTTCTCGCGGTCATCGACATCTTTTTCGATAAAGCTGTGGAAGAGCCGAAGTTCTGTCCGCTTTACTCACAGATGTGCCAACGACAAGTAAATTTTCGCGGCAACACTCTTATCTGCCCATTTTCCTTAGGTTCAACACGAAACAGATGAAAGAAAGGCCAATCGTTCCGATTTCCGAGATGCCGTCTTGACGCGAGCACAGAAAACTTTTGAGAAAGCAGATGAAGAGGAACTTGAACAAAAGGTAGTGCTTATTTTCTGACTTATTGCTCAATTTCCATGCTTCTATGATTTACAAAATTATAATTTTTTTTTGTCGTCAGGGTTTGCTAAACCACATGCGTTCAGATCAAAGCGGCCGCCGAGGAGACCGATCCAAAGAAAAAGGCCGAATTGGATATCTTGGCTCAGGAATTTGCTGCGAAGATGCGCCGGCGGAAGTTTGGAAACATCACGTAGGGACGAACATTCTGGCTAACCCTTCGCTTTTAGGTTCATTGGCCAGCTATATTATCAAGGACTACTCAACTACAAGGTGATCGTGATGTGCTTGATGAAGCTGGTGCGACCAGCAAATGAGGCGGCCAATGCCGGCACGGAAAAATTCACCCCCGAAATTGAGGTATTACCGCGCTAAGGTCCTGCTTAATCTGTATCTTTATTTTTTTAACTGTATAGCATAATTGTGTTTAGGAAGAACTTGATTGCTGCGTCCGTTTGATGGAAGCTGTTGGTTCCAAAGTCGAGCAAGAAAAAGTGCGAGGAAAGGCAGCCTATGATGCGGCCGAAAAGCGGCTCAACGAGGATAAGAAGAAGTACCAGAAGCAGACCATCAGCCTCGACCAACTCAAAGCCACCGAGGCGCTCTTCGAGAAGCAAAAATCCTGGCAGCAAAGTCTCGGCATCTTTGACCAAGTCAGCGGGCAGCTTCACGAAATCAAACCGAGGGCCAGCGCTCGAATTCGGTACGTTGCAAGCATTCATTTCTTATATTCAAGATGTTTAGGTTTATGATTATGAACCTGAACGAGCTGAGGAATGCTAAGTGGCAAAAGCGCAAGGGAGCTGATGAGGGACCGAAAACTATGGATGCTCTGCACCAGACGATCAAGGAAGAACATCAGCGCAACGAGGCAGACCGCAGGGGCTACGAGAAGACGAGGTTTGGCGAGGACCGGGACCGCGGTTACGGCGGCGGCGGCATGAAGAAGGCTCCTCTTCCTGGTCGTCATTCAGTCGGTGGCGGCGGCTCACAGCAGAGGTATGTCATAATCTTTAGTCCAATCCGGATTTTTTTTTTAGCCCGAATCCTATAATATATTGTTTATATGTAATTTTATTTACAGGGGTTCACAAGACCGACGTCTTCAAGCAGCGAAGCAGACCATCGGCACATCGACCCAACCGAAGCCTGCTCTTGGACAGGTTTCCGCTTCGGAGAACCGTGGAGGTTTCAACCGCACCAACTGGGGCTCGCGTGGAGCAGGAGGTGGCGGAGAAATGGACAGGTAAATTACATATTTTGCTAATACCAGACATATAGGAAAATGAGCCGTGGGAACGGACCTGCGCGGGACTTTGGCGACAGCCGAAAGGTCGGTATTTTACCTAAATCAACTTTCAAGCAAAAATGCAACAAGTAGGCTTCATGCTGATAATCACACCTAAACGCACGGAATCCCCTTGAAATCAAAGCGGGAATCATTCTAAAAAAAATACGTCCAAGTATAGCAATCGACCGCTGACCGACCGCGACAAGGTGAGTTGGCACCAGTGGATGGAGGCGAAAAAAATCCTGGAGAGGGCCAAAACGCTGACGGCAGACGAGAAATCGACTCACCGGCCCTCGAACGGTCCGAATCTCAGGTAGGCCAAAATGCAGTCGGGCCGACCGTGTCACTAGTAACTAACGCAACCAATCCTTATCAGCTAAATAAACTAAAAATCTCTAGGCTGGTACGACATTATTTTCAACCAACACCTTAGAACCTAATGCGCATTATATGTGGAAATTTTCTTGTTTAGGACTCGATTCCGGCGGTCACCCCTGATCAACAGCGCACGCTCAGCGAAGAGGAGACATTGATGGTACGATCAGTTGGAACTGCTCTCGCGGAGATCAATTCCGGTGATGGCAAACTGACCGAGGTTTGTAAGCGGTAATAAATTTTACTCTCTTGTTTAGTTCGATGTCGAGGTGAAGGAGGCGATGCAGCGCAATAAAGTCAGCTTGCGAAGTGCAGTCAAGGCCCTCGCCGCCCACGTGGCAACAAAACTCGTAGGTTTTTATATATTTCTCATCTCTCTTTTTGGTGATGACTGAATTGTTCTCTTCATTTTCCCTTCGAACCAAACATTTTTCAGTCGTCTTCCGATAAGACCGCGCAGCAACGTGATGCCGGTCGGGCACTGGCCGTCCTCCTTGGCTCCGACGATTTCAAGGCGCAGCGGGCAGAGGGCTTGAAAGGGCTGGTCGACTTCGCCATGTATGCGGCGCAACAACAACTTTTGGAAGAGTATCCGTTGCTCTGGAAGTGCTTGGCCATGGTGCGTTTTTCGTTCTTCCGGACATTTCTTAGCTTTCTGAATCTTTGTTTTTCACTGGAAGTAGTCTGTTGATACTTGCAATGACTTGACTAGGCATAAATGACATGGAAAAGGAGAAGAAATCGGAAAAACTTATTTTAACGAAGAATTTCTGCTTTAGATGATCTTCGGCGCGAATTTCTGGCCTGAAGAGCCGGGCATGCATATCGAGCTAAAGGATTTCAACGCGTTCTTTGCCATTGCCGCGGATTACGACAGGCTCGCGGAAGGGGACGACGCTTGCGACAAGGTTTTCGCCGTGTTTGTCAATGTGCTGACGCTTTTGGTGAGTTAATTTTTGAATCTTCAGGAACTCTCGATATTAGTGCCAGTATTATAACGACCTAGCCCTTTGTTCTTTTAGGCTGAACACATCCTTGCCGACGGCGGCGAGGAGAGCCTTGGAACGGCCATCGCCATGACGTTCTCCGAGGTGGAATTTGTTAAAGAACTGACCGAGGCGGAGAGGCAGAAGTTGAATGCCGCTTTGGAGGTATGATTTTAATTTTCATTAAAATTTTGAAAATTTCAAAGGCAAGGATGGGTTTTCGTGACAGTGACGTCGTTATAGTAATCGAAAAAATTGAAATTCGACATTTTAAGTTTCAACGAAATGGAAACAAACCGAATTCTCTTGCTAGCAAAAAACACACATTCTTTTTTTTCAGAAGCAGGTCATCGGCGGCAACCGCAATCTGCTGACCCTAGTGTCATGCTAGCCCTCCTCTCACGCGCCTTCAACTGCTGCCACAACGAGTCTAGTCGCCAAAACGCGTTTCCCCAAGATTAAAGTTGCCTTCGCCGTGTTTACCCACTTTCCCGTGTGCGCCATTCTTTTTTGTTGTTATTACTGTTGTTGTTCTCTTGTTTCCAATGTCCCCATCCCACACACACACCCAGTTGTCTCTGCCTTGCTTGATGCTTGTCGCGCGCATGCTCTACCCATATTCCACGCTTATTTATTCAAAAAATCTTGTACTGGTGATATGGTGACTTGTTGCTCACAAAATCGGCATGTGAGACGTTTCTGTGCCCTCCCTCCCCACCTCCCCTCCCCGGTCCCCGCCTTTAATTAATTGTTAATTAGCAGACGTGTGTGTGCTCTCTTGCTCGCTTCACATTTATAAACTACGTTAGAAAAAGGTCCGTTGCCATTACTGTCTTTACCCCCGTCGTCGCCCTGTCCACAACTTGCGTCCCGTCTCGCAGTCGGATTGCTAGCGAATTTTGAAGAGTCTTACAAAATTCTGTTCGTCCGACTGCTGCGCGAAAGCTGGCCCAAAAACATTGTCTATTTATTAGGCGGGTAGTGGTGTCTTTTTTTTACGTCCCTTTGTGGCTGCCTCGTCTGCTCCCCCAATTTTATCCCGCTCCGTTTTACGATTAATCCATAATACCCGTTACGCAGGGGTTGGCTCAAGATTTTTCTTTGTTGATTGTCTTTCTTTCGAATGTCCAAAAACAAAATCAAATTATACGTTTCTGGCATTCTGCCATTTTCAGACGTTTTGGATAACCAAAAAGATATACAAATCATGCCTCTGCGTACACGGAACCTCGATTTGCTCCCCCGTGTTGCCTCCCCCTAGCTCCCTGCTTGATTGACTTTTTCTGGGATATTGGCCTATATCTTCCGGCTGTGTTACCTAGTTCTTTTGCCTTTCATTGAACAAAGAACCCCAATATAGAAACTATCCAATTTGCGCCGGGGATCCTCGTGAGGGCTTGACGTCGATCCGTCATTTCCACCACGACCAGCTCGATCCATGGGTGCTGACCATGTTTCGGGTGTGTACGTGCGTGTCTCGTCTTGCCCCGGGGCGTCACTGTGCACCTCGCTCTACTCGATGTTCGCCCGATCACTAGGCCTGTCTTTTACCCGATTTGTGTTTTGCCCATAAAAATTTATTTATATAGTTCTGAAAGAAAATGTATCAACGCACACGATGGTTATTTTGTTGCAGACGGACATGCTTTAGAAATAGCAAACATAGCGAAAGAGGAGTTGATGTGCTCTGAATGAGTGCTGCCACTTATGGTGCTTTAGAGGGTGACCCCGCCGAAAGCTGGGCGAGACGCAGAGCTGACCTGTGGCCAGTGTAAAGAAAGGGTGCAATGATGCACCATTACCCGGGCGTAAGTGGATGTCAGACAGCTTCTGGTCCCTTATCTTTTTAGCGCTGTTGTTTTATTACAAAGCGCTAAGAACTTCGAAAAAAAACAAACAAAAAAACCCGTATCTTAGGAATGACATTTCCGTTCCCCACCTATTCGCCAAAAATCAACCGAAATTCGGCCTGACAGTCCAGAAACCAACTTTTGTTGCTTTAAGATAGGATATGAAAGAAATACTGAAATGAGAATCATCACGAATCTCGTAGTTTTTGTTCGTTCTGCTTTTTTCATTATCTCCTGTAGCTGAAACCTTAATTTTTAGAGCAGCAATGGTGTTACGGAAGGACGACGAAGCGGAAACCGACCCGAAGCTCTACCACTGTTGTTGCAAAAGCATCAAAGCAAAGGTAAGTATTTTCTTCACGATTTGGTACTTTTTTCTAGACTGGTGTACTCGCGTTCTGGTGCCTGAAAGTTGCTGAGGTCATTGCTACCGTTGTGTTCATCAACAAGCTTGACGAACCATTCAATTTTACAACGGTTTGTGGTTTCTATGTTGAGTGATATCCTTCTAGGGAACATCAATGGTTTATGGGTTGCTCCTGAGCTTCGCGATGGGTATGGCATTGCATCGGGAACAAGCCGCTTGGGCCAAGGTGTACTTGATTATCGCGGTAAGGCTTTTGGGTTTAAGCTTTTAGGATACTATTTCCAGCCCTTCTGCTACTTTGTACAGACCGTTCTCTATATTTGGAAGGTGATCACGGTTCCGGATATGTACGATCAGTATGTTTCTTTGTATCTCTTTGATTTGCATTTTAGATATGATTTAAACGACCCAACTTCTGTCCACGTCACTCGGGCCACCAGAAAATGTCGGTTTTACTTGCCGAGTAGAGTTTTCTCAATATTCTTTTCGTAGTGCCCGATTTACTTCATGTTTTTAGTTATGGGCGAAATGCTGACGCTGATGGTACTGCTGGCCGTATGGGAATATTACACCGTCTGGCTCTACTACAAGTTCTTGAAGTGCGTTGCGTTTTTCTCAACATTTTCAGTTTTTTTTTAGGGATGAAAAATACGTGCTCGCCGAGAATGGAATGTCGTTGAGTCGGCTGGATGCAGTACACGTTGAGCCGTTGCCATTAGTAAAGGTAATTTTGTTGTTCGCATGCTCTTACTAGAAATTTAGTTTTTATTTACATTTATTATTTTAAGGGCCGAGAACCACCATCACGAAGCCAGACGAAGCTCGAGTCCACAGGCAGATTATGATCACGGACTGCACCAAGCTCAATTCTTAATTTGATATCATCACCGCCAACAAGTGCTTGTATTTATTTACGTGTTCATGTGTGTTCGCTCGATCTCGATTCCCTCATCTTATGTGTCTGTGTCTGTGGAGCATCCAATCTATATATTACTGCGTGTGATTTAATGCTATAAATTATGCAACACCCTTAACAATTGTCAACACTGCAAAATGAAGGAATATGGAGAGGATCTGAAAGGCGGCCAGGTCCAGAATGCGTTTGCTGGTCCCTGGCGGCCATGTTGAAGCGAAAATTAGCACCTGCCCGGGCCAACGAGATATTTGGGCGGATTTTTCGATCGCCGGTGGACAGAACGGCCGTCTTCTACAGGATGCATCGACAATTTAGGTGAGATTTTTGGGGTTGATGGTTTTTTCGCGGAATTTTCAAAGTAGGAAATCATTTTTTACAGTTATCGCCCATCGCTTGATGATTTGGTGGAAGCCTCCGATGAAGAAGATTATGACGTATTTTCGGAACGAAGCGAGGGTTAGTTTTTCGCCTGTTAAACTTAAAAGTTTGACAATTATCACAAAAATTCGGTCTAGCCCGTTTTTGGCCTAAAAACGCTTTAGTTTGGAAAGGATGAACTTCATGGAACACTATAAAGAAGAAGCTTTTGAAAAGAATTGATCAATTTGTACACTTTTAGATGATTTGGCCAACGAGGCGCCGACACTCATCTCGGAAGTGCTGGCGGCGTTGCGGTCGAGGTTCTGGCGCCGTGCTGCGTCGCTGGGAGCCTATAGGTCAGGATAATGGCTAATTGTTAGCAGTAGGTATCTACACTTCGATTTTGATTTTTTCAGATTTTTTTAGATTTTCGATTTTGTACTCAAAGTTTGTCGGTCTCGGACGTTGAACTCCGACTTCGGTTTTAGACTTAAGCTCAGGCTTCATACCTAGGTTTCGGCTTATTTAACGCAACAGACACCCCGAACATCCCCACATCATCCGCCACCCCCCATTAATTTTTGACGGCCAATCGACCCACTCCAGGCTGGTGAATTGGAGGGGCAGGTTGGGCCAACTGTTCTTCGTTGTCATTGCCGGGTTTTGTGTGTGTATGTGTGTGTATATGTGTCTGTGTTGAGGGAGAGCATGTGCCCTGGGTGGCTTTTTCTTCTCGACAAGCCCACACCTCGCTTTTCATTCCTCAATCTACACATTGGCCCATAATGGCCCACACTTCGCCGGGGGGCACTACTACTGAGGGTACTCGCTTGACACTGGACGTCACCAGGTACTGCTTCGGAATGGTTGGGAGTTGGTTTTTGCAAAAAGCAACGGTGATCTCCGCGGGCGGGAGTCGAACCCGGACCTTGCGGGTGTTAGGCGAAAGTTTACCATTTGGCCGTAGAAGTCGAAGCTACGGTTTTTCATGGACCGACAATTCCGGTCCAAAAAGCCGGTTTTGGGTTTCAAAATTGTCTGATGCTGCTTTTTACGAGCTTTCGAACAACAGGGTAGTAAATTTGAGCAAAAAGCAAAAATTTTCTCCGAGCTGGGTTCGTACCATGACTTTGCGGATGGCAGGCAAGACCTTTACCACTTGACCAAGTTGTCACCGACCCCATTTTTTGTTGTTAAGTCTGGCTCTACGCTCAATTCAAAGCCTTTTTGCTTTATAAAACCGCAGAGCATGCAGAAATCCAAGAGGACCAGTATCTTTTTAAGTTTCTGATCTCTTTAATCAGAAAGTCTGCTCCGTTGGAGCTTCCGTGAACGTTGCGCCCCCGGTCTCGACGGCCCCCGATAAAGCTTTTCGGGAATCTCGGCGAGCCGTTAGTCGCCGGTGATAAGCTTTTGCCACCCATCACCGGCACCTCGTAATTCACGCCTACGTCCTATAAAAAGAGATGAGGTCGATTAAGTTGCAGAAAAGGTACGTTTTGGAGATTGGATTTTGGAAGGAAAATTTATTTTAAATTAAATAAATTCTATAAATTCTATAAAAAAATAAATAAGTCCGATAAATAAAAATCGAAATCTGATAAAACTGGCTAATTACCGAGGGAAACAATCTCTTTTAAAGGCGCTGGGAAGCTCCAAAATCGACCGATCTTGCTTCTCTCACTCTCGGGCTCTCGCTCTCTCGTTCTAGCTTTTGTTCTCTCGGCTCTGCCACTTTCTCGTTCTAGCTCTTGCTCTCTCGCTCTGGGTCTCGCTCTCTTGTTCTAGCTCTTGATCTCTCGCTCTAGATCTTTCGCGCTCTCGCTCTCTCTCTCTCTCTCTCTCTCTCTCTCTCTTTCCGCCTACCACACTCTATTCTATGGAACTTACACATAAAAATACACCGACCGTCATTAGACGCCTAACTTATCTGCTGCCGCTGCCAATCCTCACCCTTCCTAGTCCCTTTAAACCCCCATCGAAAAGCCCATTCAACCCAGACATCCAATCCGGCCATTGTCTCGCCTCTAAAAAGCCGTCATTTTCCGGGAGATGCTCTTTCCATCCGGAAGGACCCAATATCGCGGCGTCGTTTTGAGATTCGACCTCCTCCCCGACTGGCCGCATCTCATTTGTCGATTTTCACCCCCCCCCCCCCGCCCCCATGTCCCGTTTTTGAATGCCCTTTTTGCCGTCGGCCTGCCCCTCATCGCTTCCGTCGGGTTTTCGTAAGGACTAAGCCGAATTATTGCAGCCGGGATTACTAGGAAGAGGCCCGAGAGAAGACTCATTGCAAAATATCCCCACCGGAAGTGAAGGAATTACTGCGCAATACTACTATTCTCAGCATTTGAATTACTGTATTTATTAACTTGCTATTAATGCCGTTACCCCCGCAGACACGCCCACCGCCGACGCGTCGGATTGTGATACGGTAGAAAAATAAATTCAAGGTCTTTTCCGAGGTTTTATGAGTTGCTAATTCTTTAAAATCGAAATATTTCCTGTCGAGCGATTTATCTGCTCTACAGATTTTCTCTCTCTCGCACTCTCTCACCCTCTCTCGTTTTCTCTCTCTCTCTCTCTCTCTGTCTTTCTCTCTGTCTCTCTGGCTCCGTCTCCTGATCTCTGTCTCTCTGTCTCTCTCTGTCTCTCTCTCGCTATGGATCAATTTCTGACTCCTTGCCTTCTCGATCCCTTGAAAAACAGAAAACCCGAGATTTCCCGTATTTTTTGCCAGAACCTCGAAGACGTGAGCAGAGACTTCATCTGTCATGCTAATTGCCTGACATTCCGCGACACTGCCCCCGCGAAACGGATAAATAGCCGAGGTGGAGTGGCAAAACACATAGTACGCAAAGCTTAGGTAGCTTAATTTTATGCTATCTAATGCCTCCGAGTTGTTCGAGCTATGCGAGCTGGTCAGGCGTTTCGAGCTGAGCAAGAAGTTTAGGCGTTGCAAAATATTTGAGCCGACCTAGTTTTGGTGATCTATGAGACGCTCGAGGATTTCAAGCTGTACAAAACGCTCCAACCCGATATTCTTTATTTTGTAATTTTAACTTTAAAGGGACGGTGCCAGCAGAAAATGCGCTTTTTCGAACTGCGTCTAAAACCCGGTCCTCTCACTCACTCCGCCCTGGCACCCCATTTGTTTATCGGAAGCAGTAGTTGCAGAAGACGGCGTTCTTGCTCGTTTCTCGAACTCATTCTCTCTTTCTCTCCCTCTCTCTCTCTCTCTCTCTCTCTCTCTCTCTCTTTCGCTCGCTCGTTGACGAGCCTTTTTTGTGAGGGGGAAGTCCGTTTCTTTGCCTTGTCTCGAAAACAGCCTCCAGAATTCTTCTCGAAAATTTGGCAGGCTTTTCAAGTTTATCCCCACCCTCAAGAAAAGAGAGAGTGAGAGAGAGAGAGAGAGAGCGAGAGAGACAGAGCGCGAGAGGGTGAGAGAGGTTATTCCGCAACGATAAAAAATACGTCAGATTTTCCGTAAGAAACCAAAAGCCACCCTGTCCCCCCTGACGAAGTTGCCTTCTCCTAGCCTTCTCTGCCCCAAACAGAGAGGATAATTGCTGACGTTCGGCAACTTTGGCCCCGAAAATGGGCCCCACGTTGACAGCGGGCCCTGGGGGCCCTAGTCGGATAAACGATGCATTGGATCACTTTTAGAAGGGTACACTTCTAGAGGCTTTTCCTATTAATGATTGGTTCAATGAATGAATCCGTTTTGTTTGTTTCAGCACCGCCTGGCGATCGTTGTCGTCGAACCTTGGTGGGCCCATACCGGAGGACGAGTGGGTTTTTGTTTATATTTTATTTATGATTTTTTAAGCTTGTTTTGAGAGCTCTGTAATTTAGTAAAAAAAATGTAACTGATAATTTTTATACTATACTTTATATGATTTCAATGAAGGTGCTCTTATAAGAAGGCTTTTAATTCGCTGTACTCTGGTGTTAATTGGAAGTTTCGTGAAGACATTTGTGTGATGGAATTAGCGGAATTTAACGGAATTAAATTCACCAAGTATCGTTCAAATTATGCAAATGTGTTTAGAAGTCAAGTGGAATTACTCGAAATTTTTTCCTATTTCACTCTCTCATTCTCTCTCTCTCCCCCTCTCTTTCTCGCTACGTATTGGGCCAGACGGCTTATGAGCCGGTCGTGGGAATCTTCTTAAAACCACCGATTTCATGTCGTAACGGCACCACATTTATTCCTTCCACATCGTTAGGACCCCCTTTTGCCGTATATATTTCTCCATATCTTTCTCTCTCCCTCTCTCTCTCTATCTCTCTCTCTCTCTCTCTCTCTCTCTCTCTCTCTCTCTCTCCCCCTCGCTCTCTGACCTCTCACCGCGCCTCTCTCTCCCCCTCTCCCCCTCTCTCCTCTCTCGCTATTTTTCTTGCTCTCTAAAGCGGGTTTTCTCCCGTTCTATTGCTTTCTCCCCCCCCTCGCACGCTCTCTCTCTCTCTCGCTCTCTCTCAATTTATTTCGCTCTCTCACGAGTTCATAAGGCACTTCTGATTCTCGCTCTCATTCTCTCTCGCTCTCTTCCTCTCTCGCCCTTGGAGATTCCCTACTACTCTTTGGTAGTTTCCCGCCTTCAAGACACACCCGTCCCCTAGAATCAGAATAACATCAGCTGGCCCTCATCCAAACGCCTGAGAAGCGGTAGTCGTGAGCGTGGGAACGTCATCTAAATCCGTGCTCCCTTCTCTCCTTCGCCTCATTTCAGTTTGAGCAAAAGGGTCCTCTTCCTCCTTCTCCTCTTCCCTTCGGCTTCACAATCTCCAAAGGCTTACACGTTTGCCCTCTTCTCAATCTCTGTCTGTATGTGTGTGTGGTGTGTGTCCGAAATTGAATCGCTTAGGATTTGGGGGGAGGGGAGGAAGACAGCAGAAGAAGGAGCAAGAGGGGGGAGGAACGACGGGGTTCTGAAGCGTCCCGCTCGGCTTCAGCTGCCCTCGCTCGCCACTATTTTTCTCCATTTTTCTCCGGCACCAGCGAGATTTTTACGCTTGATTTTGTGGTCGGTTCCGGGAATTCTAGGCCCAAGTTAAGCTCGCTAAGTTACATGGCGTAACCGGTTCGAGCTTGCGTTTATTTTCTTATTTTTCTTCTATTTTTTACCTGGATTTTTTCACTATGCTATTTTTCTGGAATTCTTTTTCTATGAATTCCTACCGAAATTAAAATTTTGTGGATTACCTAGCGTAATCGGATAGATCAACATTTTTACCGTAATCAGATAGCCCGAAATTTTGAGGTTTTCGGGTTTAAACCCGTTTGCAATCTTTTCCTTAGGCTTTGAATCTGGAATTGACTAGCGTAACCGGATAGACCGGTTTCAGAATTATATCTGGTT